GTTCAAAATAAAGGTGACAATAATTCGAGAAATTAAAATTTTGCACAATATTTTTTCACTGTTTCAAAATATTTATATATTTTTTTTGAGATTTCTAGAATTTTAGTTTCATAATAAGCGGCGATTCAAAAATATTCTATTTTTCGAAGAAAAAAACTCAGAAATTTCTTACTGTTTCAAATTTTTGATTTATAATTTTCGCTCAAAATTTCGTTTAATGAGTTCAAAATAAAGGTGACAATAATTCGAGAAATTAAAATTTTGCACAATATTTTTTCACTGTTTCAAAATTTTTATAACATTTTTTTAAATTTTTCAATGATTTGTTTGAAGATCAGACTTTAAAAAGTTTTTAAAAAAATTTCGAAATATTTTCACTGTTTCAAAAAATTCATGAAAGTGTTTTAGGCGCCAAAAACCCACGTGTCATAATTTTTCGAAAAAAAAAATCAAATTTTGAATTTTTTGTCGAATAATTTGTGCCACGTGGATTTTTGACGTCAAAAATCCCCCGCCAAATTACTGTAAAAATAACACATTTTTCCACATTTCCACACATTTTCCAGTTGATTAGCTCCAATTCATCAAATTCATTTTTGCACCAAAAAAAGCGCCGCCAAAAAACCGCCCATATTTTTTCCAACGTCCAAAACACCGTGAAAAAACAGATGGCCGCGATAAATCAATGTGCAAATTAGGTGGCTAAGAAAATGGTGTTCAAAATTTTTTTTTGAAATTTTCTTGGAGTACTGTACCTACCCTACAGTAGTAGGGGTACTGTAGGATAGGTAGATCACAGAAAAAAATTAATTACAGGTTTGGATTTTTTGAGAAAAACATATGTTACAGAGAAATGAACCGCCGTGTAATTAACACAGTCTTTGAGAAAAGCGAGAGAGAGAGTTAGAGACGCAGAGAAAATGGGGTACTGTACTAAAATTTTGCCACGTGGATTTGATTTTCTCATACTAGTTGATAAGATCAAAATTTTGAATTCCAAAAAAAAATATATGAAAATTTGGAAACAGTGAATTTTTTTTTTCTTGAATATTTTCCACGTGGATTTTTTGGCGCCAAAACTGTCTACAGTACTCCTCAAATATTTGCAATTAGTGTTCTCCAAATATTTGGAGGTAAATATTACAACCAGCTGCAGGTGTGGTATGCATGTTCCTTTAAAATAACAACACAGGGTACTGTAGGTACAGTAGGAGGTTTTCAAAGAAAAAACCCTGATTTTTTACGTTTCAAAAATTCAGTGTTGAATTTCAAGCTGGAAATCGAAAAAAATTTACTGTTTCAAAATTTGTTTGTGAAATTTGACTACTGAATTATTTTGCTGGGTTAATTGTAGTCCATTCTCTAAGTTCTTCCTTCATAAGGGTTACTGTAGGTACAGTAGTATTTTATGAAAAAAAAATTTTTTTTTGAATAATCTGATTCAGGAAAATCCCAAAATTTTACTGTTTCAAAATTTTTATACAAAAATTTTTAATTGAGAATAAATAGTCAACAACTTCAATATTTCCGGCTTAAAAATTCCAATGCTCTTAAAAAACTACTGTAGAAAATTGTGCCAAAAATTCTGGATCAGCCGAATTTTTGGTGGTCTGAAATTTCAGTTTCTCAAAAAAAAAATTCCCGAAAAATTCACTGTTTCAAAATTTTAATATAATTTTTCACGGTTTCTGAATTTTCGCTACACTCGACGTTTCAAAGTTCAGTGATAAATTTGCCACGTCATAGTTTATCAGCGGCTGATTTCTCTGCGTCTCTAGCTCTCTAATTTCTCTGCGTCTCTCACTCCCAGATGCTCTCTAATCGAGCGAAGCGAGTGTAAACCGCAAGCTTCCGCTTACGCGGCACTATCTTCCACGAAGCGGTCAGTTCTTCTGCGTCTCTAACTCTCTGATTTCTGTGCGTCTCTAGCTCTCTAGCTGTCGGACATCTCTGCGTCTCTCACTTCCACACGCTCTCTGATCGAGCGGAGCGAGTGTAGACCGCTAGCTTCCGCGTCAGCGGCACTATCTTCCGCGAAGCGGCTAATTTCTCTGCGTCTCTAACTCTCTAGCTGTCTGACTTTTCTGGGTATCTAGCCATCTAGCTGTCTAACTTCTCTGCGTCTCCCTAGCAATCTAGCTCTCTAACTTTTCAAAAAATCCAGATTCTCCCTCCAGAATTCTCTAATAATTACCCCCATCCATAAATAATAATAATAATTATTATTATTATTTTTCTGATTCCCAAGAAAAACAACCCAATTAAATCTGTGCTCCTTTAAAAAATCTACACAGTCTTTTAGCTACCCAAACCCATCAATCACACACCAATTAAGTAAACGCTCTCCCAATTTAATAGATACCTTGTTTCTCTGCACTCTCTCGCTTTCCCATGCTCTCTAACACGACATGTTGCTTGATGACAGCTCTTGAGCACATTGAATGAATGAAAAAATCATTGCTCAGGTCAAGGAGTAGATTAGATTGAATAATAGCAACTTGGGACATGTGTAGTACAGTACTTGAGCAGATAGCTACAGTACTACTTCTGGGTACTGTATTTTTGAATTTTCTATGGTAAATTAAAATTCTCCAGAAAATATTTGAAACCTAAAAAATCCTTGATTTTTATATTTGAAATTACAGTACCCCCCTTTCCTACAGTAATTTTGTGATGATTTTAAAGGAACATGTGCAGCTGGAAAATATTTATTTATTTTTATTTTGCCCTACAAATATTTGATGATTTACCTCATAATTGTATTATTATTATTATGATTTTGGGTAAATATTTGATTACTGTAATTTTTGGCGCAAAAAATGCCACGTGGAATTTTGAGTTAGACCTACAATAACCCGAAACCAGTCCACAGTAAGTCTTCCAAAAATTTCAAAAAAATTCACTGTTTCAAAATATTTCTATATTTTTTCGTGGTTGAAAAGTTTTCGATCCGAAGATTGCCTTTAACTTCTTGGATTACTGTATTTTTTGGTGCCAAAAATTGCCACGTGGAATTCTGAAATAGGTCTACAGTAACCCATACAGTAAATTGTCCAAAAAAAACATTTTAAATTTTCAAAAAAAAATCACTGTTTCAAAAATTTCATAAATTTTTTTTCAAACTCAAATTTTTCGTTGAGCGAGTACTACAAGCAATATATATAAAACAGTTCTACAGTAAACTACAGTAACCCCTAAACTACAGTACTCGAAATTGTTTACAGTAATCCCTGAACTACAGTACTCGAAATGTTCTACGTTCAGTTAACCCACACAGTAAATTTTCCAAAAAAAAAATTTAAATTCAAAAAAAAAAATCACTGTTTCAAAAATTTCATAATTTTTTTTCAAACTCAAATTTTTCGTTGAGCGAGTAAAACAAGCAACATAAACAATTTCGAGTACTGTAGTTTAGGGGTTACTGTAGTTCACTGTAGAACTGTTTTATATATATTGCTTGTGGTACTCGCTCAACGAAAAAAAAAATATTCTGAATCTTTAGCGCTCAAACCGATCTACAGTAAGCTACAGTACTTCAAAATCCACCTACAGTACCCCTCACCTTTCTCACATTTGTGTCATCAAATCCCTATTGCGTAATAATTTTCCCGCCTTTCCCTTTTTTTTTGACACCTGATTAACACAATATTATTATTAAATATTTCCTGCCTTCTAATTATTCATATTCCAACTGTGAAAAAGCCCCCAACAAGAAGATGATTGACATGTTAAGAGAGCAAAAAGGCGGTGCGGCGGAGCAAAAAAGAGCCGAGATTATTATGGCCGAAATAATTTCGCAACGGGATATCGATCAAAATTCAAAGAGGAGGAGATTTATGAGACGAAATGTGGAGAAAGGGAAAATGATGAATTAGGAGTTGACAGATTAAAGGCGGTAGGGGAGGACTACTGTAGGGTTTGGGCAATATTTGGGAAGAATATTTTTGAGATACCGTAGTCAAAATTTCAGGTTACTACTGTAGTCATTTTTAGCAGTATTACTGTAGATAGTACTGTACTTAGAGCTTAGCGTAAAATTTTTTAAATACTATTGTTTAGAGCTACAGTTTAGCGTTACAGTAGCAAATTCAACTTAAATTCAGGACTTACTGTGAAAAGTTGCTAATTTTAGGTGTAATCTAGAGAGTACTGTAGTAATAGCTTACTGTAAGAAATTTTGGAGTACTGTAGTTCAGTGGCTTTATTCAACCTAATTTTGGATTACTGTAGAACTGTTTTAGATATATTGCTTGTAGATAGTACTCGCACAACGAAAAAATTGAGCCCAAAAAAAATTTATGAAATTTTTGAAACAGTGAATTTTTTTTTTGGAAAATTTACTCTGGACCAGTTTTGGGTTATTGTAGGTAGGCCTATGTAAGAATGTCACGTGGATTTTTTGGCGCCAAAAATTGTAGTTAATCTTTACCTGTCCGGTGTATTGCGTCTAGTAAAATATTTTGAAGCATAGAAAAGTAAATCAAATTTTTGAAACAGTGAATTTTTTTCCCAGAAAATTAGAATTTTTGCTAAATGACTATATCAATAGTAGAAGCAATTTTGGAGTACTGTAGTTTAGGGGGTACTGTAGTTCAGTTAAGTACTGTAGAACTATTGAATGCTATGGGGGAAATCGACCGAAATTTTCGATTTTCGGAAAAAAATTAAGCAAATTTTTGAAACAGTTATTTTTTTTCTGGAATTTCTGGATTATTCTTCGCCACGTGAATTTTTTTTAAAGGAATTTGGGTTACTGTACATCATAGTACTGTACCTATATTCCCACATTTCTCCCGAAATCCGCTAAATCTTCCCTTCCCCTTCCTAAACAAACAACACCCTACAGTAGTCTTGCCACCCTCCAAAGCTCCGCCCCTTTTTCCCCCTTAGCCCCGCCCACCCAAAATCCACCAGCTCATCTCATTTTCTATTTTTTCTTGTCATCTTCTGTGTGCACCATGTTTTCTTCCTCTAGTTCTTCTACTTCTTCCGCATCCAAAATGGTTGACGGAAGCGGAAAGATGCGGATTCGCCGCGTAAAGGCCAACGGGCGAGAGCGGGCCCGAATGCACGGGCTCAATAATGCGCTGGATGTTTTGAGAGAGGTGAGTGGAAACAAAAAACAAAAAATAAAGTTCGCGCCCACCGGGGATCGAACCCACCGAGGCAAAACGGGTTGATTGCTAGACGCGCATGCTAACCACTCGCACACGCGCGCTCTTGAAAACAACCGGGGGAATTTTGCTTTTATATGCGATGCTAGAAAAAAATTCAAAATTTTAATTTCAGTACATCCCAATCACCACTCAACACCAAAAACTGTCCAAAATCGAAACGCTGCGATTGGCCAAAAACTACATTGAAGCGCTGAATCGAATGTTGGCCACAAATGAGCAACCAACACCGCTAGAATATGCACATCAATTGGCGAATGGCTTGAGTCAGACAACGACTAATATGTTGGCGAATTTGTTGCAGGTGAGAAGGATTTTGAGCTGAAAATTGGAGGAAAATGGGGAATTTTCGGTGAATTTCGAGGTGAAAACCTTAAAAATGATGAATTTCGATGAATTTTAAGTCAAAATTCACAAAAATTGATGAATTTTGAGCTGAAAACCTTAAAATTCACTCTAAGCAACTTGTAAAGCTTAAAGGTCTTAGCAATTCGTGAAAATATCGGAAAATTGCCTGAACTTGATGAATTTTTAGCTTACAACCCTAAAAATTTCAAAAATTTCACCTAAAAATGAATGTTGAGTGATTTAAGGTTGAAATTAGCAATTTCGAAGGTTTTTAGCTCAAAATTCTTCATTTTTAGTGATTTTTAAGCTGTGAACCTTTAAAATTCACCTTAAGAAACTTTTAAAGCTTAACAAGTCTTAGAAATTACTGAAAATATTAGAAAATTGCAAAATTTAAGCTTACAACCCTAATTTAAGGTTAAAATTAGCAATTTCTAAGATTTTTAGGTCAAAATTCATCATTTTCGGTGATTTCTAAGCTTTAAAAACCGTAAAAAAACCCTAACCCTAAAATAATTTAAAAAAAAAATATTTTCCAGGTCCAACCCCGCCACCTTCTCCCACCATCACAATTCGAAGCCCATCAATTTTTTCCCAGCACATCTGACAACACTCAATATTTCCACCCCCACCAACAACAATTCCTCTCCCCCACCAATTCTTCCACATCCACCAATTACCCGACACCAAGTCCACCACAATATTATGTTCAAAATTCGACGAATCCATCGGCTGCGCCTTTGCAACAATATCATAGTCATCAGGAATTTGAACATCAATTTTGAGAAATTAATTTATTGATTGTTTTTTTTTTTGAATACGGGTATTTATTTATTTATTTTTGAAAATAAAATTTGAATTTGAATTTTAAAAGAATGTTCTAGAATTTTGACACGTGGATTTTATGAATCACAACCAAGCAGTTGATTATTCATGAAGACTAGCAAAATTTTTAAAGTCAACATTTTGAAACAGTGAAATTTTTTGATGAAAAAATTCCCTAGAATTTGGCCACGTGGAATTTGAATTAACTGAACACCTTAATTTAAAAAATTAATTAAATTTTTCACTAAAAAATTTTGCCACGTGGATTTTTCCTTGAACAACCAACGACCCATTATTCAAACAACCCAAAAGTTCAGAAATAATATTTTTGAAACAGTGAATTTTTCTTCTTGAAAATTGAAAAAAAAATCCTAGTGGAAACTGAATTTCAGGGTTTTGCTACGTGAAATTTTTAGTCTAAAAATTAATTAATTTTTCCACTCAAAATTAATTGCCACGTGGATTTTCATGTATCGACGGTATATTATTCTTGACAACCAACAATTTCAGAAATCAATTTTTTGAAACAGTGAAATTTTTCTTATCAAAAATTTTGAAAAAAAAATCCATGTGGCAACTGAAATTTAGAGTTTTTGCTACGTGGAATTTTCAGTTTAAAAAATTAATTTTTTTTTCACTAACAATTTTGCCACGTGGATTTTTCCTTGAACAACCCATTATTCAAAAAACCAAAAATTTCCGAAATCAAATTTTTGAAACAGTGAATTTTTTATGGGGTGAGTCAATCGAATTAATCGACGTGTTTTTTGCGATTAATTGACAAAAAAAGTGAGTCTTTTAGGGCGATTAATTTCACGTTTTTGTCGATTCCTCGCTTTCATTTCTTGGCAAAAAAATGCGATTAATTGCATAAAAATAGAATTAATTTGACCTATATTTTAAAACGTGACCTAGATGAGTTGGAATTATCAACAAAAAATTGTCTTCTCTCAATTTTCTTTCATTTCGAAATGAATCCAAAAAATAAGCAGTGAATTTGGGACACGTTTCAAAAAAGAGGTCAAATAAATTCTATTTCATATTTAAATTCCTAATTTTTGAATGCAATTAATTGCAAAAAAAGATGGAATTAATCGACAAAAACGTGAAAAAATCGCACAAAAAAGACTCACTTTTTCTGTCAATTAATTGACAAAAAAATAAAATTGACTCACCCCATTAGGAACAAAATTTGGAAAATTTTGGGTTTTTTTCAGTTGGAAAATGTTCTAGAATTTCGCCACGTGGAGTTTTAACTTTTGAAAAATTAATTTTTCAGTAAATATTGAACTGAGACCACTTTTGAGATTTTTGAAATTTCAGAAATCAAATTTTTTGAAACAGTGATTTTTTTTCTCAAAATTTGAAAAAAATTCACTTGGCAGGTGAATTTCAGGATTTTTGTCACGTGGATTTTTTTTCTACCACGTGAATCGAATTTTTATTTTTTTTAGGAATTTGCGGGGCCAAAAATTAATCAAAATTCAAGTTTCCGAGAAAATTTTGACAATTTTTTAAGAAAATCTTCAGCAGAACGGCATCAAATAGAAAAATTTCTCAGAAAACTTACGAAAAATTTGAAACAGTAAATTATTTGGGAACAAAAAAATTGAAAATTTTCAGTTTTTTTCTATTTGATATTGTCATTCCGAAAATAAAAGAACCCCCGTTTGAATTGGCGCTCGCGTACAGTAGACTAAAAATGACGTGACACATGCACATCAAACTGGTTGGCAAATAGCCAACGTGTAAATTTCGCATTTTATTTTTCAAATAGACTCCAAAATTTTGCGAAGTCTACTGTAGTCTTGGTGTCCTAGGCCATTTCGGTTCTCTTCCAAGTTCTTATTTTTTCGGAATGACAATAATGTTATTCATATCATTTTTGCGCCAAAAAAGTGGATTCAAATTTAGTTTTGGGGCCAGATATTAAACTTGAATTCAAAATTTTTGAATTCTAATATCTTTCAGTATTAAAATCCTCCCTTGGATGATTTTTTTCGTTTTTTTTCTAAAAAGCTAGAACATTTTTTATTCATGAAAACTAAAAAAAACTTCAGAAATCAAATTTTTGAAACACTCGGTCAGAAAACGGCGGGGTCGCTACCGATCGGGGCGGAGTCGCTACACGTTTTTTGTTCCCCGAAACGTGTAGCGACTCCGCTCCGATTGGTAGCGACCCCGCCGTTTTCTGACCGAGCAGTGAAATTTTTTCTTATCAAAAATTTTGAAAAAAAAATCCACGTGGCAACTGAAATTAAGGTTTTCTGCCACGTGGATTTTTTGAGTTGAAAAATCAATTAAATTTTTCATTTAAAAATTTTTCCACGTGGATTTCTTACTCCAGACTACAAGTGAATTATCCATGAAAACCAAAATTTTCAAAAATGAAATTTTTGAAACAGTGAATTTTTTAGAACAAAATTTGGAAAATATTGATTTTTTCAGTTGAAAAATGTTCTAGAACTTTGCCACGTGGAATTTAACGTTAAAAAAAATAAAATTTTGAGTAAAAATTCAACTTAGTGAAAAATGCTGACCAATTTTGTGATTTTCGAAAATTTCAAAAAATCAAATTTTTGAAACAGAGAATTTTTTCCTCAAAAATCCCCTTCCCATTGTTTCCTTTCCATTGTTCCCCCAAACTTTCTCACGCTATAATTAATTAAGGTTAAGAACCTCAATTAAGGTAACTCTAAGGTTAAGGTAATTAACTAACAAAACAAAACAAACAACTTTATATTTCTCTACAAAAACCCGACAATTTTCCGAATTTCCTTCATATTTTCCTGTGCCAAATTCCTAGCTTTTTCTCCATTTTCCTTCAAAATCTCATCAATTTTCGTGCCATTTTCAAGTTCTCGTAACTTCCGTCGAATTGGCTCCAATTTTTGATCAATTTCTTGCGCTAAATGTTGTTTCAAGTCCAACGTTGTCCAATTTTCGAATGGAATTTCTTCGATTGATTTTTGAGAAATTGCAGACAGTAGATCAAGCTGAAAAATGAGAATTCAAAAAAAAATCTGAAATTTTTGGCTGAAAATAAATCTCACCAAATTCGCCACAGCAATTCGATTTTCTGGATCATAGGTGATTTTTCCCAAATTGTCACTTTGTGCTTTTTGACATTTTTCGAAAATTGCTTCACGTGAATCGGTGAGCTGGAAAATGGGGGATTTTTTGAAGGCTTTGAAAAAAGTGGTGTGATCAAAAAGTTTCGGAACTCAAAAATTATACTAAAAATTTTTGAAACAGTGATATTTTTTCAAAAAATTGGGAATAAATTGGAAGTCTGAACACTTTATTATCGAAATTTTTCAAAACACGAAATTATACTAGAAAATTTTGAAACAGTGATATTTTTTTTGGAAAAAAATGTGATTTTTGGAAGTACCATTTATAATGAAATCAGAATTTTCGGGAACAAAAAAATTATATTAAAAATTTTTGAAACAGTGAGATTTTTCAGAAAAATTGGGAATAATTTGAGAGCGCGAAATATTTTCTTATTGAAAATTTTTGAAAAAATTGATTTTTGGAGGTTCGATTTGAACTTAAATCAAAAATTATACTAAAAATCATTGAAAAAGTGAGATTTTTTTGGAAGAAAATTTGATTTTTGGAGTTCGACTCGTAGTGAAATCAAAACTTTCGGAAACAAAAAAATTATATTAAAGATTTTTGAAACAGTGAGATTTTTCAGAAACATTGGGAATAATCTGGAAGTCCAAAAATTTTTGAAACAGTGAAAAAATATTTCGATGAAAATTTGGGATTTCTCGAGTTTTTTTCAGTGAAAAATTAGAATTAAAATTTTAATTTTCAATTTTTTCAGCGTAACAAAATTAACATTAGGTTTTCTCTCTTCGAAATTTATTAATATACTGACTCCTAATTTATCGATATTTTAGAACATCAAAATGATATCAAAATTTTTCGAAACAGTGAATTTTCAGAAAAAAATAAAAATAGTTGGAGAGTCGAATTTTTCATCTAAACAATTCTAAGATTTCGGGTTTTTATATAGCTATAAATAATCAAGGTTAAAAACCTTAATTATTAAGGAAACCCTAAGGAATTAATTAATTAATTATTATTATTAAATTAGCCTAACAAAACAAAACAAACATCTTTATATTTCTCTACAAAAACCCGACAATTTTCCGAATTTCTTTTATAGTATTGATATCGATTTTTTTGGTATTAATATCGAAATTTTCGGAACTCAAAAATTATATTAAAGATATTTGAAACAGTGAGATTTTTTCGAAGAAACAATTAATTTTTGAGAGTTTTAAATTCTTACCAATTATAATCCAAACTTTGGAACAAAAATAACTTTTTGAAACAGTGAATTTTTGTTCGAGAAAAAAAGACGGAAATTGGGATTTGTCATCAGAAAATCCCACAATCGGTAAACCTATTTTTTCTGAAACCGAAAAACATATTGAAACATTTTGAAACACATTCAGAATTTTCTAATGAGAAAATTTATTTCCAAAAAAAAAGATGAATAAATTTTAAAACAGTGAAAAATTATGAAAATTTTAATTTTTAACAAACAGATGAAGAAATTTAACCGGAATTTTAGAAACACAAAAATGTATTGAACTTTTGTGAAACAGTGAACATTGTTAAACTTTATTTTAGATTATAATCCCAGAATTCGTAATACTGAAAATTTGTTTGGCCCAAAAAATATAGAAAATTTCTCGAAACAGTGATATTTTTTCATAAAAATTGGGAATAAATTGAAATTCTGAACAAGTTTAAATCGAAATTTTTCAGAACACGAAATTATATTAAAATTCATTGAAACAGTGAGATTTTTTTGAAGAAATAATTAATTTTTGAGAGTTTGAGAATCGATATAATCCAAACTTTGGAACAAAAAATCATAACTTTTTGAAACAGTGAACTTTTGTTCAAGAAAAATAGACGAAAATTGGAATTTTTCAGCTAGAAATTCAAATCTAATGAATTTTTCTCTATTCGAAAAATTATAGATATTTTCAGGTCAAAAAATTAAAATTCGGCTTTCTCAGTGAAAATTTGATTATCGAAAAACATTTACAAAACCGTCCGAGTTCTTGAAACAGTGAGAATTTTTGAATAATTGGGAATAATTTGACACGAGTTCCAATAGAGACACAATCGAAAAATTTGGAACAAAAATATATATTTAAAATTTTTGAAACAGTGAGAAAAATTGAGAGAATTTATTTCCACACTGAACATTTAATCGACCCAAAGAATATAGAAATTGAAAATCGTCTGACCAATTTTTCCTCAAACCAAAAATAATATAGAAACATTTTTGAAACAGTGAAAAATTATGAACATTTTCAAATTCTTCAAAACTTGCAGTGAAAAGTTCAATTTTAGTTTAGAAAAATATACATTTGCCATGTAGCCTTGTCAAAATTCATTTTTCTTCAAAATTTATTTGAATACTAGAACCATTACGAAAATCATCGAATTTATAAGACATAAAATTGATATTAAAAATTCTTGAAACAGTGAATTTTCTCTAGAAAACCAGACGAAAAATTTCTAGAATTTCAGATTTTTTTAATTTTTCAAAAATTGATTTTCCACGTTTCCCATTTTAAATAAAACAAAAATTGCAGATTTTTTTGAAACAGTGAAAAAATATTGTGAGGAAAATTTGGGGTTTCTCGGTTTTTTTTTTCGGTGAAAAATTCATTTTTTCAGTGATATAATTTTTTTTCAGTGAAATAAGAATTTTAATTTTCAATTTTTTCAGGAAAAAACTTAACCCTAGGTTTTTTCTCTTCGAAATTTATTACAATACTGATTCCAAATTTATCGAATTTTTTTGAACATCAAAATGATATCAAAATTTCTCGAAACAGTGAATTTTTCAGACATTTTCTAGAATTTCGGTTTTTCAAAAAAAAATTCAAAAGTTTACACTGAAAAATTTACTTTTTTCGGCATTTAAAAAGGGATCTGCCACGTGGCAATATAGAAATGTTCTTTCATCTGCCTTTTTAATAAATAAAATTAATATAATCTTGATTTTTGATTCCACTTGCGAAAAATTTATTGAAATTTGCAAGAACGAAAATATCTATTAAACAATTTTGAAACAGTAAAATTTTTGTTTATAAAAATTGGGAATAATTTGAAAGTCCAAACACTTACTTATCGAAATTTTTCAGAACACGAAATTATATTAAAATTCATTGAAACAGTGAGATTTTTTGGAAGAAACAATTAATTTTGAGAATTTCAAATTCTTACCAATAATTATAATCCAAATTTTGGGACAAAAAATCATAACTTTTTGAAACAGTGAACTTTTGTTCAAGAAAAATAGACGGAGCTCTTGAAACGGTGAGATTTTTCGAATAATTGGGAATAATTTGAAAGTTCCAAAAGCGGTCTAATCGAAAAATTTGGAACATAAATATATATTTAAAATTTTTGAAACAGTGAGAAAAATTGAGAGAATTTATTTCCACACTGAACATTTAATCGACCCAAAGAATATAGAAATTGAAAATCGTCTGACCAATTTTTCCTCAAACCAAAAAAAAAATAGAAACATTTTTGAAACAGTGAAAAATTATGAACATTTTCAAATTCTTCAAAACTTGCAGTGTAAAGTTCAATTTAAGTTCAGAAAAATATACATTTGCCATGTAGCCTTTTCAAAATTAAAATTTTCTTCAAAATTTATTTGAATACTAAAACAATTGCGAAAATTATCGAATTTATAGGACATCAAAATGATATCAAAATTTTTCGAAACAGTGGATTTTTTCCAAGAGAACTAGACGAAAAATCTATGAATTTCTAGAGTTTCGGCGTTTTTTTTCAAAACCGGGGATTTGTCAAAATCAAATTTTTAGAACAAACATTCAGAATTTCCTAATGAGAAAATTTATTTCCAAAAAAAAGATGAATAAATCTTGAAACAGTGAAAAATTATGAAAATTTTAATTTTTAACAAACAGATGAAGAAATTTAACCGGAATTTTAGGAACAAAAAATATATTAAACTTTTTTGAAACAGTGAACATTTTAATTTTTTTCAAAACTTTTTCCGGATTGACATAGGATTTGCCACGTGGCAATGTACTTTCAGAAATCTCATATAAAAAAAGATTATCGAAATTTTCGGGAGAAAAAAAAATTATTAAAAATTTTGAAACAGTGAATTTTCTCTAGAAAACCAGAGAAAATTACTAGAATTTCTAGAAAAAATTGATTTTCCACGTTTCCCATTTTGAATAAAAAAATTTTTGAAACAGTGAAAAAATCAACCAACCTCAATTCTCGATTTGTTGCCTCCCGAAGATTTGCTCATTTTTTTCGTCGGGTCTCGCAACGATTTGATGCGCGCGTTCGTTTTTCGGGTAACCTGCTTGGGAATCGGCAAAAAATCAGTGTTGTAGGTTTTTGAGAAGGCATAAGCGAGACCGCCCATCAGATTCATGTGTTGACTTTGATCTTCGCCGACTGGAACATGGGTGGCCTGGAAAAAATAGGGGACTTTTTTTTAGATTTTCAAATTTTCTGGTGAATTTTTGGACTTTAACAGAGGCAATATTGAGAAAAAAAATTTCCCAAAAAAACTTGATACATTTTTGAAACAGTAAATTTTTCCGAGAATTGGGTTATGATGTGGAAATGACCGAAAATTCTCTTAAATGGCCTAGAAAACCAAAAAATGGCCCAGGAATCCAAAAACGGTTTAAAATTCTGAAAAATGGCCTGGAAACCCAAAAATTGGCCTAGAAATCTCTAAAATGACCTAGAAACCAAAAAATGACTTAGAAATCTGTAAAATGGCCTGGGAACCCAAAAGATGGCCTAGAAAACCCGAAAATGGCCTGGAAATCGAAATTTGGAGCAGCCTTGATATAAAAAATCATTTTTGCATGAATCTTGGTTGATTTTTCAGTTAATTTTCAGAATTCTTTGAATTATTTGTTTTTAATCAAAAATTTTCCAAAACCTCAAAAATAACAAAATTTTTTGAAACAGTGAATTTTATCATTTTTTTTTCAAACTCAAAATTTTGTCTCCGAAAAAAATCCACGTGGCAGAAAATATTCAGAAGCTTTCTCATGATTTTGATGGTCCCTTTATTCTCTCCTGATTTTTTGCCACGTGGATTTTCCGTTTGTAAAAGAAATAAAAAACGTATTAATCCTGAAAACTAGAAATTTCAAAAAATCAATTTTTTGAAACAGTGAATTTTTGTTGAATCAAAATTCTCGAAGGAAAAAATTTTGAGCTTTAAAAAAAATTCCAAAACTTTAATTATCTCTGAAAATTCAAACAGTTTTCTAGCAATAATTTGAATTTTCAGCTTAATTTTTTTAAATTTTTTGAAACAGTGAATTTTCCTTTTCTTTTTTTATTTCCGCAAGCTTCCGCGCGAAAGGAACGCGGAAGCTTGCGGTGTAGGTACAAATCTCAATCTTCCGCGTTCGCGGAACCTTTCCGCTCCCCAAAAAAACTCACTCTAAACATCAAAACATCAGCAGCTTGTAACAATGGATATGTCAAAAGTCCAACCGGAATATCACCCTTTTTGAACCTGAAAACATAAATTTTTGGAATTTTGGCTGAAATCCCCAACAAACTTCTCCGATTTCTCCTTATATTGTGGCAATCTGGCAAGTTTTGAAGTAGTTTGAAGTGATCCAAGAATCCATGAGAGTTGGGCGATTTCGGGAACATCGGATTGGCGAAAGAGGAGGGTTTTTTGGGGGTCGACACCGCATGCGATGAGACTGCACGCCATTTGACGGGTGTTTGAGCGAAGCTGGAAAATTGGAGGATTTTGGGGGGCGAATTGAGATTTTTTAGAAAAAATATGAGAAAAACCAAATTTTTTAGGCCCCCAAAGGGCTCCAAATTTCAAATGAGCATAAGAGTTCCATGGAGAGTTAAAAAAAAAGTAAATTTTTCTGACCAAAAAACATTTTTTTTTTTGAAAAAAGATTCTGGAACTTCAAAAATTCATTAATCAAAAATCAAAAACCATCTCGAAAATTCTACAATTTTTGAAACAGTGGAATTTTTTCAAGCAAAAACTACTCTTTTTTCTTCGAAAAAATCCACTGTTTCTAAATTTTAATTTGATTTTTCTCTAGATTTATTCTAATGATATACATATAAAATACATGAAAAATCAAGCCAACTTCAAAATTTCAAGAAAAATTCAATGAATGAATAGAAAATTCAATTTTTGTTGTTTACCAAAATCAAAAAACCCTCTTCAAAATTCTAAAATTTTTGAAACAGTGAGAATTTTTCAAGCAAAAAACTTTTTTTTTCGAAAAAATCTACTGTTTCTGAATTTTTATATATTTTTGATAGATTATATTCAAACAATCATAAAGCTTTGTGAAGGTTTTGAATTTATGGTATTTTTTCCGAACTTGCATAAGGTAAAATCAATTTCTTCAAAAACATTTCAAATTTAAAGAACTCAAAAAATGTGTATGAAAATTTATGTGCTACAAACACAGAATCGAATATCAAAAATCATTTTCAAAATTCGATTAATTTTGAAACAGTGAGATTTTTTCAAACAAAAAACTATTTTTTTCGAGAAAAAAATCCACTGTTTCAGAATTTTTTTTACAATTTTTTCTAGATTCTATCAAAACGATGACCAATTGTTATGACGTTTTTGAATTTCTACGAAGCATCAAAAGATTCAAATCAGGAAAAAATCAATATTTCCAAGAATTTTTCAGATTCGGGAACTCAAAAAAAATGCATGAGATAATTCCCTTAATAATAGCTGCTTCATCAAAAATCAAAAACCCTCCTCAAAATTCTACAATTTTTGAAACAGTGAGCATTTTTCAAGCAAAAAATCCACTGTTTCTAAATTTTCATATGAGTTTTTCTAGATTTATTGAGATGTTGACAATTCATAATAGTATAATAAAGTTTTAAGAGAACGTATAATGTATTTCGTGAAAATGAATTTTGATTCAGGAAAATTCAATTTCTCCAAGATTTTTCTCTATCATATTTGATAAGCCTAAATCCAATCTTGATCCCAAATAAGCCCAAAACTAGGGCTGCACGATGGGGCGTGGGGGCGGCCCCCTCGCCCCGCCACGCTTTTGCCCCCTCGCCCCTTCGCCCCTTCGCCCCGTCGCCCCCTCGCCCTGTTGCCCCCTCGCCCCGTCGCCCCTTCGCCCCGTCGCCCCCTCGCCCCCGCTTGTAACTGTGTGCGCGCTTCTATCTTCTTTTATTTCTTCACCACACACAGTTACAAGCGGGGGCGAGGGGGCGACGGGGCGAAGGGGCGACGGGGCGAGGGGGCAACGGGGCGAGGGGCAAAGGGGCGAGGGGCGAAGGGGCGAGGGGGCGAATGATTTTTTGCACGGTGTTTCATCGCGGGGTGCCCCGCGTGCAGCCCTACCCAAAACACTCACATTTTCCGGTTTTAGAGGTCCCAGTGAAATAGCGTGTTGATCAACAATCGACAAAATCATTCCAGTAGATTCTTCCTTGAGTTTCTGCAACTCAATCCACGGATCAATAACCCCAAAATAATTGCCAAGATGTGGAATTCCAGTCGGTTGAATTCCAGAAAAATAGATAGTCTTTTTGTGAAGTTGAGAAATAGAAGTGGAGAAAAATCGGCGAGAGATCATGGTTGTTCAAGAGATTTAGAGAGATTTTCTATAGATTCAGAAGAGGTGTGACGTCACGAGGTTCGTATTCCAAGCGACACTGAGGGCAGCGAGATGGTTGAGAGGTAGTGCTGTGTTCCTGGAAGAATAGAGGATTTGAAGCGGAAGTTTCCGGAAGCTTCCGCGTTCGCGGATATGGTCAATACTATTTCCAAGAAAAATTCAGGAACAACAAAATAATTTTGAAACAGTGAAATTTTCAAAATTATAAAAATTGGTTTTTTTTTTGAGTCAAAAATTATTTCACTGTTTCAAGAAATCTAGATTATTGGGGATTTTTTTGAAATTAGTTCAATTTTTAAATTTACTTCGAATTCTAAATTTCAGAAATTTTTAGGCTGAAAATCCAGGACTTTCAGAAGTCCTTGGATTTTTTTTCACGTTTAAAAATAAAAAAATGAATTGTCAATTTCGACAACAAAAATTCAGAAAATACACAATAATTTTGAAACAGTGAAATTTTCGAAATTATAAAAATGATTTTTTTGAACCAAAAAATGTTCGTTGTTTCAAGAAATCTAGATTTTTGAAGGATTTTTCAAGATTTTGTTATCTACTATATACTAATTGGGAAAATTTCCCGATTGGGTGGTATTACCCAATTGTAGATCAATAAGTTAAGCTAAAAATCAAGTAATTTTCAAAAGTCCTCAGATTTTAAAAATAATTTTAATTTTATGGTGAATTTTAGAAAAGATTTGATAAAATTACTATTTCCAACAAAATTTCAGAAAACAAATAATGATTTTGAAACAGTGAAATTTTCTAAATTATAATAAAAGTTGATTTTTTTTCCAACATTTTTTTCACTGTTTCAAAAAATCTAGATTTTTGAGAAATTTTTTTGAGATTAGTTCAATAATCATATTCGCTTTTAATTTGAAGTTAGAAATTTTTTAGACTGAAAATCCCTGAAAATTTGATGACTCAAATATAAATACATCACTATTTCCAACAAAAATTCAGGAACAACAAAATAATTTTGAAACAGTGAAATTTTCAAAATTATAAAAATTTATTTTTTTTTTCATAAAAAATTTTCACTGTTTCAAGAAATTTAGATTTTTGAGATTAGTCTTCGAATTTAAAATTTTAGTAATACTTTAGGCTGAAAATCCAGAAAAAAACTGAAAATTGGATAATTCAAAATCAGAAAATGTCACAGCACTATTTTCAAAAGGAAATTCAGAAATCATAAAATAATTTTGAAACAGTGAAATTTTCAAAATTATAAAAATTGATTTTTTCGAGTAGGGCTGCACGATGGGGCGTGGGGGCGGCCCCCTCGCCCCGCCACGCTTTTGCCCCGTCGCCCCTCCGCCCCCTCGCCCCGTCGCCCCCTCGCCCTGTTGCCCCCTCGCCCCGTCGCCCCTTCGCCCCGTCGCCCCCTCGCCCCCGCTTGTAACTGTGTGCGCGCTTCTATCTTCTTTTATTTCTTCACCACACACAGTTACAAGCGGGGGCGAGGGGGCGACGGGGCGAAGGGGCGACGGGGCGAGGGGGCAACGGGGCGAGGGGGCAAAGGGGCGAGGGGGCGAAGGAGCGAGGGGGCGAATGATTTTTTGCACGGTGTTTCATCGCGGGGTGCCCCGCGTGCAGCCCTATTTTCGAGTCAAAAATTTTCACTGTTTCAAGAAATCTAGATTTTTGGGGATTTTTTCTCGTGAGATTAGTTTGATTTCCAAATTCCCCTCTAATTCAAAATTTTAAATATTTTTTAGGCTGAAAATCCAGGACTTGCAGAAGTCCTTGGAATTTTTGAAACCTAATTAAACTTTATTTTCACGTTAAAGAATAATGAACGATTTGTCAATTTCGAAAACAAAAAATTCAGAGAATACAAAATAATTTTAAAACAGTGAAATTTTTAAAAGTGTGAAAATTGTTTTTTTTAGTCAAAAATGTTCACTATTTCAAAAAATCTAGATATTTGAGAAATTTTTTTAGATTCGTTAATCTACCACCTTCAATATAATACTTTTTAGAGCTAAAATTCCAGAGAAAAACTGAAACTTTCAGTGAAAATTTGATAAAATTTAAATATTCTGAATAGCAGGGCACTAACTATTCTCAACAGAAAATCAGAAATCATACAATAATTTTGAAACAGTGAAATTTTCAAAAAAAAAATTGATTTTTTTTCATAAAAAATATTCACTGTTTCAAGAAATCTTGATTTTTGGGTTTTTTTTGAGATCAGTTCAAGCTTCGATTTCACTTCAAATTTAAAAGTTCAGCAATTTCTTAGGCTGAAAATCCCTGAAAATTTGATAATTCACATATAAAGACATCACTATTTCCAACAAAAATTCAGAAACTACACAATGATTTTGAAACAGTGAAATTTTCAAAATTAAAAAAATTGATTTTTTTTGTTGAAATTTGTTCACCGTTTCAAGAAATCTGGATTTTTGGGGGATTTTTTTGAGATTGATTCAACTTTCAAATATCCAAAATAATTAAAATTTCAGAAATTTTTTAGGCTGAAAATCCAGAAAAAACTGAAAATTTGATAATTTGAAGGGAAACAAAGAAGAAATAACACTTTCAACAAAAAAAAACAGAAAATACACAATGATTTTGAAACAGTGAAATTTTCAAAATTATAAAAATTGATTTTTTTTTAATAAAAAATTTTCACTGTTTCAAGAAATCTAGATTTTTGAGGGGATTTTTTTGAGATTTGTTTAATAAATTTCGGATATTTGTTTAATAATTTAACATTTCAGAAATTTTTAGGCTGAAAATACAGAAAAATCTTAAAATTGTATAATTTAAAGTTAGAGATGACATCACTATTTCCAAGAAAAATTCAGAAAATACACAATAATTTTGAAACAGTGAAATTTTCAAAAATATAAAAATTGATTTTTTTTCATAAAAAATTTTCACTGTTTCAAGAAATTTAAATTTTTGGATGATTTTTTTTAAATAGTCAACTTTTCGAATTTAAAATTCCAGAAATTTTTAGGCTCACCTGTATACAATTCCAGCAAAACAAATGTCCACAAAAAAGTGCACTCGGATCTTTTTTCTCCAAACAAATCGGACAACTGAACCAACTATGCTCCAAAGATTCGAAAACTTCTTCAGAATTCAGATTTTCCTTGGATTTCTCGGGTTTCTTCGAAGCCTCCTCAATAATTCTCCAAATTCCCAAAACTCCAATAAATACGACTTGAAAAATCGACAAATATCCCAAAATTCGATAAATCTTCAGCGCTGGCAAATCACTCTGCGAATTCGCCAACAAAAATCGAATTCCCGTAACTCTCCTTGCCAAGTTATAATAACTTCCCGTGATATAGAACAATGCCACGTGGCAGCGTTGAAAATTGGGTAGAAACGTGGATTTTGTCCACGTCACCAGATCAATGAATGTTTTGCGAGCCTTGGCGTTTTTTTGAATTTGGACTCCCAAAAATGACGTGGTGGAGGGATGATTTAGGCGAAGTTCGGCTTTTTGGAGGAGATGATTGGTGATTTGAGGGAGGATTGAATGAAGGAAGATAAATGAGAAGCGAGTTGGGAGAGATGGTGAAAATCTGGATAATCCTGATGATTCGAAAAGGTGCACGTATTCTTCGCCAAGGGTTTGATTTCCTGGAAAAATTGGGGGAATTTGAAGGCTAGTGGGCCTGATTTCAGGCCAAAATTTAGGCCTAACCTAAGAGATCTAGAGAAACATCTCAGAGTTTTCAACAAATAATCAACCTATTAAGAACGCATCAAAGTTTTAAAAAATCTCAAAATCTATATGAAATTTTTGAAACAGTGAGAAATTATTTTTCGAAAATTCTACTGGTTTAGAATTTTGGTCTGGAAGACTGCAATTTTTCATCAAATTAAAAAAAAATCTCAAAATCTATGTAAAAATTTTGAAACAGCAGATTTTTTTTGCAAAAATTGTTGAAAAATATCACTGAAAAATCCGAGGAACTCGGAAAATTTCAGATTTTTCTGGATTTCTCACTAAATCTCAAAATAATTCATCAAAATCTAAATTTTTCGAAACAGTGAAAAATAATTTGAAAAGTTTCACTGTTTCAAAATCATAATAGACAAAATTCTTTGAGTTCAGAAAAAAAATCCGATTTTTTCTAGATTTTTCTGATTCAGAAGTTTTTCAGAAAATTTTTTTATTATTTCAAAGTCCCTTTTTTCGGATGCTAATCAAATTTTAAAAAAATCTCGAAATCTATATGAAATTTTTGAAACAGTGAGAAATTATTTTTCGGAAATTCTACTGACTTAGAATTGTGCGAGACTGCAATTTTTTTATCAAATTTAAAAAAAATCTCAAATCTATTCGAAATTTTTGAAACAGTGAGAATTTTTTCTGAAATAATCGAGTTTCTAAGATTAATTTTAAAAAATCTCAAAATTTATATAGAAATTTTGAAACAGTGAATTTTTGGCAAGAATAAAAATTGAAGAAAATCTACAAAAATTTGCGAAAAATGAGGAGTTACATATTAGAAAATTCCGAAAATATAAAATCTATATAAAAATTTTGAAACAGTGCAATTTTTTACACCCAAGATATTTCTGAAAATTCGAAAAATGTTTATCATTAATTTGAATTCTTATTCGGAAATTCTGTTTATCAAAGCATTGAAAAGTCACAAAATTTATTTAGAAATTTTGAAACAGTGAAAAAATCTGAACAAACTCATAAAATTATTGAATCAGCAATATTCCGTCAAAAAGCAGAAAGCCATTAAAAATTTCAAAATCTCAAAATCTATACAAAAATTTTGAAACAGTGAAAAAATAATTTTTGAAAAATCAGATTTATTCACAATTTTCAAGGTAGACTGTAGTCTCAAAAGGTTCTCAGTTTTTTTCAAATTACAAGGGTTACTGTAGTGCATACTGTAACTCAAGGATCTTTACAGTATTTATTTAAAACTACAAGGTATACTGTAATCTCACTGTACCAGAAGGTAAATTCATTAAAGTCAGAATTAAAATTGTTTTTTTTTCAAAATTTATTTTAAAAAATTTTGAAACAGTGAGAAATTAAATTTTTCCCCCAAAAATCGCTTACCTGCCAAAATCGTATTAGAATAATACAAACTTTGCGAAATCGTTCGAAAATACGGAAACCAGCGAATCCAAGTCCTTTGTCCGACTAGTTCCTTGAAAATCTGCAAAAAAAAATTGGATTTTCAGCCAGAAAAACCCCACCTTCGATAACTTTTCCTGAATTTCGTCAATAAATTCGTCGTCTCTTCGTTGGGCTCGAACAATTTCACCAATTTCAGCCACATACGAATTCATCAAAAAATATTCTTAAAATTGCAAAATTTCACAAATTCAGATGAAAAAAATGGAAATTTTGGGAAGAAAACCAACTATTAATCTAGGAAAATAACAAAAGGTTAAGGTGATGAAATTAGCCTAACAAAACAAAACAAACAACTTTATATTTCTCTACAAAAACCCGACAATTTTCCGAATTTCCTTCATATTTTCCTGTGCCAAATTCCTAGCTTTTTCTTCATTTTCCTTCAAAATCACATCAATTTTCGAGCCATTCTCAAGTTCTCGCAAATTCCGGCGAATTGGCTCCAATTTTTGATCAATTTCTTGCGCTAAATGTTGTTTCAAGTCCAAAGTTGTCCAATTTTCGAATGGAATTTCTTCGATCGATTTTTGAGAAATTGCAGAGAGAAGATCAAGCTGAAAAATGAGAATTCAAAAAAATCTGAAAATTTTTGGCTGAAAATAAATCTCACCAAATTCGCCACAGCAATTCGATTTTCTGGATCATAGGTGATTTTTCCCAAATTGTCACTTTGTGCTTTTTGACATTTTTCAAAAATTGCTTCACGTGAATCGGTGAGCTGGAAAATGGGGGATTTTTTGAAGGCTTTGAAAAAAGTGGTGTGATCAAAAAGTTTCGGAACTCAAAAATTATATTTAAAATTTTTGAAACAGTGAGATTTTTTAAAATAAAAATTGGGAACAAATTGGAAGTCTGAACACTTTTTTATCGAAATTTTTCAGAACACGAAATTATATTGAAAAATTTTGAAACAGTGAGATTTTTTTTTGGAAAAAATTTTATTTTTGGAGGTACGATTTGTAATGAAATCAAAATTTTGGGGAACAAAAAATTGATATGAATCATTCTTGAAACTGTGAAATTTTTCGGAAAAAATTAAATTTGGGAGCTTTAAACTTTTTATTAATCAAAATAAATTTTAATTGACTTAAACTACTTTCGTTATGTGAAACTGAACATTCAGCTTGACTCAAAAAATATCAAAACATTTTGAAACAGTGAAAAAAAATTTTGAGGAAAATTTGGAGTTTCTCGAGTTTTTTCAGTGAGAAATCCATTTTTCAATGAAAAATTAGACAGAGAACTTTAATTTTCAATTTTTTTCAGCGTAAAAAAATTAACATTAGGTTTTCTCTCTTCGAAATTTATTAATATACTGACTCCAAATTTATCGATATTTTAGAACACCAAAATGATATCGAAATTTTTTGAAACAGTGAATTTTTCAGAAAAAAATAAAAATAGTTGGAGAGTCGAATTTTTCATCAAAAATTTCTAAGATTTCGGGTTTTTATATAGCTGTAATTAATCAAGGTTAAAAACCTTAATTATTAAGGTAACCCTAAGAATAAGGTTAAGGTAATTAGCCTAACAAAACGAAAAAAAACAACTATATATTTCTCTACAAGAACACGACAATTTTCCGAATTTCTTTCATATTTTCTTGGATTGTAATAGAAATTTTCAGAACTCAAAAATTTTTGAAACAGTGAGATTTTTTAAAATAAAAATTGGGAATAAATTGGAAGTCTGAACACTTTTTTATCGAAATTTTTCAGAACACGAAATTATATTGAAAAATTTTGAAACAGTGAGATTTTTCAGAAAAATTGGGAATAATTTGAGAGCGCGAAATATTTTCTTATTGAAAATTTTTGAAAAAATTGACTTTTGGAGGTTCGATTTGAACTTAAATCAAAAATTATACTAAAAATCATTGAAAAAGTGAGATTTTTTTGGAAGAAAATTTGATTTTTGGAGTTCGACTCGTAGTGAAATCAAAACTTTCGGAAACAAAAAAATTATATTAAAGATTTTTTGAAACAGTGAGATTTTTCAGAAACATTGGGAATAATTTGGAAGTCCAAAAATTTTTGAAACAGTGAAAAAATATTTCGATGAAAATTTGGGATTTCTCGAGTTTTTTCAGTGAAAAATTAGAATGAATATTTTAATTTTCAATTTTTTCAGCGTAACAAAATTAACATTAGGTTTTCTCTCTTCGAAATTTATTAATATACTGACTCCTAATTTATCGATATTTTAGAACATCAAAATGATATCAAAATTTTTCGAAACAGTGAATTTTTCAGAAAAAAATAAAAATAGTTGGAGAGTCGAATTTTTCATCTAAACAATTCTAAGATTTCGGGTTTTTATATAGCTATAAATAATCAAGGTTAAAAACCTTAATTATTAAGGAAACCCTAAGGAATTAATTAATTAATTATTATTATTAAATTAGCCTAACAAAACAAAACAAACATCTTTATATTTCTCTACAAGAACCCGACAATTTTCCGAATTTCTTTTATAGTATTGATATCGATTTTTTGGTATTAATATCGAAATTTTCGGAACTCAAAAATTATATTAAAGATATTTGAAACAGTGAGATTTTTTCGAAGAAACAATTAATTTTTGAGAGTTATAAATTCTTACCAATTATAATCCAAACTTTGGAACAAAAATAACTTTTTGAAACAGTGAATTTTTGTTCGAGAAAAAAAGACGGAAATTGGGATTTGTCATCAGAAAATCCCACAATCGGTAAACCTATTTTTTCTGAAACCGAAAAACATATTGAAACATTTTGAAACACATTCAGAATTTTCTAATGAGAAAATTTATTTCCAAAAAAAGATGAATAAATCTTGAAACAGTGAAAAATTATGAAAATTTTAATTTTTAACAAACAGATGAAGAAATTTAACCGGAATTTTAGAAACACAAAAATATATTGAATTTTTGTGAAACAGTGAACATTTTTCAACTTTTTCGCAATACTGAAAATTTGTTTGGCCCAAAAAATATAGAAAATTTCTCGAAACAGTGAAATTTTTTCATAAAAATTATGAATAATTTGGAAATCCAAACACGTTTTAATCGAAATTTTTCAGAACACGAAATTATATTAAAAATCATTGAAACATTGAGATTTTTTCGAAGAAACAATTAATTCTTGAGAGTTTCAGATTTCTACCAATTATAATCCAAACTTTGGAACAAAAAATTATAACTTTTTGAAACAGTGAATTTTTGTTCAAGAAAAATAGACGGAAATTGGAATTTTTCAGCTAGAAATTCATGTCTAATTAATTTTTCTCAATCCGAAAAAATAAAGAACAACAAATTGAAATTCGGCTTTCTCAATGAAAATTTGATTATCGAGGAACATTTACAAAACCGGCTGAATTACCTTCAAAAGTACTCGAAACAGTGAGAATTTTTGAATAATTGGGAGTGCCAAAAGCGGTATAATCGAAAAATTTGGAACAGAAATATATATTTAAAATTTTTGAAACAGTGAGAAAAATTGAGAGAATTTATTTCCACACTGAACATTTAATCGACCCAAAGAATATAGAAATTGAAAATGGTCTGACCAATTTTTCCTCAAACCAAAAAAAAATATAGAAACATTTTGAAACAGTGAAAAATTATGAACATTTTCAAATTCTTCAAAACTTGCAGTGAAAAGTTCAATTTTAATTCAGAAAAATATACATTTGCCATGTAGCCTTTTCAAAATTCAAATTTTCTTCAAAATTTATTTGAATACTAAAACAATTGCGAAAATTATCGAATTTAAAGGACATCAAAATGATATCAAAATTTTTCGAAACAGTGATTTTTTTCTAGAAAACCAGACGAAAAATCGAAGAATTTCGCTTATTTTCAAAACCACGTGGATTTGTCAAAATTAATTGTTTATCAAATTTTCAGTGAAAAATTATGAAAATTTTAATTTTTATCAAACAGAAGAAGAAATTTAACTGAAATTTTAGGAACAAAAAATATATTTAACTTTTTTGAAACAGTGAATTTTCAGAAATCTCAATAAAATTTGAATTATCGAAATTTTCGGGAGGAAAACAAATTTATTAAAAATTTTGAAACAGTGATTTTTTTTCTAGAAAACCAGAGAAAATTTCTAGAATTTCTAGAATTTCAGATTTTTCAAAGTTTGCAGTGAAAAATCCATTCAAAATTTTAAAATTAATTTTCCACGTGGAATTTTAAAATTTAAATTTAAATGTTAATAAAATTTCACAGACCACAAAAAATTCAAGATTTTTTGAAACAGTGAAAAAATCAACCAACCTCAATTCTCGATTTGTCGCCTCCCGAAGATTTGCTCATTTTTTTCGTCGGGTCTCGCAACGATTTGATGCGCGCGTTCGTTTTTCGGGTAACCTGCTTGGGAATCGGCAAAAAATCAGTGTTGTAGGTTTTTGAAAAGGCATAGGCGAGACCTCCCATCAGATTCATGTGTTGACTTTGATCTTCGCCGACTGGAACATGGGTGGCCTGGAAAAATTGGGGGGCTTTTTTTTAGAGATTTTCAAATTTTCTGGTGAATTTTTGGACTTTAACAGAGGCAATATTGAGAAAAAAAATTTCCCAAAAAACTTGATACATTTTTGAAACAGTAAATTTTTTTCGAGATATGGGTTATGACGCGGAAATGACCGAAAATTCTTTAAAATGGTCTGGAAACCCAAAAAAATGGCCTAGGAAACTGTAAAATAGCCTAAAAACCCAAAAAGTTGGCCTAGAGAACAAAAAAATGGCCCAGAAACCCTAAAAACGGCCTGGAAACCAGAAAAATGGCCTAGAAACCATAATAATGGCCTAGGAATCTGTAAAATGGCCTAGGAATCCAAAAACGGTTTAAAATTCTGAAAAATGCCTGGAAATCAAAATTTGGAGCATTTTCCACGTGGATTTTCCATTTGTTGAAAAAACAAGAATGTATTAATCCTAAAAACTAGAAATTACAAAAATCAATTTTTTGAAACAGTGAAGTTTTGTTGAATCAAAATTATCGAAGGAAAAATTTCCAGCTTTATTTCTGAGGTAAAAATATTTGTAAAATTCAAATTTCTCTGAAATTCTAACAGTTTTCTAATAAGAATTTGAATTTTCAGTAGAATTTCAGGAATTTGGAATTAATTAAGAAAACCACATCAAAAATTTTCCAAAACCTCAAAAATATCAAAATTTTTTGAAACAGTGAATTTTATCAATTTTTTTCAAACTCAAAATTTTGTCTCCGAAAATAATCCACGTGGAAGAAAATATTCAGAACCTTTCTCAGGATTTTGATGGTCCCAATTTATTTTCTCCTTATTTTTTGCCACGTGGATTTTCCGTTTGTAGAAAAATAAAGGATGTATTATTCCTAAAAACTAGAAATTTCAAAAATCAATTTTTTGAAACAGTGAAAAATTTTTGAATCAAAATTCTCGATGGAAAAATTTCCAGCTTCATTTCTGAGATAAAAATATTTGTAAAATTAAATTTTCTCTGAAAATTCTAACAGTTTTCTAGTAATAATTTGAATTTTCAGTTAATTTTTAGAAATTTGAAAAGAAAAAAATCAAAGATACCTTAAAACTCAAAAATATCAAAAATTTTTGAAACAGTGAATTTTATCAATTTTTTTCAAACTCAAAATTTTTCCTCCGAAAAAAAAAATCCACGTTGCAGAAAATATTCAGAAGCTTTCTCATGATTTTGATGGTCCCAATTTATTTTCTCCTGATTTTTTGCCACGTGGATTTTCCGTTTGTAGAAAAATAAAGGATGTATTAATCCTGAAAACTAGAAATTTCAAAAATCAATTTTTTGAAACAGTGAATTTTTGTTGAATCAAAATTCTCGAAGGAAAAATTTCCAGCTTTATTTCTGATATAAAAATATCTGGAAAAATTAACTTTTCTCTGAAAATTCTCTCAGTTTTCAGTTGATTTTCAGAAATTTGGAAAAAAAACACATTGTTCATCAAAAAAGTTCCAAAACCTCAAAAATATCAAAATTTTTTGAAACAGTGAATTTTATCAATTTTTTTCAAACTCAAAATTTTTCCTCCGAAAAAAATTCATGCGGCAGAAAATATTCAGAAGCTTTCTCAGGATTTTGATGGTCCCAATTTATTTTCCCCTGACTTTATGCCACGTGGATTTTCCAATTGTTGAAAAATGAAGGATGTATTAATCCTCAGACATGTCGTTTTTGCTGAATTCGGGCCCCTAAAGCCCGCTCAATTTATCACGGGCCCGGCTGGCCCGGCCTTATGAAAATTTAAAAGCGGCCGGGTTGGCCTCGCCCAAACAATATTTTTGAACGGCCAATTTCAGAATTTTTTTGATGTTTTGGATGTTGGATTGTATTTATATGAGTGAAAAATCAAATTAGAATGTGATATTTTGCTTATAAAAATAGAAATAAGTAACAAATCGAAAAATAAAATGCAAAAATTTCAAAATTCAAGTGAATTCTCTTCCACGCACATATTATTTTACTATTTTTACTCTTTACAATGTTTGAAATTCATTAAAAATTCCTTTTTGACCACGAAAAACTCATTTTTTCAATGAAAAAAAATCGAAGAAAAAATAAGCGGGCCCCAAAATCGGGCCCACCAAAGCCGCACATGTTAAAATCGGGCTTCGGCTGAAAAAAGCCCGATTTTTTGTGTTTACTTCGGGCTCAGCCCGGCCGGCCCGGCCTGCAGCGACATGTCTGTTAATCCTGAAAACTAGAAACTTCAAAAATCAATGTTTTGAAACAGTGAAAAATGTTTGAATCAAAAATTCTCGAAGCAAAAATTTCCAGCTTTATTTCTGATATGAAAAATTCCAAAACTTTAATTTTCTCTGAAAATTCCAACAGTTTTCTAGTAAGATATTGAATTTTCAGTTAATTTTCAGAAATTTCGTGTTAAAACAAAACGAATGCATCAAAAACTTTCCAAAACCTCAAAAATAACACAATTTTTTGAAACAGTGAATTTTCTTTTTTTATTTCCGCAAGCTTCCGCGCCAGGGGAACGCGGAAGCTTGCGGTGTAGGTACAAATCTCAATCTTCCGCGTTCGCGGAACCTTTCCGCTTCCCAAAAAAACCCACTCTAAACATCAAAACATCAGCAGCTTGTAACAATGGATATGTCAAAAGTCCAACCGGAATATCACCCTTTTTGAACCTAAAAACATCCATTTTTTATAGATATAGGAATTCCTAAACAAACTTCTCCGATTTCTCTTTATATTGTGGCAATCTGGCAAGTTTCGAAGTTGTTTGAAGTGATCCAAGAATCCATGAAAGTTGAGCGATCTCAGGAACATCAGATTGGCGAAAGAGGAGGGTTTTTTGAGGGTCGACACCGCATGCGATGAGACTGCACGCCATTTGACGGGTGTTTGAGCGAAGCTGGAAAATTTGGAGGATTTTGGGGGGGGGGGCGAATTGAGATTTTGTTAGAAAAAATACGAGAAAACACCGAATTTTTTAGGCCCAAACAGGGCTCCAAATTTAAAATGAGCATAAGATGTCCATGGAGAGTTTAAAACAGTAATTTTTTTTGACTAAAAACATTTTTTTTGAAAAAAGATTCTGGAACTTCAAAAATCCATTCATCAATAACCAAAAACCCTTCTCAAATTTCTACAATTTTTGAAACAGTGAATATTTTTTAAATTAATTTTTATTATTTTTGAAACGTTTTTTGTGGATAAAATTCACTGTTTCTAAATTGTTATATATGTTTTACTTAATCTATTCATATGATAATATTAAGAGTCGAGCCTGATTCAAAATTTCAAGAAATGTTTTTTTAACGAAAATCAAAAACAATCCTCAAGATTCCATAATTTTTGAAACAGTGGAATTTTTCAAGTTAATTTTTTTCAAATCCACTATTTCTGCATTTTCAAATAAATTAAATTAAAAATTAGAATTTCCAAGCTTTGTTTCATATTCAGGAACTCAAAATTGTGTAAAAAACGCAACGAATCAAAATTCAAAAACCCTCTCCAAAATTCTATAATTTTTGAAACGTATTTTTTTCGTGGAAAATTTTTAAATATTTTTTCTAAATTAATTTCAGATGGTAATAATGAAAAAACAAAAAAAAAACGAGGCTAATTCAAAATTCAAAAAATGGTTTTAATCGAAAATCAAAAACAACATTTCCAAGATGTTTGAGAATTAGGAACTTACAAAACTCAGAATGTGTCAATTTATCAAAAAAAAAAGATTATCTTCAAAATTCTACAATTTTTGAAACAGTAAGAAATTTTTCGAGCAAAAACAACTAATTTTTATTGAAAAAAATCTACTGTTTCTAAATTTTTATGTACATAATTTCAATTAAAAATTAGAAAACAATTTTTTCAAATTCGGGAAATCAAAAATGCATAGAAAATCTCCAACAATGACATACAGTTGATCGATCAAAATTCAAAAACCATCTCCAAAATTCTACAATTTTTGAAACAGTGGAATTTTTTAAAGCAGAAAACAATTTTTTCGTGGAAAAAATCCACTGTTTCTAAATATTATGGGATTTTTTTCTCGACGTTTTGAGGTATTATGCAAAGAAACCAACTTCAAAATTTCAAGAAAAAATTTAATTAATGAATAGAAAATTCAATCCAATTCATATTAAAATTCTGACACGAGTAGCTTTCGTTTATCGAAAATCAAATACAATTCTTCGAAATTCTACAAATTTGAAACAGTGAAACTTTTTCAAGAAAAAATCCATTGTTTCTAAATTTGTATGTAATTTTCTCTAGATTATTTCCGAACAATGACGAAGCTTTTTGAACAACTTTTTTGAATTTGCATAGAACAAAATTAATTTCTCTAAGAATATTTTCAAAATAATGGGCCTATGCAGAATAATATTTTGTAATAAAAAAACATTTTTTTCCTATGCAGAAACACGTCGAAAAAACAAAATATACAGTTTACTATTTTGAGTAGAGACAACGTGAAATTGAGAGAGTGCAGACAAAAAACCCATTTTATGTCTGCGCTCTCTCAATCTCACGTTGTCTTTATTTTGTTTTTTCGACGTTTTTCTGCATAGGAAAAAAATGTTTTTTAATGTTTTTTTATTACAAAATATTATTCTGCATAGGCCCATAAGAAACTCAAAAAACGCATATGAAAATTAATTAATCAAAAACAATCAAAGTATGCGGACACAACTTCAAAAACACTATATATCAAATAGCATCGATCGATCAAAAATCAAAAACCCTCCTCAAAATTCTACAATTTTTGAAACAGTGAATATTTATCAAGCAAAAAATCTACTGTTTTTAAATTTCTATATATTTTTGATAGATTATATTCAAACAATGACGAAGTAACTTTTGCTTTTATTATGTTTTCGAATTTATGGTATTTTTTTCCGAACTTGCATAAGGTAAAATCGATTTCTCTAAAAACATTCCAAATTTAAAGAACTCAAAAAATGTGTATGAAAATTTATGTGCTACAAACACAGAATCGAATATCAAAAACCCTCTCCAAAATTCCATTAAATTTTGAAACAGTGGAATTTTTTCAAGCAAAAAACAATTTTTTTTTTTCGAAAAAATCTACTGTTTCTAAATTATTATATATTTTTTTCTAGAAAAAATAATACACTTTTTCGAATCATGTTTTTGAATTTATGGATTTTTTTCGAATTTGCATAAAGAATAAGGAAAAAATCAATATTTCCAAGAATTTTTCAGATTCGGGAACTCAAAAAATACATGGAAAATCATCAATAGCTAACACTCATCAATCAAAAATAAAAAACCGTCTCCAAAATTCTAAAATTTTTGAAACAGTGAGAATTTTTCAAGCAAAAACTACTTTTTTTCTTCGAAAAAATCCACTGTTTCTAAATTATTATATTTTTTTTTCTAGATTACTTCCAAACAATGATACACCTTTTCTAATCATGTTTTTGATTTTATGGATTTTTTTTCGAATTTGCATAAAGAATAGGGTTGTAACTACACAAAAATCAGGAAAAAATCAATATTTCCAAGAATTTTTCAGATTCGGGAACTCAAAAAAATGCATGAGATAATTCCCTTATGGGGTGAGTCATAAAAATGAATTGACAAAAAAAAGTGCGATTAATTTCACGTTTTTTGTCAATTAATCGCATTTTTTCAGAAATGAATGCGATTAATTGACAAAAAACGTGAAATTAATCGCACTTTTTTTGTCAATTTATGGGGTGAGTCAATTTTATTTTTTGTCAATTAATTGACACAAAATGTGAGTCATTTTTCTGCGATTTTTTCACGTTTTTGTCGATTAATTCCATCTTTTTTTGCAATTAATTGCATTCAAAAATGAGGAATTTCAATACGAAATAGAATTTATTTGACCTTTTTTTTGAAACGTGTCCCAAATTCACTGCTTATTTTTTGGATTCATTTCGAAATGAAACAAAATTGAGAGAAGACTCATATAGGTCACGTTTTAAAATATAGGTCAAATAAATTCAATTTTTTATGCAATTAATTGCATTTTTTGCCAAGAAATGAAAGCGAGGAATTGACAAAAACGTGAAATTAATCGCCCTAAAAGACTCACTTTTTTTGTCAATTAATCGCAAAAAACACGTCGATTAATTCGATTGACTCACCCCATTATTTTTATGAATCACCCCATTAATAATAGCTTCATCAAAAATCAAAAACCCTCCTCAAAATTCTACAATTTTTGAAACAGTGAGAATTTTTCAAGCAAAAATTTTTCTAGTCAGAGATTTTTCTCTAGAGGCTTATACTTTATAAGCCTATACTACTTTATAAGCCTAGATTCAATCTTAAGCCCAAATAAGCCCAAAACACTCACATCTTCCGCTTTCAATGGTCCAAGTGAAATGGCGTGTTGATCAACAATCGACAAAATCATTCCAATAGATTCTTCCTTGAGTTTCTGCAACTCAATCCACGGATCAATAACCCCAAAATAATTGCCAAGATGTGGAATTCCAGTCGGCTGAATTCCAGAAAAATAGATAGTCTTCTTGTGAAGTTGAGAAATAGAAGTGGAGAAAAATCGGCGAGAGATCATGGTTGTTGAAGAGATTTAGATAGAGATTCTATAGATTCAGAAGAGGTGTGACGTCACGAGGTTCGTATTCCAAGCGACACTGAGGGCAGCGGGATGGTTGAGAGGTGGTGCTGTGTTCCTGGAAGAATATTTGATTGTGAAGCGGAAGTCTCCGGAAGCTTCCGCGTTCGCGGAATTGGTCAATACTATTTCGAAAACAAAAATTCAGAAAATACACAATAATTTTGAAACAGTGAAATTTTCAAAAATATAAAAATTGTTTTTTTCGAGTCAAAAATATTCACTGTTTCAACAAATCTAGATTTTTGAGGGATTTTTCGGAGATTTGTTGATTCCATTTACTTCGAAACCAATACTTTTCAGAGCTAAAAATCCAGAAAAACGCTGAAATTTTCAGTAAAAATTTGAAATATAATATTGTCCAAAGAGCAGGGCACGAACTATTTTCAACAAAAAATTCAGAAATCATAAAATAAATTTGAAACAGTGAAATTTTCAAAATTATAAAAATTGGTTTTTTTTTGAGTCAAAAATGTTCACTGTTTCAAAAAATCTAGAATTTTGGGGGATTTTTTTAAATAATCAATTTTGCATCAAATTCAACATTTTAGCAATTTTTTGGGCTGAAAATCCAGAAAAACTGAAAATTGGATAATTTTAAGGTGGGGATATCGACATCACTATTTCCAATAAAAATTCAGAAAACACATAATAATTTTGAAACAGTGAAATTTTCAAAATTATAAAAATTGGTTTTTTTAATAAAAAATTTTCACCGTTTCAAAAAATCTAGATTTTTAAGGGAATTTTTTGAAATCAGTTCTATTTTCAATTTCCACCAAATTCAAAATTTCAGAATTTTTTAGGCTGAAAATCCCTGAAAATTTGATGACTCAAATACAAATACATCACTATTTCGAACAAAAATTCAGAAAATACACAATAGTTTTTTAACAGTGAAATTTTCAAAATTAAAAAAATTGATTTTTTTGTTGAAATTTGTTCACTGTTTCAAGAAATCTGGATTTTTGGGGGGATTTTTTTGAGATTGGTTCAACTTTCAAATATCCAAAATAATTAAAATTTCAGAAATTTTTTAGGCTGAAAATCCAGAAAATACTGAAAATTTTATAATTTGAAGGGAAACAAAGAGGAAATAACACTTTCAACAGGAAAATCGGAAAATACACAATGATTTTGAAACAGTGAAATTTTCAAAATTATGAAAATTGGTTTTTTATGTTGGAATTTTTTTCACTGTTTCAAGAAATCTAGATTATTGGAGAATTTTTTTTTGAGATTAGTTCAATAATTGTATTCGATTTAAATGAAATTTTCAGTAAAAATTTGAAATATAAATTTTCCAAAGAGCAGGGCACTAACTATTTTCAAAAAAAAATTCCGAAATCATAAAATAATTTTGAAACAGTGAAATTTTCAAATTTTGAAAAATGATTTTTTGAGTAAAAAAAATGTTCACTGTTTCAAGAAATGTAGATTTTTTGGGGATTTTTTCTGAGATTAGTTCGATCTCAAAATTCCCGAAAAATTTGAAATTTTAGAATTTTTCAGGCTGAAAATCCAGGACTTGCAGAAGTCCTTGGAATTTTTGAAACCTAATTAAACTTTATTCTCACGATAAAGAAATAATGAACGTTTTGTCAATTTCGAAAACAAAAATTCAGAAAATACAAAATAATTTTGAAACAGTGAAATTTTCAAATTTATAAAAATTGGTTTTTTTTTATTCAAAAAATTTTTCACTGTTTCAAAAAATGGATATTTTTTGAGAAACTTTTTAAAGATTTGTTCAAATACTTTTTAGGGCTAAAAATCCAGAAAACCTGAAATTTTCAGTGAAAATTTGATCAAATAAAATTTTCCTCGAGGCGAGCAAGACACTAACTATTTTCAACAAAAAACTCAGAAAATACACAATAATTTTGAAACAGTGAAATTTTCAAAATTATGAAAATTGATTTTTTCGAGTCAAGAAATGTTCACTGTTTCAAGAAATCTAGATTTTTGGTGGATTAGTTCTATTTTCAATTTCCACCAAATTCAAAATTTCAGAAATTTTTAGGCTGAAAACCCCTGAAAATTTGATAGTTCACATATAAAGACATCACTATTTCCAATAAAAATTCAGAAAACACATAATAATTTTGAAACAGTGAAATTTCCAAATTTTGAAAATTGGTTTTTTGAGTCAAAAAATGTTCACTGTTTCAAGAAATTTAGATTTTTGGGGGATTTTTTGAGATTTGTTAAAAGACATTATTTGTAAAAACGTAAACTTTACCAGGCTCGGACAAAAAAAGTCATGATCTCAGAATCGGCCCAATTTTTTTCTTAGTAAGCCCCATGGGTGGGGAACTTTTTCCACCAGGTTAGAGATCATGATATCGTTTCGCCAATTTGGTGGGACCGGGTGAAGGGGAAAATTGTTTTTCGAAAATTTATCGTAAGTCGGGTTAACGTTCATATTTTTCGATGATTAAAAAAGCATTTTGCTCGTCTTTTGACGCTCTTTGCAATGGAAAAGAGCACGAATTTCGATACTCTATCCTAAAAAAAATTTTTTTTCGCCATAATACAACATTGCTTAGGAGTCATTTCCGCTCTTTCTAACCGCTTCCAAAATGTTCCTCGTGCTTTTTTACCTATATTTAGCTACTTTCAAAAAAAATTGCCGGCACCTATCAACCTCGGAAAATGACCTAAAAGGGCGCGACTTTCTAAGCGCAGTACCTATCTATGATGATTTTCTGAGTAGTTATAACATGCTACTGTACGTAATTTCAAACGCAGAGTTTGAAAATTGGCACTAGAACACTTGATGCATGCTCTAAAAACAATTTCAAAAATGTTTTAGTTTATTCTGAAATTTTCAAGTTTTCTAGGTCGAAAAAAATTATTTTTTAACAACTCTTGTTTTCAGTCAATAGAGTGATATTTGAGATCTATTATGCTTTTTTCTTCGACTTTTTTTGTCCACTGTAAGTGGAAATACGATTTTTCAAAGTTCAGAGCTAAAAAAATATCAAAAAAGGTCCAACCCCTTGAAAATCCGGGAACAAAATTGTTGCATGTAAAAGCCTTTGGGGTACTTCATTTTGGGAACTATTCATTGTAATTTGCATCGTTTCCACGAGAAAGTCGTTTTTTTAAACTTTTTCTTCCACCTACAGTAATCCTTCAATGCACACAAACACACACACGCACATATGTGTGTTATATGAGCGCGCGCGCTTGAGTCGCGCCCTTTTAGGTCATTTTCCGAGGTTGATAGGTGCCGGCGATTTTTTTTTTGAAAGTAGCTAAATATAGGTAAAAAAGCACGAGGAACATTTTGGAAGCGGTTAGAAAGAGCGGAAATGACTCCTAAGCAATGTTGTATTATGGCGAAAAAAAAAATTTTTTTAGGATAGAGTATCGAAATTCGTGCTCTTTTCCATTGCAAAGAGCGTCAAAAGACGAGCAAAATGCTTTTTTAATCATCGAAAAATATGAACGTTAACCCGACTTACGATAAATTTTCGAAAAACAATTTTCCCCTTCACCCGGTCCCACCAAATTGGCGAAACGATATCATGATCTCTAACCTGGTGGAAAAAGTTCCCCACCCATGGGGCTTACTAAGAAAAAAATTGGGCCGATTCTGAGATCATGACTTTTTCGTTGTCCGGTGGGTTTTGCAGTTTTACAAGGAGTGTCTTTTAATTCCATTTACTTCGAAACCAATACTTTTCAGAGCTAAAAATCCAGAGAAACGCTGAAATTTTCAGTAAAAATTTGAAATATAATATTGTCCAAAGAGCAGGGCACGAACTATTTTCAACAGAAAATCAGAAATCATTGAATAATTTTGAAACAGTGAAATTTTGAAATTGAGAAAAATTGATTTTTTCGAGTCAAAAATATTCACTGTTTCAAAAAATCTAGATTTTCAGGGGATTTTTTTGAGATTAGTTTTATAATCAATCTTGCATCAAATTCAAAATTTTTCAAATTTTTTAGGATAAAAATCCAGAAAAGTCTGAAAATTGGATAATTTATATATTTGGAAACCTAATTCGAACAACAGCAACAACATAACAACAACACTTTCAACAGGAAATTCAGAAAATACACAATAATTTTGAAACAGTGAAATTTTCAAAATTATAAAAATGATTTTTTTTAACCAAAAAATGTTCACTTTTTTAAGAAATCTAGATTTTTGGGGGATTTTTTGAAATCAGTTCAATTTTTAAACTTCCTTCAAATTTAAAATTTTAATAAAATTTTAGGTTCAAAATCCAGAAAAAACTGAAAATTGGATAATTCAAAGTTAGAGATAACGACATCACTATTTCCAACAAAAATTCAGAAAACAAATAATAATTTTGAAACAGTGAAATTTTCAAAATTATAAAAATTGCTTTTTTCGAGTCAAAAATATTAACTGTTTCAAAAAATCTAGATTTTTGGAGGATTTTTTTGAGATTAGTTCAAGTTTTAAACTTCCTTCAAATTTGAAAGTTCAGCAATTTCTTAGGCTGAAAATCCAGAAAATCCCTGAAAATTTGAAAATTCTCATATAAAGACTTCACTATTTCCAACAAAAATTCAGAAAATTCACAATAATTTTGAAACAGTGAAATTTTCAAATTTTGAAAAATGATTTTTCGAGTCAAGAAATGTTCACTGTTTCAAGAAATCTAGATTTTTGGGGGATTTTTTTGAGATTAGTTTCATAATCAATCTTGCATCAAATTTAAAATGTTATAATTTTTTAGGCTGAAAATCCAGGATTTTTCCCTGCGTCTCTAGCTCTCTGATATCTCTGCGTCTCTAGCTCTCACCTGTATACAATTCCAGCAAAACAAATGTCCACAAAACAGTGCACTCGGATCTTTTTTCTCCAAACAAATCGGACAACTGAACCAACTATGCTCCAAAGATTCGAAAACTTCTTCAGAATTCAGATGTTCCTTGGATTTTTCGGGTTTCTTCGAAGCCTCCTCAATAATTCTCCAAATTCCCAAAACTCCAATAAATACGACTTGAATAATCGATAAATATCCCAAAATTCGATAGATTTTCAACGCTGGCAAATCACTTTGCGAATTCGCCGACAAAAATCGAATTCCCGTAACTCTTCTTGCCAAGTTATAATAACTTCCCGTGATATAGAACAATGCCACGTGGCAGCGTTGAAAATTGGGTAGAAACGTGGATTTTGTCCACGTCACGAGATCAATGAATGTTTTGCGAGCCTTGGCGTTTTTTTGAATTTGGACTCCCAAAAAGGACGTGGTTGAGGGATGATTTAGGCGAAGTTCGGCTTTTTGGAGGAGATGATTGGTGATTTGAGGGAGAATTGAATGGAGGAAGATGAATGAGAAGCGAGTTGGGAAAGATGGTGAAAATCTGGAGAGACCGGATGATTCGAAAAGGTGCACGTATTCTTCGCCAAGGGTTTGATTTCCTGGAAAAATTGGGGGATTTTGAAGGCTAGTGGGCCTGATTTCAGGCCAAAACTTAGGCCTAACCTCAGAGATCTAGAGAAACATCTCACAATCAGGGTTTTCAACGAAGCCACGTGGCATTATTCTAATTTTGAATAATTAACCGATTAAGAACGCATCAAAGTTTTAAAAAATCACGAAATCTATATGAAATTTTTGAAAAATCTCGAAATTTAAATAAAAATTTTGAAACAGCATATTTTTTCGTAAAAATTGTTGAAAAATATCACTGAAAAATCCGAGGAACTCTGAAAATTTCAGATTTTTCAAAATTCTTTGAGTTCAGAAAAAAAAATCCGATTTTTTCTGAGCTTTGGGCTAGATAAATTAATAGAAAAAAGCAGAATTATCTGTTTCAGAAGTTTTCCAGAAAAAAATTTTATTGTTTCAAAGTTCAACTTTTTCTCGCTTTCTTATCAAATTTTTTAAAAATTTCAAAATTTATATAAAAATTTGAAACAGTGAAAAAATTTTTGTAATAATTTAATCTATTTTTCGGAAGTTCTACAATAATTTGAATTATTTTCGGAAATTATTTTTATCAAACTTTGAAAAGTCACAAAATTTATTTAGAAATTTTGAAACAGTGAAAAAATTATTTTTGAAAAGGTTTTCAGGTTTTCCAAATTACAAGGGTTACTGTAGTGCACACTGTAACTCTAGGATCTTTACAGTATCTATTTAAAACTGCAAGGCATACTGTAGTCTCAGGAGTACTTTACCAAAAGGTACTGTTAAAATTGATTAAAGTCAGAATTTTCGGCAGAATTAAAATTGTTTTTTTTCAAAATGTATATAAAAAATTTTGAAACAGTAAATTTTTGATGAAAATTTCCCAATTTTTTCCCGAAACTTTCTTACCTGCCAAAATCGTATTAGAATAATACAAACTTTGCGAAATCGTTCGAAAATACGGAAACCAGCGAATCCAAGTTCTTTGTCCGACTAGCTCCTTGAAAATCTGCAAAAAAATTGGATTTTCAGCTAGAAAACCGCGATTTTCAGCCGAAATTAGGGATTTTCAGCTAGAAAACCGCGATTTTCAGCCAGAAAAACCCCACCTTCGATAATTTCTCCTGAATTTCGTTAATAAATTCGTCGTCTCTTCGTTGGGCTCGAACAATTTCACCAATTTCAGCCACATACGAATTCATCAAACAAAAAATATTCTTAAAATTGCAAAATTTTACAAATTCAGATGAAAAAACTGGAAATTTTGGGGAGAAAATCAACTATTCATCTAGGAAAATAACAAAAATACATAAAATTTTTTGAATAAAAAATAAAATTAAAAACAACACAAAAAATCGTTATCAATTGGGGAAAGAACTAAAAATGGAAGAGAGAGAGAGTGGGGGGAAATGAGAGATTTAGAGACGCAGAGACGACGAAGAGAGAACAGTTCAAATGACTACATTGTAGTGAGAGATTGGAACCTGGAAAATTGGGGAATATTATGGGAGATCAACAATATTTTGATCTAGGAGTTAAGGTAATTTTTTCATCGAAAAATCAATGGGATTTGAGATTTTCTAATTGAAAACAAGAATTTTGACAAATTTTTGAGGAAAATTGAATTTTCTTGATTTTCAGATCCAATTTTCCAGAGGATTAAAACTGAATTATAAAGAAAAATTCTGAAAATTCTTTGAAACTGTGAGAAAATTCAAATTTTCTAGAACATTTCTAGAGCAAATTTTCCAGATTTCCTCTGAAAATTTCAGATTTTCTAGAGTTTCTGACTGAAAATCTAGAATTTTTTGAGTTTATGAATTACAGAATTGTTTATTTATTTGGAACACGAATGTATTGACAACTAAAAAAAACAGCTGCAAACTTGAAAATATTTTGAAACAGTGAAAAAAAAATTTTTCTAGATTTCGCTGAAATTTTTCGCTTTTTTCCAGAACTTTATTTTTTGCGTTCTCAATTTTTACAAGTTCAGGAATATTCTAAGAAACTGACAAGCTTCACTGGAAACTGAAAATCAAAAATAAACTCGAAAATTCTTTGAAACAGTGACATTTTCTGTACAATTTTCAGATCTAATTTTCCAGATTTCTCTGAAATTATCAGAATTTCTAGAATTTTTCAGAATTTCTAGAAAATCTTTGGAATTTCAAAATTCAGAATTTTGTTGACCTTTTACCCAACAATTCATTGTTTACTAAAAACCAACCAAAAATTTTAAAATTTTTTGAAACAGTAAAAAAATTCAATTTTTCTGTAGAAGTTTGAGACCTAATTTTTCAGACTTCTCCAAAATTTTCAGCGAAAATTCAGATCAGATTTTTTTAATTGGCTACTAAAAAACAGCTGCAAACTTGAAAATAATTTGAAACAGTGAAAAATTGAAAAAAAAATTAATAGACCATTTGTAAAGAAAAATTTCCAGATTTCTCTGAAATTTCCAGGTTTTTATGGGGTGATTCATAAAAATAAATTGACAAAAAAGTGCGATTAATTTCACGTTTTTTGTCAATTAATCGCATTAATTTCTTTTATAATCGAACAATATTGATTAACAAAAACTAACATAAAATTCAAAAATAAATTTAGAAATTCTTTGAAACAGTGAACAAAATTAAATTTTCTAGAGCATTTCTAGAGCAAATTTTCAAACCTCACCCAAGAACCTGGAGAAGTGGGTAAAAAAATTGCCCACCTGGGTTTATTTACCAAATTTGCCCACCTAGTAAAAAAAATTTTGCTCAGCTGAGGCTAGCCTTAAAGGGTTGGTGCTCCGCCAGGGAATTTTGTTTGGTTTAGATAGGAATAAGGTGCTCCTGGAAGGTTCCAGTTTTAGAAAAAATTCTAGTATCAATTCAGCCCATGTTTTTCCTCAAAAACAGAAGCGAGTTAAAACCTACGAAATAAAGCATGTAAATGCGCTCTAGCGCACAACTTGTTTTTGAATTTTCATGTGTGTGTTTGCACACAACTTTGAAAATAACACGGTGACGCCTTTTTGCAGCACACCTCGGCCAAAATCGTGGTTTTCCAAATGAAAAATTGTACGCTAACTTTTTACAGTACAAAAATTGTGAATTTTTCAGTTTTTGTTCTCTAAATATTGTGATTTTTCAATTTTTGACCTCTAAAAACTGAAATTCAGATTTTTCCAAAAATTGTACTCTGGCCAGCCACGGCTTGGCCGAGGTGTGTTTTGCAGACGATTTTTTCACCAGGAAAGCACCAACCCTTTAAAGACCCTAAAAAATTTTTGCCCACCTGGAATTCCAGGTTTTGGGTGAGGTTTGGCAAATTTTCCAGATTTCCTCTGAAATTTTCAAATTTTCTAGAGTTTGAGGCTAGAAATATGACACTTCTATGGGTTCTCAATTTTTACAAGTTCATGAATATTCAAGAAACATGGATATGATTCTAACTAGAAACTGAAAATCAACAAAATCATTTCAAACTAGTTTGAAACAGTGAAAAAAAATTTTCGAGAAAGAGAATTTCAGAGCAAATTATCCAGATTTCTCTTAAACTTTCAGATTTTGAGAAGTTTTGGCTGAAAATACACTCAAAAATGATTTTTTTCAGAACTTCATTTTCTGGGTTCTCAATTTTCACAAATTCAGGAATATTGAAGAAGCATATAACTAATGGTAACTAGAAACTGAAAATCAACAAAATCATTTCGAACTATTTTGAAACAGTGAAAAACTTTTTTGAGAAAAATTGAATTTAATTATTCAGGAGATTTTCTAGAGCAAAATTTCTCTGAAATTCTCAGGTTTTTACATAATTTTTTTTTACATAATAAAAGGAAATTTTTGAATTCTGAAATTTGCAATTTTTATAATCCAACATAATTGATTAACAAAAACTAATGGGGTGAGTCATAAAAATTGACAAAAGTGCGATTAATTTCACGTTTTTTGTCAATTAATCGCATTCATTTCTGAAAAAATGCAATTAATTGACAAAAAACGTGAAATTAATCGCACTTTTTTTGTCTATTTATTTTTATGACTCACCCCATAACATAAAATTCAAAAATAAATTTATAAATTCTTTGAAACAGTAAAAAATTCAATTTTTCTAGAGAATTTTTAGAGCAAATTATTCAGATTTTTTCCAAAATTTTCAGATTTTCTAGAATTTTTGGATGGGAATCTTTGGAATTTTGTGGATTTTCAAACACACCTCGGCCAAGCCGTGGCTGGCCAGAGTACAATTTTTGGAAAAATCAGAATTTCAGTTTATAGAGGACAAAAATTGAAAAACCACAAGTTTTAGAGGTCAAAAACTGAAAAATTCACAATTTTTGTACTGTAAAAAGTTAGCGTACAATTTCTTATTGTGGAAACCACGATTTTGGCCGAGGTGTGTTTTCAAAATTCAGAATTTTGTTGAGAATGTACTCACATCAAAACATTGTTTACCAACCAAAAACCAACCAAAAATTTTAAAATTCTTTGAAATAGTGAAAAAAAATTCAATTTTTCTAGAGAATTTTTAGAGCAAATTTTTGAGATTCCTCTGAAATTTTCAAATTTTCTAGAGAAATATGACACTTTTATGGGTTCTCAATTTTTACAAGTTCATGAATATTCAAGAAACATGGATATGATTCTAACTAGAAACTGAAAATCAACAAAATCATTTCAAACTAGTTTGAAACAGTGAAAAAATTTTCGAGAAAGAGAATTTCAGAGCAAATTATCAAGATTTCCCTTAAACGCTCAGATTTTGAGAAGTTTTGGCTGAAAATCTGAATTTTGTAGAAAATACACTCAAAAATGCAACTGAAAACCGACCGAAAAACTTTAAACTTCTCTGAAACAGTGGAAAATTAAAAATTTTTTAGAGCATTTCTAGAGCAAATTTTCCAGATTTCTCTTTTTGGCTGGGAATCTTTGGAATTTTGTGGATGCTCACCTCAATTCGACTGCTGCTCCACCGATTTTTCCACAATTTTCGACGAATTTACTGTCAATGTTTGATCATACAATCGGCCTTTTTGTAATGTTGGTGTTCCTTCTTGATATTTAACTGGTTCCGGCACGAAATACTGTAAAAAACAAGTGAATTTTCAAAAAAAAAGTTTGAATTTCAGATTTTCAATTACCTTATTTCCCTGTCGATCGATTGCAAAATCATAAATTGTCGGTTTTTCGAGTGCTTCCAGAATTTTCACCTCCAAATTGTCTTTGGTCACAAAATGTTGACTTCGGGAAATTGCTGCGAGCACCTGAAGGAATTTAGGGTACTTTTAGGGTGTTAGGGTAATTTTAAGGTTAAAAATCGTGAAATTTGGGTCTAGGACCAGAAAATCATGAAAATTCATAAAAATTGGGTCCTGGATCGATTTTTGAACCTAGAAATGATGTTTTCCGTAGAAAATTCGTCCCAGGACCAGAAAATTGTGAAATTTCAGAAAAATCGGATCCAGGCTCTTGATTTTCGGTCCAAAACCTGGATTTTGAGGTTCAGGACCGGAAAATCCAGAATTTTTAGAAAATTTCGGTCCTGGGGCTCGATTTGATGTCCAAAAGCTTGTATTTGAGGTTCAGGACCGGAAATTGATGAAAATTCATAAAAATTAGGTGAAAATTCTGGATTTTGAGGTCCAGGATCAGAAAATCATGAAAATTCATGAAATTTAGGTCAAAAACCTGGATTTTGAGGTTTAGGACCGGAAAATGATTAAATTTCATAAAAATCAGGTGAAAAACCTGGATTTCGAGGTTCAGGACCGGAAAATCATGAAAATTCATAAAATTTAGGTCCAAAACCTGGTCCAGAAGCCGGAAAACCCAACCAACCCACCTCTTTCTCTGCCAATTTCTTCATCTCATTTTTCTTCTCCAATTCGCTGCGAATTTCCTCCAAAATAGCCGATTTCGTGGCTTTTGTGTCCTGATTTTCCCGAGCCATTCGAGCCGCCGCTTTTTCCTGATTTTTTCGCTCATTTTCAGCGATAAGTTCATCGAGTTCTTTGGCTTCAGCTTCTTTCATTGCATCGATTCCGAGACCAACTGATGCTTTTTGTTCGAGTTCTGATTTGAAAACCTGAAATTTTTGTTGATTTTTGAATTTTTGAGTGATTTTTGAGCTCAAAAATCATAAATTTGGAGCATTTTGAGCCCGAAATTAGTCAAAATGCTCCGAATTTCACTAGTTTTCCAATTTTCAGGTTCAAAATGCTCCAAAAATTAATTTCAGGTCGGAAAAACCACTCACATCTCTCATCGAAGTAACAGCATTGTTATAAACATGTCTTCTCCACAATAATTCTTCAACATCTTCCGGTTTTTGCCAAGGAGCGTGTACAACGTGGTAGAGAACCTTGAAAATATGGAAATTTGAATTTATGAGTTCAAAATCCCTAATTTCAATGATTTCTAGTTTTAAAATCTAGAATTCATAGAATTTCTGAATTCTAGGCTCAAAAACTCTCATTTTTATCAGAAACTCAAAAATTCTAGCTAATTTTCCCAATTTCCAGCTCAAAATTCAAATTTTCTGGAAAATTTCAGAGCTTCAGGGTCAAAAAATCAATTTTCCTGGAAACTTTTGAGCCAGGAGCTCAGAAATTTCATGAAATTTGAATTTTTGAAATCCCTGACTTCAATGAATTCTAGCGCAAAAATCCAGAATTCATCGAATTTCTGAATTCTAGGCTAAAAAATTCCCACTTTTATCAGAAAATCAAAAATTCTAGCTAATTTCATCAATTTGCAGCTCAAAACGCTAATTTTAATGAAATTTCAGAGCTCCTGGCTTAAAATGTCAAATTTTTGGGAGTTTTTAAGCCAGGAATTCAAAAATTTCATGAAATTTGAATTTCTGAGTTTGAAATCCTTAATTTCAATGATTTTTCGCTCAAAAATTCAGAATTCATCGAATTTTTGAATTCTAGGCTCAAAAACTCTCATTTTTATCAGAAAATCAAAAATTCTAGCTAATTTTCCCAATTTCCAGCATAACATTTTCAATTTTCATACAATTTCCAGGCTCTAGGCTCGAAATTTCCTGATTTTTCTAATTTCAGAGCTTTAATTAAAAAGTCAGAATTTTCATGTTTTCAAAACCATTTTTCATGAAATTTGAATTTTTGAGCTAAAACTTGGGATTTTCAGCAAATTTCCCCCTCAAAATTCAATTTTCTGGAAAAAAATCCCTACCTTCTTAGCCGGCGGCAAAATCGGTGGTTTTCCCTGTTTGGGCTGTCTTCGGCCCAAATTTCTCGTCTGTCCATTTCCACCAATCAAATTCTCCGATGTCACCAATATTCTAGCACTTCTAAGCATCTGAAAATATCGATTTTTGGCTGGAAATATCAATTCTGGTCTGAAAATCCCGAATTTTAGGTTAAAAATACATCAAAATCGATGGAAACGGTTGAAAATGGCAATTTCAAGAGGAAAAAGTCAATAAAACGCAAATAAATTAATCAACAACAAATCAATAACAGGTAAATCCAAGTAAACAATTCAAAAAAAATCATTTTCTCATATAATAACTTTCTCCATTTTGATTTTGAAGTGGGGATTTGAAAATCTCGCCATTTTTTCGGTGAATTTCCAAATTCCATTCATACCAAACACCATCAGCGTCAGATTTTCGAGAAATCACAAATTTTATCTGGAAAAACATGGGCTTTTTGGGCTTTTTGGGCTTTTTGGGCTCATTTGAAGCCCAAAATGGCCCAAGACTTACCCGATCTCCTTCCGCTACTCGATACAATTTTCGAAGCGGAATAACAGCCGGAAACCAACTGATCATGCCATTTGAGAAGGTTTTGGGTTCTATTGATAACATCACATTTTTGTAGAGAATCATGTCGAAATATCCAGCAAATCCCATAATCTGGAAAAAAAATTGGGAATTAAAAAAAAAATTTCAAAAAATAATTTTTTAGCTTCAAAAAATCCACGTGGAATATTTGTTTCTAGAAATTTCAAAATTTAATTTTTTGGCGCGAAATTTTGAAAATATTAAATTCAAAATTTGGCACCAAAAAATCCACGTGAACATTTTTTTCCCAAAATTTAAAAATTTTGAGCCCATACATGGCATCTCCGCTCATAGCACCCTAAATGTCCTGACCTCCCCTCTTAGAAATTTTCATTTGTCATGACCCCCCTTAAAAATTTCAAAAAAATCCACGTGTGTAAATTTTCAAAAATTTCCAGCCAAAAATCTCATTCGCTACATTTTTTTTAGAAATAACCGTTAATCGCCTTGTATCACTCGATGATTTGGACCAATGAGAACATATTGATGTTTTCGAATGACGTTCTGAATGTATACTAATTCTTGATGTGAAGATCATTCGCAAGTTAAATTTTTCTAACACAAAAAATAGGATTTTTGAAGAAAAGTTAATTTTATTGAAGTTTTTGGTAGACCACCGAAAACTCAAAAAAAATTAAAAATTTCTGAAAAATCTGATTTTTTTGTGTGTTAAAAATTTGACCCCAGAATGACCCCCTCCTCAAAACATCGTTTCCATCCAGAATGTCTCTGGAAAACACAATGCGTTTCCAACGGTTCAAATGTGCGAGTGGTACAAGGCGCTTGCATCGCGCAGTAGGGGACAGGTTCGATTCCGAGTGCTAGCACACCTTTTTTTTTTAATTTTTTGAAAAAATTGAAAATTTTTTAGAGATTCAAGAAACAAAATTTTTTCAAATCTTGTTTCATGGATCTCTTTTGAATTATTTTTTTTCAAAATGTCATGACCTCCCCCTCGGAAAAAGACCTGAATTGTCATGACCCCCCTCTCATAATTATGAGAGGGTTTACATATATGTTTGAGCCAAAAACACTGAAATTCCATAGAAATATCAATTTTAGGTCAATTTTTACCGAAAATTTCAAAAATTCCTGAAAAGTCTGAAAAGACCTAAAACTTCAGAAACCCCACTAGAAACCAGCCAAATATGAGCTATGACGTGGCAAATGTCGAAAATTTGAAATTTCAAAGTTCTTAGGTGTAATTCGACCTGACAAGCCTAAAAATATAGAAAATGAAGCCTAATCTGGCCTGAAAGGCCTGAACATGGCCTAAAAATCTGAGAAATGAGTTAAGACGTGGCAAAATTCTCTGAAATTTCTGGGAAAAATTCCAAAATTTTGCCACGTCATAACTAACTCTGAATAAATCCAGAAATCTCAAATTTGGTCATTTTTCTACAAATTTTTCAAAAAAATAGTCTAAAAATTCAGAAAAATCGATTTTTGGCCAGAAAATCTGGAATTTTCCAGCTTTTATGCATATTTTTCCTGAAAAACCCTCAAAAAACTCACATCCGCAGCTCGATCAATATCAAAATCCAGCACAATTTCCCGATCATTCGAAGTTTTGGCAAAATTCGGATGTTCAAATGTGAAAACGGGTTTATTTTCAGCTAGGGCGCAAAATTGTCTCAGATATACCACATAAATTTGATCAAGTCGCGAAATTGCCATTCCTTGTCTGAAAAATATGGAATTTCAGATTATTCTGGCCTAGAGGCTTACTTTCAGGCCCAAAACCTAGAAATTGAGGTTCAGGACCAGAAAATCATGAAATTTAGGCCCTGTGGCTTGATTTGAGGTCCAAAACCTGGAATTTGAGATCCAGGTCCAGAAAAGCCCAAATTTTCAGGAAAATTCGAGTCTAGGCTTCAAATTTTAAGTCAGAAACATGAAATTAAAGATGCAGGACCAGAAAATCCAAAATTTTCAGAAAACTCTGGTCCCGAAGCTCGGTTTGAGGTCAAAAACCTTGATTTTCAAGTCCAATGCTAAACAATTATAAAATTTCAAATAATTCTGGTCTAGCTGCCTGATTTGAGGTCCAAAATCTAGAAATTGAGGTTCGGACCAGAAAATCTGCAATTTTCAGAAAATTCTGGTCCCGAAGCTTTATTTGAGGTCAAAAACCTGGAATTTGACATCCAGGACCAAAAAAATCTTGAATGTTCAGAAAATTCTGGTCTAGAGTCTTAATTTGAGGTCAAAAACCTGGAATTTGAAATCCGGGACCAAAAAATCTTGAATTTTCAGAAAATTCTGGTCCCGAAGTCTCGGTTTGAGGTCAAAAACCTGGAATTTGAAATCCGGGACCAAAAAATCTTGAATTTTCAGAAAATGTGGTCCCGAAGCTCGGTTTTAGGTCCAAAACCTGGAATTTGAGATCCAGGACCAAAAAATCTAGAATTTTCAGAAAATTCTGGTCCCGAAGCTCGTTTTGAAGTCCTTAAACTCAAATTTGACCCAAAAAATCAAACTAACGGATATTTCTGAACATATTCGCCCTCATTCTCATCATCCTCCTCCAATTCCGGCTCATTTCTGCCATGTCCAACCAAACCCTTCCCCCAGAAGCTTGGAATTGCAGATTTTATAGTCTGATGCATATTCAACGACATAATCGGCGCCGCATAACTTGTATATTTTTGTGGGATCGAAATCGTTGTCGGCTTCAAAAAATCCGTAACTCCATCCAAACATTCAGGACTCAGCTCATTGTCACCAAAAGATCCCAACAATTCCGAAACTATCAAATCCGGTTGCTCATAATTGTTTTCCTTGGCTAAACTGGGTAAACTTCTCATATCAGATTCCACCAAAATCGCTCGTTTTCTCCACGCATTTTCATTCATAAATCGAAGAGTGACAATTGCATTCGGGTTTTTTTCGACAACATAAAATTTGATTTTTAGTTTGTTGTTTTTGTCGCGACACTCGGAATTGTATCGTTTTTCAGCTTCGAGAATCATTGTTCCAATTGGACCTCTTCCAGCTCCCAAAAGATATACAACAACACTTTCCTTGTCTTTGGCAATGTCTGGAAAATTAGAAAAATTAGAATTAGGGGTGTTGCTCAAAAATATGTGAGATATTTGAAACAGTAAAAATTTCAATATTGGATATGACAAATTGATTGTTGAAAAAAGTTTAGTTCAACACTTTCTAAAATATTTGAAACAGTGAAAATTTTTATCGAAAAAAATTGAAAATTTTGATTTTCGAGTGGAAAATATTACTGTTTCAAATATTTTTTTAGAATATGGGATTAAACCAAAACATAAGTATTAAACAAATTTAACTCAAAACTTTTGTAAATTATTTGAAACAGTGAATTTTTTTAACACAAATCGTTTTGAAATTTTTGATTTCGAGTGGAAAAAATATTACTGTTTCAAAAAATTGTCAAAATAAAAATCAATAATTTATTTCTTTTTGAAAGCAAGGATTTTCTGAATAAAAATTTGTACGAATCAAAATAATCATTGCGTTCATCAACTTTCTACAATATTTGAAACAGTGAATTTTTTTCACTTTGAAAAACATTTGAAAATAGTGATGTCCAGGTGGAGAAAATGTTACTTTTTCAAACAATTTTTTTGAACTTCAAAATTAGCTCGAATCAATTTTTCAAAAAATTAGCTTAAAACTTTCAAAAAATATTTGAAACAGTGAAAATTTTCATAATGGGGTGATTCATAAAAATAAATTGACAAAAAAGTGCGATTAATTATTAATTTTTTTGTCAATTAATCGCATTCATTTCTGAAAAAATGCGATTAATTGACAAAAAACGTGAAATTAATCGCACTTTTTTTGTCAATTCATTTTTATGAATCACCCCATAACAAAAAAAATTGAAATTTTTGATTTTCGAGTGGAAAAAAGTTACTGTTTCAAAAATTTGGTAGCTAAAAATTTCTAGCAAGGAGTCAGAAGCTATTAGAGATATTGCTCAAAAATTTTCTACAACATTTGAAACAGTGAACTTTTTAACATGAAAAAAATTGAAAAAGTAGGATTTCCAGTTGGAAAATATTACTGTTTCAAACAATAGGCATCAATTATTCAAAAAAATTAGCTTAAAACTTTTCTAAATTATTTGAAACAGTGATTTTTTTTCACTATGAAAAAAATTGAAAAAAGTGATTTCCGTGTAGAAAAAATGTTACTGTTTCAAACACTTTTCAGAATAAAATTTTGTTGGAATCAAAATGCATTGGTTAAACTAGTGTAGCTCAAACCTTTCAAAAATATTTGAAACAGTGAAAATTTTCATAACAAAAAAATCTTGACATTTTTTGATTTTCGAGTGGAAAAAAATTACTGTTTCAAAAATTTGTTAGCTAAAAATTTAGTCGGGAAAATAATTGATGAATTGACAAAAACGCCTCTCTCAAAACTTTCAAAAATACTTGAAACAGTGAATTTTATTTTACTAAAAATAGTCATAAAAACTAGGATTTTTAGTTGGGGTGAGTCATAAAAATAAATTGACAAAAAATGTGAAATTAATCGCACATTTTTTGTCAATTTATTTTTATGACTCACCCCATTATTGTTTCAAACATTTTTAAGAACGTCTAAATAAGATGGAAGAATTTCAAATAAATTATTCAAAAAATTAACTTAAAATTTTCAAAAATACTTGAAACAGTGATTTTTTTTCACTATGAAAAAATTGAAAAAAGTGATTTCCGTGTAGAAAAAATGTTACTGTTTCAAACACTTTTCAGAATAAAATTTTGTTGGAATCAAAATGCATTGGTTAAACTAGTGTAGCTCGAACTTTTCAAAAATATTTGAAACAGTGAAAATTTTCATAACAAAAAAATCTTGACATTTTTGATTTTCGAGTGGCAAAAATCTTAATGTTTCAAAAATTCGTCAAAATAAAAATTACTAATTTTATTTGATTTGTGAATTGCCCGTATATGAAATAAATTATCACCTAATTTTTTTTGAGTTTAAATCCACTGGAATTCCAGATAAAAAATTTTCCCCCCGCAAAACCCTCACCCATAAACGCCAATTGCACAGCATCTCGATATCTCTGATACTTCACCGGATCCTGCTCAAAAGTATTATAAACCCCGGAGTCCAAATTATCCGACAGCGGCTGCAGAGGCGCCTGCAAAACATCGTGATAATCCAAATTCGATGTCGCCAAGAAGCCATCCGTTTCTTTCGCCATTTTTTGTCGCATCCACGTCACATTTCGTACTGTAAACCTCAAAGATGTCGCATATTCTCTGCGCAAATTCTGTCGATATTTAGTTCCATCATTGATTTGTTTAAGTAGGAGTCGCATCGAGTCAAACATCCAAAGATTCTGTAGGAGTTTTTGATAGAGTTGGGGGAGAACAGCTTGACCATCTTTGCCGGTGGTGAAAACATCGGAATGCACACAAATTGCACCAACCTGGGAAGAGAAACTTATTGATTTTTGGTAGATTGAGCAATATTTTAACAAAACTGTGAATTTATCAGAAATTGGCCATATTTCGACTATAAACAAGGCAAACTACATTTTCTTTCTCAAAAAGTCTAATTTTCATTGATTTTCAGCGGATTCCACAAGCTTCCGCTTTAGCGGCCACGCGGTTCACTATAACCTGAGTATCCGCGTGGCCGCTGAAGCGGAAGATGATGCCGCTGACGCGGAAGCTTGCGGTTTACCTGAAAGTTTGAAATTTTGACAAAAAATCCAAAAAAAAAAGTCAGAAAACTATAGTTTTCGCTGATTTTCTCTCGAATCCGATCATTTTTGCTTAAAAATCACAAATTCTGGCTCAAAATGTTCCAAAAATCGCGTTTTCTATTCCAAAACCCAAATTACTGACCAAATTTCGCTTTCAGAATCTCATTTTCCAAATTTTATCGATTTTTTTTTTCATAATTAAGGAAAAATCGATAAATTTGCATCTATGAGCTCAACTTTTGGCAATTTGCGCAAAGAAAATGTCAGAAAACTACAATTTTCGCTATTTTTTTCTTAAAACCGATTATTTTTACTTGAAAATCTCAAATTTTGGCTCAAAATGCTCCAAAAATCGTGTTTTCTATTCCAAAACCCAAATTTTTCGTAGAAAACCATTGATTTGCTGGTTTTCTACTCAAATCATCAGAAAATCTGAGTTTCCACTCAAATTTCCCCCAATTTTCAGCTCAAAAATTCAAATTTCCCAATTTCCCGCTCCCCAAAACCGCTCACCGGTTCAGCTTTCCATCTCTCCACCAATTTCAGCTCCAAAAATTCATCTTGCAAATCCGCGGTGATATTCAAAATCGCTTGTAATCGAACACCATTAAAATTTGCACAATCCTTTCGGAAATCCGCCCAAACACTCCATAGATCCTCATTTTTCGGAAGATTTGTGGGTAAACTAACCCAAATCCTGCAAAAAAATCAATAATTTTTCAGAATTTGGGCCCCAGAGAGCAAAAAACCTACGTAAAGAGCACATTTTTGGTCCAGAGCCATTTTTTGATAATCTTCGCCAAGTTAGGCGAACTTTTCCGAGTCAAATTCAAAACCACAGTTCGAAGGCCTAAATAACACGCATAATTCAGTTCCTTAATGAGTTCTTGTTCGGAAAATTTGGCAAAATCGGGATTTTCCGAGTCGCAATCGATCCATTCAGAAATCTGCAATTTTTTCGAAGGTTTTTACAGACTTCCATGAAGTTCTTACCCCCGCACAAACATAAGTTTCCCATAAATGATTGGCCAATTGCAAATCGGGTAGATCAATGTTCGGCGGAGCTTCGGGGAACCTTCTGGGATCCCAGAACCCTCGAATTATTCCGCCAACTGGGTAAACTATAAAATTGTATTGTTCTGCGCCAAGTTTTGACGAGAATTCAACAACTTTTCGATCAAGATGTTCTGCAACATCAAATCGACTTGTGATCCAACCAATGTTTATTCTAGAGTTGGCTTCATCAATATTTCGTGTCGATTCTGTATCGAATATCAAATCGCTATAGGTTTTAGACATCTGAAATTCTTTCCATCAAATAGAAATTCTCATTTTTCATTAGATTTATTTTTTGTTGCCTAATGGCTCATTTTATCAATTCGAAAAAGAAATGGGTGGATGGTGTTTGGGGGTGGATGTGTGAGAGAGAGAAAGGGACAAAAACAACGTATTGGATGCCACCAAATAGTAGTCTGACGGAAACAGCACTATAGCAACAATACAATAAACTATACATTAAATTTATCACTACGAAAAGAAAAAATGGGATCCGTTATAACAAAATAAAACTATTAAAAAAGAAGATTTGTCGTTTAGCTGTGTTGTTTGGCGAGTTCTTCGGCCTTCTTGAATACGTCATCAATTCCTCCTTGCATGTAGAAAGCGACCTCTGGGAGATGGTCGAGTTCTCCTGAAAATTTAGAATTAAATTGATTTGTTTTTGACTGTTAAAACCATACCCTTGAGGATCATTGTGAATCCACGGATGGTTTCCTCGAGCGATACGAATTTTCCTTGATGTCCAGTGAAAACTTCGGCGACTTGGAAAGGTTGCGAGAGGAAACGTTGAATCTTACGGGCACGTGAGACGGTCAATTTATCTTCTTCAGACAATTCATCCATACCGAGGATAGCAATGATATCTTGGAGGGATTTGTAATCTTGGAGGATCTTTTGGACTCCACGAGCAATGTCGTAGTGAACGTTTCCGACAATGTTGGGGTCCATGATACGGGAGGTGGAATCGAGTGGATCGACAGCTGGATAGATGGCCAATTCGGCGATACCACGAGACAAGACAGTGGTGGCGTCCAAGTGAGCGAATGTTGTGGCTGGAGCTGGATCAGTCAAATCGTCAGCTGGCACATAAATAGCTTGGACAGATGTGATGGATCCCTTCTTGGTTGTGGTAATACGTTCTTGCATACCACCCATGTCAGTGGCGAGGGTTGGTTGGTAACCGACAGCTGATGGAATACGTCCGAGAAGAGCAGACACTTCGGAACCGGCTTGGGTGAAACGGAAAATGTTGTCGATGAAAAGAAGCACATCTTGTCCTTCTTGATCACGGAAGTATTCGGCGACGGTCAATCCGGTGAGACAGACACGAGCACGAGCACCTGGTGGTTCGTTCATTTGTCCGTATACGAGCGATACTTTTGAGTTGTTTCCCTGGAAGAAGACATTTTATGATTTTTGATTTAAAATAATCAAAAGTATCAAATTACCTTGAGATCAATAACTCCTCCTTCAATCATTTCGTGGTACAAATCGTTACCTTCACGAGTTCTTTCTCCGACTCCGGCGAAGACAGAGTAACCTCCGTGAGCCTTGGCGACGTTGTTGATAAGTTCCATGATAAGTACAGTCTTTCCGACTCCGGCACCACCGAAAAGTCCAATCTTTCCTCCCTTGGCGTATGGAGCGAGCAAGTCGACGACCTTGATTCCGGTAACAAGAATCTCTTGTTCGACAGACATCTCAACGAATTCTGGAGCTTCGGCGTGGATAGCGGCGAAGTTCTTCGATGGGATTGGTCCTCGTTCGTCAATTGGTTCTCCGATAACGTTCATGATACGGCCAAGAGTTTCTGGTCCGACTGGAATTTTGATCGGGTCTCCGGTATCAGCGACTGGTTGTCCACGGACAAGTCCTTCAGTACCATCCATAGCAATACATCTGACAACGTTGTCTCCTAAAATAAACGAATATTATGACAAAAACATTTCGAAATAAACTAACCGAGATGTTGAGAGACCTCAAGAATGAGTCTTGGAGAACGTCCAACAACCTCAAGTCCGTTGAGGATTGGTGGAAGGTTTTCGTCGAATTGGACGTCAACGACGGCTCCGATAACAGCGACGATACGTCCGGAAGCATTGGCGGCGGTGGCCTTGGCCGAAACTTTTCCAGCAGCAGCGGCTTGTGGAGCAACAACTGATGTGTGGATTCCCTTCTTGGATTCAACGTTGTTCGAGCTGAGTCTGACTGAAAATGAGAATTTGAAGAAGAATTCTGGATTTAAGATAAATTAACTCACTTGAAGCAGCTGGAATGGCGCATTTTTGAGCGTTGTTTTGCAAAAGTCGGGAGGCCTGGCGACCGAAAGAGGCTAACGAGCGTGAAGCCATAGTTTGTACCCTCTGAAAAAAAAGCTTATTCCAAAAAAATGCGAGATTTCGGCCTAATTTCTCAAATTTCACGAACAAAACGGCGATAAAACGGTTCAGAAACCCTTGAAAAATGCAAATTCAATCAAAAAGAACCCGAAAAATGATGAATTTCACTAACTTTTTCCTAGGTAAAAATAGAAAATCGCTCAGAGAAAGCCGGCGACTAATCGGCGACCAACAAGTTCGTCGCAAGTTCGTCGGCGAAAATAGTGTGTGTTTCCCGGAGACGCAGACGAAAAAGTTTCAGGCGACTAATCGGCGACTAACTTATGATTGGTCGCCGATTAGTCGCCTGAAACTTTTTCGTCTGCGTCTCCGGGAAACACACACTATTTTCGCCGACGAACTTGCGACGAACTTACGATTGGCAGACGATTAGTCGCCTGATCTCGATTCGTCGTAAGTTCGTCGCCGATTAGTCGCCGGCTTTCTCTGAGCGGCGAAAAGTCTGTGAAAAAATATTTTGCACGGTTAGACCGCCCGACGAGCGGAGTGAAAATGGGTCTCGCAACGAACACATCTCGAGAAAACTGTGCCAGGCTTGCAGCGCCGCACACTTTTTTCTTGTTTTTTTCCCATTTTTTATTTTTCTTTTTTTTTCGTTTTTTTTTTCGTTTTAGGGGTTTTAGGGGTTGCTTGGGATGGTTTTCAAGTAGAAAAATTGAAAAAAAATCCCTGGAAGTTAGGGAAAAAGTTACTTCTTGCGAAAAACCTGGATATATTCGAAAAACTCGTTTTTCTTGTGTTTTCTCAATTTTCCATGTCACAGATTCTTCCAGGGTATGCCCCAAAAGCAACGCCTGTTGCACTACGCCACCTCCATCACAAAGTGTCCCGCTGAAACTGCAACCTACGGAACCTGCGTCTCTTCACAAGCCGAACGTATCAAACAAGGCGATTGTAGTGCAGAATTCAAGAAATTGATTGAGTGTGTTACCAGGAATCTGAAGAAGCATTAAATAATGAAGGTGAAACGGTAGGTTTTCTATTTTTTCTAAAAAAAAAAAAAGGAAACTTTTTTAAAACCGAAAAAATATTTCAGAATCAAGCGAGCTAACAGAATCTTAACATTCTTCAAATACAATTATAAATTCAACGCGCCCTATAAAGTTCTAATGGACGGCACATTTTGCAATGCAGCTCTTCAAGAACAAATCAATTTAGCCGAGCAAATTCCCAAATATCTAACAGAAGAGACTCATTTAATGACAACAAATTGTGTGCTGGAAGAATTGAAGAAATTCGGACCACTGTTATACGGAGCGCTGGTGATTGCGAAGAAGTTTGAAATCGCCGAGTGCAATCATAAGAATCCGGTGAAATCCGCTTCCGATTGTTTGGCACATTTGGCGAGAAGAGCTGCAAGTGGAAAACAGAAATACTTTATTGCCACACAAGATGATGAATTGACTGAGAAATTGAGAACTATTGTTGGGACTCCTGTGATGTACATCAAGTTCAAAACAGTGCTTTTAGATAATGTGAGAAGCTCCGCTGGAATTTTTGATATAAAAAATCTTTTTCCAGATCTCCGAAGCCACGAAAAACGGCGCCAATAGCACTCAGAAGGATATCACCCAACTCAAAGAGCTCAAAAAACAACTTCTCGCTCCAAAAGATCTCGACAAAAAGAAAAAGAAGAAGCGAAAAGGCGGTGCAAATCCTCTCTCCTGCAAGAAAAAAGTGATGAAAATCTCGGAAGTTTCAAGAACTGGCGAGAGAACTGCGTCTGGAAAAAGAAAGCGAACGAAAAAGAAGGAAAAGGGCTCTGGAGAGGAGTTAGCCTAAGTTTGCATCGGGTTTTTTGTTATTTGTTGTTGTTGACGAGATGAATTTTGAGTTGAAGAAGGTCAAAATTCTTACAAGTTTATAATTTAAAAAAGGCAAGTTAGGCTAATTCAAATCCGAAAATGTGCTTTCATCATAGTTCATCGAAATTCCTTGAACTCTTCCGTCGCGTAAAACTCGAGGAGTTGGGCGAGGTGGAATTGGCTGAAAAAATGGGAGTTTTAAAGGAACATGCGTTAATAAGCCTTGAAATTACTGTAATTAGATAAAGGAACATCTATCCCTTTAAATTATTAGAGATTCAAAGGAGCATGAGAGCCCTTTTAAATTACCGTAATTATTTAAAGGAACATGGGTTGAAAAGCCTTTAAATTACTGTAATTCTTCAAAGGACCATGGGTTGATAAGCCTTCAAATTACTGTACAGGGTGCGCGCGAAATATGTGTGCATGCGAAAATTTCACATACAGTGTTAGTAATATTGGCACACGTAGTAAATTTGAGTATGGATTGTTCAAAACAAGTCACAAGTATCCGAGAAACACCATTTACAAGAATTCAAGTCAATCTCTTCACTTAAAATAGAATCCGCTTTGTATGAAGTCAGAAGAGAATTTGTGAAAATGAGAAAATAAGAACGCCACTCTTCCTATTTTTCGGATAATGATTTTGACCAATTAGAACTCGAGTTTCGTAAAAGTTATTTAAATATGATTTTGTAGGATGTCTTTAGACATCATTGGCTTACTTTATTTAAATTCATAGAGTTCATCATATCGTTTTAAGAACGAGCAGGCCTACAACAAAATTCCTCTCGAGGAATCGGCGAAATCTGAATTCAATCTGAGAAACAAGCTCTAGAGCACTTAAAAGTCAATAATTCATCGTGATTATGACTGACTTATGATAATATGTTCATATTACTGCAGTTTGATAGAAATATTGGTTATACAAACATTACTTTCGACAATAATTGATTTTTGTCTCTTTTTGGGAAATTTTTTTGAAAACTTCACTTTTGTAGGTTGCACTAAACACCATTTTCAGAAAGTTTTGTGGAACCAGATATGGATTTCTGTTATGAACACTATCAGGGAAGGTAAAATAAAGATTTTTTGCTGATCACTTCAATTAATAGTCAAAATTAAGACTTTGAAACAGTCTTGTGAACTTGAAAATAGCCGCGTTCATACCACACTCATTCTAAAACCATACCCCAAAGGAAATTATGTGACTTGGTCTAGGTATACAAAATCGGCTTCGGATTTTGTATTGTCATTAGTTTGGCTAATTTGAGACCAAATCTCAGCGTGATCAGACACGTTCTGGCTTTATTAGGGCCAAAAGTTCATGCACACATATTTCGCGCGCACCCTGTAATAATTTAAAGGAACATGTGGGACACGCCTTATAATTACTGTAGTTATTTAAAGGAACATGAGATAAGCCTTTGAATTACTGTAGTTATTTAAAGGAACATGGGTTAAAAAGCCTTTGAATAACTGTAATTCTTTAAAAGAACATGGAAGGTTAAGCCTTAAAATTACTGTAATTATTCAAAGGAACATGGGATACTCTTCAAATTACAGTAATTCTTTAAAGGAACACGTGTCCCTCTAAATTACTGTAATTGTTTAAAGGAACATAACCCCTTTATGTCCCTTCAAAAAAGATATTTAAAGGAACACGTGTCCCTTCAAATGTCCCTTCAAAAACTCACATAAACTTCATCACTCTGTGTCGATTCAGTTCCAATAACTCCCTCCTGTTTCGGAGCTTTCGACCGTTTTTTCCAAGGTTTATACTCTTTCTTTGGATTTGGATGTGGCGGTGAAATGTGGGTTTGCTCCTGAGTTGTGACATCTTGCATGGTTTTGGTCTTGGTTTTGATCTTGCGTCTGGAAAAGAAAATGGGAACGAGTTAGGCTAACTCGGAAATCCCTCTCACCTGGACGACGGCAACTTGCGTCTCTGGCTGCGCGCAGTCGTCGGCAATTTGCGCAACGATGGCGGCAACAAGCCTTGTGTGGTTTTTTGCGCGGCTTCCGCGCGTCGACGCTTCTCCGCTTCCTCTTGTTCCGCGATTTCCGCATCGACACGTTGTTGATCTTCGAGTTCGGCGATCGGATCACATTGAGTGCTTTTCACGGAGAATGATTGCATTTGGATGAGGTCGATGGGTGCGGCAGTCGCGTCTTCTTCCGATGTTTCGATGGCGATTTTGTCGGAGCTGGAAAGTTCGTGGGATTTCCGGAAGGTTCTGACCCCGTAAACGCGGAGCATCGTTGAAAAATCCATCAATTTCAACCTTGTAATTGCGGAGCATTGTTGCAAAACCCTATTTTCATGGCTTGCGATCATTTTCAGCATTAAAGACTTGAATTTTCATGCCGTAACCGCCGGAGTATCGTTGTAAAAACCTATTTTTCGTCTAATTCGTGAAAAATCGAGGCAAATCAGAGAGCTAGAGACGCAGAGAAGCTAGAGAGGTTAGAGAAGCTAGAGATGTTAGAGATACAGAGGTTCTAAAGAATCTAGAGGTATTATGAAAGTTAGAGACACAGAGATGATAGAGAAGCGAGAGACACTGAGATTTCAGAGAAGCTAGAGAGGTTAGAGACGCAGAGATTTTAGAGAAGCTAGAAAAGTTAGACACGCAGAGGTTTTAGAGAAGCTAGAGATGAGAATTGAGCGACACAGATTTCTCTGCGTCTCTAGCTCTCTGATTTCTCTCGTCTGACCCGCTTTCTACAGTAATCCGAACTGCAAATTTCAAACAAAAAAAACGTTGAACTCGTTTTTTGTATCTTCATATGTGAATACAGTAATCCGAACTGCAAACTATTTATCAATTTTTTGCAGTCCGGACTACTGTCAATTCTCTACAGTAACTAGAACTGCAAGTTGCAAAATTTGAGGTTAGAGACGCAGAGAAGCTAGAGATACTTGAGATGTTCAGAGAAGCAGCCAGTTTCTCTGGGTCTCTAACCTCTGACTCTCGGACAAAGCAGCTAATCCCTCTGCGTCTCTAACCTCCCTGGTTTCTCTGCCTCTCTCAAGCCCAACTTACAACAACTCTTTCAAACTAGTATATCCAAAATGCAACATTTTCTCGATCAACGAATAAATTACAACAATCGCAACCAGAAATAGCAAAATCGAAAAAAATCGAACAAATCCACGAAGTTGAAAATTCGCATATGTTTCTTGAACTTTCGAAAGAAAAATCGGATTTTTGTAGTTGCATTGATCATATGAGCAACAACATACGACGGAAGTGTTGGATTTGATGTTGGGCGCGATTGAGATTTTGGATTTTTGAAATGGCATGTATTTGTTGAAACAATGCATCACGTCTGGAAGATAGTATGTAGAATTGAGAGACGCAGAGAAATTAGAGAGCTAGAGACGCAGAGGAAATGGCCGCTGACGCGGAAGCTTGCGGTCTACACTCGCTTCGCTCGATTAGAGATCATGTAGAAGTGAGAGACGCAGAAAGCTAGAGACGCAGAGGAACTGGCCGATGAAGCGGAAGACAGTGCCGCTGACGCGGAAGCTTGCGGTTAACACTCGCTACGCTCGATCGCAGGGTCAGTATTTCATGATTCTGACCCCGTTAACGTGGAGCATCGTTGCGAACCCTAGTTTCAACCATTTCAAGCGTAAAACCACCAATTTCCACTGCGTAATCGCGGAGTATCGTTGCAAAACCCAATTTTCATGGTTTTTCAGCATAAAAGCCAGCAAAAATGTTCAAGTTAAGCGTAAAACCATCATTTCCATTGCGTAATCGCGGAGCGTCGTTGTTAAACCCCATTTCTTTGGTTTTCACCATTTTCAACAACGAAAATCATGATATTTCATGCCGTAATCGCGGAGCATCGTTTGGAAAAATTACTGCGTCAGCGGCCAGTTTCTCTGGGTCTCTAGCTCTCTGATTTCTCTGCGTCTCTAGCTTCCTCTTCAACGGCCAGAGTTCTCTGCGTCCCTAGCCGTCTAGCTTCTCTGCATCTCTTACCACTCTGTGCACATTCAACCGGCAAAACAGCTTGACTCATAATCCCGAACCACGTATATCGATGAGTATCGTTTTTTTGGAAATATGTGACGCAAGACTGAAATTTTTTGAATATTTTTAATTTCCTGTGTGCTGTGTGCAAACACTTTTGCCTACAGTACCCCGCCTGAAAACTCACAGGTCTCCCATATTTCGCGATATCCTCCTCATCATACTCAACATTTTCAAACTTCCAGATTTCCTGGTTTCCAACTCGCCCTGAATGTTTCCCGAGGTCCAGATAATGATCCTTGTGTTGAAGAGTTCCCTGCAGAAATTTTTTTGGAATTTAGAAATTTCGAGTTAGGCTAACTCACATTCTCATTCGTCAAACAGGAAAGCGAAAATTTTGTGAAATTGTGTGTTTGAACTTTTCGAATTAGTGAAAATAGAAATAGAATGAAGAATTTTTGAATCATTTTTTTTGATGAGGAATAAAAATAAAATCAGAAATGGCGGAAAATTGGGGACACGTAATTTTTTTTTTTTTTTTTTTTTTTTTGAAAAATAGGTCACGGGAAAATTTTTATTCACTCAGCCCTGTATTGACTTAAAAAATAATCTCCTAGAAATTATAATAATTTTGAAACAGTAAATTTTTTGGGAATTCTCAGAAATCAAAAGAAAATTCTAAATCTACAAAATTAATATGAGCAATCCAAAAAGTTATTGACTTCAAAACTAATCTCCTAGAAGTTGTATAAATTTTGAAACAGTAGATTTTTTGAATTTTGAAATAAATTCAAATTCAAATATAAACGACAACTTTGACTCTGAAAATCCACATTTCTGTAAAAAATCAATCAAAAAACCGTTCATTTCATCTCAAAAAATCAGCGGACATCTTCCATATTTCCGCAATAATCGAAATTCTTTGAAAACATTTGAAAGTGAATAAACTCCTTCCAAATTTCGACTTTTTTTCAATAAATCCGAGAAAAATTCGGGAAGATCAATGGAAAACATCATTTCGAGACCGTATTTGGATTCTTCACAAAGTTCATTCCACAATTTTTGATAGCTCAATTTTGAGTGAAGGAATGATGTGTTGGTGACGTGGATTCTCTGGAAAAATATGGAATTTTGAGAAATTTTCCAGCTCAGAAACCACGTGGCATTGAAATTTCTGAAAATTTCAGGCTTGGAAATCACGTGGCATTAAATTTTAAGCTCAGAAATCACGTGGCATCAAATTTAAAGCTAAAAATCCACGTGGCATCATATTCTGAGTTCTAGAATTTTCAAATTTGGTTCAAAAACATTTTTTTTGAAAAACTATAGCCATGTGAAATTTAATTTTGAATTTTTGCGCGAAAAAATCCAAATTTTTTAATTTTCAAAACTCAGTTTCAAAATTTCCACGTGGCATTTTTTTTGAATTTTCGAATTTCACCTAAAATTTTGAGCTCAAACTCTTACCCGATAAATAAAAACATCTTTTCCAGTCAAAATCGCTCCAATAAACAAAAAATCGAGTTGCTTTGAATTTAGCATAATATCGATTGGTTTTTCCCGAAAAATTGCGTCAAATCGATAAGTATAAGCGATCACAATTCCATTTTGGAGACGAAGTTTTGCGATTCCGAAATTCCAGTTATTCAAGTATTCTGACCTGCAAAATTTATATCTTCAACAAAATGCTGTGGAATCATTTTGAAATTGATTTATTGAATATTGTAGAATTTTTGAAACAGTGAATATTTTTGCGAAGATTTGAAAAAAATTATTATTGATTTCATATTTCTGTTTAGAAAGTTCATGATTACTTGAAACAGTGATTTTTTTCAAAATTTATCTGCAGAAGAAAATAATTTTCATTAATTCGAAAACAGTTTCAAAATTTCCCAAATTCTTGAAACAGCGATTTTTTTCGGAATTTATACAAGTGGCTGTTTTTGTGAAGTATGAAAACAGAATTATATCAACTTAAAATTTCTGTTTTCAAATTTCATGAATTTTTGAAACAGTGAATTTTTTCAATCGTTTTTCTGCAAAGAAAATATATGCTATATTAACTTAAAATTTCTGTTTGGTAAAATTTAGAATTTTTGAAACGGTTAATTTTTTGATGACATTTTCCGACAGAATTAAAGGCAGTACTAAATTCATATTTTTATTTTCGACTTACATAAATTTTTGAAACAGTGAATTTTTTTGATAATATTTTTTTTTATTTCACAACAAAAAGTTTTCATAAAATAAACGAAACAGAATTCAATCGTTTAGCGAAAAAAATCTTCATTAAAAAAATTTGTGAAATTTTTGAAACAGTGAGTTTTTTCGGAATTTATACAAGTGGATAATTTTGTGAAGTTGAAAACAAGTTATTATTGACTTAAAATTTCTCTTTTCAAACTTCATAAATTTTTGAAACAGTGAATTTTCTCAACACGAATAATTTTTTAATTTTTTTTCAAAATTTATTTGGTGAATTTTTCTAATAGAAATTTCAGAACGGAAAGTTTTTATCAAATATTCTGGTGAAGAAAAAGAATTAGCATTAATTCGAAAAACAGTTTCAAAATTTCCCAATTGCTTGAAACAGTGAATTTTTTCGGATATTTTTTCTAGAGGTTTTTTTTATTCACTATACCACGAAAATCACTATGAAATAAATTCATTGAATATTGTGGAAGTTTTGAAACAGTGCATTTTTCAAAAACAAATTTTTTTTCAAAATATACAATAAATCGTTTCATCGATTCGAGAAAAAATTATTCAAAATTAGTGAAATTTTTTAAACAGTTATTTTTTTTCGGAATTTATCCTCTAAAAACTGAAATTCAGTGGATGTTTTTGTGAAGTATGAAAGTACAAATTTATCAACTTAAAATTTCTGGTTTCAAATTTCATAAATTTTTGAAACAGTGAATTTTTCGATAACTTTTTCTGCTGAATTGAAAAAATACTAATAACTTCAATTTTTGTTTAGATTTCTTTGAGAAATGTTTAAAACAGTGAATTTTTTTAAAATTATTTTTTTAATTCACAACAAAAAATTTGCATAAAATAATCGGAACAAAAGATAATTCGATCGATGAGCGAAAACAAATCTTCATTAAAAAAATTTGTGAAATTTTTCAAAAACTTTTTTTTTTTCAAAAATTTAAAATAAATCGTTTAATCGATCCGAAAAAAAAAATATTCAAAATTAGTAAAATTTTTGTAACAGTGATTTTTTTTTGGAATTTATACAAGTGGATAATTTTGTGAAATTGAAAACAAATTATTATTAACTTAAAATTTCTCTTTTCAAATATCATACATTTTTTGTAAAAAGAAGAAAATGTACACAATATCATCTTAAAATTTCTGTTTGGAAAATTTAGAAATTTTGAAACAGTGAATTTTCTCAACACGAATAATTTTGTAAATTAGATTTTTCTAAAGTAAAAAAGCTCTCAGAAGTTTGGAGCCACTTTCTCTGCATCTCTAGCCCTCTAGCGTCTCTGCCTCTCCCCAAACCCCACTCACCAAGTTCCCCTCGATCCAGTAATTCTATATTTATGTATCATATTCATCGAAGTTCCAATTGGCGAGGTGAAATCCGAGATTGTATGAAAATACAATTTCCCGCCAAAATTCTGACAAAAATGCGGATTTTGTTGGTAATATTCTGATCTTTCAGATCCAATCCATTGTTGGAGCAGACTTCTTAAAGCGGAGATTGTAGTGACAATTGAAACATCCGATAGGAACTGGAACAGAATTGAATTTGAGATTCAGAGAAGCTGTCTGCGTCTCTAGCACTCTGCCTGTCTGACACTCTGCGTCTCTAACCATGTGTCTATTACTCTAGAATTAGTTCTAGCTGTCTGTATCTCGCAATGTTTGTCCCTAACCGTCTGGCACTCTGCGTCTCTAACCATAGCTGTCTGCGTCCCTAACCATCTGCCTCTCTGCGTCTCTCACTCTCTCTCTCAACTCACATCTCTTGGATAAAATTCCGAATTCATCAGATTCGACATCAGCTCCATGTGATACGAGGTTCGAGTAACTCCCTGACGATCGCAAAATATTCCGAGTCTGAAACCAAAAATTCGTAAAAAATTTGCAGTTCGGGTTACTGTAGTACAGTAATCCGAACTGCAAAAAAATATTTTTTCTGAGCTTTTTGCAAAAAATAGCAAAAATTGTTTGCAGTTTGGGGTACTGTAGCTTCTTGTGACATTCAAAACTTGCAAATTACTTTTCTAATTTGTGTAGTGCGGGTTACTGTAGGCCAGAGATTAGCTACAGTGATCTGGAGTGCAAAAAACTAGAAAAAATGCTTGCAGTTCGGGTTACTGTAGGAACCACTTACCGTAGTCCAAACGGTAAAATAATTCAGCAGAAAAGCTACAGTAACCCGAACTGCAAAACATTTTCTCGACTACAGTAATCTGGGCTACAAAAAACGAAGCTACAGTATTCTATTCGAAAAAACTACAATAACCCCAGAGTACCCTCCTACAGTAACTCACCCCTCACCAGCTTCTCGAATCTCACAACCATCCAAATACTTGAGTTCCGGTAACTCGCCATTTTCGAGCAATCGAACTCTTTCAGCACTGCATTTCACGTTGCGTTTCTGTTGGAAAAAATGGGGAAAATGTTGGATGCGGGCCGAAAATTCGCTGGGGAACATTTTCGAGAAATGAGCAATTTTTCGAAATACATGAATACGTGGAAAAAAAAGTAGGGCGAGAAAAAAACACAACGTGACTCCGTTTTTCCGGGGTGGAAAACTAAAAAAATGGGTGCGTTGGGTGGGGCTCGAACCGGGGCAAAATCAACTGCAGGCGCGCGTGTTAACCACTCGGCCATGCGCGCTTTGGAAGGCCCTGTGAAAATCTCGAATTTAAAGTGCGCGCGCTGGAAAACACTGGTGAATTTTCCACGATGGAAATTATGACTTCTGATAACTCGCAAAAAAGTTTCTTGAAGTTACAATTTATTATGAAACATGAAAATAATGCAATAAAGACAGTGAAAAAGCGAATTAAGAAAGGAATGAACCGAAAAAAGTGAGAAAAAATTAAAGCAAAATACATATATGCCACGTGGCAATTATTGATGATTTCCATGAATAATCGAGAGAAGAGCATCACGATAAGCTCCCGAAGTATCACCCTTCACAACATCCTCCAAATTCTTGTTGTAAAGCGTTTGGAACTCGGTCTTGATCAATTCCAAATCAACTTCGGATCTCGAAACCAACACACGAATCAAATCATTGTCGCGAGTTCCCAAGCCCTTCATTGAGGCGTGCAATTGTTGCGCGAAGAATTTTTGCTTGTCCGAAGCGGCGCGAACAATTGTCAAGTAGCTGTTTCTCAAATCCCCGCTGAATTCCTTTTCGACGAGTTTTTCGATATCAGTTCCAGCCAATTCTTGGAAATACGCAAAGACCTTGCGAAGTTGATATTGATTTTGTGTTGCCAAGATTTGGAGGAAGTTCGAGCCCTCTTTCTTGGAGAGCTTGGCTTTGCCATCAGCGAAAAGTCTAACCGCATCATCCTTGGCTTGCACATCATTTGTATCATGGCTCCCGTCTTTTGAGCCGGTGACCAGGGAGACCAAAAGATCTTTGAATTCGCCTGAAGTGTCGCCAGCCACGTCCTTTTCCAATTGTTTTCCGTATTGTTTTTCGTAGGCGGCGCGGATTGCGCGAAGTTGATCGACTGTGCGTGAGCACAAGATTTCGATGAGCACAGCTTCGTCGGTTCCGAGTCCCTGCAAATTTTTAGATTTTTGTTTGGGAAGTTAGGCTAACTTGGAACATCTGGGGGAGAGAAAAACAATTTTGTTTTTGTTTTTTTTTCGTAAAAAACAGTGATTTGAGGCAATTTGTAGAGTTAGAGACGCAGAGAAACTGCTATCGATTAGAGAGCATGTGGAATGAGAGACACAGAGAAGTCAGAGACGCAGAGAAACCGCCTGCTGAAGCTAAAGCTTGCGGTTTACATTCGGCCTTTAGGCTTCTAGATTTGGGGCTCTTTAGAGCCTAATCTGAACCTAGGCTTCTTGATGTTCCGGTTAAGAGAATCGGGCCTAAAAGCCTAGGCTTAGCTATATAGAAATTTATCCAGATTCAGGCCTGATCATGGATAAATCTCTGTGTAGTTAAGCCTGGGATTTTTAGGCCCACTTCTCTGGACCGGGCCATCAAGAAGCCTAGGTTCAGGTTAGGCCTAAATCTAGAAGCCGAAAGGCCGAGTGTAAACCGCAAGCTTCCGCTTCAGCAGCCAGTTTCTCTGCGTCCCTGGTTTCTCTGTGTCTCTCAATTCCACATGCTCTCTAATCGATAGCAGTTCCTCTGTGTCTCTAGCTCTCTGGCTTCTTTGTGTCTCTTAATTCTATATGCTCTCTAATCGAGCGAAGCGAGTGTCGAAGCTGCCAGAGTCTCTGCGTCTCTAACTTTGTCTCAGCGTCTCTAACCAACCTTGATAGCTTGTTTCAATTGCTTAACATCATAATCCAACGGAGTATCCATCAGGGCAAAAATGACTTTTTCCGCGTCGCCACTGAATTTCTTGTCCAACGCATCGACAAGTTCCTTACCGTACTTCAATTTGTACGGTTCACGGAGCGCCTGTCTTTGATTGTTCGAGATTCCGGTGAGCACTTTGATGACGACATCTTTTTCGCCGGCGCGGAGAGCACGGTCGATTTTTTCGGCGAAGAGTGCAGCGTTGAATTCGCGCGCGTCGACAATGGTGGCGTAGGGGGAATTCATGGTGAAGTATGGGTTTGGTGAACTGGAATGAGAAATAGTCTAGAAGAGTGTTGCGTGCGCGTCGCGGTTTTTGAGATACGGTAGGTTTATAGGCGGGAATTTTAAATGGAGATTGTGGTTTGGGAGGCGTTGCGTACGTGTCGCGATTAAAAACATATACTGTAGGGTAATGACTCATATGCGTTGCGTGCGCGTCGCGGTTGTTCTTTAATATACCGTAGCTTTAGTGGCTGAGATTCTGTGGATGGAACGAAAATTTGATGCTTTCAAAAGCGTTGCGTATTTTTATATACAAAACTGAGGTTCTATAGCTCTTTCAGAAGCGTTGCGTGTGCGTCGCGGCTTTGCCTATCTAACTGAAATGAAACTTTTTGGTTTCCCCCATTGATAAGAGCAAAAGAAAAGAAAATGAGTCATTTTTGTCAACAAAAAAACAGTTTTTCTCTAGAGAACAATATCTTAAATGTCAAAAGCTCAGTGCTTTTGCCACGTCATAACTAACCCTGACATATTGAAGAGAAAAATTTCTAGAGCGAAAATGAACACTTTCAGCGATAAAACCCTATCTTTTAAACCAAGAAAATCGAAAAATGTTTTTTTCCAAAAAAAAACAGAGAGAAAAGATAAGAAATGGCCGAAACCGCCTATTTTTATATAGATACAAAAAAAAGATGATTCATTTTGGCTGCTTCCGACAAAAATAAGAAAGGGGCGGAGCCTCCTATGTTGCGAAATCCCCTCTATCCTACCCTAATATGAGTCATGTTTTTGTTTTGAGCCGAACAAAATTGGCTGACTAATGGGAAGAAATGAAATAGTTACGAAATATTTGCAACATTTTTTGATTTGTTGGATTTTTTTTTCAAATTTTCGCCCCGTTAGTGTAAATTTGTTGACCTTGGGGCAGAAAAAAAAACAAATATTTGTTTGTTTCAAAAAACTTTTTTTGTTAAGAAAAGTATGGATTGGTACTAAAAAAAAAGTACTAAAGTACATGGCTAAAAATAGAAATTTCAAAAATTCGATTTGCCACGTGGAATTCTGTTTTCTAGTAGATTTTAACCTGCTGAAAACAATCCCGATGTCTAAAATTGCAAAACTCCACTCCTAACATGAGTTATGACGTGGCAAAGTTTGAGGCTTTAAAAATAATTTTTCCTCTCGGGAATCTGATAGTACAACAATGTGCTTCAGATTCCCCACAGGAAAAATCATTTTTGAAGCCCCAAACTTTGCCACGTCATAACTCATGGTAGGAGTGGAGTTTTACAATTTTCGACAACGGGATTGTGTTCAGCAGGTTAAAATCTACTAGAAAACATATTTTAGATAGAGGGAAAGTTGAAAAAACCCCTGTTTTTTGGCGCCAAAATTCCCACGCTTCTCAAATTTCTTTCTCGAAAGATATCGAAGATTTTTTGGGAATTCTAACAATTTTAGGAATTTCCTCAAGGTTTTAGGAAAATTACTGATTTCCTATAAAAAAAACAAAATCTACAGAATATTATTTTGATTAGAGACAACGTGAAATTGAGAGAGTCTAGACAACACAAAATAGTTTTTCCGACAAAAAATACAATTGCATTTTTTTTCAGAAAAATTATTCTGTCTTCTCTAGACCCTCTCAATTTCACGTTGTCTCTAATCAAAATAATATTCTGTAGATTTTGTTTTCTGTCCAAAAACCTTGAAGATATCAAAGATCGCTCCTCTCATTATAATCGCATCAACAATCAAAAACCAAAAAAAAACAGAAATAAATAATTGGGGGAAAAATTCGGGTCATTCATTCTGTTTTTTCCATTTCAAAATGAAAATGACACCAGAAAAAACGGCGCTGTGGCGCATCGATCAACACAGGGACGAAGTAAACAACAAGGAAAAGAAGGAAATGAAAGGCCGTGGGGCGCACAAAAAATGGGAGGAGCGACACAACAACAACAACAAGAAAAAATGAATGAGGAAAGAGGGCTATGTGTTTGTGTAAGTTAGAGATAAGAGGGACGCAGACATCAAAAGTACATCATTTTTGCGCTCAACACAAAAGAAACAACAAGGTTTGGGCGCCACGTGGAGAGTAAACCTTGGGAAAGGGTTTTCAAAGTGGAAATGTGATTTTTGGGTGTCAAAAAGTGGAAATTAGCAATGAGGAATTGTGGAAATAGGTTAGACTGGGGAAACTGGGATTTAAAAACAGTTTTCATAAGCGGTAAGCTCGCAAACCTATGTATTTTTAGGGGCCTAAAATTTTGATAAATGAAAAAGCATTTGCCACGTCAAAGTTCACGTTAAGCAAAATTTTAGGCCATAAAATATACAGATTTTTGAGCCGCAGTATAGTTGGACATCGACTAAATGACATTTTCATGTTTTTTAAGCAAATGAGTTGAAATATTGGGTTCTAATGTTATTCATATGATAGAATGGTCTAAAACGAACAGAATGAAATAAATTTTGATGACTTTACGTTATCCATAAGTGATTTAGGGACTTAACGACTAAATATCGACTAAACTTCGCTAAATCACTTATGGATAACGTAAAGTCATCAAAATTTATATCACTTTGTTCGTCTTAGACCATTCTATCATATGAATAAAATCAGAACCCAATATTTCAACTCATTTGCTTAAAAAACCTGAAAATGTCATTTAGTCAATGTCGAACTATAAGCCGTAGTGTCCTTAAAGTCACTAGATTCCACTGCGATCTCCTATTCCATGTAAATTCTTTTCAAATCCCAGTTTTCCCCAAAATCCCAATTTTTTTAGAAAAAACATGATTTCCGTATCTCAAAATCGAAAAATCCTCTTTTCCCCTATTTCCCATTGTTATTTTCCACTTCCCGAAACCCAAAAATCACCAAAATCCACGTTTCTACCCTGAAAACAACTTGAAAACGAAAAAAACAAAAATAAAAAATGTTTGTCCTCGAGAACTACACAAATCAATGTTCGCTGCGGGGAACACACGTGTTTTTAATCAGCCTCCCTTGAATATTTTTATTGTTTTTTTTTTAAATTTTTGCCAAGTTCCCCGAACTCTGGGAGTTTTCTGCTAGAAATAGATAGATATCACCCTAATTTAGCGAATAGTCGATTCTTTGATCTCTGAGAAAAAGAAGAAAGACCGGTTCAAAAACCACTATAAATATCGTTTTTTTCTTTTTCTTGACAAAAAAAATCAAAAAATCATCACAACTATGCTATCAAAAACCCATATTTCATCAATTTTCCTAATTTTTCTCGTCATTTCTCTAGCGCTCATTAGTTCCAGTAAGTTATTTGATAAGTGAGTGATTTCTGATCTATAACAAGCGTCGTTTTCAGCGGAGTGTCGTAGTTTCAGCCGTGGAAGAGGTGGCGGAAGAAGAGTGAGCAATTATCGGGCTCCGTCACGTGGACATTATCACCATCATCATCATCATCATAATCATTTTGGTGGAAGACGTGGATATTGGGGAAAATAATCAATATTTATTTTTGAAATTTTTAAAATTAAAAATGAATTTTTTTCAACCTATGACGTGGCAATTGATAAATTAGATTTTTTTTAAAAATATGGTTTAAAAAACTCGAGATACAGTATACCTTGCAGTCTGGAAACATCATAAGCTACAGTATATCTCGCAGTTTTCAGTTATTCTGAAGAAGCTACAGTACCTTTTGCAGTTCGGATACAGTATCTCACAAAATATTGCAGCCTAGAAACATCTTAAGCTACAGTATACCTTGCAGTCTGGAATAAATAGAGGTACAGTAATACTCGCAGTCTAGAAATGTTGAGATACAGTAATCCTTGCAGTCTGAAAACATTTAGGTACAGTAATCCTTTGAGATACAGTACCACTTGCAGTTCAGAAATGTTGAGCTGTAGTAATCCTTGCAGTCTTTGAGCCACAGTATCGTTTGCAGTCTGGAAACATCTTGATCCACAGTATACCTTGCGGTCTGGAATGAATAGAGGTACAGTACCCTTCGCAGTTTGGATATATAACCCCGGAAATACAGTAATCCTTGCAGTCCGGAAATTTTGAGCTGTAGTAATCCTTGCAGTCTTTGAGATACAGTAATCCTTGCAGTCTGCAAAAATATAGATACAGTAATCCTTGCAGTCTGGGAAACATTTAAGTACAGTAATCCTTGCAGTCTTTGAGATACAGTACCCTTTGCAGTCTGCAAAAAGAATTGAGATCTGGAAAAAATGCCCTAAGTATAGTACCGTTTGCAGTTCGGATATAGCTTGCCAGAAATACAGTAACCGGAAAAATAGGAGTACAGTACCACTTGCAGTCTGGAAACATCTTGATCTACAGTATACTTTGCAGTCTGCTAAAATTGAAAAAGATAAAAAACTAAAAAAAAAAAAAATTCAGCTTCTGCCACAAATTAATATAAATCTGAAAATTTGGCTGAAAATTGACTCTCCAGAATTCTGAATCCAGAATTTCAGCTCAAAAATACCTCACCCAAGAACCTGAAGAATTGCTGAAAATATCAAGGTTTCAGAAAAATTCCAGAATCTAAAATAAAATAAAATTCAAAAAATCAATGATAAGAGAGTTAGGCTATCTTTGGCCGTAAAATAATGAAAAATGACATACCTGATATCAATTTCAGTCCGTTCCAGGGAAAAATTGATTTCTGATCTTTTTACCTTTCTGAAAACATCTGAGAACTGTACAAGATCTCTGCAAGTTCGTGCAACTTCTTCAAAAATCCAAGTTATCGTTCCAAGTTATCGTAACTTCCTCCAATTCGCCAAGCTCTCGAGTTCCGCGAACTTCGCCAAGGAAACCTAGTAATTATCAAATTGTCGCTTATCAATTTTCAATTTTCGTGTGTGGTTTGATCGATCCTGGACTGAAACCGGTTCACAAAATACTATAAAAGAACTTATTTTCTCTCGAAAAAATATTATCATCAGCAACTAGAAAAATGCGATTGTCTTCTTCAATTTCGCTCTTTTTCGTTCTTATCATTGTGTTTGCAAGTTTCGGTAAGTTCTGTAATTTTTGGGTGGCTTTTTCCCGAGCGGGAGAGTTTTTGCTCGATTAGAGAGCGTGTAGAATTGAGGGACGCAGAGGAATCAAAGAGCTAGTCATGCAGAGAAATCAGAGAGCTAGAGACGCAGAGAAATCAGAGAATTAGAGATGCAGAGAAAAAAGTTGGAATATGAGTATGGCTTAGTAATAGTTTAATATGAGCGATCCTTAAAGGTGGTTAAACCTGAGCAATCCTTTAGTTTATATTGGTTGGAATATTCTTTGAAGTTTAACATGAGCAATCCCTTTAAAATGGTTTTACATGAGTAATCCCATTTTTATTCATTGAATCGATGTTTATTTTAATCTGAGCAATCTTTTTGAAATGGTTTAATATGAGCAATCCTTTAAAAATGGGTTTAACATGAGCAATCCCTCAATTCACATTGTTCGGAATATTCTGTTAAGTTTAACCTGATCAATCCTATTTAAAAGTGGTTTAACATGAGCAATCCCTGTTTTTTCATTTATTGAAATATTTTTTAGATAAAGTTAAACCTGAGCAATCCCTTAATTTTTGCTGTGAAATTTTATTTCACAAATTTAGAAATAGTCTCTTGGGAACATGTATTGCTCAGATTAAACTAGTTTGGAAATGATATAACATGAGCAATCCAATTGTTCTCATTTTCTCATACAAGATGACGTTGAGTTTAACATGAGCAATCCTATTTTTTCCAGATGAGGTAACTTCGCAACGTGGCGGAGGCCGTGGCGGCGGCGGCGGAGGAGGAAGTCGAGGTGGAGGCGGAGGCGGTGGGGGCCGAGGCGGAGGAGGTCGAGGCGGTGGCGGTGGACGTGGAGGCGGCGGGGGAAGAGGAGGCGGACGCGGGGGAGGCGGACGGGGAGGAGGCCGTGGAGGCGGACGTGGAGGAGGTGGCCGTGGAGGGGGAGGCTTCGGCGGCGGTGGCTCGAGCTCATTCAGCAGTTTTGGCGGCGGTGGTGGAGGCGGAGGCGGAGGACTTCTCTCACTTCTCGGAGGCCTGGGAGGCCTCGGAGGCATGGGTGGCATGGGAGGCCTCGGGGGCCTCGGAGGCCTCGGAGGCCTTGGAGGCCTCGGCGGCCTTGGAGCCCTTCTCGGCCTGGGAGGCAACAACAACCAGATGTATTCAAATCAAGGAGGCTACGGTGGAGGTGGATACAGTAGCTATTGCACCACAGCTCAATTCATCGACTACGTTGGCAGTACGCCACGATATTATTGTCATTGTCCGCCAAGTGCACCAAATTATCAATATTATACTTGCTCGCCGGGAAGATAAGTGATGTGGATTCTTTTTAGGATTCGAGCGTTTTTAGTGTACAGTAATAAAGTTTTCCTGCTTGTAATTGGGAGTTTAACATGAGCAATATCTTGGTTAACATGAGCAATCCCTTCAATTCTATCAATTGAAAGATGATGTTTGTCTTGTGAGAAAAGGCATTGCTCAGGTTATACTGATTTTTCAAAAATTGTTTAACCTGAGCAATCCCTTCATTTTTATTCATTGAAAAAAATATTTTGTTTAATCTGAGCAATCTATTTTTTTAAAAATGGTTTAACATGAGCAACCTTTCAAAATTGAGCAATGTTTTTAAAAATAGAATTACTCATGTTAAACTAGATTTCAACCGGGTTAACCTGAGCAATTCTTAATTTTCAGTCGTTGAAAAACATTTTGTTAAACCTGAGCAACCTTTCAAAATGATTTAACATGAGCAACTTTTTCAGAGGAATTGTATTGCTCAGGTTACACTAATTTAAAAAAAAATGGGTTAGCATGAGCAATCCATCTTAAATTTTTTTAACATGAGCAATCCTTAATTTTCAGTCGTTCAAGAAGGTTTTCAATTTAACCTGAGCAACAGTTAGAATTTTTATTTAACCTTAGCAATCCCTACAGAAATTTATCGGTTTTTTTGTTCAGAAATTTTTTTGGTATTAGGTTAAACTTATTTTTAAAAATTGGTTTAACATGAGCAATCTTTTGAAAAAAAAATTATTTATTTCCTTCCAAACAATCCAATTCCTCTTCCACCAACTGGATCATGTCGATATTGCCACAAATATCCACGTGGCCCATAGTTTTGATGTCCGTGGTGATGATGATGATTACTGTATCGATTATTTCCTCTACCGTAACCCTCGGCTAGAAAAAAAATTCACATTTTTTATCTAGATTCGAAAAAAAAATTGAGACTTACCAGAACTTATGAAAATTAGAAGAATTAGAAGCGCAATTGATTTCAATAGCATTTTTTTTTGGAAAATGAGAAAAAAATCGTATTTTCTATGATTTTTGAACCGGTTTTTACTAGTGATTTGATAAAAAAAAGATCAGAAAATCAATCAGAAGTTCGGCGAATTCATGAATTTAGTTTGATCCAATTTTTTGGAAAATTTTGGCAAGCTGCTTATTTGGGTACTGTAGATCAAATTTTGGCGCGAAAATCTGTTTTGGTTGAAACAACATGACTCATATTAATAATTTTCAATTTAATGTGTTATTACTAATATGAGTCATGGTTATGTTACAAAACAAATATGTTTTTGAAAAAAATTGTTATTAGATACGGGGAACAACAACGAATGAGTTATGACGTGGCAAACAAGGATTACTGTAGATAAGAACCTACAGTACCCAAATTTTTAGCACAAAAATCTGATCTACAGTAATCCTACAGTACCCCAAAAACTAACTTAAATACTTGTTTATTTTTTCTTACAACAAAAAAACCAAAGAAATGAAGGGGGGAAAAGGCGATAGATTAGTTAAATAACAAAAAAATTTGAATAATTGATTTCTAACAAAAAGAAGGGACCACTAAAAATGTACCGGAAATGACAGAAAAAAGGGAAAAACAAGTAACAGACAAAAAAGGAGGCTTATTTTCTCCAATTATTACTATCAGCATTGCCAGAAGCTGAAGATGTTTGATTGCGATTCTGATTTCGATTTGGTGGTGGGCCGCTGTTGCGATTTGGAGCGGATCCGAAATCACGACGTGGTGGTGGACCATTGTTTGTGCCGCTGGTTGGAGATGGACCATTGTTTCCAGCGGGACCATTTCCTGGTTGATTGCGGCGCATTTGTGGGGGAATGAATTTGGCGGGGCCGTCGGATTTTGGTGGAGTGTTGTTGTCTTGTTGACTGGCTGCAAAAATAATGGATTTTTATAGGGAAAAAGGTGGAAAATTTGTGCGATTTTGACCAAAATTCGGTCAGTTTCAGATGAATTTACGGTTTTTTGCCAATTTTTAATTTTATAAATCAAAATTTGAATTTTTTAAAAGCAATTCTGACCAATTTTCCTACAAAATTAGTTAAGTCATAATTAGACCGAAAGTTGGTAAGAAAATTTGATCAAAACTAGCAGATTCCTTAAAATTTGGGAAATTTTATAGTTTTGCTCAAAAGCGATTCAAAATTGACCAAATAATACAGATTTCTTAGAAATTTGGTGTAATTTTGACAAAAAAAATCATTTTAAGCCTAAATCTGGCGACTTTTTCTGATAAATTTACATTTTCAGCTAACTTTTGTTGAAAATTGATCCAAACTGTAGATCAGAAATTTTGAAAGGTTACTGTAGGCTCTAAAACATTCGCGCCAAATTTTAGTTTTTCAGGGTTACTATAGGCTCAAAGGTTACTGTAGATCACAATTGACCAAAAAAACCCCATATTTTCCCATTACCATTGAAATTCAACCCACAAAAACTCACAAGCTGGAGTTGGTTCCGGTTTCGGCTTAGCTGCTCCTCTTTCCCAGGTGTCAACAGTATCAGCCTTCGACGATCTGATCGGTTCACGGCGCGGACCGTCTCTTGGACCATCTCTCGGACCATCTCTCGGGCCGTCACGTGGACCATCACGTTCTGGAAAATATGAAATATAGGTTCAAAAAACGTGGATTTTCTCCAAGTTTCATTAGAAACTGAACAAATATTTTTCATCAAATTCCGCAAAACTCACGAGTTGGTGGTGTTGGTGCAGCATTTCTTCTCCATTGATTATCATTATCAGCTTTCGAAGATGAAGCAACTTCTCGCAATGGTTCTCGTTGTCGAATTGGCTCGCGATCTTTTGGTGGAGGCGCTTCTCGCTTCGGTCCACTTCTCCAATCATTATCTCGCATCGCCACCGAATCCTCCGCCTCTCTTCTACGATCTCCCCGATCTCCCCCGCGCATTCTTCGTTGTTCATCCATTGCTTGAAGTCGAGCTCTTTCCTCATCTTCCTTCTTCTTTCTCTCCTCTTCAGCTTTTTCGCGCAATTTCTTCTCTTTTCGTTCCTTCTTCCGTTGTTCAGCGCGTTCAGCGAGACGAGAATTGCGAACGGCGACGAGTTTCGCTTCCCAATCAGCGATTTTCTGCTCGAAAACATCGGCGTTGTTTTCTTTGACTTGTTGCATCCAATCGAGCGCATTTTCGCGAACTTGATCCCAGAGTCCCCAGATTTTCACATTCTTTTCATGAGCGGCACTGGAAAAAGCATATTTTGAATTTTTTTTGAGTGAAAAAAGTTGTTTGCCTTCATTTTTAGTCATTAAATGACTCGGAAGAAATAATTATGGAGAAAAAAAAAGAAAATCACCTTAATATTTCAGTTTTGACTTTAAAAAATCACAAAAATGCTCCGTGAGCCCACTAAAATTCAAAAAATGCATTATATAAACCTAGCCCCCTGTTGCTTTTGAGTTTTGCAATTTTTCATGAGCTCACGGAGCATTTAAAAATTGCAAAAACTCCAAGTTCCCGTGTATTTTTGTGATTTTATAAAAACAAAACTAAAATATTCAGGTGATTTTCATTTTAGACCATAATTATTTCTGGGCTTCCAAGCCATTCAATGAATAAAAATGCAGGGATTGCTCAGATTAAACAATTTCTGAAAAATGTTGCTCATATTTAACTTTTTACAAAGCATTTTTTTTACTTTCGAAAATCAAAACTAGAATATTTCGATGGAATTTTTGAACATAATTATGGCTGAATTTTGAATAATCCCCCATTTTCATTAAAAAAAAACTCACATTTCTTTAGCAATTCTCTCCTCCTCATACTTCTCATGAAGTTTCGGTGCTTCAACCATTCTCATACTCATCACCGCCTTTCTCTCCATCATTTCTTCCAAATGCAAAGCTCGAATATGATGGTCAAAGTTCTTCTCCTGTTGTTGAAGTCTTCTCTGTGTCTCAGCTCTTTCCTTATCCAATCGTTCTCGTTGCTCTCTCAAAACTTGTTCAGGATCCATATCATGGAATTGATCCAATCCCTTCTCCTTAATAATCGCTTGATAAATCGCGTTCTGTTGCATTTTCCGCAATTGATCTTGCTTGATCTTTCTCTGAACCTCTTCCTGTTCCGCTTGTTTTCTCTTTCTCTCCGATTCCTTATTTTGCTCTTCCAACCTCTTCATCTCATCCGCACGCATAGCTTCTTCTCGTTTCGCAGCTTCTGTAGCCGCAGCCAAAGTCTTCTCTTGCTTAACACGTTCCCAATTCTCCTTATAATTCTCCAACTTCTTCCGTCTTTGTTGAATTCTCTCAACCTCATTCGCCCGATTTCTTTCATAATTAACAACGTGTTGTTCAATTCTAGCAACAGTTTCTTTCCGTCTCTTATCTCCATCCAAAGTATCAACAAGTTGACGAAGTTTGGTATACATAATCTCAAGATGATTGCGAACACCTTCGACTCCAAGTTGAGTATCGTCTCCAGTGAAACCTTCAGTCTCTTCAAGATCAACACCTCCAGCTAGGGTAACATCTGACGCGCCAAATCGAACACAATCCGATCTATGATCGATTTGAACTTTGACAATGCGATGTTTACTAGCTTCAACAACAATTCTTTCAAGTTCCAAATCAGAATAGAATGGGATAATGGCACGAATTCTCTTCCAGCTGATAGAATCATAGATTACCGAGATCTGAAATTTAGCAAAATCAGTAAACATAATTTATAAGGTTTCTGGGAAACCTACCTGTTTCAGCGATTTGATGGCAGCAACCGATTGAAGAGCATCAATATATTGAGCATGATCTGGTCTAGTGATACCTTTGAGAAGTGATTCAACATCTGTAGCAACTCTCAATGGAGCGAAATTGTTCTCCAATAATTTGTGCAATTCTCGGGCAGCCGAGCTCGCCGCTTCTGGAACACCAATACGAACGGCCTCTTTCAAAATGCTCGATTTCGTTGGAGCGATTGGAAGTCTCAGCAAATTCGACAAAAGTCGCATATTTGCCACGTGTTGATCTTCAATATCCAGGTTTCTTGTCAAATCTGATGGGGCATCCGATCCCTCGGGAATCGACAACGTCGCCAAAAGCACACGAGATGCTTGCTCTTGCGCTTCTTCTGGAGTGAATTGTTTCTTCATATCTTTGTAGATGATGTATTTTTGGAGAAGGGCGGCAGCGTGGAAGAGGCTGTTTCCAGCTTTCCAGAAGACGAGAGAAAGTTTGTCGTAGTAGTTAACGTAACTTGATGGTTTCACAGTTCTCTTGTCTTTGTCTTTTGAAAGTTGCATCATTCCATGAACATCTTCAGCGCTCCTGGAATAAAAATTTTGATAAAACATTATTCTGATTCTGAGATATAAAATAGAACTTACTTATATGCTTCTTGCCAAAGTTCCATTTGAATAGCTGTGTCAAATTGACACAATCTAGTTTCTTGCATAAGCGCCAAAGATTCCGGAGAACTCAATTTTACACTGAAGGAATGTGGCATATGTTGATGTTTTTGGATTTGATTCAAATGCATTCGCAACATATCACAAAGTTTGCGGAATTCGGTTCTTCTTTGATATCTCAAGCAAAATTTGAAGGATTTTCTGCTGATTTGATGGTAGAGTTGTTCAACTTGTGCATTGTTTCGCAATAATTCGAGACAGTTTCGATAAGAATCCCAAAGGAAGCGGAGCCATGGAGCAAGAACTGTTCGATCCATACGATCTTGAGCAGCAGCGCCTGAGACAACTGCGAGAAGAAGACGTTCTGGAATATCTCCTTGATCGAGATCTCCAATTTCTTCAACTTTTTCAATTGATTGCTTTTGGGCTTCTTCGGTTTTCTGTTCAGCCAATGACAAAAAATGTTCAACAACAGTTTCCAATGAATTCACATTGATTTGTTGAGTCAACGCTTTATATTGGAACAACGCATCTTTCGCCAAATGTTGTTTCTTGAAATCAACACAAAGTTCCATGTGCTTGATCATAATCTGCTCATGAACTGAAGTCCATTGTTTATGTCTTCTGGCTTTGATAGTGTCATGAAGTGTATCGAGAGCATCCGATTCTTTTCCAACTTGGATCAATTCTTCCGCTCTTTTCAAAGCTGCTTCCGGCTTTTGGAAATAATTTGGAGCCATATTTGTTACCTCTTTGGTGAGTCCTGGTAAAGGAGCTGAAAAAATATTGATTGAATAAGCAAATTTTGATGAAAAAGAAAAATTCGAAATAATCTATTTTCAAAAAAAAACCAAGTTTCCCAGAATTTTGAAACCCCTAAAACAAAGTCTCCTGGTCAATAAAAACCTGCTTTCAAAGCCTATCACAATTAAAACCTCTGAAAACCCACAAAAACGCTGAAAAACCCAGAAAAACACACTTTTTTCTGAAAAAAGCGACAAATGGAAATGAACAAAAATACGAGCGTGACGAGACCCATGCACACAAATAAATCGATGTTCCTTTAAAACGTATTTTCTTTTTTCGCGTTTCGATTTTTTAAAATCATCATTTTCGCTCTAGAAAATCGCAAATTTCCAGAAAAAAATGATGGCAGCACGCGCCGATTATCACGAAGGTGTCTCATGCGACGGGTGCAGTCAAACCGCTTTCAAAGGCATGCGCTACAAATGTCTGCGCTGCAACGACTACGATTTGTGTCATATGTGCTTTCGCGACAAAAATTTCGGCGAGCAGAACGCCACAGAAGTTTCGGCTCACGATGACACACATCCAATGCAAATGATTATGACGCCGCTGGATTTTGTTACGTGTTATGAGGGTGATCCGAGTAGAAATTATGATACTTGTAAAATCGTCAGCTTTACTTGCCCATATTGTCATATGAATGGTTTTAATCAACGGGGATTTGGTGCACATGTTACTACAGTACATCACGATCCACCATCTTATAATGTTGTGAGTCATTTTCACTTTTGAAAATAGATTTCGCAATGAATTTCAGATTTGTCCGGTTTGCATTAGTAACCCTGAAACGGAACACAGTTCAACTCGAGATACCGAAAATCTCCGCGCACATTGGAACGAGAATCATGCAAATCATAATGATTCATATCGAAATGAGCCGTCTCGCGCAGCCGCCAATCGTAGACCAATGTTAGCTCGACGAACAGTTCGACAAGTCGGCCAACAAGCACAACAACCAAGACCTCAAATGACACCAGTTTGGCCAATGGATACAGATATGGATATGAATGAGTTCCTGAGAACCATGCGGGATTCTTTAACAGCGGGGGGAACTGGAACCGCGCTCGAAATGCAACGCCCCGCCTTCATTCAACAGCACATTATGCGCAGTAATGCGCGGAACATTGAACAACAAGCTGCTGCTGCCGCGGCAGCCGCAGCGAGTGCCGCCGCAACAATGCCAACCGGCCCGCCTGTGATTTCGCATGGAAATATGATTCGACCGTTGAGAAGTACACCGGTTTATCAACAAACTTCGGATTTCGGAGAGGCGGCGCATTTTTTGGATGATTTTACTGAGGATGATTTTACGAGTGATGATCAGGCGATTTTGCCAGCGATTAGACCGGGAGAATCGGGAAGTCAAGAAGGTGGAGCACAATTTTCGATTGGCGAAGAGCAGGGGTAAATTTTTGGCATTCAAAGGTCACAAAAGTAGTCAGGAGCTCAAGAAAATTGAAAAATAACAGGGGAACTAGAATTTCAACCTGCAAAACCTAGTCCCTCTGTTTAAAAACCTGAAAAGTGCTCCGGAGCAAAAACCTAGTCCCCCTGTTGTTTGAACCTGAAAAATGCTTTGTGAGCCAAAAAATGCACGAGGACTAGAATTTTAACCTGTAAAACCTAGTCCCTCTGTTGTTTAAACTTGAAAATTCCTTCGGAGCTAAAAAACTCAAAAATAACAGGGGGACTAGAATTCAAACCTGCAAAATTTAGTCCCTGTGTTGCTCAATCTTGAAAAATGCTCGGGATCCCAAGGAAACGGGGGACTAGAAATTCAACCTGCAAAACCTAGTCCCTCCGTTCTTTAAACCTGGAAAATGCTCCGGAGTCAAAGGAAACAGGGGGACTAGGATTTTAACCTGCAAAACCTAGTCCCTCTTGTAAAATCCACGTGTTTTTCAGCAATTCCAACCAAAAATCCACGTGTCGACAAACCCATCTCTGTGATTCAGACAGTGAATATGAACTTCATATGGCCAGTGATGGAGATGTAAGTTATCCCTAGCTTTCTAGGAAGTTACCCTAACTTAACTTCAGATTTCAAGCGAAGACGAGATTTTAGACGATCGCGGATTCCGTCAAAAACCATTCGGAAATCCCGACAAACATCCAGAAAGAGACGAAATTTGGAAGGAATTACGCGAAAAATTGACAGCCGACGAGATCGAAATTGTGTTGGGCGCTCTGAAAGCCGAACCCGGATTCGAGTTGGATGATCGAGGAGATATTGAAGAGACGGATGTGAATGGAGGAGTTATGGGGCCTGTGATGGGACCGACTGGGCTTATTGGACCTGGAGGACCTGGAGTGATTGGACCAGGGGCTGGTGCAACTGCTACACCGTAAGATTTTTTTTTTTTTGATCTGGCAAACATTTTAAATTTGGATTATTCGCGCTAAAGCGTGAACGTAAATTTTGCCTTGTAAGGTATACTGTACCTCGAACTGCAAATATATGTAGTTTAGCGAGGGTTTTCCGGGCTGCAAGGATTACAGTAGCTTCCAGACTAGAAAGATTATTGTACTGTAATTTGAAAATTTTTGAATTTGGATTTTTCGCGCCAAATTTGCCACGTGGATTTTTGTGGAGCGAAATGAGAACAATTCAAATGTTTGATTTTCGGCTCAAAGAAAAATAAAATTCAAATTTGTATTTTTCGCTCTAATTTTGCCACGTGGATTTCCGGGCTACAAGGATTACTGTAGGTCACAAAGGAAAGAGGTATACTGTAACGAGAGGGGTACTGTAGCTCCCAGACAAGAAAGATTCTATACTGTATTTTAAACATTTTTGAATTTGGATTTTTCGCGCCGAATTTGTCACGTGGGATTTTTTTGCGCGAAATGAGAAAATTTCAAATTTCGATTTTTCGCGGTAAATTTTGCCACGTGGATTTTTAGAGCGAAACGAAATGAATTTCAAAATAGGGTTTTTTAGCGCGAAAAAAAATTCAGATTTTTAAGTGTAAACGCGGAGCATCGTAGTTTTTTAAATTAATTAAATTATCAAACGAGGCTCCACCTTTACGAGCATTTTTTTTCTAGAAAACTGAGCATTGCACGAATACTTCAAACCAGAAAATTTTTTGGATAAAGCCCGTAGAAAAAAACGTTGAAAAATCGATTTATAACAAAAAATCCGTGTTTCTCGACGTTCTTTTGAATTTTTCTTATTGAAAAATTTTTGTGGCGAGATATTTAATGTTGAAAATCCTTAAACATTTAGTTTTTGAAAAATTCCTGGATCAATTTTTTGTTATAAATGATTTTTTCTATCCCATAACTCACAAAAATCGATAAATCCTCCTCAATTTCAATATTTCCAGAATCGAAGCAGGTCCTCGTCTCCTTGCAAATGGCACCTGGGTCCTTCCACCATATCCAGGTGAACCAAATTGGCTTCCCCTTCGCTTCGATGGTCCCCCATTAGCAACTTATGGTTGTGGCCAATATTGGCGAGACAAACGATTCTTGCGTCAACGAAAATTCCATCGTGATCAAAGTATGGCTTCGACACAAAAAGAGGATATTGATAAGGCGAATGTTGCGTTGGCAATTTGTCGTGCCACGTGTCATGGAATAAATGAGCCGGAAGGAAGAGAGGTTAAAATTCGAGCATATGATCGACCGGATCGAGCGATTCGTCGAGCAATGAGACATTTGAATTTGGGGGCGGCGAGCGATGAAAATGGAGAGAAGTTGTTGAATATTTCGCAAATTGTGGAAGTTGAGGAGAATGTCAGAAATGAACAAGCCACCAATGAACCTGTTGTGAGTTTTCGATTTTTGGAAGAGATGGCCTAGAAAACCCATTTGGTTTTCTCGTCCACCCCTCTTATATTTTTTTGCTTTTAATGCTAAAAATTTGTGCAACTCACGTTTTCTTCTCTAAAAATGCTGCCTGATTGGAGAATTTTTTAAATTTAAAATACTCGAAAAAATTTGAATTTTATTTTTTTGCGCTATTTTTGTGTCACGTGATGAAATTGGCGGGAAAGAATAAAATTTGAATTTGATTTTTTCCTGCCATTTTTGTCACGTGGATTTTTTTTTTGGTTTTTTTTTTGATTTTTAGAGCTTGTGTATCAAATTTGAATTTTTCACATTTCGCGCCGAAAAAATCCACGTGGAAAATGATTTCAATTGAATTCTTGGCCGGAAAAGTGAAAAATTCAAATTTTGTTTTTTCGCGCCGAATTTGCCACGTGGAATTTCTGCTGCGAAACGAAAAAAGGTCAATTTTCGATTTTTGTTGCTAAGTTTTCCATGTGGAATTTTTTGGCGCGAAAATTTCAATTTCAAATTTGATTTTTTCCCTCAAATTTGCCACGTGGAATTTTTAGCGCGAAATGAGGAAAATTCAAATTTCGATTTTCCCCCAAATTTGCCACGTGGATTTTTTAGCGCGATTCAAAAAATCTTCAAATTATTCAAATTTTCCAGATTCTTTTCGATGAATCCGATTTTCTGGACAATATCACACTATCCAACGGAATTCTAGAAGCTCCTTCCTCAACTCTCCAAGATATTCCAGAAAATCCAGAAGAAGCTGAAAATTTGGAAGAAGAAGAAGCAGAAGAATCGCATAATGAATCATCGATACAGTAAGATTTTTTGGAAAATTTCAAACGACACTCCGCTTTTACGAGAATAGAAAAAAACAGAAAAATTTGGCTCTAAAACTCAAAAAATGTCCAATTTTGCAGAGCTCCAGTTGAAATAATAATCGAACATTCTTCTTCAGAATCCGGTGATGAAACTGAAGTTTATGAAGAAGAAGTTGAAGAAGCTGTTGATGATATTGATGATGATGAAGATTTGTTATCAACGAGTACCTAAATCTTGATTTTTTTTGAAGTTTTTGCTGTAAAATGCTCAATATTTTTTATTTCTTTACCCAGTGTCTAGTCTTTTTTTCGGTTTTTGAGACATAATGAATGAATAAGTTCCCCTTTTTCTTTTTTTTATCTGGAAAAAGCTGAAAATACATAGTTTTAGATTAGTTATTAATATTATATAATTAATCCTATTGACGTTCATTCGAAAGGATGCGGATTAGCTACGAAAATGGAGCAGCAACATTTTAAACATGATTCATTTTGGATCTTTTGTCTGGGAAATTTATTTTTGGATGGATTAGTGGAATGTTTTGATGACCTGTAAACGCGGAGCATCGTAGTCGAGAAAAATTCAAAATTTTGTGTTTTCCCGCAAATTTGGTTTTCAAGACTGCAAGGTGTACTGTAGCTCAGAACTGCAAATGTATTGAGGGTTTTCCGGGATGCAAGGTATACTGTACCTATTTGAAAACCTCGGCAAGGTGTACTGTAACTATTGGGTTACTGTAGCTCTCCCAGACTATTTACAAAGGTTACTGTAGCCAGGCAGACTGCAAGGGGTACTGTATTTTGAAATTTTTGCATTTTACGCGCCAAATTTTGCCACGTGGATTTTTTTTCAGCGAGAAACGAAAAAAAATTTTGAATTTTCTTTTTTCCCCCCAATTCTGCTACGTGGATTCCTTCGGCGGGAAAAAATCCAGTTTAAAAAATTTCACGAAAAAAAGAAAAAATCAAAATACCGTAGTTGGTTTAAAGGGACACACACAATGTTTGCCCGGTCTCGCAGCGACACACATTCAAACTTTTTTTTAATTGAAAAAAAAAAATTTTCTTTTTTTTTGCAAATTACTACTGTATATTTGGATTTCTCTTCCACGGCCATAATTTTTTCGCTCACCATAGATCACAAATCTCTTAACCTTTAAAATTTTAGTTCCTTGCTTGCAAAAAATAAGCAGTAAAGTCTAATCCCATCAAGTTTTTCTTCTTTTTCCATCCAGCACTTAATTAGTAATATCAATATTTTCTAGTCTTCAAAAATTGGCTTTATTGACATTTTCAAAAAGCCCCAATTAGTCGCGCACCTTTAGCTCTCTGTTTTGCTTTTCTGTGTTTTTTCTCTCTATGAAAATCCTCCCTCACTTAAATCTACTTTTAAATTTAATTTCCGGCTGGTCAGACTGAAAAATCCAGCTTTTTTTTGATATTTATACATCATTTTTTTTCCAAGCAACATATTTGTGTTCCTTGACGCATTTCCTGACTGATTGGGGGTGGCTGCGAAATTATGGGATGACAGCTGAAAAATGCACTGCTCTAATTGAAATGAATGATGTTATGAGCTATTTTGGGCTTTGTCAGCAGAATTTTAAAAAAGAAATGAAAAAAAAAACATTTTTTTCAAAAAAAAAAGTGTGTCGCTGCGAGACCCAGCAAACATTGTGTGTGTCCCTTTAAACCAACTACGGTATCTTGTTTTTTTCTTTTTTTTTTTAGTTGCGAGATTTTTTCAGCGGGCTTTCAGCGTGTTAGAGGGGTTTCAGGAGAATCTGAATACACCATCTGATTCGTCGCGATGAGATGAGTTAGGATAACTATATTCTAGCGGATTTTCAGAAAAGTTAAAGACTGAAAATCGAATTTTAATGATTTTAGGGTTTTGATGGGTTTCTGCGGCGAGAAAACTGAAAATTTGAATTTTCTTTGTTTCGCGTCAATGAAGAATCCACGTGGAAGAACTGGCGCGAAAAATCGAAATTTGAAAATTTTTCGTATTGCGCAAAAAAAATCCACTTGGCCTAAAATCATCTGAAAATTGAAAATTTGAAAATTTTTCGTATTGCGCAAAAAATCCACGTGGCAAAATAGGCGCGAAAAATGCGAATTTGAATTTTTTCCAAATCTCTCAAAAGGATTTCCTTGATAGTTTCTCGGAACAAAACGACTAACTAATCAGACAAATAAAATAATATCTTCTAATTTAATTTATTTTTTGTCACAAATCCCCACTAATCTCCCCCCTTTTCTTTTTTTTTCCAGTAAAAAAATAAAAGTTCATAATTCATGTGAGTGTGCGCATATAATTTCTGATCATTCATATCAAATCAAGCTGCGTCAAAACAAATAATTCAATTTCCTCGGAGGGTGGCTGATAATGTGAATGTGAATAAATGTTTCCTGATCATTTCTTGGAAGCTTCGCAGAGTTGGGCTAACTTCAAAAATCGTCATTTCGAATGAAAATGACAAATAATTATGTAATGAAATCATTTTCAGACCCACATTTTTTAACTGGTTTATCTGCCGATTATCCCCAGATTTTTGGGGATTATTTTAGCTTCAGTGGAGAAAAAATGTTGTCATTTGATTTGAACACAAAGATTGCTGGATCTGAATCTGAATTTGATTCAAAGAGAATTTTTTCTCTAAAAATTCAAATTTTTTTCCTGAAACCTAAATCACACAGGGTATTTTAAATCAAAATAAATATTATTTTATTTTTGGAAAATCCTAAAATTCCCCAAAAATCATGATCTTTTGTGCAGTTTGAGTCAAATCAAAATATTTTCCACTTAGCTAATCATTTAGGAAAATCCGAGGATAATCTTTAGGAAAAGTCGTTGAAAAATGCGTGAATCTGAAAATGATTTCATTTTTTTATTTTCTACAAGAGCAAAAGATCAAAGGAGCCGACAACCTGGCTGAATTGGCGGGAAAAATTCAAATTTGAAAATTTTCCCATTTCCCACTCGAAAGATCCACGTGGAAAAAACACGCGCGAAAATTTGAAAATTCAAAAAAAGACACGTGGCAACTCAAGGCTACTGTAGATCCGAACTGAGCTACAGTAACTCATGATTCTTCAAACTACAGTACTTTTCAAAGGGACATGCCAAGAAAAATAGTGGCGAAATTAGCGCGAAAAGTTCAAATTCAAATTTTCCCATTTCCCGCTCAACTTAATCCACGTGAAGAAATTTGGCGCGAAAAATCAAAATTTTTTGTTTCGCTCCGATAAAAATCCACGTGGCAGAATCGGTGCGAGAAATGCAAATTCAAAAATTTCCCATTCACCGCTCAAATTAATCCACGTGGCAAGATCGGCGCGAAAAAATCAAATTCAAAATTTTCCCATTTCCCGCTCAAATTAATCCACGTGACGAAATTTGGCGGGAAAAATCGAAATTTGAAAAAAAATTGTATTTCGCTCCGATGAAAATCCACATGGCGCGAAAAAACCAAATTTAATTTTTTTTCCAAAATCCACATGGCAAACTTCCAATCTGTAATTTTGAAGTTTGCTGCCAATAAAGTCCAAAACTTGTTGATTCTCCTAAAAACAACCCAAAAATAGCTCAATGGGGGTGGTTATTTTTATTTTTAATTTATATATGCCTAATCAACTATGCCTAATTATTATTATCATATGCTCTTTTAAAAATCATTGGGGAATTAAAGCGAGGGTGGAGCTGGAAGACTATAAAAGTGTGGATTCTCTTCAGTAAATGCTCATTCTGTATTTAGTTGTGATTTCAGATCTTCTGAGTCAATTCAGCATCACATCACATCATCAAATCTCATATAAAATGCGTCAAAAAATATATAATAATCTTAAATTAATTTCTTCTTTTTCTTTTTCTCTCGTTTCTCGCACAGATTATATTCGTGAGAAGTCGCGGAGAAATTGGGAGGGGCGGAGCTTCTAATAAATATCATAATCCGTTTTTGGTCAAAATCGCCCGAATGTTTAAGCTTATTTGATTTGAGTATAAATATTGCTGCTGTCGCTGCTGACTTTTCAGTTGACATTTTTTTCTCATGATTTTTGATAAGCGCCTGCTTAGTTGGGCTAACTAACTAGACTTTTTCTCTGACTTTGTGCTTTGCTTTGCTTGTTTTACATGAAATCGCTGCAAGACCTCGATTTTCAGCCTTAACTTTTCTGAAAATTTGTGATCGGATTCATCTCATCGAGACGATTCTGATGGTACATTCAGAATTTCCTGAGACCCCCTCTAACCCGCTGAAAACCTGCTGAAAAACTCTGAAAACAAAAAAAAAGAAAAAAATAAGATACCGTAGTTGGTTTAAAGGGACACGCACATTTTGCGCCGCGTCTTGCAGCGACACACATTCAAATGTTTTTTATTTTGAAAATTTTACTTTTTTTTTTTGAAAAAACGCCTGAACACATTTTCGCTGAAAATTGAAAACAAGATACCGTAGTTTAAAGGGACACACAACTTCTATTCCGGGCCTTGCAGCGACACACATTCAAATATGTTTTTTCTTCAATTTTTTTGCAAAAAATTCGGGTTTTTCACGAAATGTGTAAACACCGCGACGCAAAAATGCACCAAAAATACTTTAAGGGTAGCATTTTCTAATTTCCCGTCCTTTAGACTAAATTTGATTCGATTTGATGTTTTCCAAATTGATTTCTGAATAAATTCCATCATTGGACTCTTTGATTCTGTTATTTTGCAGAAACAGAAAATAAATACAAAATTTTGTACTTTACTTCTTCTTCTAAATCTCAAAAACCTTTCCTCTTTTTTTCATTTTTTCCCACCCAACAAGCTTAGTATAATAGATTTTCTCACAATTATCGCTGAAAAAAAAAATAAAACCTCAAGTTTTTCTTGTCAGCTGATTTTTCTATTTTTTTTGTTTCTTAATTATATAATATAACCCGAACCCTGAAACTTATAATTTACTTAATTTCAAAACGATCAGAAAATGTGTTCATGTCCAAAAATAGCCGCAGAATTGACGTAGCAAATCTATATTATTGTCAAACAACCCACCTCATCGAATACAAATAATTGAATATAATAATCATTTTGTGTCTTGGCTCCGCCCTAATTAATTTGTCATTTTTTTTCAGACTTTGAGTTTCATAGAGTGAGGTGATATGTCTCTTTTTGATTGCAATAATTCGTTGAGTTCTATGACTTCTACAACAACTTCTTCGGCCACAATTGTTAATTCAACACTTGCACTTTCGACGCGTAAGTTAGAAAGTTGGGGTTGAATACGCGCTCCATCGCACTGGTGCCCGCGAGAAAGTTTTTTTTCAAAATTTTTGAATTCCCATTCAATACGCGCTCCATCGCACTGGTGCCCGCGAGAAAGTTTTTTTTCAAAATTTTTGAATTCCCGTTCAATACGCGCTCCATCGCACCCGCGAGAAAGTTTTTTTCAAAAATTTCGACGTTAAAAGTGAAAATTTTGAATTCCCTCCATTTTTATGTGACGCGGCGCGGTTTGCGTTGCGTGTTTATGTAGATGGAGCGCGTGATGAATTGAAAATTATGTTCTGCAACCCTGGCACATTTTTTCTTGTGTAGGAAAAGTGTGCCAGGGTTGCATTGTGTAAAAAAACCCCAGTGTGTAAAAAAACCCCGAAAAATATAAATCACGTACTTTTCGAGCTACCGTAGTTCGGAAAAAGCGCGCGAATCAAATATTTGAATTTGGCAACTTGGACACATAGTTTATGCAACCCTGGAACACTTTTCAAATTGCTAACAATAAAAAAGTGTGCCAGAGTTTGCATACAACCAAGGTTCGTGGCGAGACCAATTTCGAGAACCCGCGCAAATATTTCTGTGCGTACACTGCGACGAACAATTGCACAGTTTTTATCAATACCGTACCCCCTGTTTTTCATTGCAGAAATCCCAACACTCCTGGAAACGCTGGCCTCTCTCCAACTCCCCACCTATCCTTCCACATCAACCGAAGTCTTTCAATTCCCACCGCCACCTCTGCCACGTGTCATTCCGCCAATCACAATCGATCCGATTCCAGTTCAGGTAGCTTTTATTTTTTTATTTTTTGATTTTTACTATGAAAAAAATTTTCCTGGGGGAATTACGTGATAAAAATTTCACCTGTCATGATTTTTGGATTACTTTGATGTGCGAGATTAGAACATAAACTACGGTAGCGGGAGGGGAGAAATCCGATTACGAATTTGAATTTTTTGGAGGGCTCTGGAATTTTCTGGAAGCTAAAAACAAATATAATTTACGTCAGAACTTTTGAACTTGACATTTTTTCAAATACCAAAATCTCAATTTTTGTTTACAAGTTTCATTTGCAAAAAAAAAACTAAAATACAATTAGCTCGATTTTTTTTTCGAAAATAAATTGTATTTAGAACAAATCACTAGACTTCTTCTAATACTAAACACATTTTGGAATCAGCTGTTTTTTAATCAAATTTTTAGAGAAAATAACGAGCAAGAAATATTATAGAAATCAAAAAGAAAAAATGGGGAAAAAAGTACAGTAGTTGTTCGGTGCGGGACCCACAGTTGGCGCGAACTAAAAAAAATTCAAATTTTGTTTTTTCGCTCTAATTTTGCTACGTGGATTTTCTAGCGCAAAACAAAAAAATTCAAATTTTGTATTTTCGCGCAAACTTTGCCATGTGGATTTTTTTCGAATCTGGTTTTTTCGCTCCAGTTTTGCCACGTGGGTTTTCTGACGCAAAACGAGAAAAAATCTGAAATTGCATTTTTCTCTCTAATTTTGCCACGTGGATTTTCATTTGAGCAAAACGAGAAAATTTCGAAATTTTATTTTTCGCTAAAATTTTGCAACGTGGATTTTCATTGGCGGGAAACGAGAAAAATTCAAATTTTGTATTTTCGCGCAAATTTTGTCACGTGGATTTTCATTGACGCGAATCGGAAAAATTCAAATTTTGTTTTTTGAAAACCAATTGGTGGCCTAGAAATATCACACATATGGAAGAGAAAACCAAATATACAGTAGACTTGGTTTTCTAGGCCACCTCTTCCAAGGGTCTTTTTTTCTCTGTGTCTCTCTCTCTCTCTCCCTCTCCCTCTCTCTCTCTCTCTCTCTCTCTCTCTCTCTCTCTCTCTCTCTCTCTCTTTCTCTATCTTTCTCGATTTAACCTGTTAGAGACGCAGAGTTGGACCGTATTTCGGAAAAAAGTAAAAGCTTCTGATCTACAATTTTTCTCGCCACGTCATAACCCTGATTCTTCCAGCCATCAATCCTGCCACCATCAAGCCTTCTCTCAAACCTCTCCCCAACCGCTCTCACACCAGCTCTCGCCAATCTTCTCTCAGCCACCACCGGTCCAAATCGTCGACTCTCATGCCCAGAAACTGTCTCGAACAACATTCTCCTAGATGTTCCAAGCTCCGAAAGACGTCGATTTTCCGATGGTTATACTGTGGATGCGCTTTTGCGGGAGGCCTATATTCCAATGACACCGGCGTCTTTTCTACAAGCACATGCTCAAGTTCAGGCGCAAGTCGCGCAGGTTCAACGACAACAACATCAGCCGCTGATTTACCCGGGAAATGGTGGTGAGATCAATGTTGCTCCAGTGAGAAGAGCAAGTTTGACGACCAGAAAACAACGAACAATTTATGGCAGTCGACAGACTGAGCAATTGGAAGACGCATTTCACAGTCAAAAATATATGGTTGGAGCTGAACGCGAGCAACTTGCACATCGACTTGGATTGACTGAATCGCAGGTTCGAGTTTGGTTTCAGAATCGCCGGAGCAAACATCGGAAATTGAGCAGGACTGATGGACCATCAACGTCAACTTCGCAAGAATGAGGAGAGATGGCCTAGAAAACCAAATTTGGTTTTCTCTTCCATAGTGTTTTTTATTGATTTGTTAGATCCTCCTGATCTCTTGAGTTTTCAGGGAAATATTTATATTTTTATTGGATGAATATTTTTTTTAAACATAAATTATTTGATTTCAATTAGTGTACTATACTGTAGTTCATTCTGAGAGTTACTGTAGATAATTGCGCGTGGAGTTTGGTGTATACAGATTTTACTTCAAATTTTGAAAATTCTGGTTTTCGCGGCAAAAATTTTATATTTTTGGATTTCAAGGATTTTTTAGAACCTAAAATTTAGCTACAGTGATCCAAAAATCTTTCCGAGACCCAAAAATCTGGTTATTTTGATTTAAAATTTGAATATGAATTTTTAGTGCGAGAATTCAGCTACAGTAATCCAAAGTTCCTTCCGAGACCCAAAAATCTGATTCTTTTGAGACCAAATTCAAATATGAATTTTTTAGCGCGAGAATTCAGCTACAGTAATCCAAAAATCCCCCCGAGACCCAAAAAATCTTATTCTTTTGATACCAAATTCAACTGTGAATTTTTAGCGCGAGAATTCAGCTACAGTAATCTAAAGATCTTTTTCGAGACCCGAAAAATGTAACGATTTTTCATTGAAAATTCAAATTTGAATTTTTAGCGCCAAAAATGTATCTGCAGTAATCCAAAAAATCCTTCCGAGACCCAAAAATTCGAAGATTTTCGACATAAAATTTGAATAAAATTTTTTGGCGGCAAAAATGAATCTACAGTAATCCAAAAATCTCTCCGAGACCCAAAAATTTAACGATTTTTTATTTCAAATTCAAAAATGAATTTTTAGCGCGAGAATTCAGCTACAGTAATCCAAAAATCCCTTCGAGACCCAAAAATCTAACTATTTTTCATTTCAAATTTAAACATGATTTTCTTGCCGCCAAAAATTTAGCTACAGTAATCCAAAAATCCCTCCGAGACCCAGAATTCGAACATTTTCGACACCAAGTTCAAATATGAATTTTAGCGCGAAAATTCAGCTACAGTAATCCGAAAATCCCTTCGAGACCCAAAATTCGACTGTAACCAAGCCAAAAAAAAGTCCCTATCAATTTTTAAAAATATCGAGGCCGTGGAAGAGAAAATCATTCGGTTCTCTAGGCTATCTCTTCCAAGGCTCTAAAAATTTTGCAAAAAAAAATGTTTTTCTCACATCAAAAATAAGCTATAACACTCCAAAATGCATGTTTTCTGTTTTTTTTTGCTGTTTCAAAAAAAAAATCATATTTTCAAGTGTGAAACATCATTGGTTTTGTTCCTTGCTTTGCCTGCCGAAAATCAAATATTTACACACCACAAAACTTTTCACTAACATTTTGAAATTTTAATTTTTTTCCTCACTTTTTTCGAAAAAGCAACTGCTCTTTTTTTTGTTAATTACTTTTTTTTCTTCAAAAGAAATTCGATTAGTTTTTTGCTTTTTCAAGAATTTTCACAAAAAAAACCTAATTTTTCCGCAAAAAATTATGTTTACGAAAAAAATATTTCGACCTACCTGAGAATGCGAAAAGATTCAAGATAACGTAAAAAAACATTGAGAGACGCAGAGAAAAATGAATCGTCAGAGAGATGATTTTTTTTATTCTCGTTTTATTGTTATTATTTGATAGATTTTTATTGTTTATAGATTTAATTTGGTGATTTTTCTCTGATTTATTGTTATAAATTTTTGAGGTTTTCGCGATTTTTTAAAATTTATACTAAGTTACCCTAACTTCACGCCAAACATGATGAAATGTAACAAAATTAATATTTTTCTATGCAGAAAAGCGTCGAAAAACAAAATATACAGAATATTATTTTGATTAGAGACAATGTGAAATTGAGAGGGTCTAGACAACACAAGATCATTTTTCTGACAAAAATACAACCAACTTCCTCGGAAAAGTTAGGGTAACTTGTATTTTTGTCTGAAAAACTATTTTGTGTTGTCTAGACTCTCTCAATTTCACATTGTCTCTAATCAAAATAATATTCTGTATATTTAGTTTTTTGACGCTTTTCTACATAGGAAAAATATTAATTTTGTTACATTTTATCATGTTTGGCGTGGAATTTGATGGGAAGTTAGGGTAACTTCGTAATTCAAAACTAGATTTTCTCCGAGGGCAACTAGAAAATATTTCTTATCTCCCCCCGAAATTTTATCAATTTTTTTCTCTTCTCCCAGAAAAAAGCTCAAATTTGTACTACTACTACTATCTCAATTTTTCTTCGTCTATCTTTTTTTTGTTGTTATTTTCCAGCCGAAAAAACACATTTGTTTCTTTTTTTGTTGTTTTCGCGTTCGTTCGCAAAAAAATTGAAAAAAGCTAAAAAAAAATATTATTTGCAGATGTCTTTGGCTAATGGAAACCTGAAACAGCAGCAAAATGTGAAAGGTACGTTGCTAGGCGAATTTTTTTTTTTGAAAATCAAAAAAAAATACAATTTCTGAACACATTCATTCATTTTACTCTATTCTAAACGAGAAATGCAATTTTGCCGGCAATTTCTCTGACAAACACATATTTCTCTAGACTCTCTCACTTCTTCACACTATTACTTCCGCGGTTTTTTCCCTCTTTTCTTCTAGTTCGCTGAAAAAATAAATTTTTTCCATTTTTTTTTCAAAAAAAAAATAAATAAATAAACGTGAAAGACGTGTTTTTGGTTCGAAAATGTTTATTTTCAAATTTTGTTTCTGCAGAAAAACGGGAGGAAGAAGAAGTGCAAATGGGTTGGCAATCGTATGTTGTGCCGATTGTTGGAAGCGCATTTTTATCGACTTTTACGTATTTTTTGGGTGAGTAAGGGGGTTTTGCAACTATTTTATGGTTTTAGAGGCAAAAATTTCGTTTTTTTCAAGGAAACTTGCAGAATTAGAGGTTTTGAGGTCAAGAAAAAGTTCCAGAAAATTTGAGGGTCTCGCAGCGATCCTGTTTTAGTTGAAAAATGTGCAAAAAGTACGCTAGAACTCTCAAAAATCCCCTTTTCAAGCAAAAAACCCTGGAAATCGCTGCGAGACCTCTTTCAGCCTCTAACTTGTCTGAAAATCCACCGCAAAAACTAGAATATAGTTATTCTAACTCTTCTCGACGAGACGAATCAGATGGTATATTCAGAATTTCACGAAACCCTCTCTAACATGCTGAAAACGCGCTGAAAATGAAAATGCGCAGTTCCTAGATTTGTAAACACCGCGACGCACAATTGCACACAAATGCTATTACCGTAGGAAAACTATGTGAAAAATGTTTTTTTAACGTGAAAACTGTGAAAATTCATGTCAGAATCTCCGAAATTCTGAAAAATTGCAGGCAAATGGGATTATTCCTTCCTCTGGATTCTATTAATCGTCATAATATCAGTAACAAAATCATATTTATGGCGAAAACGAGAGCGAAGATTGATGTCCCTCCGATCAACAGCCCTCCGAGAGCGAGAAGTCATCCTAGCACAGCTCCAAGATCTCCCAGCTTGGGTTCAATTTCCAGACACGGAACGTGTTGAATGGATCAACAAAGTTGTCCATCAACTCTGGCCATATATCGGAGAATATGCGCGAACTTTTATGAATGATTTTATCATTCCTCAAGTCAAAGCGCAAATGCCAGGCATTTTCAAGAACTTCAAATTCACAAAAATGGATATGGGTGACACGGTGTGAAAAAAAAAACGTCTTTCATCAGAAACAGCCCGCACAAAATTGAGGGGGAGGAGACAATGCAAACGCGCTCTAGCGAAATCAAAGACTCCGTTCGTCACGAGACCCGCTCGTTTTTACAAAGCTTTTTTTTAGGCCCAACTTTCTTTTCTTTTTTTTTCTGGTTTTTTGGGGGAAACACGTTTTTTTTTGATTTTTGGGAAGTTTTTTGTTTTTCATACTTTAGTAAGTAATAATTTCGGTTCTCTTTTGAATAATTCCATTTTATTGCATGAAATGTAAATGTTTCTCGAAGAAAAACCTTTTTTGTTGGAATTTATACTTTTTTGCGAATAATTTAGTGTTTTCAGGGGTTCTCCGTGTTTTGTCACGATTCACTCGCGCCTCGACCACTTATCAAAACTCAATGATTCTTCTTATCGCCGAACAACCAGTGCAACATCTCGAATTTTTCGGAATGGTTAGTTTTTCTAATCATTTGAGCTGATTTCAATAATTTTTTACTTATTATAGGGCGGAAAAAGCAAAAAAATCAACCGGAACACCGCTTCATCATTCGGATTTGCTTGTGAATGTTGTGCGCAAACTGGAGGAATTGTTCAACAATCATCTGCAGAAAATGCCAATTGAGGAGCTCGAGTCGAAGCCAGAACTGATCAATTCATCAGAAAAAGAGAGGAGAGGAAATGCGAAAGAAGCACTTTCACCAAAACCATGGAGGTTGGAAAATGAAATCGAGTTTCACATTGATTGTTGATATCAAAAGGAGGAAAGAGTCAATTGGTTAGTTCTTTTAAATGTGTAAATACCCTCCCTCAAGCTTTAAATTTTCTTATAATCCATCAAAATAATTAACATCTGAAAATCTATTGAAATAAATTATCTGCCTCAAAATCTGTCGCATCTTTTGCTCTTCATTCCGGGTGCATTCAAATCTTCTTCTCAATTTGTTGTATAGTGCATGAAAAGCTTCAATCGATTGCTCGCTCATTTGTCTATTTTTAGTTCTTCCAATAACTTCAGATTCTCGTTTCTTTCATGATCATTTTGTTGTAGAATTCTACCAGTTTCAGCGAGAGTTCTTTCTAAAATTTAATCCGAATTCTTAATCTCCAATCTCAAATATCTTGATTTTCCAGATTCGTGTATAGCCGCCTGGATTCGTATATTGTTCGAAATCGCCACCGACGAATTCAGCTTCTCCGCGTGATCTCTCAAACAATCGTAACGACTTCTCACATAAATAATTGTATTGTAAAATCGTTTACAAAGTGATTTCAACTTCGAATTTTTATGCTTTTTAGCTTCATAAAGTGCTTTGAAGTCGTGCTGGGGATTGGCTGCTGGGTCAGGATCCATTCAGAATAATTAGAAACTACAGACCAGATTTTAACAAATAAAATTAGAATTTTTCTATCAAAAATGATGACAACCGATGTATTTCTCCCGTTCATTCTTCCTCTGTGAGACCTTTAACTTGGATATATCGGTGATCCTTTAAAACATAGAAAAACAACACCAAAAAAGTAAAAAAAAAAACCCATTCAAAAATTATTTTCAAACTCCCGCCGCTCTTCTTGCTACAGTAGTCTTCTCCTCTCTGTCTCTAACTAGCCCCGCCCATTTGTTCTTTATTTCTCTAATGTAAATTTTGAAAGGAGAGGGACGTTGGGAAAATATCGCCGTGGTGATATACCGTGTCGTGTGGGAGGTATCAAAGTTTATACAACAAATGTTGGGAGAGATCGAATCATTGTTGATATGGATGTTGCGTATGCGGGTGATGCGGATTTCACAGTTTCCTGCTGTGGTTTTACTGGCGGGATGAATAATATTCAATTTTCTGGAAAATTGCGAGCTATTTTAAAACCACTTTTACCCTATCCACCAATGGTTGGTGGAGTTTCTGGCACATTTTTGGAGATGCCCAAAATGGACTTTAATTTGACTGGAATGGGAGAGATGGTTGAATTGCCTGGATTGATTGATGCGATTCGAAGTGTTATTAATTCGCAAATTGCGGCGCTTTGTGTTTTGCCGAATGAAATTGTTGTTCCACTTGCTCCCAATGTTGATGTCACTAAATTATACTTCCCGGAACCAGATGTGAGTTTTTTGAGGGGAAACTTGAGCTAACTAGATAGATGCTGGATGGTTCCAAGGGGTTTCCCATGAAAAATGATTGATTTTGGCCGAAAAATAGCAAACGCGCTCTATTGAACTCTCCCCGTTTTGTTGAAAAATTTAAAAATTCATTTTTTTTCTGAATTTTGATTAGAATATTCCAGGTTTTCCCATGAAAATGAGGAATTTTGACCCAAAAATAGCAAACGCGCTTTATTGAATTAACCCCGTTTCTCTGAAAAATTCAAAATTTTAATTTTTTTGTTCTTATGAGTTTTGTGTAGAAAATTCCAGGTTTTCCCATAAAAATAATGGATTTTGACCCTAAAATAGCAAACGCGCTCCATTGAACTATCCCCGTTTCTCTGCAAAGTTCAAAAAAAAAATGTTTTTTTAATGTTTCCGAATTTTGAATAGAAAATCCCAGGTTTTCCCATAAAAATGAAGGATTTAGGCTTAAAAATAGCAAATGCGCTCCATTGAACTTTCACCGTTTCTCTGAAAAATTCAAAATTTTAATTTTTTTTCAATCTGATGAAGTCTTAGTCAAAAAGGGATTTCGGCCCCCAAAAATAGCAAACGTGCTCCATTGAACAAACAATTCTTCCTTCCAGGGCGTAATTCGTCTCAAAATCATCGAAGCCAAAAATCTGGAAAATCGCGACATCTCATTCATCAAAAAAGGCAAATCCGATCCATACGCTGAAATTCAAGTCGGCTCACAATTTTTCAAGACTCGAACAATCGACAATGATTTGAATCCGATTTGGAATGAATATTTTGAGGCTGTTGTTGATCAAGCTGACGGTCAGAAGTTGAGAATCGAATTGTTTGATGAAGATCAAGGAAAGGATGAGGAATTGGGAAGATTGTCGATTGATTTGAAATTGGTGCAAGCGAAGGGAACTATTGATAAGGTAATGGATCAATTCATCTGAAGAAAAAATGAATTTCGCGACATTTTTTGTCGCGAAATTGCAATTCGCGAAACGACACGAAATTAATAAAATAAAAGAGGAAATAATTTTTTCGTGTGTTGGGTCTTGCAGCGATTACGTGTCCCTTTAATGTTTCTCCTTTATTTTTGTGTTTATTTCGTGTCGTTTCACGAATTGCAATTTCGCGACAAAAAATGTCGCGAAATTCATTTTTTCTTCAAATGAATTGATCCATAAATCATGAAAAATTATGGATTTTTGGCTCAAAAATAACAAACGCGCTCCATTGAACTCTACCCATCTCTCTGAAAAATTCAAAACTTTATTTGTTTTCTGGTTTTTTCATGGAAAATGACGGATTTTTGGCTCAAAAATAACAAACGCGCTCGATTGAACTCCCCGCGCTTCTATGAAAAATTCAAAATTTCATTTTTTTTATTCTGATGAATTTTGAGTAGAAATTTCTTTTTTTTCTGTGGAAAATGAAGGATTTTGACTCAAAAATAGCAAACGCGCTCTATTGAACTCTTCCTGTTTGTCTAAAAAATTCAAAATTTTAATTTTGAGTGAAAATTCCTGGTTTTCCTTGAAAAATGATGGGTTTTTAGCTCAAAAATAACACACGCGTCCCATTGAACTTCCCGCGTTTCCTTGCAAAATTCAACATTTCATTTTTTCTCATTCTAATGAATTTTGAATGAAAATTCCAAATTTTTCCATGAAAAATGATGGATTTTAGTCCAAAAATAGCAAACGCGCCCCATTGAACTCCCCGCGTTTCATTGGAAAATTCAACATTTCATTTTGTTGTTCTGATGAATTTTGAATAAAGGCTTCTGGTTTTTTCAGTGGAACGCATGAATTTTGGCCCAAAAATAGCAAACGCGCTCCATTGAAAAAAATAGCAAACGCGCTCCATTGAAAATTCCTCGTTTCTCTGAAAAATTCAAAATTTCATTTTTTTTTTCTGATGACATCTGAACGAAAATTTCTGGGTTTCCCAAAAAAATGAGGAATTTTGTCCGAAAAATAGCAAACGCGCTCCATTGAAAATTCCTCGTTTCTCTGAAAAATTCAAAATTTCATTTTTTTTTTCTGATGACATCTGAACGAAAATTTCTGGGTTTCCCAAAAAAATGAGGAATTTTGTCCGAAAAATAGCAAACGCGCTCCATTGAACTCACCCCGTTTTTTCTGAAAAATTCAAAATTTTTTTTTCAATCTGATGAATTTTGAGCCAGAAGTTCCTGGTTTCCCATGAAAAATGACGGATTTTAGCCTAAAAATAGCAAACGCGCTCTATTGAACTCAAAAAATTTTTTTTTTGAATTTTGAGAAAACACATATTTTTTCCAGTGGTACCCATTAGAAGGCTGCAAACACGGTGATCTTCACATCAAAGCCACATGGATGGATTTATCCTGCGATCTTCGACATCTAGAAAAACAAGAATGGGAATCCGAATGGGGACAAGCTGATAAACCAATACATTCTGCATTATTAATGGTTTATATCGATTCAATCGCTGATTTACCATACCCGAAATCAAAGCTTGAACCATCGCCATTTGTTGAAATCACAATGGGAAAAGAAACACAGCGAACACCGGTGAAAGTCAAAACTGTGAATCCATTATTTCAATCGAAATTCATGTTTTTTGTGCGACATTTGGAAGGACAAGAGCTCAAATTTGAAGCATTTGATGATGGAACACGAAGATCGCTGGGGACTTTGAATCTACCGATTTCGGCACTTCTTAAAGAACCAAATCTCGAACAAAATCAGCAGATGCATATGTTGACACTTGGTGTGCATCAAAGTCCAATGGTTGTGACAACGAGAATTCGGGTTGGTTATTTTTTTAGGGAGGGAGGAGGGGGGGGGGGGAGGGGATTTACAGTTGAAATTTCGAATTTTTAAATTTTAGTAAACATTTGTCAGTAGAGCGTATTTGCATTTTTTTTTTAAATTTTGAGCTTGAAAATTTCTCTAGGCGCTGGTCCTTGAGAATTTGAATTTCTAGGAGCGGCTACTTGATAATTAGGGTTTCTAGGCGCGGCTACTTGACATAGAGGCTCTCGAGGCGCGGGCTCTAGGCAATTAGATTCTCTAGGAACGGCTCCTTGAGAACTAAGCTCTCTAGGTGCTGGTCCTTGACAAATGCACTTTCTAGGAGCAGCTACTTGACAACTAGGGCTTGTAGGATTGGCTACTTGGCATAGAGTTTTCAAAGGCGCGACTACTTGGGAACTAGGCTCTCTAGGCTTGGCTACTTGACAACTACAATTAGGCTTTCTAGGTACTGGTCCTTGAGAATTTGAGCTTTTTGTCAATTTTTCAAAATTTTAACTGATATTTTCAGTTTCAGAAAAATTCATGAGAGTTTTTTTGACGCGAAAATTTCAGTTCAAACATTTTTGAATTTTTTTGCGCTAAATTCTAAATGAAACTCTGGGAAATTAAAAAATCCCACTCATAGATATTTAACGAGCAACTAAATTCAAAAATTTCTCTAAAAAATATTTTTTTTATCCTGAAAATTCGAAAAAAAATCAGAAGTGTTTTTTTGGCGCAAAACTTTGAATTTTCAAATTCTAAAAAGCTAATTTCAAAATTTTCAAAAAATTATATCATCCCACTTCTATATTTCTTCACGGCCTTCTCAATTTATTCAATTTTTCCTTATTCAATTTTTCAAATTTTCAAAAATAGCTTGCATGTCACATTGTCACCTGTGTTTTTCCTCCAAATTGCAATGTTTTTCTCCCATTTTTCTAGGTATTCTCGAAATCGGATGGAAATCGTCAAAAAATGGATGAAATTCGACAGGCAAAATTGGACGAGGACAACCGGAATCATGTAGATTTTTAGGGCTTTTTTCAGGCTTTGCTAAGGGATCCTGCTACCATTTTCACACCCGCTTCTTGCACTGTATTTTAGAAATGTATAGAAAAATTATCGCAGAATGTCAGAAGCTTCAAATTTTACCGTATCTCACTCAAATTTTACCTCTGAATGAATCAAACTACATACTTTTAATTGAAATTTTAGGCGGTTGTAAAAGGACGTGGAAAATCTGCAAATGGACATTTGGATCATGATGTTCTTGGAGAATATGGGAATGGTATGTAACTACACTATAGTTAGTTCCCTTTCCAAAAAAATTATCTGAAAATTTCCAGCATTCCACATCGAAAGAGCCAAGGAAAATGGGGATGTTGTGGCTGTCGAGCCAGCGAAAACTGTGAATTTTGATGCGGCTGAAGATGAGATTGAGGTGAAATTGAATGTGGAGAATTATCAAATGTTGAGATCGGATTCGACAGGATCATTGAATAGTGCGAATCGATCGAATAGTCGATTGGGGAGATTGTTCAAATCGAAACATGAGATGAAGAAGAGGGAGACGAGGTGGGGGTTTTTGAGGGGGATTTATGATATCAGATGAGCTAATATGAATTCAGAACCTGAAATTACAGGTCGACATTTTCTCCAAAAGCCATTTTGCAAAGCCAAAATTTTTACAAGTCTCAATTCTTTTTTATTTTTAGACAGATTCCTGAATGTATTCAGAACCTGAAATTACAGGATGCGCTTAGATTTTTAGTGATAGTAGAAATTTAATTTTGAAACCACTGCTGAAAATACAGAGGGCTGAAATTTTTCGAATTTTTCAAACCGATGTTTAGGATTCAGAATTTTGTTTAATAATTCTGAAAGCGAATTTGATTACATAAAATTTTTCAGACAAGTTTACAAGGAAACGTTTTCAATGTTCCCCCCTGAAAAAAAGTGATACTATGCGGAAAGTGTAGTACCCCCATGGGTGTGAAAAAGCCCAAAGGGAATTTGGAAACAAAAATTTATTTTCATGGAAAAGTTGTGATCGAAGATCAAAAAAGATGTCATTTTCAAAAAATCATAAAACGGTTCAAAGTTCACGAAAAGTTTCGATCAAAACAGGATTCTGTAGCTAAAATTGTCAATTTTAATCCTATTTTAATTGTGATATTTAAAAAAATTAAAGAAATTTTTAAATTTTAAAAATTCGAAAAATTTGATTTTTCTACCAGAAGATGGAAGTTGTGTGAGATGAGACTAGAAAAATCAAATTCTACGCCCAAAGTTACGTCTATGGGCATATATAAATTGTTCGGTTCCCGGCCATTTACAGACGGAAAAAAATAAAAATTAATTTTTTGCGCTTAAAACCACCTAAACGGCAGTTTAGAAATGTTTTCGCATGCGGTCAAGTCGTTAAGTTCATTAATTACGGAGTTTTGATACCCAGGTTCAATCCCCGCTACGGGCAAAGCTTTCAAAATGTCATTTCTACAATACCTTAACTAGGAAATCCAAATTGGAGCATATTTCCTTGAGTAATGGAAACAAACATTTGCAAATTACGACCGAGTTGCAAGTGGTCTGCAACGTGCTCACTTGTGCAATGTTTGCAGAGGGTCTGCAGCTAGTCTGTAGCAGACCTGCCAAAAAATTAAAAAAAAACGTTGGCTTTCGATTTTTTTTCTATTCTTTGTTTCCTCAAGATTTCAAATCTAATTTTCAACTACTCTCTGCAGACGTTGCGCAAGCGAGCACGTTGCAGACCACTTGCAACTCGGTCGTAATTTGCAAATGTCTGTTTCCATTACTCAAGGAAATATGCTCCAATTTGGATTTCCTAGTTAACCTATTCTAGAAATGACATTTTGAAAGCTTCGCCCGTAGCGGGGATTGAACCTGGGTATCAAAACTCCGTAATTAATGAACTTAACGAATTGACCGCATGCGAAAACATTTCTAAACTGCCGTTTAGGTGGTTTTAAGCGCAAAAAATTAATTTTTATTTTTTTCCGTCTGTAAATGGCCGGGAACCGAATAATTTATATATGCCCATAGACGTAACTTTGGGCGTAGAATTTGATTTTTCTAGTCTCATCTCACACAACTTCCATCTTCTGGTAGAAAAAATCAAATTTTTCGAATTTTTAAAATTTAAAAATTTCTTTAATTTTTTTAAATATCACAATTAAAATAAGATTAAAATTGACAATTTTAGCTACAGAATCCTGTTTTGATCGAAACTTTTCGTGAACTTTGAACCGTTTTATGATTTTTTGAAAATGACATCTTTTTTGATCTTCGATGACAACTTTTCCATGAAAATAAATTTTTGTTTCCAAATTCCCTTTGGGCTTTTTCACACCCATGGGGGGTACTACACTTTCCGCATAGTATCACTTTTTTTCAGGGGGGAACATTGAAAACGTTTCCTTGTTAGACTAGAAAAATCCACATGGACTTCGAAATTTATCTGAAAATAGTCCACTGCAAAAAAGCCACGTGGTACAAATCAAACTTCATCAGCACCTGAATTTAGAAGTTTATGAATTTTCAAAATTTAATTTCAATGTCAAACATTTGCTCATTTTCTAAATTTAGAATTTCAAAACTATATTTTTTCCCCAAAAAAATCAGCTCCAATTTTCGGAACACACCTCGGCCAAGCCGTGGCTGGCCAGAGTACAATTTTTTGAAAAATCTGAATTTCAGTTTTTAGAGGTCAAACTTTGAAAAATAATATTTTTTAGAGGACAAAAACTGAAAAATTCACAATTTTTGTACTGTAAAAAGTTAGCGTACAATTTTTTATTGTGGAAACCTCGATTTTGGCCAAGGTGTGTTTCGGAAATTCAAAATTCTTCAAAGTGAACCCTCCTCAAAATTCCATTTTCTTTCCAGAGGCGACGAGAATCGCGGATCAATCGAGCTCAAAATCGACTACAACGAGCTCAGCGATCAAATCCTCATCGACATTTCCCGCTGTCGAGATTTGGTAACTTTCGACAAAAAAGAAACGTGTAATCCATATGTTTCGCTCAAAATTGTGGCGTTGGATGGTGGAAAAGAAGTTTATAAGAAGAAAACGCCAACAGCGAAGAATACCAGACATCCACATTTTGATAATCAGTGGGTTTTTTTTTACGTGGAAACGTCAGACTGCTAAAACGGAAGCTTGCGGGAAAATATAGAACTTATCATGCCGGATCTGAAAATTTCACTGAAAATCAATGAAAATATGGATTTTCACTAAAATTTTGAGATCCCGCACAGGGAAATCTATCGTCAATTTTTTTTTCGAGCGAAGCGGAACATTCCGCGTGGATAGTTATGACGTGGAAAGGCTTAGGCTTCTTAAACCCCCCCCCCCGGAAAAATCTAATCATATTTTTTTCAGCTTCGAAATCGATATGAATTCATCAGACCTGCTAAACCATAAAATCGTGATCAATGTCAAAGATGATACAAATTATGGAACATTTGTGGCCAAGCCAGTTTTAGGATGTTTGGAAATTCGACTCGACTCATTGATTGATCGAAAATTAAGCCAAAGATGGATTCCGCTGAATGTTGAAAGAAAATAACCCTTTTATCCCTAAATTTTCCTTAACAACCTTACGGGTTATATGTATTTTTATTTTTTTTATTAAATAATGAAATTGTTTCAATTAGAAAGACACGTATAGAATATGAAAATTCCCAAAAATATTAGAAAGATCGGCGAAAATTTGGATGAGTGATTTAAGGCCCCCAACATGTCGTGTTCATTGCAAAAATCACCGACGCACGAGCAGAATGTGACCTAGAAATAAAATATGAAGTTTTAAAAACATATTCACGTGGCAACTTAGGCTAACTTACCGTATCGGTTTTTCCGGACAACTGTATTAACCTGAGAATTTTTCGATCTGTTCTCCGACACAATCGATGATTTTCATAAGAGGAGAGCACGTTTCGAACGTCGGCGTCGAGCCCGAAAAGTAGGAGACGATCCATGCAGCCGCGTAGAACACCGCGATGACTTTCGTTATCTTCGTAATCTGGAAATTTGGGATTTTTGGTGAGAAAATTTAGGAAATTCTGATATTTTTGGACAAAAATTCAAGTTTTTGTGCTATGCTCCTTTAAAAATTTGGTACTGTAAGTAATTATTTAGAATTTGCCGGAAAATCTGAGCCGATTCTGATTCAAATTTTTTGGATTTTTTTCATGCGCTTTTAAAAATTAGTAATGTAGCGAAAACAAATCCAGATTCCTGAATTTTTCTGGGCTGATTCTGATCCAATTTTTTTTCAAAATAATTTTGTTTCGATTTTTCTTGATACCCCTTTAAAAATAAGTACTGTAGCGAAAAAGATTCTAATTTCTGTGCTATGTGCCTTTAAAAATTTGGTACTGTGGCTATTTAGAATTTTCCGGAAAATCTGAGAATGCTGATTCTGATTCTATTTTTTTTCAGAATAATAATTTTGTTTCGATTTTTCTTGATGCGTCTTTAAAATTCTGGTACTGTAGCGAAAAAAAATTGAAATTTATAAATTTTCGAATTTTTTTGATGCACCTTTAAAATCTAGTACTGTAGCGAGAAGGCGATTATAAAAGGGAAATTCAATTACACTCCAAAATCACCCTTTAGCTCAGGCGGTTACGCGTTCGCTTTTGCCCCACAAGGTGGCAGGATCGATCCCCGCCCGCGGCAAATTTTTTTTGATTTTTCACGCCACAATTTTGTTTTTGAATTCAGGTCCCCTGCGTTCCCCCCAAAAAAGATATGTTTTGCCTATTCAAACAATGCAATTTTAATGAGTTTGTAGCATTTTTCAGTGCTCCGTGTGCATACATTTCAAATTTCAATGATGACATTGATGGATCTGTCTCTTTTATTCATTTCCGGTCCAAAAAAACTAGGAAAAAACCAATATTTCTACACACCTTCTTAACGATTCCATTGTTTTTCTCAGGTCCCTTTTACAACCAAACACAAGCCTTAGAAAAATATGAAAATACTACTAATAATAGAAATATATAATATTATTATGTCAAAGCAACAAACAAACAAATATATCTAGAGACCTCATTAGAAATTACGACAAATGATTTTGAAAAATGGGGAAAAATGGGGTGAAAGAATGGGCAAATTTGAGAGACGCAGAGAAAAGTGCGCTTTTTTATTAGGTGGGTACTGAGAATTCCGAAAATAAGGAAGTTGAGACTAATTCAGAATAGAAAAATGAAAATTGCCACGTCATAAATTCAAAAATTCAGATTTTTAAAAATAAAACGCAAGCTCGCTCTATTGATAATAATCTTTTTAAACTTCATTTTTTGAAAAATTTTCACCGAAAAAAATTCGAAATTTTCACATTCCCGCCTTGTTTCTCAGTGGAGCGCGTTCTGAAGAATTTGGGAGAAAATTTGAATTTTCCGGTTTCCCGGGGAGTTTATCATTGGAGCGTGATTGCATATTTTTGAACAAAATTTGAATTTTTCACATTCCCGTCTTGTTTCTCAGTGGAGCGCGTTTTGAAGAATTTGAGGGAAAATTTGAATTTTCCGGTTTCCCGTGGAGTTATCAGTAGAGCGAATTTTCACTTTATCTTCAAAAATTGAAATTTTTGCATTCACGCTCTATTGATAACTGCCTGGCAAACCAGAAATTTCAAATTTTCCCTGATTTTCTAGTGAACTTTTTCTTCACTGATAAACTCATTGGGAATCAAGAAAATTCAAAAAACTTTTCAAACGCGCTCCACTGCTAAACTCCCCGGGAACCAAGAAAATTCAAATTTTTTTGCTTTTCTACCTGAAGTTCTAGCATGATTTTTCTCATATTTGCAAACGCGCTCCACTGATAAACTCCCCGGGGACCCAGAAAATTCAAAAATTTTCCCAGAATTTTCCTTTTTTTTAAATTTTCCCCGTTTCCAAGCCCATGTCAATTCAATTCCAATTCTTATTCTTATTCCGATTTCATTCTCGCGTGTTTTTTCATCGTCATTCAACTGAAACTGAAACATAAATGTGTATCTAGATACATATATTTTTATACATATCTAAATAAATGCAAACACACACACACACATACATTTTTATTTTATTTTTACACACGACTTTTGGCTAATGAAAAATTCGGCCCCCAAAAAATGCACTTTTTGATTAGTTGAGCACATACATGAAAGGAGGAAAAGAGCAACAAAATAGAAAAAAATGATCGCGCGCAGGCGGGGGCTCGAACCCAGGTCTTGTGGGTGGCAGGCAAAAACGCTAGCCACTCGGCCAGATGGCTGTTTTTGAAATGTAGGGGAAATGTTGGTGAGAAAGAAGCTGTTTTTTTCACTCACCAATACTATTCAATCCCTCAATTTCTTCTACCAACGTGAAACACCCAGAATTGCATTGGACTATACCAATATCTTTGCCTGGTGACCAGCATTGATCTGTGAAATTTTTTGGCGGATAATAGTGTGCTAGGAGTTTGTCCCAGTGTTGTAAATAGGCGAATGAGGCACAGCTGGAAACAATTTGAATTTAAAAGTTTTCTTGATGATTATCAATGGGGCGCAGTTGCACAAATTTATTTTTTTTCTTTCAAAATTCAAATTTTCAAGATTTCCTGATTTTACTCAATAGAGCGCGTTTGCACAAACAAAAATTCGTTTTTTCGAGGGAGAAAAGTCAACTGCGCTCTATTGATAAACCCCCGGAAAACTTAGAAATTCAAATTTTGAATATTTAACAAAAAAAATTAAAAATGTGCAATTGCGCTCTAAAATTTTGAATTTTCAAGATTTTTTTATATTTCTCAATAGAGGGCGGTTGTACAACTTCAGAAATTTATTTACAAAATATAATGAAAAATGTGCAATTGCGCTCCATTGACAAATCTTTAGAAAATTCAGAAATTCAAAAACTTTAATTTTTTTGTCAATGATAAAATTACAACCGCGCTCCACTGAGATTCTGAAAATGTTTCGCGCGAAAACCAAAAATTTGAATTTTTAAGCTCGGAAACCTGCAAAACTGCAAGCATTTTTCAAACTCAGCAAATTCTTTTAGTTTGCAAATGCGCTCTACTGCTAAATCCCCAGAAACCCCCAGAAATTCAAAAATTCCTCACCTGAAACAATGCGTTTTGATATGATTTTCACTATGATGATGATGCGATTTTTCCAAATCCAGCAAAATCGAACAATTGGCAAATAATATAAGAAAAATTAAAATAAGTGTAGAAAACCACATCACATGATGACTGAAAATTGTGTGAAAATCTGAAAAAAAAAACATATGTTGTTGAATAGTTGGCTAATTGGAAAAAAAGTGAGAAAAAGTGAAAAGTGTCACTAATTTTCTTGCCATGACAACCGGAAAGAAAAATGAGAAATGAGAAATGCGTGGTTTCGACTTTTGATTAATTTGTGAGCCAAACGGAGTTAGGCTAAATTTGATTTACACCAGGTGCACACTAATTTATTTTATTTTATTCAATTATTTATTACTTCTTAGAGCTGGTTGTAGTACTTTAAGGTTAATTGGATTTTTGGTTGGTTAGTTAGTGACTAAGCCAAATTTTTGGGAAAAAAAGTTTAGAAATACAAACGCGCTCTATTGAACAAGTAAGAAGTTTTCGGGAAAATTTGAAAAAAAAAAGAAGCTACAGCTTAGAAAACAGTATTTAGAACTGAATTTTGAGACTTGGGAAACTTGGGAATTTTTTTTTAGAAAAAGCAAACGTGCTCTATTGAACAAGTGGGAGTTTTGGGGAAAATTTGAAAAATTTTGAATTCGGATAACTTTTTCGCGCCAAAAATCGAGTTTTCAAAATTTTTGGAGAATATTCAAGTGCGCTCTATGGAAACCTTAAAAATCCACGTGGAATTTTTTCGCGCCAAAAATCGAGTTTTCAAAATTTTTGGAGAATATTCAAGTGCGCTCTATGGAAACCTTGAAAATCTACGTGGATTTTTCGCGCCAAAAATCAAAATTTCAAATTTTTTTGAAAATTTTATCAAATTCATCTTGAAAATCCACGTGGATTTTCTTCGCTAAAAAATCAAAATTAAAAAATTCTTGGAAGTCTTTGCAAATGCGCTCTATGGCCAATTCCGCGCGAGTTCGAAAAATTCAAATTTTATATTTTTTTCATGGGTGTAAACGCGGAGCATTGTAGTTTTCATAAGAAAGCTCAAAATGAGTGTTTTTCTAGCGTAAAAGCGGAGCATCGTTGGATAACTTAGCCTAACTAAACCCAAAATTCACAAACGCGCTCTACTGAACACCACGCAAAACGTGGAAATTTTCAAATTCCCCTCGTTCAACTTCTAAAATAAAGAAAAATAAGAAAAAGTCAAGAGGGACATATTTATTTTGCATTTTCATTTATTTTTTTTCCACACAAAAAAAAATGTGGGACTCAAGCTCCGCCCACAAAATTTGTAATTTTTTTTGTCTGCGTCTCTCATCTCTCGTTTTTGAAAAAAGTTGGAGTTATTATAACTTGGAGTCTAGTTAGTTAGGATGAGTAATTAAATTAGACATGCAATAATAAAATACTAACATAACTAAAAATAATAAAAGAGTAAGAAAATTGGAATTTCTAGAATTTCTTCCCAAAAAAAATGAAAAAAATTTTTTTTTGCCGCCAAAAAATCACATTTGATATTCATAGAACTCGAAGGACATGAAAACTTTTTTTTTTATTTATTTTTTTTTTTATTTATTCAATACGTTGTGGGACAACGTGACGACAAGTACAATAATAATAATAATAATACATGAAAAAGAAATAAAAGAAAGACAGGGCTTACGAGTTATAACCCGGGGGTTGAGAATGCGCTGGTATTTATACTGAATCCGGTTAATTATTTGGTGAATCTGAAATTTGTGAAGAGCAAGTGCGATTAGTGAAGAAGTTTTTGCGAATATTTGTTTTTGGGACTTTGTAATGATATCTGATTTTACTACGAGTTTTAGAATCCGCTTCTACGGTGAAGAGTTTACCATAAGCCAGATCAATTTTATTTGTATTAAGTTTATGTAAAAATATCTTGTCAATTTTCATTCTACGATTTTCAAGACTCATAAGACCAAACTCAGTATTTCTAGTTTCATTAAATTTGTAATCCTTCTCATCTGATCTAATAAATCTCCCTTTTATTCTAAAAAATAATTTTCTAGTGAAGTTGTTTTGGGCACTTTCTATAATTTGTTTCAATTTTTTCGTAGACGGCGATGTTACTACTGTTCCATATTCTAATAAAGGTCTTACGAAAGTTTTATACAAATTAATCATAAACTTGATATTATTGCTTTCAAAAGTCTTAAAAATTTGATACGTCATATAATTGGCCTTAGAAACAGATTTTTTCCAAAGTTCCTCAAAATCTAACTTTTTTGATATTATAAATCCTAGATCCCTAATATTATTTTCGAACTTTATGGTTTTTGATTCAATTGTATAGTTAAAGATTACCCTTCTAGAACCTAAAGATGTAAATTGAGTTTTAGAAGAATTCAGAACTAGCATATTATTTTTACTCCAATTGTTAATATTATCTATGACTTCTTGAAGATGGGAACAAGATGTATTATTACTTATTGTGGAATAAATTTTTAAGTCATCAGCAAATTGTTTACATTTCACACCAGGAAGAATTACCGAGTTAATGTCATTTACAAAAATGGCAAACAGAATAGGTGAAAGAACTCCACCTTGGGGAACTCCACTATAACAGTACTTATCAGAAGAAAATTTGTCTACTATTTTTACCCTAAATGTACGATTACCTAAAAAATTTTGTATCCACTTAACCAAATAATCATTAAGACCAAATAATGTTAATTTTTCTAGAAGTTTATTATGATTAACTTTATCAAATGCTTTCGCATAATCAAAATAAATCACATCTACTTGTTTTTTACTATCTAATGCGAGAGTCCAATCATCTAAAACATCAACCATTTGAGATACTGTTGATCTTTTTGGACGAAAGCCATGTTGGCTGTCAGACCAAAAGTTAACAGAATTCAAATGATTAATGATCCTAGTTTTTAAACATTTTTCATAAATTCTACATAAATGAGAAGTTAAACTAATTGGCCTAAAGTGCGTAACATTTTCTGGTGTTGTGATTTTCGGTATAGGAATTACCACTGATTTTTTCCATTGAATAGGTACTGTTGAAGACATCATGGAAAAATTAAATATTTGGGTGATAGGAGAGACTATAAAATTTGCTATGATTTTTATAAATTTAAAAGGTACACCATCCGAAGTTTCTGAAGTACTAGATTTAGATTTTTTGATAATTTTTAGGACTTCGTCTTCTAGAACCCATGGGATAGACATTGTAGAATTTGATAAAAGAGAAGGAGAGAATTTGTTACTAGAATCTTTTTCGTATTGATCTTCAAAATAATCAGCTAGGCATTGTGCTTTATCACAATTATCAAAAATAATATTCCCGTTTTTATCTGAGAAAGCTGGAATAGAATTGGAGTTAGGTTTGAAAATAGTTTTGACTTTTTGAGTGAGCTTATTGTATTTGTTGTTTTTTATAAGACATCGTTCGAAATTTCTATTATATTTCTCAACCTTTTTATTGAGTTTTTTACTAAATTCTTGAAATTTGATAATATTTTCTGGAGTTCTGGAATCAACAACAGATTTCCAGAGAATTTCTTTGAAAGAATACATAGATTTGAGATAATTAGGAAGAGTATATTTATTTATAGAGACTTCTTCTACCGGAATCGAAATTAAAAATAAATTTTTTAAATAAGACGTGAAATTTTCGTACATCGTGGAAATGTCATTTCTACTCCCAAAAATAAAATCCCAATCTGCATTTACTAAATATTGACTGATGAGGTCCCAATTAATTTTACGATAATTATGAAATAGAATTTTTGGAGATGGCTCAATTTTGAAAGATGGAATTTTGAAAGATGGAATTTTCATTTTTTTTCTCAGCGAAAAAAATCGTGTGTAGTTCTCTTGGAAGATATGTAGATAAAAAACAAATTTCTTCTCATTACACAAAAAATTTATTAGTATTCAGGCAAAACGAAACGAGAAATCTCATAATTTTTCCGGAAAATGCATATTTTGGTGCCAAAATGCATTACGTTTTTTTTGTTGTTGTTATCATTCAATTAATCTTGATGGCTGGAAGAAAAATGAGGCGCCAAAAACAAAAAAAATCTGGCTTGGTTTTCAGCGAGCTGAAAAAACTGGGTGAGCAGCAAGTGCGCTCCATGGAAAATTAGGAACACGCGCGAGTTCGAAAAATTCAAATTTTTATATTTTCGAAGCGGTGTAAACGCGGAGTATCGTAGTTTTCATCGAAACTCGGTTTTTTGAGCGTAAAGCGGAGCATCGTTGGAAAATATCCACTGTTTATACATAACTTAGCCTAACTTACCACGTGGATTTTCAAGAGCCTAAAAATACGGCTCAAAGTTTTTTTGTGTAAAATTTATGTTAGCAACATTTTTTGAGCTACAGTAATCCTAGATTTCCGTTGGAATTCTGAAGCTTAAATTTTTTAGTTTGAAAATGTTTTTCTAGATTTTTCAGAAAAACAATTTTCAGACAAATTTTAACACTTAAAACTACAAAATCTGTCTGAATATTTGTATTTTTTTTTGTTCAAAAATATATTCAATTTTTCGAAATTGTTGCTCATATTAACCCACCCCAAAAATGCTCAATTTCTATTTTAACATGAGCAATGTTCCTCAAAATAATTAGGCGTTCTTCCGAAAAATTCAAAAGAAAAAAAAATAAATGAGCAACTAATTAGTATTTCGAGTTGGAAAAGTTCATTTTTTAAGTTGAAGAGGGAGTTTTGGCACAAAAAGAGAGTTTGGTTAAGCCTAAGCCTAAGCCTGAGGATAGGCTTAAGGTTTTTGTTAAGCCTAAGCCTAAGCCTAAGGCTAATAATTTGGCCTAAGGATTGGGCTCAAGCCTAAAGGATAGGTCTAATGATTCGACTTACCCTATTGTAAGTTCAGTCAAATCTCTTGGCGCCAAACGTAAAAAATTCAAAAACAAAAAATAGTGGCCGGTTTTTTTTGAATAAGCAAGGAATATTTGATGACAAAAAAAGTCGAAGTCGAGATTTTTGTTGTTTTTCTTCGTTCACTTTTTTGTTTTCATTCTGTTTGTTCCAAAAGTAAATAGAACAATTATTATTTTTTTTTCTTCAAAAAATGCAAAAAAAAACTTTTATTTTTCAAAAATGAGAAAATTTTTGGTGGTTTCCAAGGCGATGATGAAGAAACCCACGTGGGAAAATACAAAAAAAATATATTTTTGGATTTTTTAGAAGTGGAAAACAATCTAGAAATTTGAATTCGCGAATTTTTTGAGCTACAGTAAGCTACAGTAATTTTGGCGTGAAAATTTGGAATTTTTTGAGCTACAGTAAGCCTGGATTTTTTTTGAAAGCTATTGAAATGTGGCAATGTATTTACAACTACAGTAATCCTTGTAATTTTTAGTTTTTGGAGAGCTACAGTAATCTTCTCAACTACAGTAATCCTTGCAGTCCGGAAAACCCCGAGACTACGGTATCTTTGCAGTTCGAGATATTTATATATCTTGCAGTCTGAGGTTTTCAACTACAGTAATCCTTGCAGTTCGGGGTACAGTACAACTTTCAGCTGCGGTTTTCAACTACAGTAATCTTTGCAGTCTGAAATAGCCTCGGGCTACAGTATCTTTGCAAATTGAGATATTTATATATCTTGCAGTCTGAGGTTTTCAGCTACAGTAATCCTTGTAGTTTTCGGTTTTCAAATACAGTAATCCTTGCAGTCCAGAAAACCCAGAGGCTACAGTAATCTTTGCAGTCCGGAAAACCCTAGGCTACGGTATCTGCACAGCATGTTTTTCAGTCCGAAAGCTACAGTAACCCGTGAGTTACAGTATACCTTGCAGTCTGAATTTTCGGCACAAAATTTGAAGAATTTCTGAGCTACAGTAAGCCTAGATTTTGGGCACCAAAAATTTATTTTTAAAAAAACGTGACCCCAAATTTTTTTCAAAAAAAAATGTTTTCCCTTAAAAATCCTCATTTTTATATTTGCTGAAAATTGAAAGATGGTGCGTTTGTAGATAAAAAAAATGCTACAAAAAAATCGATTTTCAGGCTGGAGCTTTTTTGTTTCTTGTATTATTAACTATTGTGATTATTGTATTGATTGTTGTTGCATCGGTTTTTTGTTGTAAGTTGGGATATTTTCAAAAAAAATTCGAAATTTTTGTGTCAAACTACAATTACTGTGGTTTAAAATTTCATAGTGTAAGGATTACTGTAGCTTGAGGCTGTTTCAGACTGCAAAGAATACTGTAATTGAGAATATCAAGCTGAAAGGATTACTGTAATTAAAAAATTCAGACTGCAAGGATTACTGTAGGATTGCTGTAGTTCTACCAAAAATCTAAGCTTACTGTAGCTTTAAAATTCCAATTCTGGAACCCAAAAATCTAGGATTACTGTAGCTCAAAAAGCTCCAAATTTCCAGGCTGCTTGGGTTGTTGCCGTGGAAATCAGAACAATTGGAATGATCAGCCGCAAGCACCGGCTTATCCACCACCAACACCTCAAGTTTATCCGCAGCCTCCCGGACCTCCTGGACCTCCGCCACAGTATCCGCAAAGTCCGCCACCACCGTATTCAGCTGTGGCTGCACCGGCAGCTGAGAAACCTCGGAGACAATGAAGATTTTTCTAACACAGTACTTCACAAAGTTCAGGAAACATCTACAGTACTTTTTGTAACACAGATTTCGAAAATATCGATTCAATAAACTGTAGTTTCGCACAGATTCTCACAGTACTCGACAAAAGTGATCAACAACTACAGTAATCTTATTGTAAACACGAAATCTACAGTACCCTGATTACTGCAGTTAGTGATTACTGTACTTCTACAGTAACCAGGAAAAACAAAACTACAAGTCATTGGCTTTTATGCAATGACTTGTAGAGAAAAAGGGTGATTTTCTACTTTTTGGCTTTTAAGCAAAAAGTAGGAAAAAAACAAACATAATACAACTAGATACAGTAAATGAGATTTTGGAAGCTTCGAAGACGATGATGAAGTTCCAAATTGCTGAATATCCTTGGTGAATTGACAGGAATCGTTCTGAAAAATCCATTTTATTCGACAAAAATTCAAAAATTGGGCATAGCTTCCGCATCTCCGCTGAATTTCCAATTTGGAACTGATAAAATCAACAATTTTTCAAGATTTTCAATTTAAAAAATCAAGAAAAATAAAAGTTTTATCAGTTTCAAAAGGGATATTTCAGAAATTCTCATATTTTTTTCAAAAAAAAAATCGTGGAAAAATTTTTCGCTTTCATTCCAAAATCATTTTTTATTATTTTTAGAAAATTTTTGTTAAAAATCTTCTTAACGTGAATATTATTCTCTTTCATTTCATAAGTACAAAAACAAATTATTTTTCAATTGTATCATAACTTTTTTTTCAAAAATTCAAAGTTTTTCTCTAAAAAATCAAAATTTGGGCATAGCTTCCGCATATCCGCTGAAATTCCATTTTGAAAGTGATAAAATCAACCATTTTTCAAGATTTTCAATTAAAAAAATCAAGAAAAATAATTATTTATCAGTTTCAAATTACAATTCCAGAAATTCATGCCAATTTTCATAAAAATTCAAAACTTACCAACATCGAGATCAATTCTTGCTCATCCACTTTGAATTGTTGATATTGTTCTGAAAAAAAGGTTCAATTAATTTATTACTGGAAAACTCAAAGTATTTCTCTAAAAATTCAAAAATCGGGCATAGCTTCCGCATCTCCGCTGAAATTCCATTTTGTAACTGATAAAATCAAATATTTTTCCAATTTTTCACAAAGAAAATCAAGAAAAATAGAAGTTTTATCAGTTTCAAAAGGGATATTTCAGAATTTCATGTTATTTTTCAATACTTACCGATTTCAAGATCAAATTTGTTGGAATAACTTTGCTCAAAGAACTCGATTCATTTTGAATTGTTGATTTTAATTTGAAAAAATTCATTACAATTTTTTTTGAACAAATAAAGTTCACGTGGACTCAGAGATTCACTGGCCAGCTCGCCACCAGATCTGGGCCAGAGTAACATTTTTGAAAAATCTAAACTTGACAATTTCAGAGGTCCAAAAACTGAACATTTACAGTTTTTACACTGAAAAAGTTAGTGTACAATTTTTTGGACTATTGAGAACCACGACTTTGGCCGAGGTCTGGAGGCGAAGTGGCCTTGACCTAACTAGAGCCTGCCAATCTCGCCAGCGAAAAAAACCGGGCGACATGGTTTCTATGCGGTTTCCTGCAGGTCAGCCAGCCTGGTGGTGAGCTAGCCAGTGAATCTCTGAGAAATATCTCTTTCATTTCATACAAAAAAATATTTTTCAATTGTATCATAACTTTTTTTTTCAAAAATTAAAAGTTTTTCTCTAAAAATTCAAAAATTGGGCATAGCTTCCGCATCTCCGCTGAAATTCCAATTTGGAACTGATAAAATCAACCATATTTCAAGATTTTCAATTTAAAAAATCAAGAAAAATAATTATTTATCAGTTTCAAATTACAATTCCAGTATTTCATGGCATTTTTCAATACTTACCGATTGCAAAATCAAATCTGGAAGAACGTTGCTCGAAAAATTGGATCCACTTTGAATTGTTGATGTTGATCTGAAAAAAAGGTTCAATTAATTTATTATTGGAAAATTCAAAGTTTTTCTCTAAAAATTCAAAAATTGAGCATAGCTTCCCGCTGAAACTCCAATTTGAAGCTGATAAAATCAACCATTTTTCAAGATTTTCAGCAAAAATCAAGAAAAACAGAAGTTTTATCAGTTTCAAATTACAATTCCAGAAATTCATGCCAGTTTTCATAAAAATTCAAAAACTTACCAACAACGAGATCAAATCTTGAACAATAGCATTAAATTGTTGATCGAACACTTTGAAATGTTGATATTGTTCTGAAAAAAAGGTTCAATTAATTTATTATTGGAAAATTCAAAGTTTTTCTCTAAAAATTCAAAAATTGAGCATAGCTTCCCGCTGAAACTCCAATTTGAAGCTGATAAAATCAACCATTTTTCAAGATTTTCAGCAAAAATCAAGAAAAACAGAAGTTTTATCAGTTTCAAATTACAATTCCAGAAATTCATGCCAGTTTTCATAAAAATTCAAAAACTTACCAACAACGAGATCAAATCTTGAACAATAGTTTGAATTGTTGATCGATCTTTTTCGAAGTGTTGATATTGATCTAAAAAAAGGTTCAATTAATTTATTATTGGAAAATTCAAAGTTTTTCATTAAAAATTCAAAAATTGGGCATAGCTTCCGCATCTCCACTGAAATTCCAATTTGGAACTGATAAAATCAACTATTTTTCAAGATTTTCAATTTAAAAAAATCAAGAAAAATAATTATTTATCAGTTTCAAATTACAATTCCAGAAATTCATGCCAATTTTTATAAAAATTCAAAAACTTACCAACATCGAGATCAAATCTTGCTCATCCACTTTGAATTGTTGCTCGATCTTTTCGAATTGTTGATATTGATCTGAAAAAAAGGTTCATATAATTTATGCAGTAATTCACGAAATTAAAAAACGTTTTTTTAAAGTTAAACAACCAAAAAAGTAATTCACGAACGGTATTTTTATTCATTTTTTTACCATTTTCTCGTTAAAAAAACGTTTTTTTATTTCGTGAATTTCTGCATTATTTTTCAAAATTCAAAGTTTTTCATTAAAAATTCAAAATTTGGGCATAGCTTCCGCATCTCCGCTGAAATTCCAATTTGAAACTGATAAAATCAACCATTTTTCATGATTTTCAATTTAAAAAATCAAGAAAAATAATTTTTTATCAGTTTCAAATTACAATTCCAGAATTTCATGTCAATTTTCATAAAAACTAAAAAACTTACCAACAACCAGATCAATTCTTGAACAATAGCATTAAATTGTTGATCGAACACTTTGAAATGTTGATATTGTTCTGAAAAAAAGGTTCAATTAATTTATTATTGGAAAATTCAAAGTTTTTCAAGAAAAATTCAAAATTTGGGCATAGCTTCCGCATCTCCACTGAAATTCCATTTTGTAACTGATAAAATCCACAATTTTTCAAGATTTTCAGCAAAAATCAAGAAAAACAGAAGTTTTATCAGTTTCAAAAGGGATATTTCAGAATTTCAAGTAATTCGTTTTTCGTTCATATTTTTCAAGGGATTCTAGAATTCTCTTTAACTTCTTCAAAATTCTGAATACCTTATTTTTTGGTCCGCTCAAATTCTTGACAGCAATCAACATCAGCAACAGTTTGAATCGATGCAAGTAGATCTGAAAAAAAATCAAGTTTATTATAAATTCGAAATAAATATAATTTTTATAGGTGCCTTACCAGTCATTCAGCAAACAGTTTCGCTTTTTGGAATGTCACTGTTGAGTGGATCATTTGAGCCATAAGATGAGCTGAAAACACATATTTTCAGAATGACATTCATTTCTTGAACACTGAAAATCTCCGTAGACTGCTCACACACTTCCCTTGTCAGATATCTTGTTACAATTTCCGGGTGAAAAAAATTGAAAATCGCAAAATTCATCAAATTTTCAAATCCAAAAACCCTTACAAATAACAGTTGCTCCATCAATTTTTGCTGAATTCATAATAACAATTCGAATATTTTCCAGTCATTTCCATCTTCTTTTGAATTCATCCAAGTCGAATCGAGTCAAACAACAAATAAGGCATGCAGATTGAGTGATTTTCTGAAAAAAACATGAATTACCAGGGGTCCAGCTCGAATTTCCCCAAAAAGACATATGCCCCAATTTCCAATCGAATTCCTTTGCTCAAGGCAAAGTCCAAAACAAGGTCCCGTCTTCCCATTCCACCCAAATCGGTGGCTTAAGAGCAGTTCTATAGGAACCTCAGGTCTTGCTCATCACTGTTTTCCAATCAAATCCAGGCGGTATTCCGCGGTCCACAATTTCGTAAAAAACTGTGTCCCTACCGAGGTTCCTGGTAGTGGCAATGACTAGTGGGCTCGAAATTTATCGAGCGCTGTACTAACTCCGAGCAAAAGACTTTTAGAACTGCTCGGAATGGGTTTTGGGGAGGGTTTCGGGTGAATTCGAAAGGAAACCGGGGCTAAAATCCCAGAAAAACTCATCTTAAATCACATTCCTGCGTTGAATTGCCGAATAACAGCCGTCTTGAGCGACGCAAAAACAAAGAAATGAATAAAAAATCGATTTTTTGGTTGGCGCGTGAAAAAAATAAAAATTCGCGGGCAGGTTTTGAATTTTTTGTGTGTTGTGTGTCAAGACGCAGTTGTTGTTTGCAATGTTCCTTTGAATTCTACCGTACCACACAAACTTTTTTTTCTTTTTTTTTTCGAGTTTGACAAGGAATAATGGAATTTTTTGGACTGAAATTCTTGGGGATTGCAGAACATTTTGAACAATTTTGAAACGCAAAATTTCCTTTTTGTTTCATAATTTTTTTTTTGATTTTGACGCTGTGAAAGATCAATTTTTGTTAGCCACGTGGATTTTTTGGAAAACCTGGAGATTTCTTATTCTGAATTTTAAGTTTTTCGCCACGTGGAATCTGTAGAAGCCTCGCCCAGAGATCCACTTTGCAAAGGAGTCACGCCTTGAAAGCGTCTATATCAAGCAGCCGCGCCTAGAGATCTACTCTGCCAAGGAGTGACGCCTGTTCGGTGGAGCAAATTTACATTTCCCAATCAGATTTGAAGAATCCACATGCCAATGACGTCATCAACCATTTTCACGTGTTTTTCTCCCAGTATCAATTCATTTTTAGCTTTTTGTAGTCGTGAAAAATGGTGTACGTTTATTACGTGAGTGTTTTCATTAGCAGCAGAATTCTTGGCTGAAAATCAAATCTGAAAATGTTTCCAGTCGTCTCCCGGAATGTATACAGTTATCGCGTGTTGCGTGGTCTTCCTCCTTCTCTTCATAATTTGCCTCTTCTTCTGCTGTCAGTGTTGTTGTGGAACAGTTCGGGAGGAGCGAGTTGTTGTGTATGATCAGCCAGCCTATGGAAGGGAATATCCTCAACCACAACCACAATATGCCTACGGTCCACCACCCACTCCACAACAACCCCCGCCACCGTATAATCCAGCATATGGCAGAAGATAAATAAAGATTTTGAATTTGTATGACTAGGCTTAGGCCCTGATTGCTTAGAGCTTGTTGATCTAAGTCGCCATTTTTCAACAACAAAGTTCTAAGTGAGTAAAGATCAAATGTTTGTCTGGAAATGTGATTTCTAGACCACCCATAATCGTTTATTTTTTTTCCCAGGGAATTTGAATATTCAAAAAGGTTTTTTATTTGATTAACAACAAAAAGTTTTCATTGAAATTGTGGAAAATGAATAGTATAAAAGAGTTGAGTTGAGAACCAGAAATCATTCGATTTCAAACATGGGATTGGTTCATATTCTCTTGATTGCTTCATTCATCATATCATTGGCAAATTGTGATTGTATTCGATATATTGAATCAGATAGTTCAATAGTTGAATTGGCAACAATTCAAAGATCACAAGGAACATTGAATTATACAGAATGTTTGTCTGTTTGTCAATTAAATGCATCATGTGTTATTGCATCAAGTCTTGCTTCTGGTGAATGTTTAACTGTTGATTTTGGAAATGCTAAACTTGTTCATCAAAGTGGTCAATATTTGGGATCAAAATTATCAATCAAAGTAAATATTCCGGATGATTCATGTGATTTGACAGATGAAGAAGTATTACAAGGACTTCGAATGAATGGATTGACTGGTTCAACTAATTTTGCGAAATATAGATATTGGCAAATTATGCAAAAAGATCCTAATCATATTGTTTTTAATCATGTTTTGAAACTTGATCATGGTGATTGTTGGGATTCCTGGTATGAAGGAGATCAACAATTCTGCTATACTGTAAGTTCTTTTTTTCTAGTGCCCCACATTTAAATCCGATCATTTTCAGTTCTTGTATGGTGATTACGATTTGACAACAGCTCGTGAAACATGTGCTCTTTTCAATGCTCATTTATATGGAGCTGCTTTACCAGATGATGATGCTTGGTATGCTGCACTTGGAATGAGAAGAAATTCAATTGTCAATGGCTCGATTCTTTTGGGAGCTCGTAGAAAATATACTTGTTTGGGACAATCAACTGGAAAATGTGCAAAAGGAAAAGGATTTGAATTTACTGATGAATATGTTACTGAATTACATCCACGTAAATTCAGATTTGCAACTGGATATCCAATCGCTGGAAAGTAAGTCTATCCGAGAATTTTTGTACGGCGGCGTGTTCTCGTAAACCTTGTCCAATTTCCAGAGATTGTTATGCTCTTCAAGTTCCACTTGCAACAAACGGAACAAATTATCAATTCATCAATGTTAATTGTGATGGAAGTTCTGAAGATCTTGTTGGAATTGCCTGTGCTGCTCCATTGATTCGTGATCTTCCACCAAATTATTGAGCCCACTTTGATAATTCTGATTTGCTTGTAATCAATAAATTTTCCGCTTCAAAGGTGTATTTTTTATTTCACAAAATTTTCCTGACTGGTCATTTTTGGCGAATCGCCAAAATTTGGCCAACTCTCCTTTCTCTCAGTGCGGAAAAGGGGAAAGGTACGAATACCTGAATAGGGCATAATTTTACAATACGTCTTTCCTGGTAACAAATTATTAGTGTTAAAACTAAGAATACATTTTTCTTCTTCTTCTTCTGCCTTCGCCTGTTCCCGAGTCGATGTACCAATTAAAATTCCAGTTAAATCTCCTGACATATTGAATACGGGACCTCCAGAATATCCTGTTTCGAATTCAGGCAATCCGTCTGCAAAATTATATTTTACTTAGATATCAGAAGTAAGGATAGACCAACTTACAAAAAGGAACACAACCACCTTCAATGATTCCTTTCGATACGGATGGTTTTGAAACATCGAAGGGATAACCCTAAAAAACTGAAAAATATAATGTTCTGAAATGTTCCATCCTCATACCATAATTACAAATTTATTTCCTCGATTGAGCTCAGCCCGACGTGTATAATATTCTGGCAACTCTGTTGATTTCAGTACAGCAAATTCACATTTGTCTGATACAAATTCGCATACTACATTCTCGCAAGAGTATTTTGTTCCTCTAACTTTGTATGTCGCATTGATTTTGAAATTGATATGACCAGCGGTTAGAATTCGTTGATCAGAGATGAGAACGCCTGATACGTGTACTCCTTGCTCGCCTTCGATCAAAAATACTCGATGTTCCCATTGTTCGATGATTTTATCGATTTCTAAAATTATTAGTGTTTTTAGTTCATTAAATATATTTTGCTTCATACTTTCATTCTCGAGTGCTTGTTTTTCAGAGTGGCTAAGCGTGTTGACTGGATTTGAGCGTCTACTTTCTTTCCAACGTAACTCAAAGTGAGATTCATTCCAGTTATCAAGCAAATTGAAATGAGGATTTAGTGGATCATCGCAGCGACGTCTGAAAACTATTTTTTGTTGCGGGGATAAAACGTTCTTAACGTTTTTTAAACGTAAAATTGGGTTTTAACGTATTTTTAACGGGCGGAAACCCGTAAAAAAACAAAATATGAATACAGTTTATTATTTTTGAGTAGACACAACGTAAAATTGAGAGAGTGCAGACAGACAAATTAGTTTTTTTTTGTTTTTTTTCGAAATAATTATTTTTCTGTCTACTCAAAGATAGTAAATTGTATTTTAACGTTGAGAAAACGACAAATTTCTGCAGAAAATCGTAGTATGTTTATAAAACATCGTGTAAACCTTACTCCAGAACCAAATTATTTTTCATCAAACAAATCGGTGTGTCATCCCTGAGAAAAAACGCCGAACGAAGAGTGGGTTCGCCAATAATTCCATTTCGCGCGTAAATTTCCAGCACTTTTCCGTTTTGTCCAGTCACAGAAATATACTGAAAAATAATCATCATGATGAAATACACCGAAAAAAAAACATACCGTGTTCATTATACCTTATCTATCTAGATCTAGAGGATGAATTTTTGAAAAAAAAATGGGAAGACGTGCGCACGGCGAGAAAAGTATTTTTAAAATTTATAAAAATCGCAGAAAATAGATAGGAGTAGAGAATGTGCGCTCTAATGATAATGCGCGTCTGTACACACATTATTCTGCGTCTCTCTTTGTTGTGAGCTCTCTCTCTCTCCTACAATAATTTTGTACATTTTATGACGTTCTGCTGCAATGAGAAATGAACTTGTGATCAGCAAATCAGAATTATCAAATTGGATCGATTTGTTACGAGTGGAACTTTTATGTAAATAAGTTAATTTGAAAATTCATACGTTCTTCCAAATAGAATAACAATAAAATTTAATTAAAATATTCGAGTTTAGTTGAAGCTAAACAGCATGATAAGGTCTTCGGTATGTTCGTAAAATCTGCAGTTTACATGAAATCCATAAACATTTGAAAGACTGTTCTCCAAAAACATCTCAATCGATCGAACTTTTTGTTCATCTGTATTCGGAGCAAAATGAAATAAGTAGCGATGATAATATTCAATGTTAGATTTGCATTTCTGAAAAATATTTATTTGTGATTATTTTTTGCAAAAAAAAAGAACTCACTATCAAAGAATTCTCGTTTCTCTCATAAATTTCCGGATATAAACGAATCATTGAATTATAAGTGTATTTAATTGCTTCAACAACATCATCAATAGTTTTAAGACAATGGATCATAACACATGTATGATCGGAACAATTCTTTATTTTGAAATTCCAGTCATTCATAACGATTTTGAAACTTTGAGGTTTGAACACAGCAAAAAGGTCAATTGACATTTGATTGATTGATTTTCCAGAATAGATTGAAATATCGATTGATTTACAGCACAAAATTTTCTTCAAGAGTTCTAATGGAATTTCATCTTCTTCTACAATCACATTGAATTCTTTACACTTTGCATTTTTGAAATAATAATTCCATTGATCAAATGGAATAATTCTTGTTTTTTCCATAATTGTTATTTCTAGTCGAAGTTCCTTGTTTTTATTGTAATACACTTTCGCATCACAAGTTGGTCCAGCAATCATCCGACGTTCAAATTTATAGGCATCCCAGAGAAACTTTGATGAGTTTTTGAAGTTTTGAACATCTTCGTATTCAAGCTGAAAAAAACAGCACATATTGATTTTACAATTGTTGGAAAACTTACTTTTGCGAAAATTGCGCCAAGGATTTCGGGTGGCAATTTTTTGATCGGAGGCTCTGGATTCTTGAAATAGTAGTTTAGAAACTCGTAGACTGTCGAGAGAATGACCAACATCAAAAAAAGAACAAACGGTTTGAATGTGGTGCAATATACCTGTGAACAGGGAACGCTCAAAAAATTATGACACTTTTTCTCATCTGTTAGTGTTTTGGGAAGGCAAAAATGATTTTGTAATGGGGACGGAAAATATTCGAGGTAACCTAAAAGTTTTCTATAAAATATTATTCCTGTGATTTCCATTAACCAAATTTTGAAGCGGAAAATTTATTGATTACAAGCAAATCAGAATTATCAAAGTGGGCTCAATAATTTGGTGGAAGATCACGAATCAATGGAGCAGCACATGCAATTCCAACAAGAACTTCAGAACTTCCATCACAATTAACATTGATGAATTGATAATTTGTTCCATTTGTTGCAAGTGGAACTTGGAGAGCATAACAATCTCTGAAAATAACAATTACTTCTTCTTCCGATTTTTCGATGTGGATTCAGAAATTTCTCAACAAATTGGATCTGGTCCGATTCAGAAGGCGCCCTGTATTTGGGAAATATATAACTTCTTGGGTAAAAAACAAAACATTTTTTTTGCCTTCCCAAAACACTGAAACCTGGTGAACACAAATACATAATGCGAAAATAGTTTGTTGTATTGTGTCATAATATTTGAGCGTCCCCTGGTGTATTGCCCCACAAACAGACCATTCGTTCCTTTTTCAATGCTGGCCATTCTCTTGACGATCTACGATTTTCTAAACTATAATTTTATGAAGATATATGCCAGGCTTATTGAAGAAAAGGAGTCTCCGATCAAAAAATTGCCACCTGAAATTCTAGGAGCCATTTTTGCAAAAGTAAGTTTTACAAAAAAAATTGATATCATATTTGCGCTGTTTTTCAGCTTGAATTCGAAGATGTTCAAAACTTCAAAAACTCATCAAAGTTTCTCTGGGACTCTCATAAATTAGAACGTTGGATGATTGCTGGACCAACTTGTGATGCAAATGTGTATTACAATAAAAACAAGGAACTTCGATTAGAAATAACAATTATGGAAAAAACAAGAATTATTCCATTTGATCAATGGAATTATTATTTCAAAAATTCGAAATGCAACAAATTCAGCATGACTGTAGAAGAAGAAGAAATTCCATTAGAACTCTTGAAGAAAATGTTGTGCTGTAAATCGATCGAGATTTCAATCTATTCTGGAAAATCAATCAATCAGATGACTATTGACACTCTTTCTGCATATAAACCTCAAAATTTCGAAATCGTTATGAATGACTGGAATTTTAAAATACAAAATTGTTCCGATCATAAATCCATATTTATTCGTTGTCCAAAAAATATTGAAGATGTTGTTGAAGCAATCAAATACACTTATAATTCAATGATTCGTTTATATCCGGAAATTTATGAAAAAAATGAAGATTCCTTGATGGTTAGTTTATTTCTAAACTTTTTCATATGTATTACAATAAATATGTTTTCAGAAATGCAAATCTAATACTGAAAATCTTCCTCGCTTCTCATTTCATTTTGCTCCAAATTCACAACAAAAAGTTCGATCAATTGGACTTTTTTTGACGAACAGTCTTTCAGATGTTTATGGATTTGATGTGGGATGCAGACCTTATCATTTTGCCAACTAAAACTCGAATATTTTTTCATCTCAAAGTTATTTCATAAATCCTGATTTTCATTCGGATGAACGCATAAATTTTCAAATCAACTTGTTTACATAGCTTCATCATATAGCACAGACCAATACATATCGAAACAAAATTTGAAGCAGAAAATTTATTGATTACAAGCAAATCAGAATTATCAAAGTGGGCTCAATAATTTGGTGGAAGATCACGAATCAATGGAGCAGCACAGGCAATTCCAACAAGATCTTCAGAACTTCCATCACAATTAACATTGATGAATTGATAATTTGATCCATTTGTTGCAAGTGGAACTTGGAGAGCATAACAATCTCTGGAAATTGGGCAAGGTTTAAGAACACGCCGCCGTACAAACATTCTTGGATAGACTTACTTTCCAGCGATTGGATATCCAGTTGCAAATCTGAATTTACGTGGATGTAATTCAGTAACATATTCATCAGTAAATTCAAATCCTTTTCCTTTTGCACATTTTCCAGTTGATTGTCCCAAACAAGTATATTTTCTACGAGCTCCCAAAAGAATCGAGCCATTGACAATTGAATTTCTTCTCATTCCAAGTGCAGCATACCATGCATCATCATCTGGTAAAGCAGCTCCATATAAATGAGCATTGAAAAGAGCACATGTTTCACGAGCTGTTGTCAAATCATAATCACCGTATAAGAACTGAAAATGATTGAAATTATTTAAATCTGAGGCACTATTTAGAAAAAAGATTACAGTATAGCAGAATTGTTGATCTCCTTCATACCAGGAATCCCAACAATCACCATGATCAAGTTTCAAAACATGATTGAAAACAATATGATTAGGATCTTTTTGCATAATTTGCCAATATCTATATTTTGCAAAATTAGTTGAACCAGTCAATCCATTCATTCGAAGTCCTTGTAATACTTCTTCATCTGTCAAATCACATGAATCATCCGGAATATTTACTTTGATTGATAATTTTGATCCCAAATATTGACCACTTTGATGAACAAGTTTAGCATTTCCAAAATCAACAGTTAAACATTCACCAGAAGCAAGACTTGATGCAATAACACATGATGCATTTAATTGACAAACAGACAAACATTCTGTATAATTCAATGTTCCTTGTGATCTTTGAATTGTTGCCAATTCAACTATTGAACTATCTGATTCAATATATCGAATACAATCACAATTTATTGAGATTGTCAATGAAGAAATCAACAATAGAATATGAAGAATAGATCCCATTTTTGAATGATTTTCTGGTTTTCAACTCAACTCTTTTATACTATTCATTTTCCACAATTTCAATGAAAACTTTTTTGTTGTTAATCAAATAAAAAACCTTTTTGAATATTCAAATTCCCTGGGAAAAAAATAAACGATTATGGGTGGTCTAGAAATCACATAGACAAGTTTGGTCTTTGCTCACAGCCTTCAGAAATTCACATGTTCCTTCAAAAATGTGTACAGTAATCAAGGAAATGTATTTATTTACAAGAAGAAATCCAATTATGTCTTTTTAGAACCAATGAAGCATTTTAGTGAATACGAGAAGAATCGAGCATAAAATTGGAAGAATTCCGAATTTCTCCAATTTTTCCGATGTTTTTGGAGCACTTTGATTGCGATTTTTGAGAAATTCTTTTTGAAGTTTTGCAAATTCATCAATTATTCCATGCATCTAGAAAAAATAATCAAAAATTGATAAGAAAATGAAAAAATGTTTTTGTTTTTTTGGATGATGCAAATAGAAAATGGTAGAATTTTCTGGAAAATGATGCAAAAATTTGATTTTTTTTTGGGAGAAAAACGTGAATTTTCTGGGGGATTTGAAAATTGAGAATCTATATTTTCGAAGTGAAAAAAATGACTCATCAGAACTGAAAATCCACGTGTAATTGAAAAATAATGATGCAAAATTCAATATTTTTTGCAGAAAATGAGGTTTGTTTTCTGGTAAAGCCAAGAGATATTCGAGATCCAAAATTTGAATTTTGGTCTGGAAAAATTCATTTTCCAAAACCTACAGTACCCAAAAAATCCACGTATTTTCTAGAGTATAATTTTGTATATCAAACATTTTCTAGGTAACCTACAGTAACCCTTGATCCACAATTTTCCAAAACCTACAGTACCCCAAAAATCCACGTGTTTTCTAGAGTAAAATTTCTATAGATCACAATTTTTCTAGATAACCTACAGTACTCCTGATCCACAATTTTCCGAAAATCTACAGTATCCTAAAATCCACGTGTTTTTTCAGAGATCAAATTTTAAATTTCAGGATCTACAGTACCCCAAAATCCACGTGTTTTTCAGATTTAAATTTCTATAGATTCTGAAATTCCCTGAAATATTTTTCCTAGATATCCTACAGTAACCTACAGTAATCCATAATTTTTCACGTGTTTTCTAGAGTATAATTTCTATAGATCAACATTTTTCAGGATAACCTACGGTAATCCACAATTTTCCAGAATCTACAGTACTCAAAAATCCACCTACAGTACCCCTTCCCGCCAAACGTTTCAAACAATTTCGAAAAGTTTCGTCATCCCCCGTTCGTTTTTCCCTGCTTGCGGCCGCCCGCCGCCGCCGCCGCCGCCGACAAAAAAATCTTGCGCACACAGCATTTTTTCTCCCCCCCTCCTTCCTTTTTCCCTCATACGTTTTTTTGTTGGTGGTGTGTCTCTGTTGCGAAGAGACGCAGAGAAGCACTGATGTGTGCTGACCTTCAAAACTAAACGACGAGAGAGTGGGGGAAGTGAGGAGTGGCGAGACGAGCAGAGAAACCAAGCCAAGCACCGACGCGTACGAAAAAAAGACACATACACTCTCTCTCACTCTCTACGAGGAGAACTGCTGTGAGAACAGCAAAAAAATGAATGCGATTTTCTTGAGGTTCTGGGATTTTTTCTTAACATAAGGTTCTTAAGGCTTTTACCTTTTTTTTCCTTAAAAACTGTTTACGTATTTTTATTCAAAGTTGTTTGTACTTCTTGTTTTTTAAAATAAAGTTAGCAATAAGTTTCCAAATAATCCGATTTTCTTGAGGTTTTGGGATTTTTCGCTAAATTTCTTAAAGCTTTTACCTTAGTTTTTTCTTAAAAAATTATTTATGTTTATATATTTGTTTTAACGTTCTCTTCAGTTTCATAAAATGAGCAATAAGTTTTCAATTTTTTCTCGGGCTTCCTTGAAGTTTTGGGATTTTTAAATGCTCTTATTGTTTGAGTTTTACCTTATTTGCTCCTTAAGAATGCTAAGGCAAAGGTTAAACCTAAGTTTAAGGTTTAGCCTAAGCCCAAATATTTTTTTTTAAAGTTTCATAAAATTTTTGCACGCTCCTTGTTCCCTTGGCCTATTTTCTAAGTTTTTAAGCCTAAGGTTTAGGCTTAGGCTTAACCTAAACCTAAACCTAAGCATAAGGTTGATTAATAAGCCTAAGGTCAAGCCGTAGGCTAAAGTTAAGCCTAGATCTAAGCCTAAGCCTACAAGTTTCCAAAAAAAACAGTTCAAAAAATAATTTTGCACGCTCCCAGATTTTCTAAGGTTTCTTGAGCCCAAGGTTGTTATTTAGGCTTAGGCTTAAGCTTAAAGGTAAACTTAAGGCTAAGGGTAAACTTAAGACTAAGGCTTAAACTTTTTTGATCTATAGATTTTTTGTGCACAATGTTTTTTAAATTTAAAATTTTAAAATTTCAAGAACGTGGAATTTTGCCTAAGCTAAGCCTCAACTTTGGCTTAAGGTAAAGCCTAAGCCTAAGGAGATGAATAAGCCTAATCCTTAACCTTAACCTTAGCCTTGATCTTTCAAAAATTGAAATTCCGTTTTTTCCCTGTAAAAATACTTCTCTACTCCTAAAAAGAACCTAATCTAAGGTTAAAAAACTTAAACTTAAAGTTAAACCTAAACTTTACCTTAAGCCTAACTCTTAACCTTAACTCTTACTCTTAACCTTAACCCAAGCCTGAACCTAATTTTCTTGTGCACAAAAAACTCTCGTCCCCCTGGTCTGAACGCCGTTCGGCCAGCAGCGCCCTCAAATGGCACCGGCTGGCACCTAAAAAATTTCTCTGCTTCTCTGCGTCTCTTCACAGTTGTTTATTGTTTTTTTCTTCACCTACTTCTACTTCTTATTATTTATTACTTGTTGAAATATTTACTTTTTATTACAGGATGCCACGAACAATAATATTCCACGTGGCACTGGCATTGCTCATATTAGAGTTCACCAACGCCCAACAATTATGCACCGATTTGGAGAAGGAGATGAATGCGGTGGCGGCGGAAAGAAACGCGACGAGCCCCTGCAATTGCTATTATGACGGAGTGTTTAATGGAGTTCGGGGAATTTCGATCGGATGCGCTTCGGCTCCGGTTTCACAGATTTTTGAGGCTCTTCAGACTTTGAACTACACCAAGGTTGCGTCGTTGACGATTCGAGATTCGTTGGTCAATATTTTGACATCGAATATTTTCGAGATGGTGAGTCAAATATCGCTGAACCTTTTTTCTGGGTAGATCAAAAATATTTTTTTTTGAATTTCAAAAGGTTTCAAAAAATGCGGGAAAGTTTTTGGGCAGTCAAAATTAATAGAAAATCGAACCCCAGGGTTTTTCGGGTTACTGTAGCTGATCTATGGATTACTGTAGATGGTCTTTGGGTCACTGTAGATGTTACCATGAGTACAGTAATCTTTTGGGTTACTGTAGATGGTCTATGTATTACTGTAGCTGATCTATGGATTACTGTAGATGGTCTTTGAGTTACTGTAGAGGATTGTTGGTAAAATGTTGATAATGTTTGGGTTACTGTAGCTGATCATGACCTTAGATGGTCTTTGGGTTACTGTAGATAATTTTTCGGGTTACTGTAGAGGATTTTTGGGTTACTGTAGGTGATCTTTGAGGTACTGTAAATGTTTCCTTAGGTACAGTAATCTTTTGGGTTACTGTAGCGCTTACAGTAGTATTCTGAGCTTCTGGTGATAATAAATTTTTTTCAAATTTTTCTACCTTTTTAATAAAAGTATTTTTGTTTGGGTATTACAGTATTTTTGTTTGGGTTACTGTAGAGAAGCCACGGGTTAGTGTAGTTACAGTAGTTTTCTGAGCTTTTGGTGATCACAAAATGTTTTAACTACAGTAGTTTAGGATACTGTAGCTGGAACTAGTTACTGTACTCGTTTCGAGACCAAAAATTGTTGAATTCAAAAAGTTTCCCGGATTAATTTTTGATTTTTCTCAAATTTTACAATTTATCCAAAACCTGTCCCTTCAAACAATACCGTATAAAAAATCTCAAAATTTTTTTGTAAAAAAATATTCTTTCCAGGTCCAACCCCAAAAACTCTTCATCGAACGTTGCTCATTGAGCATCATCCGAAACAATACAATCGATTCACTTGGAGCTTCTTTGGAGCAATTATCACTCCGCAAAAATAAGTTGAAAAAATTGGAGCCCACTATTTTCAACGGTTTGAAAAATGTGAAATCATTGGATTTGTCAATCAACAAACTTCAAGTGATTCCTCAAAATGTTTTCAATGATCTAACAAATCTTGAAGAACTTGTGCTAAATGAAAACGAGATTTTCGACATTGAAGATGGTGCCTTCGAAAAATTAAAAAACCTCAAGAGACTCACAATCAACAAGAATAAATTGACCGAAATTCGCGGGGACACTTTCAAAGGTCTTGAAAATCTCGAAACCCTGCAAATTCGTGATAATTTCATCACAAATATCGATTGGAGTGGTTTTTCCAAGCTTAAAAAACTGAAAACCTTAAACCTTGGAAATAATCAATTAACAAGAATTGAGATTCGAGGCTTGGAAAATCTTCAGAAGTTATATCTTAATCACAATCTCCTCGAGACCCTGAAAAATGTCAAGATTTTCGGGTTAACCAGTCTGAATGTTTTGTCATTTGATGGAAATCAAATCAAATCAATTGAAGATATGGATTTGGTTGGGTTGAAGAAATCAAGAAATTTCGAATCACTCAGTTTCGCTTCGAATAATATCACATTTATTGGACCGAGAGCATTCCAATATACCAGGAATTTGGTGGCACTTTCTTTGCAGAACAATTTGTTGGCTGATTTGACGACTAGTAAGTGGAAATTGGGAATCTCTGAGGAAAATTGGGGAGCTGAAAAATCCGGAATTTTTTTTTGGATATCGGTATTGCTCATGTTAAACCCCATAGAACATTTGGAGATTGCTCATATTTTGAAATCGGGATCGCTCATGTTAAACTTTAAAGATCTCAACATTAAAGCTTAACAAATCCTTGTGAATATGAAGTTTAACATGAGCAATATCTAGAAAATTCTGATTTTGGGTTTCGTAGATCATTTGAGGATTGCTCATGTTAAGATCCTTAAAGGACCCTAGTGAGTATGAAGTTTAACATGAGCAATACCTAGAAAATTCTAGTTTTGGGCTTAGTAGAACATCTGAAGATTGCTCATGTTAAGATCCTTGAAGCCATGTGAGTATGAAGTGTAATATGAGCAATACCTAGAAAATTATGGTTTTTGAGTTGGTAAATCATCTGGGGATCGCTCATGTTAGGAGTCTTGAGGAGCCTGGGGACTGGAAATTTTCACATGAGCAATATCTAGATTTGTTAGAAATTTTTGGGATTGCTCATGCTAAGATCCTTAAAGGAGCCTGGTGACTGTGAATTTTAATATGAGCAATGGTAGAATATTTGGGTATTGCTCATGTTAGGAGTCTTAAAAGAACCCGTTTTCAAAATTGTTCCAAAAATTAAGCATTGCTCATGTTATGTCCAAATAATTCTTAAAGGAAGACACCAGGAAAGCAAAAAGTTTGGTATGAGCAATGCTGCGTTTAATATGAGCAATGCCCAAAAAACCGAGATTTTAGTAAGCAAAATTGACAGAAAAATCTTCAAATGTTGTGCAAATTCGCTCTACTGATAATAATTCCCAAAAAATGTATCCCATATATTATTTCAGACAACACATCCTTCCTAAAACCGCTCGAAAAATTGGCATATCTCCAATTATCCAACAACAATCTGACAACAATCCGATCTTCCGAACTTCCACGATCACTTTCGCATTTCGCCGCCGATCACAATTCAATCAGTGAAATCGAGCCAAAAGCATTCGAAGGAATCGCATTGAAGCGTATTTATTTGAACAGTAATCGTCTACACTTTTTGCACCAAAATGCTTTTGCCTCATTTGCTCCAGAAACCATTGAAGCTATTGATTTGTCGTGTAAGTTTTCTCTGCCCTTCATATCTCGAGAATGCGCCCACAGGATCTATGTGTGCATCTCTAGCGCAGTCGGGTAGCCGATAGGCTATCGATCAATCCATGAGGTCATTTTGCTGGGTTCGAGTCCCACCGAAAACTACTTTTTTTGTTTTTTTTATAGTTCTAAATGTCCCATCTTTCAGCCAACGAATGGCAATGTATTTGCAAATCAACATCCGAATGGTTGCCGCGTTGGCTAGCCGATGCGGAAGAGAGCGATGTTGCGGAAGGTCCGCTTGGATGTCTGGCGATTCCGAATTGTGGAAGTGACACTGCTGACAGTTCAGTGGAAGAGATTGATGGGGAAGAGACGCAGAGATCGAAGTGGATTACGGTGGCTGCCACATTCTTTGCAGTTCTTTCTGTGGTCATTTTGATTGCGATTGTTTATTTGTATTATCAGGATGGAGGACATCAGGTGAGAAAGGATTTTCAGACGCTTTCAGAGCTTCTGTGCTAAATAGATGATTCTGGAGAACCTAAAGGTCAAGCAGCCACTCCTAGAAAATTCAATTGTCAAGGGTCAGCGCCTAGAGAGAATAGTTGTGAAGAAGCCGCGCCTAGAGAACATAGTTGTCTAGGACCCGCGCCTAGAGATCCATTCTGTGAAGGATCAGCGCCTAGAGAGCCTAATTGTCTAGGAGCCACCCCTAGATAATGCAATTCTCAAGGATCAGAGCCTAGAGTGTGTAGTTTTTAAGCAGCCGTGCCTATAAAAACTATTTATTTGTCTAGGATTTGTGTCTAGAGATCCACTGTTACAAGGATCACCGCCTAGAGAGCCTGGTTTTCAAGCAGCCGTGGCTAGAAATCTATTCTGACAAGCAGTCGCGCCTAGAGATCAACCATGGCAAGGATCAGAGCCTAGAAATATTAGGTGTCAAGTAGCTGAGCCTAGAGAGCATAGTGGTCAAGTAGTCTCGCCTAAAGAGCACAGCTGTCAAGTAACCGCGCCTAGAGAACCTAATCGTCTAGGACTCGCGCCTAGAGATCAGCTTGTCAAGTAGTCACTTCTAGAAAATTCGATTTTCAAGGATCAGTGCCTACCTTTAGAGCGTGTGTGTCGAGCAGCTGAGCATATGAATTCTAGTTGTCCACTCTGGCAAGTATCAGCGTCTAGATGTCCAGTCTGGCAAGGATCAGCGCCTAGAGAGTACAATTTTCAAGCAGACGCGCCTACAGAAATTATTTGTCCAGGATCAGCGCCTAGAGAACAACTCTGCTAAGGAGCCATCACTAGAAAATGAAACTTTCTAGTAGTCGCGCTCAGAACTTGGTTTCGTCTGAAATTAATTACAGTTTTCTAGATCAAAAATCTAATTGCCACATCATCAAAATGTTCATTTCCAGGCTTTAACTCGAGCTCGCCGCGCCGACTCCGACCTACACAAACTCATCGAAAACGACAACAACACCTTCGAAAACGCGGCGGCGTCCAATCTAACATTGGTGGCGCCCAAAGCGGCTGGAACACCCAAGAAATCAGTGCGATTCGAGGATTGTTAACCCCCGAAACTTTAATTTTTGTGTGTGAAAATCCCAAATCCCGGTGTAAATAGGTATCCTTGTTGTTTTTTCTTTTTTTCTTTTCCCTATCTCCATTGTGTTACGTGTCGCGTCCAGTCTAATTTGATGTTTTTTTTGGAATTTTTTCTTTTAATTTTTTTTGAAGGCCCATTTTCGGCCCGAAATCCCAAGTCAGGTATTTTTCCCCCACTATTTTTCATCTATGTATGCATAAATATCATAATAATTTTATGAGAGATCTTTCAAAAGCTCAATTTCTCAGTGGTCCACTCATTTTCTGGTTTCAGGCTCCAATTCGGGCTCTGCGATTCAGCCAGCCAATCGAAATCCTTGGGAGTTTTCCACTGAAAATTGTCCTCCACTTCGATGACGTCACCATTTTTGTTTTGAAGTCTGCAAAATTTTTTTTTAATTTTTTTTCAAAATTTTTTCACAGAAAAAATTCTCGACTCACTTGTAGGCATACATAAAGCAATTCTTAGTGTCCTCCATGATTACAGTACCCCGAGTTGCCACGTGTAAATGAATATTTTGCGAGGTGTGCAAACGGATTTGTTGGGCGGCCACGTATAAGTGAACACTGCAAGAAAATTTTTGAGAGAAAAAATAATCAATTTTTGCGTGAACGTGAAATTTGTCGTGGCAAATGTCATTTCAACGATAATTTTTTTCAAATCATTCAAATTTTCGGCGAGCAACAAAACGGCAGATGAGTTTTTTCCCTTGGGTCTCCCCTGAATTCCCCTGAACCCTATGCGAATAATTTGCCACGTGTCTCTCCTGGAGTAAAGTACAGCTCAACTTAGCCTAACTCCGGATAGTGAAGCTTTTGAAGTTGAGCATTAGCCATTGCAATTGTCAGGAACCTCGACATGAGTTACCTTAAGTCACTTTTTGGTTATACTCTCGACTTTGTCGACTTGATTTGGTTGGAAAAACTGTGAAGGGAGAGATCGAGGTTCGCTTTTCGAAAGAAAAGAAAACGTGGAATTATTCGAGGAGGAGAGAAATTTCAACTATTATCAGGGAAAATACGAGATTTCCAAGAAAAATCTGAATTTTTTGCAGAAACAAATTCGAAAACCATGGAAAACCCGCCTGAAAACACTTGCAGAATCGAAGAATTCGAAATTTTCGGTGAGTTTTTCTGGAATTTTAACTGAAAATTGATGGAATTCAAATTTTTCAATTGGAATTTCAGATGGAATGCGGAAGCTATGCCCAATTTTTGAAAACTTGAAAATTCAATTTTTGTTCCAGATTGGCAGTCGAGCAAATGCGCTCTACGGACAATGCAACGGTAAGCATTCATTTCAGAATAAATAAATAAGAACTTCTGAAATATCCGAAAAGAAACTAATAAAATCCAGAGTTTTCTTGATTTTCTTTTTTTTTAATTAGAAAATCTTGAAAATTCTGGATTTTATTAATTATTTTTTGGAATTTCAGCGGAGATGCGGAAGCTATGCCCAAATTTTAAATTTTAAAAAAAACTTTAGATTTTCAGAGCGACAATTTTCTCTGGAAATCCACCAAATTCAAGGATTCCGTCCACACCTCGGCCAAAATCGTGGTTCCCACAATAAAAAATTGTACGCTAACTTTTTACAGTACAAAAACTTTGAATTTTTCAGTTTTTGTCCTCTAAAAATTGTGATTTTTCAATTTTTGACCTCTAAAAACTGAAAATCAGATTTTAAAAAAAAATTGTACTCTGGCCAGCCACGGCTTGGCCGAGGTGTGATTCCGTCCGATTTTTTTCTACTTTTTGCTGAAAAGCCAAATTTGTTGTCGCTACAAGTCATTGCATAAAAGCCAATGACTTGTATCTAGTTTTGTTTCCTAGAAATACAGTAATCAGGGTACTGTAGATACATATTTCGTGTCTACAATAAGATTACTGTAGTTGTTGGCATTTGTCGAGTACTGTAAGAAACTTTGTTGCTCAAAAAAGTACTTTGTCTTCGGAAGTTTTGTTCTCTAAGTTCCACGTGAATCTTTATCTCTATGTTGAGTCAAAAAATCCTCTTCGGTGATTTTCCTGCTAAATTCTGAGTTGAAATTCCGCAAATTTTGGCTCAAAATGCCACGTGGCAATTCCGTATTTCTCGTACAAAAAATTTCAGAAAATTTCTACTTAAAATTGTCTCTGAAACTCATTAATTTTGAATTTCTAGCCACCAGGAACACACAATATTTCGCGTCAAGGTTGCGCGTAGGATTTGGAGTTTGCGGGCAGTTTTCGTTCTTTCTTTAGGTTTAGGGTTGAGTTTTTGAATGATTTTTCATTAAAAAATTAATTCTTAGCTTATTTTTCATAAAATTCATGTTTTTTGGCTCAAAAATGAGGATTTTCAGAAAATTTTCCATTTCATTTCAAGGTTTGAAGCTAATTCAAAAATTGTTTCAAAAAATCACTGTTTCAAAAATACTGTATTATTTTTCAGTGAATTTTGAAATTCAGTATTTTCAATCCTTTGAATAAAAAAAAATTAAGGCTTAAAGTTTTCGATTTTTCATGATTTTTGGCTTCAAATTTAGCTCCATTTAAAAATTTTTGGAATTTTTCAGAATTCAGAAAAAAACCGGAAATTTTGAATTGTAAGGAATTTTTCTAAATTTCTATGATTTTTCAAAAAAATCTAATTTTTTCCGATTAAAAAAAAAGGAAAAAATCACTGTTTCAAAAATACTATATTATTTTTCAGTGAATCTAGAAATTCAGTAGTTTGAATCTTTTGAATCTAATTAAAATCAGGGCTTAAAATCATCGATTTTTCATGATTTTAGGCTTGAAATTCATTAAAAAAATCATTTTTTTTCGATTACCCAAAAAAACTCACTTTTCACAATCATGCATTAAAATTGATCGATCACATCGTAAAAACAACAAAGTGCTATTTTTTATGTTCTGCAAAAAATTAATTTTATTTTTTTGCTCTCAATCTCAAAAAACTTACTCGAATATGAACAACAGATGGTTCAAAATCAAATTCCAATCGACAATTTTCGATATTTTTCAAGCTCAAATCTTCATTATCATCATTTGATTTCGAAATCACGCGATTCTCATTTTTCAAATCTTGAATCACAAAATTCGTCGAAGGTGTTGGAATTTCACAGGTAGCAGCTGGAATTGCAGCAGAAACTGAAGAAGAAGAGGAAGAAGCTGGTTTGGATTTGGTGCCAAATGAAAATCCGCCAAATTTCGCCACTGGTTTTTGAGAAATCTTCAATTTTCGAACTTCTTCGAGGAGGTTTTGAATTGCTTTTTGGCGACGATTTGCCAACGAATAGCCAAGGAATTTTTCTGGAAAAATGTGAATTTAGGCCTTATTTTTGCTTTAGAACTGATGGTTGTAAGGCCCGAAAGAGGCTAAATTTGAACTACTCCAATGAGAAAAAAAAATTCAAATCTGGATTTTTCGCGCTAAATTTGCCACGTGGATTTTTGTTTGCGCGAAACGAAAAAATTCAAATTTTGATTTTTCGCGCTAATTTTGCCACGTGGATTTTTCTTTGCGCGAAACGAAAAAATTCAAATTTTGATTTTTCGCGCTAATTTTGCCACGTGGATTTTTCTTTGCGCGAAACGAAAAAATTCAAATTTTGATTTTTTGCGCTAAATTTTCCACATGGATTTCTGTTTGCGCGAAACGAAAAAAAATTCAAATTTTGATTTTTCGCGCTAATTTTGCCACGTGGATTTTTCTTTGCGCGAAACGAAAAAATTCAAATTTTGATTTTTCGCGCTAAATTTGCCACGTGGATTTTTGTTTGCGCGAAACGAAAAAATTCAAATTTTGATTTTTCGCGCTAATTTTGCCACGTGGATTTTTCTTTGCGCGAAACGAAAAAATTCAAATTTTGATTTTTTGCGCTGAATTTTCCACATGGATTTCTGTTTGCGCGAAACGAAAAAAAATTCAAATTTTGATTTTTCGCGCCGAATTCGCCACGTGGATTTTTGTTTGCGCGAAACGAAAAAATTCAAATTTTGACTTTTTGCGCCGAATTCGCCACGTGAATTTTTGTTTGCGCGAAACGTTAAAACTTTGAATTTTAAACCAACTCACGCAATTTCTCAACTTTTTCCGAATCCACAATTTTATTTTCCAAATCGATCTTGATGTTTTTCATAAGATTGTCTATTTCCGCTTCTTCGGAATTCGAATCGGATTCTGAATTTTCAGGAATTTTTCCTAAAATCCTTTTTTCAAAACCAACCTCCATTCACCGCCGTTTTCCTCTCCTGATTTCTCACTTCCAATCTCGCTATCAATTTTTCTTTTCTTTCCTCCAAAATCCTCGCTTTCTCATCCATCTGAATCTAAAAATTAAGTAAAATTTCCTTATCAAAAAAATTCACAAATACAAAATTCGGCTCAAATCCAATAAAAAAAGAAGTTGAGAAAAACTATAAAAACTTCATAATAATACACTTTCGTCTATTTAAATTACACGCCAAGAAGAAAAAAAGAGAAATTTTTAGTCATATTTTGTATATTGTGTGCGGCGAGGATACCATGGTAAGAGGACTTGAGAGAATGGACGACCATTTCCTGAAAAAAGGGAGTTGAAAACAGAAAACTGAGAAAAAATCAATCAATAAAAGAACATACGGTCATTGAAATGATCAAAATCTTGTGGATGCAATTGCATGTAATGTTCAATGACTGCGTCTCTCGTTTGATAATGTCTCTCGCGGAGGGCACCAGCTGCATAACCCAAACCAGTTACTGCGGCAACCAAAATTGATCTCGGGATGATGGCTGCAAACATATGGAGTATGGAGTTAGAGGAATTTTTTGAGAAGATTTTTTTGACATTTCCAGGTTTTTTAAGCAAATGAGTTGAAATATTGGGTTCTAATGTTATTCATATGATAGGATGGTTCAAGACGAACAGAATTATATAAATTTTGATGACTTTACCTTATACATAAGTGATTTGGGGGCGCTTAGACGATCTTAACGACTAGAAGTCGCTAAATCACTTATGGATAAGGTAAAGTCATCAAAATTTATATCATTCTGTTCGTCTTAGACCATTCTATCATATGAATAACATTAGAACCCAATATTTTAACTTACTTGCTTAAAAAACATGGAAATTTCATTTAGTCAATGTCATTTAGTTTTCTAGTAGTTTGCGACCTAAAATTGCAAAGCTCAACTCTTAACATGAGTTATGTCGTGGCAAAGTTGGAAAATTGCGATATTGGGATGTCAAAACTCGCTTTTAAGATGGTTTTCATGAAAATCTGATAGCATAGGTTTGTTCAGGAAACTCGATAACATAAAGCCATTTTTCAAAAAAATTCGGAAAAAAATCTGCAACTTCATTTTTTTTCAGTGAAAAAAGTTGATTCAGGTTACACATTCCGAACTTTTTTGAAAATCTTTCGAATTTAAGAAAATCCTACTGTACTTATGTTATTGCTATCAGATTTTCATGAAAATCATCTTAAAAGCGAGTTTTCACCTCGCAATGTCGAAATGTTCCAACTTTTCCACGTCATAATTCATGTTAAGAGTTAAGTTTTGCAATTTTAGGTCAAAAACTACTAGAAAACATAAATTTCAGTTCCCATGTCATTGAATTTTTGAATCAACTTTTAAAAATCAATAAATTATAGATTTTCAAAAAACTCACCAAAATAATATGGTTTTTTATTCCATCTATTGTGCAAAAGTGCTCCTACCAAAGAAATTCCAAAAGTTACAGCGGCTCCCTGAAAAATCAATAATATTTCCAAGTTATCCGAACTCAATTTACCTTCCATGGATAAGCCCATGTGAATGGATCAATCAATTTTCTTTCACGATTTCCAGCTCGAATATACGATTCTCTTCTCTCAATTTCCTTTTCGCTTACTCTCGTCGAATCCGCCATGGCTCTGATAGATTTCAACCTGAATTTTCCAGATTTAAAAACCCAGCTAGTTCTTGAAGATATATTTTAGTGAAGTAACGCATTTTAGTACACAAATTTCACATACACACGATAAATTTATCGAATATCAGCACTAAATTACTCAGAATATATTTTTCGCAAGTTTTTGGGAAAAAAGAGAAAAACGAGAGTTAGAAAAAGGTATATTTAGCGATCGAATTTGGCTGGGAAACGTCCGTCGGCGAGAAGCTCGTCCCATCTCTCGGTCCAGAATCCTGGGCAGAAGTCCTTGTAAACGTTTTGGAAGAATTGACATGGTTTGTAGTCTTGTCCCATCAATTCGTTGCAACGATGGAAATCGACGTAGTAGGCGAAGCATTGACGTTGCTTACGGACTTGTGGGAAGCGAGCGTCATATGGGGCGGCCCAGAGAAGATCCTTCTTCACTTTCTCGTGAACTTCCTTCTTGTACCAGTCTGGCGAATCTGGGTGACGGAGAGCGTCGGAGAATTTCTCCTGGAAAATTTACTTTTATTTTTTTAATTATATTTTCTTGGCATGGGTTTTTCAAATGAATTTCCGTCAGAAAGCTATCAAATTTTCAAAAACATTCGAAAGTCACGTATTTATCGATTTTTTGAAAATGCTCAACTTTCGATTTTATTTTTGAAATTATCACATTTTAACATAATTTTTTACTTTAGTTAAAACTATCATGTCTATACCAAAATTATCCATGAAAATATAGTTCGAGATAATCAATAATTTTTCTTCTGAAAATCAGAACAATTTTTAAAAATCTGATAATTTTCAGGAAAAATTGTTGATAAGTTCGAAAATGATCTAAGGATCAAATGATAAGATAATACTAATATTTCTCCGTGATTTCCATGAATATTTACAGACAATTTCAGACAAAAATAAGAAAAAAACGTTGAAGTCTCGTTTCCCTCGATTTCCCGAAAAATTACCTGATAAGCCTTGAGGCGTTGATAAGTGGTTGGTGGAACCTCGACTTGAGCTGGCATTACTGTAAAAATTTCAGCTTAAAACTGTCTTAAAATCGGGAAAACGTGAAGGATTTACGGCGCCCGACGACACACACTTTTATACACTCGGTGACGCCAAATACGCTGCACAATTCAAAACACCGTAGTTCGTTCGCATTAGAGCAAACATTCGCTCATTGGACGAGGAAAACTTCGGCCATCAATTTATTTATTTGTTAACAACCCGCTGAAACGAGAAATGACACACCCCGCTGAAACGAGAAATGACTGTTTTTCTACTGTAGTACGCAATCGAAAAGTGTGCAAACACCGCGTCTCTGCGTCTCTTGAAAATTCACAATGTTTTGTTCGTTCAAAGGAACATACATTTATTAATTTATTGGGTCTCGAAAAGCTGGCCTTCCTGGGCTCCTAGGAATTATGAAGCTTATGGTTTAATGTAGATCTCGACACGCTGAATCTCGTGGTATTTTTCATTTTTTCTCTAACGCCTGTTTTCCTAACGAAAATTGGTACGCCAACTTTTTCATTGATTTACGTTGCTGATTAAAGGGACACGTATTTATTTCACCGCGTGGTCTCGACGCAAATCGTAACTTTCTTCGCGGGACCCCTAAAAATATGAGTAACATAGTTTAATGTAGATCTTGAGACGCTGATTCTAATGGTATTTTTAGTTTTTCATATAACGACCTCTAAGGTAGCTAAAATTGGTACGCCAATGAGAACAGCATTTTGCTAATTTTTTCATTGTTTGAGCGGGTGTGTGTTTTTTTTTGTTTTTCGAAAGTTGAAAACAACAACAAAACTAAGATTTCAGCGTAAAATGGCGTATATCAAACCGGAAAAACAAATCAAAAATGTTTTTGACTTAAATCCCTGGTATTTCTCCAAGGTAATTATTGCAAATTGATGATTTTTTTCTATATTAATAATTTTTCAGGCATATAAAGATTATATGGATTTTCTCCATGCTCTGAATCAATCTGTCAAGGGAGTCAAGACTACAGACGATGTGAAATGCAACATATTATGCATGAACTTTGTGGAAATGTTGGGAAACCTTGATGTTTGGATCGATGAGATTCCATTGGAGGCTGTGGAAGAGCAACGTTTTGGAAATAAAGCATATCGAAAATTCTATGAAAAATTGGAAAAGGAGGCAGAAGGTCTTTTGAAAACTGTTCTTCCTGAGACAAGTTACGAAGCAATGGTTGAAATCGTTCCATATTTCGTGGAATCTTTCGGAAATGCCACAAGAATCGATTATGGTTCAGGACATGAGGCGAATTTTTTGATTTTCTTGTTTTGCTTGAAGAAGTTGGATATTTTCAAAGATGAGGATGATGCAGCGATTGTTTTGAGGATTTTTAATAAGTAAGTTTTGTTTTTGAATAAAAATTAACTTTATAGAAAAAAAAATGATTTCAGATATCTCCGTGTCTGCCGCCATTTGCAAACAAAATTCAAAATGGAACCAGCAGGAAGTCGCGGTGTCCACGCTCTCGACGACTTCCAATTCGCCCCCTTCATCTTCGGAAGTGCCCAATTAATCGGTCAACGCTCCCTCGTCCCCGATTCCTATCTCAAATCAAATATCGTCGATCTCCACGCTCATCAATCTCTTTTCCTCGAAGCCGTCCAATTCATCAATCAAACAAAAACCGGGCCATTTCACGAGCACTCGAATCAACTTTGGAATATTTCAGCGGTTCCAAATTGGAATAAAGTGAATGAGGGGATGTTCAAAATGTATCAAGGAGAGGTTTTGAAGAAATTCCCCGTCGTTCAACATTTCATGTTTGGCTCATTGGTCTCTTTTGAGAAGCGAGAGAGTGTGGATGGCGAAGAGACTACAGAACATGAAACTGTTCCTCAGGCTACTAGCTTCATGACAAAAGCACCATTTGCACCAAGACAACCGGGCCAACACGGAATGTTCGCCTTCCAAATCCCATCAGTCGCCAAAGTTTCAACCGTTCACTCCTCAAATGTCGTGGAATCTGGATCTCTTCGCAGAATCCACGATGAACCACATCCCGAAGAACACTGCCCTCCACCAATGCTTGATCCATAAACTATTTATTTTCCCGGTATTTTTTTCTGTAAATAGTAAAATAAATAAATTGATGAACTAGTCTGATAACGTGTAACGTGACACGTGGAAAAAGAAAAAAGTTCAGAAAAATGCTTGAGTTCGTCAGTTTTACCTGGAGTTTCCGAACAAAATGGATCTATTTCAGGAATATGACTTTTTCCACGGATACATTGATCAGTAAGTTAGGTTGAGTATGAAAATTCCTCTCAAAACCCGTTAAAAATTTTTTTCAGAAAAGAATGTCGAGCATTGCTGATAGAATCAGGCGATTTTCTGATTCGCTCATTCTTCAAAACCAAAACCGATAGTAAAGAAAGTTTTTTATGTGTCTTGAGTGTTGCGGAAAGATCTTCAGAAATAGGCGACAATGGAAATCAGACGCGAATCCGATCAGTCGGAATCAACGCGTTGAATGAAACATCATTCGGAATTCAGGGAAGTGAAGAGGCTTTTCCAACAATCCGCGCACTCGTCGATTCATTTATCAACTCCAAAAAACCAGTCGTTGAACAAGTTTCACTAATCCGCTCGATCGCAAGACAACCCTGGGAATTTTCTCGAAATGATATTGATATTCCTCAACCAGAAGTTGGTTTGGGAAAAGGATCTTTTGGCACGGTTATCAAGGGAAAATTATTGAAATTGGACTTGGATGTGGCGATAAAACGCTTGAATGACCAGGCAAATGAGACAGCATTTGCAGAAGCTTTGCAAGAAACTAGAGTTATGCGTAAACTTGATCATAACAATATTGTAAAGCTATTTGGAATTGTAATTGATTCAATGCCATTAATGATTGTTATGGAATTGGTTGATGGAAATTCATTATCTAAAGTTTTACGCGGTCGCACTCTTCCAAATGGTTATAGAATGTCATTTATTGTTGGGTTAATGTATGGTTTGGCTTATATGCATGATCGTGGATATATTCATCGAGATGTTGCCGCGAGAAATGTTTTGGTTTCGAAAGATTGGCAAAAAGTTAAATTGATTGATTTTGGTTTGAGTAGAAATGGGCCGAGTTATACATTCACAACATTTCAAAAAATACCAACTCGATGGTTGTCGCCGGAAGTTTGTCGCGATGGATTATTCTCACAAAAATCTGATATTTGGGCGTTTGCAGTGACTTGCTGGGAAATGTATAATGATGGAGCTGAACCGTATCATAATTTGAAGAATCCTGAAGTTCGTGCGATTGTGTTAGATCAAGAGAAATTTGAGGAGAATCGTTTGAATTTGAAGCCATGTGCTGGAGATGAAAAACCACCACAAGCATGTAAGATTTTGAAATTTGTTTTCAAATTTTTTTAAAAAATTCCAGTTCACACATTTCTTCGCGCATTGTTCGAACACAATCATAAAAAGCGACCTGGCTCTTCAAAAATGCTTTCATTGTTCGAAAAAGTGGCGGTTGAATTGACTGGAGCTGACGTTGAAAACGTCCGCCTTCAAGTTCAAAAGGGACAATTTCAATCAAAAGTTGGAAATAGTTGTCGTCCACATCGTCAGGCTACAGCAAGATCAATAACTCCAAGTAGAGAATCGGCAAGAGTTCTCAAAAAATCTGCACAAATGCCGCCAACAGCAAAATCGCGACGTGGAAGAAGTACATCGGGAAGACCACCAGTTACGGATAAGGATAAGGATGATAAGAAGGTTAAAACGCGTAGACGTCGATCAAAAGCATAAGATTATTCACTTCAATTTTAATATTATCTCCATTTACTAAGAATTCAAGAATTATTACTGAAAATGAACATTTTTCTTTCAAAAAAAAATCGATAAAAACTGTAAAAAATTAAAGGAACATTTCAATTCTCAAATGTTTCCCGACACGATTCATGAAATGTGTGCTGTTCCTTTCAAAAGATACGGTACTTTTTATTTTCTTTTCTTTTCTTTTCCGCAGAAGCCCCGCCCTCTCTCTCTCTCTTGGTCACCCTGTTCCCCCATAAACCTGTTTGGGTGGCGTTCTGGTGTGTACACCATAAACACCATAAATGACGCGCAGGACGCGCGAGGGAGGAGAAGAATATTTGAAATTTTCTCGCTTTGTCTTTTTTTCTGCAATTTATCTTTATAGTTCCAAATAAATTTTTCCAGTAGATCATTATGCAGTCGGCATATGGAACGCCGATGTCATCAACATCTAACAAAACTCCGCGAACCCGGCGAAGAGCAATTTCACCATGTGGAACTCCACAATCACCATTTTCATTGATTGATTTGGACGCGGCTGATCGAGAAACTTTGAAAATCAAATTGCTGGAAGCTGAACAGTTATTAGAAGAAACTAGACAAGAAAGAGATGTAGGTTTTTTGTTAAACATTCAATTTTATTTTTAAAACATTTTTTTTCAGAAAATCCACATGAGTTTGTTGAATGAGGCTGGACTTGATGAAAGTATTATTGTTGAAACTTCGAATCGTGTTTCGACACAGGAAACTAAAATCTATCGAAGAGATCGATTAGTTTTGGAAGATGAATTGAAGCAAAAACAACAATTGGTTGGACAATTACAATCTCGAATCACACAATTGGAAAATGATAATCAAAAACTTCTCGAGGATTTGAAAGCGTCTAATAGAAAATATGATGATTCAGAATTCAATACAAGTTTAGCTAAAGAGCGTTTGAATGTTGTTGAGGAGGAATTGCGGAAAAAAGAGGGTTTGCTGAACAAATTGCAAGCAGAAATGGCGGGTTCTTCACGATCAGTTGATCAAATCATCGCCGATTTTGAATCGGAAATTCAATTATTGACAAGAAGATTAGAGAACGCAACAAAAGCATTGGAGCAAGAGCGAAAGGCGAAAATTGAGGTGGAAGGGCAATTGGCAAAACTGCAAAAATCTTTGGGAGATTCTGCGATTCGTCGAAGTCTTGAAGCTGAAAATGAAAGAATTGCTGAAACTCGCAAAGTTTTGAGTGAAGTTCAGCAATTATCGAATAAAGTCGAGTGTTTGACACCGATTCGCCCGAAGAATCAACAACTTGAAGAGCGAGATGAGTTATTGAAAATGTCGGCAAAGTTGATCGAGGAGAATATAAGCGATTTGAAGAGGCGAAATATGCGTTTAGAAAAAGAGGTTTTGGATAAAAAAGAGTTGTTGGAAACAGCGAATGGGGAATTGAAGCAACTTCGTGAACAATTGAAAGCATTTGAGGGGAATGCTGATCAAGCTGCTCGATTTTTACAGGATGAAAATGCTAAATTAACCCTTCAAAAGGCTGATATTCGCTGCGAACTTCTTGAAGTTAAAAGGAGATTGGTTGCGGTACAAAATGAGAAAGATGATGAGAATAAGACGGTTGAAAAAGCGCTGGAAGATGCGAAAAAACGAGAGGAAGAATTGGAAAATCAATTGGAAGTGGTGAAATCAATTCGAAGGAAAAATGATGAAGAAATTGTGAAAATGCAAGATAGGCTAAGTGCGATGAAAGACGCTCTAATGGTCAGCGATCAACAATGTTCACAATTGAATAATTTGAAAGAGGCGGCAGAGAAATCGAGATCTCGAGCTATTCAACAATGTAATGAGATGGTTGTGAAGATTCGGAATCTTGAATCAGCGCTGGAGAATCAGAGAAAAGTCGAGCAGGAATTGGAACATTTGCGAGCTGACAATGAACGACAGAAGGCGAAGATTCAATTTTTGAATGAGGAAATTCAGGAGACACATGCTGATTATCGAGAAGAGTTGACGAAGTTGGCCAAAGAGAATTCGGCGAAAAAAGAGCAGAGTGAAGATTATAATCAAGTGGTTAGTTTTTTTTGTTAAAGAGAGACACTGTGAGTGATAGAGACGCAGAGAAACTCTATGATAATTAGAGATTGTCTGCGTCTCTTCCTCTAACATTGTCTTTCCTGGAACATTTTGGTCCTCTTTGGGCTCAAAAATTTTAGCTGAATCAAATTTGGGAGCTCAACATTTCCTTGAAGTTCTTGAGTTACAGAAAATTGCATTTTTGCTTTTTCAAAAAAGTCTAGTTTGGAAAAAAAAACAGAAAAGTCTACTTTGAACTCTTGAAAAGTCCAGTTTGAACTCTTGAAAAGTCTAGCTTGAACTCTTGAAAAATCTACTTTGAACTCCTGAAAAGTCTAGTTTGAACTCTTGAATAGTCTAGTTTGAACTCTTGAAAAGTTCAAACTGGACTTTTTCTTGAATAGTTTTTGGAAATTTTTTTTCCAGGTCTCCTCCCTAAAACTACAAATCTCCCAACGAGAAAGCGCTCTCCGTGGCGCCAAAAAACAATGCGACGAGATCCGCCAAGACAACGCGAAACTCGGCGAATTGGTCGCCGACGCACGTCGCCGACAAACCGAGGTCGTCGAGGAGAATGCGAAATTGCGCAAGGGACTCGCGGATGCGGTGGCGAAAATCGAGGAATATCGCAGGGATTGCGAGAATGCCAAGGAGATGTCGCAAAGATTGGCGGAGGAGTTGGGCGAGAAAGAAATTCGATTGGTGAGAAGGGGAAATTTGATTATGTCTGGGGGATGTTTTTCTGGGCGTTTGGTGAAGAAAAATTCAAAAAAAAAAAGAAAAATAGTAAAATTCCCACATTTTTCATTAATTTTAATGAGTTTTTTTCGGTAATTTTAATTCATTTTGTTGCTCTTTTGATTATTTTGGTTTACACGTGGATTTTGGAGCTCAAAAATCTTGAAAAGCCGAGCTCTGCACCAAAATATAATTTCGAATTTAATTTCAGAACAAAATGGACGAAGAGCTGTGCGAAAAACAGCAACAAATTTGTGAATCCGAACAAGTTGTCAATTATTTGCATAGCCAAATCAATATGAAACCAAAAAATCAACCGAAATTGGGAAGACGCAGCACACTTTTGAGCACTGTTTCAGAATCGGTCATGGACACTTCAGCACTTGTGAGTTTTGGGTTTTTGGAGTGATATACCGTGTAAAATGGCTCGAATTCGTTGTATTTTGGGGTCTTTTTCTTTTCAAATATCGATTTTCAAGAGGGCTGATTCACAAACGAAAAAATGTTTTAAAATGTTTTTTAACATCGAACACACCCGTTCAAGCCACGCAATGAGTGTTTTCTACTGTAAAACGAAAAATCTGCGAATGAAAAAAACTGTGCAAACACTTTTGTCTAATTCTCTCTGTTCGCCGTTATATTTCGCACTACAGTATTAAAGGAACATGATAGATTTGATGTGTTGGGTCTTGTCGCGATCGCTAACTTTCTTCGCAGGACCTCAAAAAATAAGAAAAGTAGCAAGTCAGGTAGAACTCGATGCGCTGATTTTCATGCTATATTTATTTTTTCACGAAGCTTATCTAGGTTTTGAGCTACAGGGTGCACCGTTTTTACAGCGTTTTGCTGATTTTTGTGTTGCTTGAGCGGGTGTGCGAAAATTCAATTCACGAAAAGTCAAAAAATGTCGAAAAAACATTGTAGGTCAAAATTAGTTTTTCGAGTTTTTCAGCCAAAAATGATGACAAATCAATAATTTTCAAGCTTCTGGAGGAATTTCTGATGAAAATTGACCTTGAAATTCACTTTCCAGAAATTTTTGCTGAAATAAAAAAATTTAAATTTTGATGAATTTCGAAAAAATTAATAAAATAAAGCAGAGCTTATTTTCATCAGAAATTCCTCCAGAAGCTTGAAAAATATTTATTTGTCATCATTTTTGGCTGAAAAACTCGAAAAACTAATTTTGACCTACAATGTTTTTTCGGCTTTTCGTGAATTGAATTTTCGATGTTAAAAAACATTTGGGAAAAATTGCTTAAGACATTTTACACGGTGTTTCACGCTGTAATCTCAGATTTCACCTTTAAACCATATTTTTCCACAGAGCCGTGAATCTGAAGAAGTTCTCGAACTCGAAAACACAAAACGTGAACTTTTGCGAACTTTGGAAATGAAACGAAGAATGGTGGATGCTCAGCGAATGGCTGAAACTAGCACCACCACCACAACCACAACAAAAACAGTGGAAAATCAAGTGACTACGGTAGCTACAGTATCCTCGCAAAGTGATTTGAATAGCGGAAAACCGGGAACAATGCGACACGATATTCCGCATAAATGGAAAGAAGTTCGACATTTGAGTGTGTTGTCGTTGAAGTGCGCAATTTGTTTTGTTGGAATCTCGACGGTTTGTATTTGTTGATTTTTTTGGGAAGAGGGGGAGGAGTTTTGAACCGGAAGATGTTTTTTGTGAAATTTAGAGCTTTTCATAGAGGCTGTCAGGTTTTTGGCCTTCAATTTTCGAAAAAAAATTATAGATTTGAATTTTTTCAGTTCTGACGAATTTTTTAAGCTTGATTTTGATGAGAACCTTGAATTTTCGCAAAAAAAATTTGAATTTTACAGTTTTGCCGCTTTTTAGCTTGTTTTTTTTTGGCGGGAAATTTAAATTTTCGAAATTTTTAAAAATTAAATATTTGAATTTTTCAGTTAGTTTTTTAGCTCAAGTTTTGAAATTCGAAAATTTGCCACGTGGATTTTTTTCCTGAAATATTAAAAAATTCACCATGTTTGATCTCAAAATGTTGCAAATTTTACGATAAATTCAAATTTAGAGAAAAACAATTTGCCACGTGAATTTTTTTCCTGAAAAATCTGAAAAATCTCTGAAATTAATCAAAGTTTTACAGATTTCACAAAAAATTCAAATTTCGAGAAAAAAAATCTGCCACGTGGATTTTTTTTTCTGAAAATCTGAAAAATCTCCGAAATTAATCAAGTTTGATCTCAAAATTTTCCAAATTTCACCAAAAATTCAAATTTTGAGAAAAAATCTCAAAATTCTCCATGTTTGGTCTCAAAATGCTCCAAATTTTACCAAAAATTCAAATTTCGAGAAAAAAACATCTGAAAAATCTCCGAAATTGATCAAGTTCGATCTCAAAATGCTCCAAATTACAAAATTAAAATTATTTTTTGCAGTTCGGAAAAGCGAAAAAGTGTGCACATTGCGACGTTCAAGTGCACGCCGCATGCGCCGCCAAAGTCTTCAACACTTGCGGAATGCCAACAGAATGCGCCAATTATTATCGCGAAAATCACACGACTATCAGCAGCTCCGCAATTTCCGAAGGCCGAATGAATGGCTGGCTGAATGTCTATCGAGACAATCAAAATATCCAAAAATGGGTCTCGTCTTGGGCAACAATGGATGTGTCGAAAATCGCATTCTACACAAATGACGGAGCTGATTTGGACAAACCCTATTTCACAATCGATTTGAATCGAGAACAATGGGTTTTGCGGGCTGGAATTGAAATGCCAATTGATTGCGAGAAAACACAAATGAAAGCGAGCAATGTGATTTTGATTAAAATGCCCGGAAAGAATATATATCTATTGGCGCCGTCGCAAAATTCGGCGAAAAGATGGGCGGAATGCTTGCAGATTGCTCAAAGAAAGCGAATGATGCTCACTTCACGACCTACCCTGATGGCTGAATATACATGTTTGCTGGTGTTGAATTCGCCGAATAATTTGAAGATTTATAAATCGTATTGTTTCGATGATTGGATTCTATTCGCCACGCAAACTGGATTGTTCTACACAAGTGTTAGCCAACCACGAAACCCCGTGCGAATTGCGGGAATGAATTCGGTGACAGCCATGGAACATATGGCAGAGATTAATTGTTTGTCATTGGTGACGAATTCGAATGGACAATTGTCGTTGATTCCGATGGATTCGTTGAATTTGGCGATGCAGAGTACGCAACCGTCGATTCGGCCCGATGTTTTGCCCGAGTTTCAGCATTGTGGAATTGTTAAGTATCATCAGCAGAATCGACAGAGGTTTGTGCTTTTGAAATTTTGAATTTGAAGCATTTTGAACCTAAACATGATGATTTTGGGAAAAAATCTGCCACGTGGATTTTTTTTTGAATTTTCCGAGAAAAAATCCACGATTCAAAGAATATAAAAATTTATAAAAACTTTGAAACAGTAATTTTTTAGAAAAATATTCTGCTTTTTTTTGTTGAATTTTAAAGGAAATTTTGAAACAGCTCACAGGCTCCTCCAGGCGGCGGTGTGAAAAAAAAATTGCCACGTACACAAAATTTCGTTGTTTTTCACGTTTTTATTTTGCAGTTTTTCATCTTTTTAAAAACAAAGTTTGAGGTGAATTTCGAAACTTTTTGAAAATTTTTGAAAACTAAGTTTGTAGAGGGGGAGATTCTCTACAAGATCATATAAATTTTATATGGAACTTCGACGATTGAACATGAGTTTTTGAAGCGGAAAACTATGATCGTTTTCGAAAATTTCGGAAAAAGTTTGAAAATTTTTTACAAAAGTTTGAGACTTTTTTTCAAAAATCGGCTCGCAATGAATTGTTCAGCGCATCGAGCTCTACAAAATGGTGTATATCATGTATGGTGAAACTTTATCTCCACAGATCCTTTGCGGTTCAAAGTTTGATCACCTGTTTCAGAACAAAAATTGGAATGAAAACTGCATCGTTATACTTTATTTCGAATAGTTTTAGATAATATTAAGTCATATCTGAATTACAATGACTGGTTCAATAACCGAAATTGAGGAAAAACAGTGAGAACATCTCAAAACTGAAATCAACGAACAAAACTAACAACAAATTTGTTAATCAACGAAAACTCATCTATTTCTCCTTAAACTTCCTATTATTATCAAAAACATTATAGTTTCATCATATACATCAGAAAAAAACAAAAAATTGTTCAGAAACTCGTATAATCATAAAAAACTTATCTAAATTTGATTCTGATAGAGGTGATCAAACTTTGAACCGCAAAGGATCTGTGGTGATGAAGTTTCACCATACATGATATACACCATTTTGTAGAGCTCGATGCGCTGAACAATTCATTGCGAGCCGATTTTTTGAAAAAAAGTCTCAAACTTTTGTAAAAAATTTTCAAACTTTTTCCGAAATTTTCGAAAACGATCATAGTTTTCCGCTTCAAAAACTCATGTTCAATCGTCGAAGTTCCATATAAAATTTATATGATCTTGTAGAGAATCTCCCCCTCTACAAACTTAGTTTTCAAAAATTTTCAAAAAAATTTCGAAATTCACCTCAAACTTTGTTTTTAAAAAGATGAAAAACTGCAAAATAAAAACGTGAAAAACAACGAAATTTTGTGTACGTGGCAATTTTTTTGACACCGCCGCCTGGAGGAGCCTGTGCAGCTAATTTTTAATTTTTTTTGAAAAATTGTATCATCAGAAAAATTTACTGTTTCAAAGTTTTTATGAATTTTTAGAGCAAATTTTTTAAAACTGTTAACGCTTCTCTTATTCTGAGAATATTTTCCCGAAAATCAGGATCAAACTAGAGTGTAGTTTAGCATAGAAATTGATGTTTGGTGTCAAAATGCTCAAAATTTCGAGAAAAATTCAAAATTTCATGAAAAATCTGCCACGTGGATTTTTTTCCATGAAAATCTTTTGAAAGCATTCTACTTTTTCACAGTTTTTATAAAATTTTAGGTTGAGCTTTGGTTTCAAAATCAAACTAGAGTGTAGTTTGGCATAGAAAAATTCAATTCTCTATTTCAAAAAGTTTCAGAACAAAAATCACTAGAAAATAGTTTTTTTGGAAAACCCAATTTTCTGACAAAAAATCTTCCACGTGGTTTTTTTTTCCAAAAATCTGAAAAATCTCCAAAAATTTCCACAGATTACTCCAAATTTCAAAAAAAAATCACATTTTAAGAAAATATCTGCCACGTGGATTTTTTCTCGAAAAATCTCAAAAATCCATAATTGTTGGTATCAAAATGCTTCTAATTTCACCAAAAATTCAAATTTCAAGAAAAAATCCACGTGGCAAAAAGAAAAAAATCCCAAATCATTTTCTATGCCAAACTAAAGTCTAGTCTGTTACCCGGCTATCTCTAGAACTTTTTTTAAATTAAAATCAATATTTTTGCAGATTCCTGATAGCCACCGATCCAACATCAATCTCAATCCTCCGCTACAATCCATCTCGCGATGTTTTCTGCAATTTCGCCAAAATCCCCGTCACAGAACCAGTTGTCAGCATCGAAACCTCACCAAATGGCATCTATTTCGCAGCCGACACTTTCTATTTTGTATCCCTCGAAAATCAAACATCAGCTCAAACTTTTCACCAATTAGTTCCACCAAAAGATGGCGATTATCCATTGAGTTGTATTATAATTGGAGAAAATGAGCTGCTATTGGCTTATCAGAGTAAGTTGAATAGATTTAGGGAATCTATACATACTATATGATTTTTTTCCAGATTACGGTATCTTCATCAATGCCCAAACTGGTCGATTATCGCGGCGAGACCCGGTTGAATGGGAGCAAATGCCGATGGAATTCCTCTACACCGCTCCCCACCTTTTCGTGATTTATTACGACTCGATTGCGATTTTGGAAGTGGCGGAAAGCGACGGAAACTTTGAAACCAGGCCGTTTTTAGCGGAACGTGAAGTTTTCGAGTGTGTAAATGCACATATTATTGGAAGACAGATGGATAGTGTTTTGATATCTGTATCCTCTCAAAATTCCACGGAAGTTCATCGATTTAACACAAGTGGAAATCGAAGAAATGTTCAGAAAAGGAGAGGAATCTCACCGGCTGATACTTTAAAAAGACATAAATATTAAATTGCTTTTTACTAACCCTTTTTTCTTTGTACTATATTTATTTTTATATTTTTTGTAATTTTTGAAATGAAAAATTTTCGTAGCCAAAATTCAAAAACACACTTGAAATTCCCGCGATTTCGAAAATTTTCAAATTATATGTTTCTTACAGTACTCGACATATGCCAACAACAACTACAGTAATCTTATTGTAGACACGAAATTTGTATCTACAGTACCCTGATTACTGTGTTTGTAGGAAACAAAACTAGATACAAGTCATTGGCTTTTATGCAATGACTTGTAGCGACAACAAATTTGGCTTTTAAGCAAAAAAGTAGGAAAAATCGGACAGAATCCTTGAATTTGGTGGATTTCCAGAGAAAATTGTCGCCAAATCGCTCTGAAAATCTCAAGTTTTTCTCTAAAAATTCAAAATTTGGGCATAGCTTCCGCATCTCCGCTGAAATTCCAAAAAATAACTGATAAAATGCAGGGTTTTCAAGATTTTCTAATTAAAGAAAATCAAGAAAACTCTGAATTTTATCAGTTTCTCTATGGATATTTCAGAAGTTCTTATTTATTTATTTTGAAAAAAAAACTTACCGTATCCAACACGTGGATTGTCCGTAGAGCGCATTTGCTCGACTGCCAATCTGGAACAAAAATTGAATTTTTACAAGTTTTTCTTTAAAAATTCAAAAATTGGGCATAGCTTCAGCATTCCATCTGAAATTCCAATTGAAAATTTGATATCCATCAATTTTCAATTAAAATTCCAGAAAAACTCACCGAAAATTTCGAATTCTTTGATTTTTGCAAGCGTTCCCATCTTTTTCGAGTTTGTTTCTGCAAAAAATTCAGATTTTTCTTGGAAATCTCGTATTTTCCCTGATAATACTCGAAATTTCCCTCCTCCTTGAATAATTCCACGTTTTCTTTTCTTTCGAAAAGCGAACCTCGATCTCTCCCTTCACAGTTTTTCCAACCAAATCAAGTCGACAAAATCGAGAGTATAACCCCAAAAAGTGACTTAAGGTAACTCATGTCGAGGTTCCTGACAATTGCAATGGCTAATGCTCAACTTATGAAGCTTTACTATCCAGAGTTAGGCTAAGTTGAGCTGTACTTTACTCCAGGAGAGACACGTGGCAAATTATTCGCATAGGGTTCAGGGGAATTCAGGGGAGCCCCAAAGGAAAAAAAAAACTCATCTGCCGTTTTGTTGCTCGCCGAAAATTTGAAATAACTGAAAAAAATTAACGTTGAAATGACATTTGCCACGACAAATTTCACGTTCACGCAAAAATTGATTATTTTTTCTCTCTTGTTTTTTGTTTTGCTGACAGAAAAAAGAAGATCCCAGAGAATACTATAGTAATTAAAACAAAATACGAAACTCCGATTTTCCATTTTAGTACGACACTCCGTTTGTCCGCATGCCTGTTGTTTAGCGAAAAATTATTTTTCTTTCCTTTTTTTCACTTTTTTTTGGTTTTTCAGTTCTTCGTTTAAAACGTTGTGTTTGATTTATAGCTAATTAGGAATGAGTTTTATTCATTTTTTTTCCAGATTGCTTGAGGAGAAGAATTCGGAATTGATTGAGTGAGCCGATATTGGTTTCAATGATGAAAACAATATGAATTTGAGGATTTGATTCTTGTACAACTGCAACAACTCATGTCAGGTCAGTTTAATGGGTTTTGGGGTTTGAGAGAGAAAACACAGTGATTTGTGTTAAATTATATCAGGTAAGTTTGGGGTAATTTTTGATAATGAGAAAAAATGAACGAGATAAATACGTTTGGCGTCGAGATTGCGCGTAGGATTTGGTGTTTGCGGGCAGTCAGTGTTGACACACACTCTTATTTTGGATTTTTTGTTGTTTTTCCATGAATTTGAATGAAACTTGCTGTAAAATTCATATTTATCTCTTTTCCTAGTACAAGAAACACATGTTTAGTTTATTTTCGATAGTTTTATACTAAAACTGGTGCTCAAAAAGTAATTTTATGAAAAAATGTACTTTCTATTGAAGCTTCAAAAACGAGGAAAACTGGAGGAAAAGTGAGTTTTTCAACATTGTTTTTAAAAGTTTTTTGTTAAGCTTTGATGAAATTAGAGTAACTCTAATGAAATAACACATTTATTGTTGGAAAACAGGATTCTGATTAGTAATTTGGTGGAAGATCACGAATCAATGGAGCAGCACAGGCAATTCCAACAAGATTTTCAGAACTTCCATCACAATTAACATTGATGAATTTATAATTTGTTCCATTTGTTGCAAGTGGAACTTGAAGAGCATAACAATCTCTGAAAATAATAATGATTGTGTATCAAAAAAAAAAGAAGATCATGACTAACTTGTTAGCAACTGGATATCCTGTTCCGAACAAGAATGTACGTGGGTTCAATGAGTAGACATATGGATCAGTGAATTCGAAACCACTATCTCCAGCACAATCACCGGTTGATTGTCCCAAACAAGTGTATTTTCTACGAGCTCCCAAAAGAATCGAGCCATTGACAATTGAATTTCTTCTCATTCCAAGTGCAGCATACCATGCATCATCATCTGGCGAAGCAGCTCCGTACAAATGAGCACTGAAGAGATCGCAAGTTTCACGAGCTGTGGTCAAATCGTAGTCACCGTATAAGAACTGAAAATGATTGAAATTAAATCTAGAACACTATAAAAACATACGGTATAACAGAATTGTTGATTGACATCTTCATACCAGGAATCCCAACAATCACCATGATCAAGTTTCAAAACATGATTGAAAACAATATGATTAGGATCTTTTTGCATAATTTGCCAATATCTATATTTCGCAAAATTAGTTGAACCAGTCAATCCATTCATTCGAAGTCCTTGTAATACTTCTTCATCTGTCAAATCACATGAATCATCCGGAATATTTACTTTGATTGATAATTTTGATCCCAAATATTGACCACTTTGATGAACAAGTTTAGCATTTCCAAAATCAACAGTTAAACATTCACCAGAAGCAAGACTTGATGCAATAACACATGATGCATTTAATTGACAAACAGACAAACATTCTGTATAATTCAATGTTCCTTGTGATCTTTGAGTTGTTGCCAATTCAACTATTGAACTATCTGATTCAATATATCGAATACAATCACAATTTGCCAACGAGATGATGAATGAAGCAATCAAGAGAATATGAACCAATCCCATGTTTGAAATCGAATGATTTCTGGGTTTCAACTCAACTCTTTTATACTATTCATTTTCTCCAATTTCAATGAAAACTTTTTGTCTGTAAATTTATTCGTGATAACAGTGTCTAGAAAACCGAAAAAAATTCTAGAATAATAAAACTCTCTGAGAAAAAAATGAAGATTATAGTCTGAAATGTGGTCTAAAAATGATAACGATTAAAAATATGGAAAGGTTCAAACTTCATCAAATTCAGAGGTTGCCTGGGAGACTGAAAATGTAGAGATTTATCAAATTACGGTAACATTATTAAGTGCTTTAGTCATATCATTTTAACTTTAAGAGCAATATACAATTGGTTTTATTTCTTGAAGTTAGGATAAGTTTGAGGAACTAGGCTTCATTTGAGGGCTGAAGGCTCTTTCCTCTATGTTTCATCAAAAAATGGATTGATAATAATGATCTGCCTAATCTCAAAAAATCCAAGAAAGTTTTCTGAAACAGTAAATTTTCAGAAGATTAATTTTTTGTAACAGGGAAATCTTTTTTTCTATTTTTTTTTCTGGGCACATAATTCTATTTGATGTTTGTTTTGTTATCAATACACATTTCTCTAGACCACCTTTGAAACTTTAATCTATCTTTTTTTCCCAGAGAATTTTATTATTCAAGAGTTTTTTTTCGTTTTTCTAGACACTGTTATCACGAATAAATTTACAGACAAAAAGTTTTCATTGAAATTGTGGAAAATGAATAGTATAAAAGAGTTGAGGTGAAAACCAGAAATCATTCGATTTCAAACATGGGATTGGTTCATATTCTCTTGATTGCTTCATTCATCATCTCGTTGGCAAATTGTGATTGTATTCGATATATTGAATCAGATAGTTCAATAGTTGAATTAGCAACAACTCAAAGATCACAAGGAACATTGAATTATACAGAATGTTTGTCTGTTTGTCAATTAAATGCATCATGTGTTATTGCATCAAGTCTTGCTTCTGGTGAATGTTTAACTGTTGATTTTGGAAATGCTAAACTTGTTCATCAAAGTGGTCAATATTTGGGATCAAAATTATCAATCAAAGTAAATATTCCGGATGATTCATGTGATTTGACAGATGAAGAAGTATTACAAGGACTTCGAATGAATGGATTGACTGGTTCAACTAATTTTGCGAAATATAGATATTGGCAAATTATGCAAAAAGATCCTAATCATATTGTTTTCAATCATGTTTTGAAACTTGATCATGGTGATTGTTGGGATTCCTGGTATGAAGATGTCAATCAACAATTCTGTTATACCGTATGTTTTTATAGTGTTCTAGATTTAATTTCAATCATTTTCAGTTCTTATACGGTGACTACGATTTGACCACAGCTCGTGAAACTTGCGATCTCTTCAGTGCTCATTTGTACGGAGCTGCTTCGCCAGATGATGATGCATGGTATGCTGCACTTGGAATGAGAAGAAATTCAATTGTCAATGGTTCGATTCTTTTGGGAGCTCGTAGAAAATACACTTGTTTGGGACAATCCACCGGTGATTGTGCTGGAGATAGTGGTTTCGAATTCACTGATCCATATGTCTACTCATTGAACCCACGCACATTCTTGTTCGGAACCGGATATCCAGTTGCTAACAAGTGAGTCATGATCTTCTTTTTTTTTTTTTTGATACACAATCATTATTATTTCCAGAGATTGTTATGCTCTTCAAGTCCCACTTGCAACAAATGGAACAAATTATCAATTCATCAATGTTAATTGTGATGGAAGTTCTGAAGATCTTGTTGGAATTGCCTGTGCTGCTCCATTGATTCGTGATCTTCCACCAAATTACTAATCAGAATCCTGTTTTCCAACAATAAATGTGTTATTTCATTGGTTTTTTACTGTCTTATACGATGAAAAATACTCAGTTAACATGTTGTTTCAGCCAATTTCAAAAGGGCGTGAAAACAAACTTGTTTTCTTTTGTTTTATCTTTGAACTTCATTGTTCTTCTATCTCTTATAAACAAAAAAGTAAAATTTTCTTTATTTGAAAATGAAATTTGTTCAATTTCTCTTATTTTCGTCATGTATTTTCATGATTTTGAGAGCAGGTGATTTCTTTTTTTTGGGCAAATTTTTCTAGCTAAATGAAAAATATTTAGAGACTTGTGTGGATAAATTCTGTCCCCCTGGAACATTTTGCGACGAGCGTCCCGGTCCCTGCGTCAAACCACCATGTCGCACAATTCTCGCATGCCTGCCCAACTCTGCAAACGGCTGCGCACGCCTCGAATGCTCTTCCGGAAAGATTTGCGTGGAGCGCATTCGGCCATGTATCGGAAGATCGTGCAAAGAGATCGCAACTTGTGAAACTCCAGGAACTTGTGCAGCATTGGTGTGTGCACCATCTCAGAAATGTGAGATAGTTGGGGGCTCGCCAAAGTGCGTGAAACATATTCCACCAACTCGCGGGATTATTGGAAAAGCGATTTTGGATGAAAAACAATTTGAGAATGATCAATAAATGATTTTTTTTTTTGGAATTAAGATAACTCTTTATTTTTATTTTATCCGAAAATAAAATCACATACATTGATAAGTTGGCATCGCCCCATTGTTATTTCCCCCCAAAACCATTGCAGATTGGGGTGGTTGATAAATATAGGTCGGATAATCTAGCAATGATTTCATGTAGGGTAAAGGGTGGGATGGTGTGGCGAAAATTGCGGCTGGTTGGGAGACAAGATTTGTGTCCGAAATTAGGTTGGTTGGATGGCGGATTGGTGTTGGTTTTTTGGGCGGGACGAAGGTGTTGTTGAAGTTGTTGATGTTCATTGGTTCGATGCTCTGAAAGACAAAAAAATTCGGCGCCGAGCGGGATCGAACCCATGACCGAAAATTCAAAAAACGCGTGTGCTAACCACTCGGCCATGAGACCCTATTTGAAACTCACATTAATCACCTTAACCAATGCTTCGATATAATTAATTGCCGCATTCAAAATGCGCAGTTTACTGACGCGTTTGGTGAATTGACGCAAACTTGGCAGATGATTTTTGAGGTCCAAAAATGCCTGATTCACCGTATGAACTCGAGTCCTCTCGCGAGCATTTCGTTTTGCGACGACGGCTGGCATTTTTTGGAATTGACTGAATAATTTTGATCCACAGATTCCAAAAAAAGTTCCCCAAACCTACCGTACTCTAATATCACTATAGCTCATATGAGCCAACAAAATAAAACGTAAATGAAATCGAGAAAAATATGAATTTTCACCTGTTCTTCTCCTTTTTCTTTTTTTTTTTGAGTTGAGCCCAAATTAATTTGGCTCCGGATTACTGTAGGCTGTAATTAAAATGTGTGTTGCGCAATATATTTATTTTTTATTATGTTTGAAAAAAAAATTAAAAACAAAAAAATACCCGTGGATTTTGAAGATAATGAAAATTTAAAAAAGAGCCATAATAATGAAAATTAAAATTGAAATTAGGGAATTAAGTTGGGATGAAGCTGAAACTTTTGGTTTTGAGACCATCATCCAGCCACCAGACGCTTTTTCCAGCTCAAATTCTTCAGCGTCTTCTGTAAAAGTGATTTAAGGTAACTCAGAATAGAAAATTAAAAAAGAGCTCTCACCATGAGGCGCTAATTTCGAAGATTCTCGATCTCGCGCAAGTTCATCTTCAGATTTTTCCGGTGTATGATTCCAATAATCGTCCTCTTCGTTGATTTCACTGAAAATTGAAATAGGGACTTTTTTTCTAGGGTGGCTGGATTTTTAACTGGATTCTTAAAAACCGCCGTGTAAAAATACACCGTCATTGCGTAATCACGTTGCGCCATTTTTCCTCGTTTCATATGTCAAACATTTGCAGGCAAGAAAAAAGATGCGCGCTTGTCCGAGTGGTTAACACTCACGTCTTCGAAATTTTATGTCATTGGTTCGATCCCGCCCCGTGGCGATTTTTTTTCAATTTTTTGTGTTAAAAACCAACCTCTCATGTTCTTTAATCGTATGATCCACAGCTTTTTCAAACGAGTTAACAATTCCATTAAAAGTTGTCTCTTCTTCTTTATTAATCTCCGGAATTTCTGGAATTTCCTCATTTTCAGTTTCAGTTTCTCGAATAGTCTCCTCATGTTTTTCAGTGGTGGTTTGAACAGCTTCATTGAAAGTGTTGGTGATTGTATTCAGCACTTTTTCATGACGTGGATTCACGTGATCATAATTTTCAGCTTCATCTCCTTCTTCAGCAACTTCTCCTTCATCATATTCATCTTTCTCAGCAACTTGATAATCTTCATCAGTTCCAGCTGAAAAAAAAAAAATATTTTTTTCTCTAACCTCTCTCATCACTCACGTCTATACTCCCAATCTCTATTCACTTCCATCGCCTTCTTCTCAATCTCCTCTTGTTGTCTACGTCTCTCCGCCTCCTTCACTCTCTCCTCCTCTGCTTCTCTAACTCTCGCCTCATATTGCTCTTTTCTCATCGCCTCGATTCTCTCACGTTCCTCAATGAGTCGCTCTCTCTCTTCCTCGTGCTTCCTGCGCGTCTCCTCATGACGTGCTCTCTCGTTGCTCTCCTGTTGTCTGCGTCTCGCCATGTCTTCTTGCGCTTTTCGTTCGTTTTCCTGGAACAGTTGTTCATAAACCGCTAATAAATTTTGGTGGGTTTATTGATTTATTTATTGGTGTAATTTTTTTTGGTGAGCGGTAGATCAAAAAAACTCTGCGTCTCTCACCTCTCTCCAATATCGTTCATGCTCCTCTCTGCGTCTCTTCTCTTCCTGTTCTCTCTGATTCTGCTGCTGCATCTCTAACTGTTTCTCATAATGCATGACTGTGGTTGGAACTTGAGTTGTGGTGACGTCATCAGCCGAGACTACTGTAAATAAAAAAATATGGTTACTGTAGAAAAAAGTTTTGATCTACCTTTAAATTGACATCGATCTCCCGTGAAAACCCCGAGCAAACAAATACACGAATGTTGATTGGGATTATCCAAATTGAAAACACACATTCCACCATTCTCACATCTACAAATTCCAGGATTACTGTGGATTTGAGTTCCGTTCAAGACCCTACCGTATTCTACACGCTGTTTGTGGTGAGACTAAACCCTGACCAGCTGCGTCGGTGTGAAATGCTGTGCAGAGGAAAATTAGTAGGGGCAGAAGTATTCGAGACATTCTGGAATTTTGAGGGATTTGAAGGGTTGCCACGTGGCAATTTGAGTTAGAACAAGTTCCAAGGCCAAAAATAAATGAGAGAAAATTTTCAAAAAAAAAGTTCTCGAGAAAAATTTTCACACATTAAAAAAGTACACAGTGAATCATCGTGTAAATGAGAAAAAATGAGGCTGGGAACTTTTCAGATGCCATAGGTTAGGCTAAATCCAATCAAAAAATGACAACTGGTCCAAGAAATCAAACTGAAATATCTGAAATTCCAGCCAACAACTGTCATGACACAGAAATTCCTCAAATTTTAGACATTTCTCATTTTCAAAACCCGGGAAGAAAAAAGTAATAAGAAAATATCTCTTCCTCAAAAATGATCCCGAGACAAAAAAAACCCACTAAAATCTCTGATGTAATGCTATTTCTTCACTCTTTTTTTTGTGTCGAAGAACAAGTGGCGCGAAAAAGTATTACATTTTGAAATTGAATTTTTTTTTTGGTGGATCAAAATTTTTTTGAAACAAGGATAAGTCGGTAAAATGAAATAAACAAATAGAGAAAAGTTTTATTACAGGATGAGGAGATTTTACCATCGGACATGGTAAAATCATATTCTAGTGTTTGTTTTTAATACGTATGTATGTACAAAACAGGGAGAAAACAGGTGTGGCTGGTTGGAAAAACGGGAAGATTATCCGGGGTTTTTTTTGGGATTATGGTAGGTACACACTTTTTTCTTGGGAAGTGCAAAAATTAATTTCAGGCTAGTTAAATTCAGGCGTCGCCCTTAGCTCCACATTGGCTATTAAAGCGCGGCACCTTGCGAGAGTGTAAATCTAGACGCGGGTCCTAGACGACAATGTTCTCTAGACGCGTGTCCTAGACAACAATGGCCTCTAGGCACGGCTACTTGAGAACGAAGATTTCTAGGCTCGGCTTCTTGGTATTGAGGTTCTTAAGGCGCGGCTCCTTGAGAGCTAGGATTTCTAGGCTTGTCTACTTGGCATAGAACCTCTCAAGGTGCGGCTCCTTGCGATAGTTTAAATCTAGACGCGGACGCTACACAAGTAGGTTTTCTAGGCGTGGCTACTTGAGAACAAAGATTTCTAGGCTCGACTACTACCTAGCATTTTTCTAGACGCGTGTCCTAGACAATTATGTTCTCTAGGCGCGGCTAATTGACATTAGAAGATCTCAAGGGTTGTCTACTTGGCATAGAAACTCCCAAGGCGCGGCTCCTTGACCAGCAGGTTCTGTAGGCGCTGAGCCGAGAGGTGGTTGGTGACACAAAAAACAGTTGCAGGATTTTTTGAATTCAAAATTTAGAAAAAATGATAGCTGAAGAAGTGCCTTTCAAAGTTTTGTGCCACGTGGATTTTTGAAAATAAATTCTTTGATCTACCAGAGAAAGCTTGGGGTAGTTGATTACAACAAGAAAAAAATCGAAAAAAAATTCCAAAAAATCACTTTTCTACGCACAGTAATAAATAATGTTAAAAGTTGTCCTGAAAAGTGGCGAAAATTTCAAAAATGCTATTCAAAATATGTGTAAATTGAAGGTGTTTAAATGAGTGAAGCACACCTATGCTCAACTCGAGAGAAAGAGATGGATTTGTTTCACTTTAAACTAAAAAAAAAAAGTGGAAGGCAGTAGTTGTAGGTATCTGGCACACGTCCAATGGCGGGTCAAATATTGTTACATCTATCTCGTGTATGCAGTGCGCAATTGGTTGGTAAAAGGGACCATTTAACATTTTATTTTATGAGGATGTTATGTTATGTACATATAAAAATTGAAAAAAAAAAGATATAAGAGAAAAACACTTTTTTCGTGAAGTGCCATTTGTTTGGAGGATGCGGTTTTTGTCAGCAATTCATTTGTGAAGAAACACAGCAAAAAAACACACCCACATTACATCAAAATGCACTTGTTGTGGATATCTTGATGATTGGGAAAAAAAGATGAGAACATACTTTTTTCTTGTTGAATTAATTGCGATTTGCGGAAAAAAAATGAATATATATATCTTCAGGAATTTGCTGGAAATCAAGAATTGAAGAGAAACAAAGTGATAAAAAAATATTTATTCAAATTCCACTTCAAAAAAATAATTAACAAATTAATAATTCTATATGCGAACCATTCCAACTTTCGTTTCTTTTCCAATACTCAATGCGCTCGTCAATTGAGAAGTATTCAGACTCAAATCGGTGTATTCGCTAACATCCATATATCGATCAACATGAGCATACAATACTCCGCCCATCGAACCAGAATATGCTGAAAAGAACCGCATTATTTTTCCTCGTATTTTCGAAATTACAACTCACATGTTATTACAGCAATTTTTATATGATCTGGATAAGTTTCCTCTACGAAGTGTTGTCGAGATAAAGCGACCAATATGAAATCAAAGATCTCCTTATCTGACATATCTTCGGAATCGCATTGTTCTGCAATTGGGCCAATCTCCAGTATTTTTATTTCGCCGCTTTCAACTTTCACCATCTTAGCATATATTTTTGGCGATAAAAATCGATTTCCAGATACATGGCACTTGGTTTTTTCTCGGATCATTACCATATGTTTGATGGCATTAGTAACCGTCATTTGTTGTTTTTCAACAGCTTCCAGATAATCACTGAATCCGGGTTCGCTCGATAATCGAAATAGTTTCAGCGCGATATTATCCTTCGTGGGAATCATTTTTGTTCCCTCCGCGGTCCATCTTTTCATTATTATATCCAATTTTTGGTCGAAGACTTCATCAATTTTAGCCAACGTGACTACGGTCTTAAGTTCTTTTTCTTTCATGTTTACCGACATCATATTTTTTTCCAGCTCTTCTCCCCCTCCATGCCTGATAACATATCGCATTTGGCTAAGTATGAATAGGGAATTTGGTTCATCTTTGTCGGCCTTTTTCAATATCGTCTTCAGAACATATGAAATCAATTGACAACGAACAACATTATCAGTGTGTTTTTGAATTGTCAATTTTGATGTTTTCACGAAATTGCATTCGACTTGTTCACAATTTGAAATATCGCATAATGGAACATATATTGAGTCCTTGGTCTCATTTGATTGAAATACGAATCTGAAATAGGTTTTGGTTGTTTTTGTGAGATATATCAAAAGATAACTTACACTTTTTTGATATTCGAGTTGGCCATATCTACCTTATACCAGTTTTCGAGTTTGATAATATCAACCAAAATCATTTTTTTTCGATTCTTTCCTCGAATATCACAATATTTCACTCAGAACTTGGAGTATCTCGATTAATTTGTTTGAGCATTTTGGTCGATTGAACAAAATAAGCTAGGACTGATGAAAATTGATATCTCACTTGAAGATCTAAACCACGTCACACGTATCCACGTATCCACGTATATAGGTCACGTAGTAATTTTTCCTAATTAATTTTTGTATGATTTTATTTTTTCAGTTTTTATTTTCAAAAAAAAAAACTGAAAAAATAAATGATTTTATTTTTTCAGTTTTTATTTTCAAAAAAAAAACTGAAAAAATAAAATTAGGAAAAATTACTACGTGAACTAGATACGTGGATACGTGATACGTGTACTAGGTTTATTTCTTCGAGTGAGATATTAATTTTCATCAGTCCTAGCTTATTTTATTCAATCGACCAAAATGCTCAAACAAATAAATCGAGATACTCCAAGTTCTGAGTCAAATATTGAGATATTCGAGGAAAGCATCGAAAAAAAATGATTTTGGTTGATATTATCAAACTCGAAAACTGGTATAAGATTGATATGACCAACTCGAATATCAAAAAAGTGTAAGTTATCTTTCGGTATAGCTCACAAAAACCACCAAAACCTATTTCAGATTCGTATTTCAATCAAATGAGACCAAGGACAAAGTGTATGTTCCCCTTTTTGATATTTCAAATTGTGAAGAAGTCGAATGCAATTTCGTGAAAACATCAAAATTGACAATTCAAAAACACACTGATAATGTTGTTCGTTGTCAATTGATTTCATGTGTTCTGAAGATGATAATGAAAAAGGCCGACAAAATTCAACCAAATTCACTATTCATACTTAGCCAATAGCGATATGTTATCAGGCATGGAGGAGGAGAAAGACTGGAAAAAATTATGATGTCGGTAAACATGAAAGAAGAAGAACTTAAGACCGTAGTCACGTTGGCTAAAATTGATGAAGTCTTCGACCAAAAATTGGATATCATAATGAAAAGATGGACCGCGGAGGGAACAAAAATGATTCCCACGAAGGATAATATCGCGGTCAAACTATTTCGATTATCGAGCGAACCCGGATTCAGTGATTATCTAGAAGCTGTTGAAAAACAACAAATGACGGTTACTAATGCCATCAAACATATGGTAATGATCCGAGAAAAAACCAAGTGCCATGTATCTGGAAATCGATTTTTATCGCCAAAAATATATGCTAAGATGGTGAAAGTTGAAACCGCCGAAATAAAAATACTGGAGATTGGCCCAATTGCAGAACAATGCGATTCCGAAGATATGTCAGAGAAGGAGATCTTTGATTTCATATTGTTCGCTTTATCTCGACAACAATTTGTAGAAGACACATATCCGGATCATATAAAAATTGCTGTAATAACATGTGAGTTGTAATTTCGAAAATACGAGGAAAAATAATGCGATTCTTTTCAGCATATTCTGGTTCGGTGGGCGGAGTATTGTATTCTAATGTTGATCGATATATGGATGTTAGCGAATACACCGATTTGAGTCTGACTACTTCTCAATTGACGAGTGCATTGAGTATTGGAAAAGGAATGTTTAATTGATTGTTGATCTTCCACCTAATTATTAAATTTATTTCGGATTTGCTTGTTATCAATAAATTTTCCGCTTCAGAATTTGAAAATCGCAATTTCAATGAAAAATCAGATTTTCCCCAGCTCCACTTCAATTTTTGTTCAATAATTTTGTAAAAATTTCCTTCTAGGATAGACGCTCTTTTTACAGAATAGTAAATATTCGAAAAAATTCGAGCTTATTCGAAGAAAAAGCTTTGAGTTCGTCTAATTTCCTCAATTTTCCCCCCACAAACCATGGCCGTGGAAGAGAAAACCAACAATGTCCTCGGCCATCTATGCGTGGAATATTTATTTATTTTTCTTTTTTTTTCGGTTTTCTCTCATTTTTCATTTCTTACACGTTTTTCTTTAGAAAATGGTGGATCAGGCCAAATCTCCGATTCCACCGGCAGGAAATAGCAAATTGGATCAGTTATCGAAAGAAGATTTGGTGAAATTCGCCAAAAAACAGGTTGCAAACTTGGCCGAGGCGAAAAAGAATCAAGTGGCGCTTGTAGAGAAATTGAAGCAAAAACTAGGAGAATTGGAGCAAATTCGTGCGGAAAATGAGCAATTAAAAGAGCTCAAGGAGAAATCAATAGCCAGTGATATGGTGCAACTAGAGCTACGCGATGCCGAATCAAAAATCGATAATTTGAATAGAGCACTTCGCGAGAAAACCGAAGCGTTGATTAAAGCGCACGAGGTGATTGGTGAGAATGATGGAAAGGTTTTGGAATTGCGTGGAAAATTGGGGGATTTTGCGAAGATTCAGGAGGAGAAATCGAGGATTTTGGAGGGTTTTGAGGAGGAAAAGAAGAAACGATTGGAACTTGAGGGGAAATTGAGGGAGGCTGAAGGAAGAATAGGAGAATTAAGTGACAAGCAGGGAAATGAGAAGATGGGTTTGGCGAGGAAAATGGCTGAAAGTGAATGTAGAGCTGGATTGTAAGTTTTTAATAAGATTTTTATATATAAGTTAAAAATCCTGATTTTCTGCAGACTCGAAGAAGCTATAAGCGTTCTCAAAAAAGAGAATCACGACCTATCAGAAAAATCCGACAACTATCGCTCGCAACTCGAACAAATCGAAAAAGAATTCGCCGAGTTCAAAAACAAGGCTCGCGCAGTTCTCGAAACTCATCAAAACGCAAAAAGTTCGGTGAATTTCGAAAAAGAGGAGATTGATCGATTAAAGGAACATGTTGGGGAATTGGAGCGGGAAATTGGGAATTTGAAGGAGGATGATGCGAAGAATTTGGAGAATTTGGCGACGGAGAAGGATCGCGTGGAGAAGTTGACAAGGGATTTGGAGCGCTTGAGAAGACGGGTTGAGGAATCGGAGAATAGTCATCTTAGGGGGTGAGTTAGGTGTTTAACAGCTAAAAAGGCACAAGAAATACTAAAAAATAATTTCAGAATGGATGATCTTCGAGAATCTTCTTCTAAAACAATCCAAAGACTTGAAGAGGACCTCCGAATTCTTCGAAATTCCAAAGATTCGCTGGAAAACAAGCTGAAAGATGTGACGATTCAAAAAGAGAAAGCTGAATATTTATTGAAGGCTGAAAAATGCCGCGCGGAGACGGAGATCCAAGGATTGACAGCAAAACTGGAATCGGCTAGAAAATTGCAAAAATCGCTGGAAAATCGGCTGAAATTTGAGGAGAATGAGGAGAAACCGGTGCCGAAGGCGATTGTTCAGCCGCAGCAACAGCAGCAGAATCTGGAGAGGAGTACTGTAGTTGAGGCAACTCATGAGCCATTGTCTATGCAGTCTTCAGTGGCTATTAATGATTCGGTTTCGTGTTATAATGAAGAAACACAGGTAATTTTGATTTTGACATGTGGCAAGAGGTTTTAGCGGAGAAAAAATTACATTTGGAAAATTTTGAAACTAAATTTGACATGTGGAAATGGAAATTCCACATGTCAGGGGTTTTTTAGCGCGAAAAAATTTGAATTTGAAAAATGCAGAAAGTTTAGGACTTAAATTTGCCACGTGGAATATTTCAGAGAGTTCTTTGAACCAAAAAAATTGAATTTTAAAAAATTCAGAAAATTTAGGACCTAATTCTGCCACGTGGAATATTTCAAGTGGTTTTTTGACAGCAGAAATTTTGAATTTAAAAAATTCTGAAAATTTCAAAACTAATTTCGCCACGCGGACAAGAAAATTCCACGTGTCAGGGGTTTTTTGACGCCAAAAAATTTGAATTTGAAAATTCTGAAAATTTTGAATCTAATTTTGCCACGTGGAATATTTCAGGTGGTTTTTTAGTGCAAAAAATTTGAATTTTAAAGCCAATTTTGCCACGTGGAATTTTTCCGGCTCCAGAGATTCCACACCTCTCCAAAATTCTGAATTTTTCAGCAAGATCGATCGCTTGAAGATATTCTTTATGGAGATATTGAAGAAGACTACAGTAAGTTCCCAATTTTTTTCAAATTCATAACTAATCCCCATCGTTTTCCAATTCTCAGAAACCGAAAGCTTCGAACTGAACGAGGAAAAATTGGCGAGACTTCAAGAAGAGCTCGAAAAAATGCAAAAAACCAATTTGCATATTGGAGAATTGTTGAGCGAAGCCGAATCGGCGAATGGCAGATTAGTTAGTCAGAATACTTTGCTGAAAGAGGAAATTCGAAGATTGGAAAGGAAAGAAGAAAGAGCAGAAGAGTTGTCGAATGAGAAAAATATGGAATATTTGAAGAATGTCGTGGTTCAGGTGGGGGATTTATTTTGGAAAAACTTGAAAAATAACAGAATTTATCTTTTGTTTCAATCTGAATAGAGCTGGGCTCAAAAAAGCCTAATTTTCGGGCCGAAAAGATTTATAGGCCTAAAAAGTTCTTATTTCTGAATTTCTCATGTAGAGCGATATATATTGAAAAAAAATATTTGATAATAATTATATCAAAATTTTGAAACGTATTTTTTTTGTTTTTGAAAAATTTGAATTTTTGAATGAAATTTTGGAAACATGCATTTCTCATGTTAAATAAGTTAGATGACATCAAATTTTCAAATATATTGCTCATATTAACCTGATCTAATTTTGCGAAAACATTGCTCATATTAAACATTCAAAATTTCTTAAAGGACCTTTTACCAACTACAAAAAAATCTTGATACATTGCTCATATTTAACTTCAGAAATTAGCCTATTTTCTGGCCAAAAGGCCCAGAAAGCCTAAAAAATCGTGTTTTTGCAGTTCCTGAAACCCACAACATCTCCAGCCGAACGTGCCCAACTAATAATCGTCCTTCAACGTGTACTTCACCTAAGTCCACAGGAAACTGAAATTCTCAAAAATTGTCAAGGTAAGAATTCTACTCTTATTCTTCTTTCCCAAAATTATTCTAAATCCCAAAATTATTTTTTTTTTCCAGAAATTCTGACGCCAAACACATCGAATTCCTGGTTTGGTTGGACATAAATTGTAGAAAAATGTACTTATTTTTTTTCTGTTCAAAAAAATTCACTTTATTTGCCTTTTTTACTAATAAACATATCGGGTTATTGATTGTTTTTTGAGAAATTTTGTGTTTTTTGACACTAGAAATATCGATTTTTGCTGAAAATTCTGATTCTGAAACCACTTAGGACTATGAAAAAAGCGGCTGAAAATGAGGCGGTGGAAAATTTGTCGGAAAATGTGATGAGCGAGATTAAAGGTGGGGTTTTTAACTAGAAATTTTCAATTTTCAATGCAAATTGTTCTCAGAAATGTGCCGAACCGAGTACTGTAGACCGGATTTAAGTCTGATTGCTCAGATTAATGAGCTGTTTCCCACGGAGCAAAGTTTGACACAATTGGATGCGGTGATCTCGGCGGTTGAGGTGAATTTTTTGAAAAATTCGAGGATTAAAAGTGCATAGCGAATACCGTACCACCTGCGTATCTAACTCGTTCTACCGTAGTCAAAATGCGCCTTTACTTTTCGTATTTTTGGACACCAGAGTGAAAATTTTGATAAATTTCCGAAATTTTTTACAAAAATTCAATTTTTCTGCAGGTTCTACCGTACTCGTCATGTTCCTTTGAATAATCCAAAAATTTCCAGGGAGAAATCGGCGAACTCGACAACGAGTTAGCGTATCTCGTCGAATCCAACGCAAACGTCAGCGAGCGAGCCGAAGATGCGCTAAAACAGGCGCAAGAAGCAATGGCCGAACTCGAGAAAAGTATCGGAAGTATTCGAGAAAGAACAAAATCATCAGATGAAATTGTGCGAGAAATGACTAGGGATATTAAACAATTGGATGTGGCCAAACGGAATTTGACGGCTTCGATTACCACTTTGCATCACTTGCATATTTTGTTGACTGGGGTTGAGAGTTTGAGTAAGTCATAGATTTTTTTCTAGTAGTTTTCGACACGCTCTGCGTCTCTAACCGTCTAGTCATCAAGCTCCAGCTAGAGACGCAGAGGGACATACACTCGCTCCGCTCGTGCCGCTTACGCGGAAGATTCCGTGGCGCTTTGCGCAAGATTGCTCAGGTTATACATTCGCTGCTTCTTGACATGAGCAATGTCAATTCTAGTCTTGGCTTCCCACTTGGATTCAGATAAATCCGGATTTGAAGCTTAATCTGAGCAATCTCAAAACTAGAATTGACATTGCTCATGCCAAGAAGCAGCGAATGTATAACCTGAGCAATGTTGCGCGATCTTCCGCGTAAGCGGCTCGAGCGGAGCGAGTGTATGCTCCTCTGCATCTCTAGCCGTCTAAACTTCTCGTCGTCTCGAAAGTTCGATGGCTAGACAGCTAGAGACGCAGAGGGACATACACGTCGCGTAAGCGGCTCGAGCGGAGCGAGTATATTTCCCTCTGCGTCTCTAGCTCACGGAGAGCTTGATGGCTAGACGACTAGAGACTCGCTCCGCTCTAATCTGCCTAAAATTGCAGAACTCAACTCCTAATATGAATTATGACGTGGCAAAGTCAGAAGATTTGCATAAAAATCATTTTGAAGCTAGTTTTCACCTCCTAAAGTTCCAAAATTTTCAAACAGAACTCATTAGTTATGACGTGGCAAAGTTTGAAAATTCTGGAAGGTGAAAACTAGCTTTGAAAATGATTTTCATGCAAATCTGATAGCATAGCTTCTGACTTTGCCACGTTATAACTCATTTTAGACGTTGAATTCTGTAATTTTAGTGACCAGCGGGTCAAAATCTACTAGAAAATATATTATTTCTCCAAAATCTCTGAATTTTTCCAGGTTCTTGGGTTGAACGAAAAGATTATAGCTCAATTTCTCGACAACTTCCAGCAATTTTAAATGTTCTCCAATTATTTGATGGTTATAAAGAGTCAGAACAGATTGCGAATTTATCAATGAAATTGGATCGCCTGAAAACAAGTCTGACAATTCAATTAGCTTCCGATTTGAAAAGCGCATTTCAAACTGGACAACTCAGCGAAAGAGTGACGGATATGTGTAGAGTTGCGGCTGCGTTGGAAGGAAATGTGAAGGAGAATTTTTGCGGTTGGTTTATTGAACAACAATTGACCGAATATGTTGTGATTTATGCGGATAATGAAGAGGGAGCTTGGTTGGATAAGGTTGATGATAGGTAAGAACATTTGAAAATTATTTTTTTCCCCGAGGGTTTTTCCAAATTTTGGACTGGTTTCAGTTTTAGTTTTTTTTAAATAAATTCCTGAAAAAATTCAAAATTTGGGCCAAATATTTATCTCAAAATTTAAAATCGCTGAAAATTAAGAATTCCAGGATTTTCAGCTTAAAATTCTGATCTAGAAAGAAATTTCCTGGAAATTTTACGTTTCAAAAATGCATTAAATTTTTGGGATTTGCAAAAAATTCGATTGAAATCAAAGATCGTCTTAAGACTCAAATTTTGTGCTGAAAATTATGGAAGTGCTGAAAATCGCTGAAAATCAAGAATTCCATGATTTTCAGCACAAAATTTTGGCCTAGAAGGAATTTTCTGGAATTTTTCACTGTTTCAAAAATTCATTGAATTTTTAAATTTGAAAAAAATTTGATTCTACTGAAAAAATGTTTCTAGACTCAAATTTTGCGCTGAAAATTATGGAAGTGCTGAAAATCTCTGAAAATCAAGAATTCCATGATTTTCAGCACAAAATTTTGATCTAGAATTAAATTTTCTGGAATTTTTCACTGTTTCAAAAATTCTTTAATTTTTGGGGTTTGAAAAAAATTCGATTGAAGTCAAAAATTGTATTCAGACTCAAATTTTGCGCTGAAAATAATGAAATTGCTGAAAATGGCTGAAAATCAAGATTTTCATGATGTTCAGCACAAAATTCTGATCTGGAAAGAAATTTTCTAAAATTTCTCACTGTTTCAAAATTTCATTAAATTTTTGGGGTTTGCAAAAAATTCGATTGAAGTCAAAAATCGCTTTCAGACTCAGATTTTGTGCTGATAATTATGGAAGTCCTGAAAATCGCTGAAAATCAAGATTTCCATGATTTTCAGCACAAAATTTTGATCTAGAAATTTTCTGGAATTTTTCACTGTTTCAAAAATTCATTAAATTTTTGAGGTTTGCAAAATATTCGATTAGTTTCGGAAAATTGTGTCTAGCCTCAAATTTTGTGCTGAACATCGCTGAAAATCAAGAATTCCATGATTTTCTGCACAAAATTCGGATCTAGAGAGAAATTTTCTGGAATTTTTCACGGTTTCAAAAATTCTTTAAATTTTTGGGGTTTGAAAAATATTCGATTCTTTTGAAAAAAAAATCGTTATCGTAGAAATATTTTCTTTTCAAATTTTGCGCTGAAAATTATCTGAATGCTGAAATTCGCTAAAATCAAGAATTCCATGATTTTCAGCATTCCTGAAATTTTTCACTGTTTCAAAAAATAATCAAATGTTTTGGGTTCAAACAAATTCGATTACTTAACGTCTTGTTGCGATTCAAATTTTGCGCTGAAATTCGCCGAAAATGAAGAATTTCATGAATTTCAGCACAAAATTCTGATCTGGAAAGAAATTTTCTGGAATTTTTCACTGTTTCAAAAATTCAATGAATTTTTGGGGTTTGAAAAAAATTCCATCAAAATCAAAATTGTTTCTAGACTCAAATTTTGTGCTGAAAATCAGGGGAATGCTGAAAATCAAGAGTTCTATAGTTTTCAGCACGAAATTTTGATCTAGAAATTTTCGTGGAATTTTTTTCTCTAGAATCAGTCTTCAAATTATTTCGGTACAAAAATTATCCAAAAAAATTCACGTGAAATAATTTTTAAAATCAAATTTCGCACTAAAAATACTGCCCTAGAAAAAAATTCAGCTGGATTTTCAGCTTCAAAATTGAAAAAAATTATTTTTTTTTTGAAAAATTACATGAAATCACTCGAGTGTTGGGTAGAACAATTATGAGTTCCGAATTTTTTAGCAGAACTTTTTTTTCCTAAAAATTTTCCCTAAATATCCATCTTCCAGATACAAATGGTATGTGCGAAAATTGACGGATTTCGAACGAGCTGGTCTCGCAAAAATCTTCCCAAATGACTGGCAAATGGGAAGACGACTAACATCGGAATTCTGCCGAATCACACGAGATATTCTATATCGAATGATGACTCGAAGAAGACAAGATTTGGATTGGAAACTATTAGGACACGCAATTCAACACACAAAAATGTTCGAAGCGTTGCTCATGAAACGATTCCCGGCCGCTGCACAAAATGATCAGCAGACGAAAAATGAGTTTGAAAAATCGATATGGAGTGTTTTCGATGGATTCCTTGATGTGTTTATTTGTGCGCAAGAAAAGACGTTGAATGAGTTTATTGAATCGTGTGCGGCGAAATTGCGGAGTGGAGAAGAGAGACCGTCGAGAGAAGCGTCGACACATGCCGTACCTTTTCCATCTTCTGCGGATATGTTTTTGCTGTTGAAGAAGGTGATTAGTGAATCGAGCAAGCTGAGCAGTGAGCCGGATGCGTTGATAAGGTGAGTTTGATCAAAATTTGATGAATTTTGAAGAATTCCGTGGTTTTCAGCACAAAATTCTGATCAGGAAATTTTACGTTTCAAAAATTCATTGAATTTTTTGGGGTTTGAAAAAAATCGTTTTGATAGCGATATTATCCTTTCAAATTTTGCGCAAAAAATCATGGGAATGCTGAAAATCGCTGAAAATCGAGAATTGATATTCAGCACAAAATTCTGATCTAGAAGGAATTTTCCTAAAAATTTTTCACTGTTTCAAAAATTCATTGAATTTTTTGGGGTTCGAAAAAATTCGATTCTTCATAAATTTTTTCATTATAGTCTCAAATTTTGCGCTCAAAATCATTGGAATTCTGAAAATGGCTTCACTGAATTTCACTGTTTCAAAAATTAATTGAATTTTTTGGGGTTCGAAAAAATTCGCTAGACTACGAAATATTGTTTCTAGACTCAAATTTTGCGCTGAAAATCATTGAAATGCTGAAATTCGCTGAAAATCAAGAATTCTATGATTTTCAGCACAAAATTCTGATGTAAAAAGAATTTTTCTGGAATATCTCACTGTTTCAAAAATTCATTGAATTTTTTGGCTTCAAACAAATTCGATATTCCTCTTAGAATTGTTTCTAGACTAAAATTTTGTGCTGAAAATTATGAGAATGCTGAAGTTCACTGAAAATCAAGAATTCTATGATTTACAGCACAAAATTTCGGTCTAGAAATCGGAAAAAATCCCACTGTTTCAAAAATTTATTGAATTTTTTGGGGTTCGAAAAAATTTGTTTCAATCGAAAAATAATTCATTATAGACTGGAATTTCGCGCTGAAAATCATAGGAATGCTAAAAATTGCTGAAAATCGAGAATTTCATGGTTTTCAGTATTCCTGAAATTTTTCACTGTTTCAAAAATTAAATCCACTAGTCATAAACTAATAGATTATAGTCGAAAATTGGGCAAGCTCCAAAGTTACCCTAACTTCTTTGGATGAACTAGAAAGTTAGGGTAAGGCTCACAAAATCCACAAAATAAATTTTTCCAGAGATGTGATTGGTGTTGTCCGCGGCTGCCTGCGCGGATATTCCGCCTCCTGTCTCACCGCATTTCTCCCAACCCTCGGTGGAACTCAACAATCCGTCGGAGCCAACCTCTTCAGCTTAATGCGCGAAGAAATCACCTATGTTCGCCTAACTCCCGATCAACAATTCCTGGTTTGTTGCATTTTGGCCACAGCTGATTGGTGCGCAGAAACATCGATTCAATTGCAAGAGAAATTGGCGCAACGCATTCCGGGAGTTGAGATTTCGCAAGAAACCGAGACGTTTTATTCGATCACGTCCGCTTCTTTAACTGTTTTGGTGCAGGATGTTGAATCGACGTGTGATGCGGCACTTCAGTCAATTAGTAAAGTCAAGTAGGTTTTGAATTTTTTTCATTAAAAACCCGAAGAAAATCACGAATTCCATGAATTTGAGCGCAAAATTCTGATCTAGAAATTTCCTGGAATTTGTTACGTTTCAAAAAATTCATTAATTTTTTCGTGATCTAAAAAAATTCGATTTTTTCAATATAGTCTTTAGACTCAAATTTTGTGCTGAAAATCGGAAAACTACTAAAAATGAAGCAATCCATGATTTTCAGCACGAAATTCTGATCTAGGAATTTGCAGGAATTTTTACGTTTCAACAAATTGATTAATTTTTTTTGGTTAAAAAAAATCGATCCGCGGTTCATCTTTTTATTCAAACTCAAATTTTGCGCTGAAAATTACTGGAAATGAAGCATTTCAGGATTTTCAGTGCAAAATTCTGATCTAGAAATTTCCTGGAATTTTTTACTGTTTCAAAGAATTCATGAAATATTTTGGCCTCTAAAAAAATTCGATTCGAAATTGCTATCGTTCTCTAGACTCGAATTTCGCGCTGAAACCGATTGAAGTGCTGAAAATAACTGAAAATGAAGAATTCCATGATTTTCAGCACAAAATTCTGATCTAGAAATTTCCTGAAATTTTTCACTGTTTCAAAAAATTCATTAATTTTTTCGGGGGTGTGAAAAATTCGATTTTTTTGAAAATTCCTTTTTAGACTCAAATTTTACGCTGAAAATGCCCGAAAATGAAATATTCCGTGATTTTCAGCACAAAATTTCAGTCAAGATAGAATTTTCCTGAAATTTTTCACTGTTTCAAAAAATTCATTAATTCTTTCGTGATCTAAAAAAATTCGATTTTTTAAAAATAATTCCTTTCTAGACTCAAATTTTGTGCTGAAAATTAAGAAAATCACTGAAAATTAAGAATTCCACGATTTTCAGCACAAAATTCTGATCTAGAAATTTGCAGGAATTTTTACGTTTCAACAAGTTGATTAATTTTTTTTGGTTAAAAAAAATTCGATGTGACCGTCATCTGTTATTTTCAGACTCAAATTTTGCACTGAAAACTATTGAAGTGCTGAAAATTACTGGAAATGAAGTATTCCATGATTTTCAGCGCAAAATTGCGATCTAAAAATTTCCTGGAATTTTTCACTGTTTCAAAAAATGTTTTAATTTTTTCGGGGTTTGAAAAATTCGATACATCCGCTATGAAGCTGTCTGGACCCCAATTTTGTGCTGAAAGTCACGGAAGCGCTGAAAATTACTGAAAATCGAGAATTCCATGATTTTCAGTGCAAAATTTTGATCTAAAGAGAATTTTCCTGGAATTTTTACGTGTCAAAAAATTCTTGAAATGTTTTGGGGTTTAAAAAAAAGATACATTCGTTTCACCTTTTTCTTGACCCGAATTTTGTGCTGAAAACCATTGAAGTGCTGAAAATTACTGGAAATGGAGTATTCCATGATTTTCAGCACAAAATTCCGATCTAGAAAGAAATTTCCTGAAATTTTTCACTGTTTCAAAAAATTTAATACATTTTTGGGGTAAAAAAATTCGATACATCGGACCCGAATACTGGACCCGAATTTTGTGCTGAAAATTAAGAAAATCACTAAAAGTCAAGAATTCCATGAGTTTGAGCGCAAAATTCTGATCTAGAAATTTGCAGGAATTTTTACGTTTCAACAAATTGATTAATTTTTTTTTGTTAAAAAAAATCGATCCGCGGTTCATCTTTTTATTCAGACTCAAATTTTGCGCTGAAAACCATTGAAGTGCTGAAAATAACTGAAAATGAAGAAATCCATGATTTTCAGCGCAAAATTCTGCTCTAAAAATAAATTTCCGGCCTAAAAACCTAAATTTTTTCGAAAAATTTGTTCACCACCCAAATCTCCACCAACAAAAACCCTTTGTTCCAGTTGGGCAGCTGTCGATTCAGTTGGCGACGAATCGCCATTCATCGCCGCCATGCGTTCACATCTCCGCCAAGCCGTTCCAACAGTCCGTGACATGCTAGCAGATCGTCGGAAATATTTTGCACATTTCTGTCTCAAACTCGCCACTCAACTTGCTCACAAATTCGTTGGTGCTCTTTTCAGATGCAGGAATATCAGCACACATGGTTGGTTTTGTTTTGGAATGAGCATGATGACGTCATAGTGAGAATTTTGTAGGTGCTGAGCAACTTCTACTCGATACTCATTCACTGAAAACTTTTCTCCTTGGTGTTCCATCAATCGATAGTGTGATATCTTCAAAACCGCCAACTGCTTACGTCACAAGTGTTAATGCGGCTCTCACAAAAGCTGAGATGATTTTAAAGGTACATATTCTATCTCAACGCGAAATTCTGCGTTTTTTGAAACCAAGAACAGAATTTTGTGCTGAAAATCATGGAATTCTTCAATTTCAGTGATTTTCAGCGCAAAATTTGAGTCTAGATTCTAGAAAAAAGTTTCCTGGAATTTTTCACTGTTTCAAAAAATTAAATTAATTTTTTCGGGGTTTGAAAAAATTCGATTCATTTATCTTAGCCCAAGCTAGACTCAAATTTCGCGCTGAAAATCATGAAACTACTAAAAATTGCTGAAAATAAGGAATTTCATGAGTTTCAGCATAAAATTCTGGTCTAATTATTTCCTGGAAATTTTACGTTTCAAAATTTCAATAATTTTTTGGAAATTAAAAAATTTGATAAAACGTGTTAATTTAGGTTCTAGACTCAAATTTTGCGCTGAAAAATCATAGAATTGCTGAAAATGAAGAATTTCATGATTTTCAGCACAAAATTCTGATCTAGAAATGTCCTGAAAATTTTACGTTTCAAAAATTCAATAATATTTGTGAATCTGAAAAAATTCGATCCAATACTCAATGCTCTTGTAGACTTAAAGTTTGTGCTGAAAATCAAGAAAATCACTGAAAATCTAGAATTCCCGATTTTCCAGCTCTCAATGCACTTTGCGCCCAACTAATGACCGAATTAGCATCGGCTCTTAATTTAATTTTTGAAACGTAAAAATTCCGACTTTCCAGACCCCAAAAAAATGCCCAAAAAAAAATTTTCAGGTTGTAATGTGTAGCCTGGACACAGTTGATGATTTTGTCGAACAATATATCAAACTTCTACCAACTTCTGATGTTAGCGAAATGCAGAAAGTTTTGGAAATGAAAGGTGTTAAACGACAAGATCATGCGGCGATTTTGCACCAATTCAGGCAGAAATCCGGAGCGAATTTAGTGGAAAATCCCACTTCTTCAACTGTTGTTTCAAGCCTCACTTCAAGAATTGTTGGAAATGCACTGCCTGTTAGCAGTGGAGCAATGTCGGAAGCTTTTAATGCGGTGGTTTCGATGGCTGCTGATGGATTGTCGGATCAAACGGTGACGTCATCAATCGATAAATTGAAACGATTTGAGCAACTTGTGAAGAGGAAGCTTTAATTGTGAATTTTTGGGGAAAAAATTGGCGAACCGGCTGAAAATCATGAAGGAATTTTCAGCACAAAATTTGTTTTTTAAATTTTTCACTGTTTCAAAATTGCATTGAATTTTTTGAAGTCGAAAAAATGCAATTCATCCAAGGTTTTTATAATGGACTCGAAATTTGCGCTGAAAATCATTGAAAATAAAGAATTCCATGATTTTCAGCACGAAATTCTGATCTAGAAAATTCCTGGAAATTTTCACTGTTTCGAAAATTTAATAAATTTCTGATCATGAAAAAAAAAGATTAATTGAATTTTTGAAAATTAGTAAAAATTCCAGAAAAATTTCAATCTAGATCAGAATTTTGTTCTGAAAAGAGTGCAGAGAAAAGATAACAAGTGATCAATGATGTGTTCGAAATGTGATCTTTTTTGTTCTGAAAATCATGGAATTCTTGATTTTCAGCAATTTTCAGCTTTTTTATGATTTTCAGCACAAAATTTTGATCTAGAAAATTCCTGGGAATTTTTCACTGTTTCAAAATTGCATTAGATTTTTTGGAGTCGAAAAAAGTTCAATCAATATTTCTTAATTCATTCTGGACTCAAAATTTGCGCTGAAAATCACTGAAAATGAAGAATTTCATGATTTTCAGCACAAAATTTTGATCTAGAAAAATTCCTGTGAATTTTACGTTTCGAGAATTCATCAAATTTCTGATCTTGAAAATAATGACTGGTCACAATGGGATATAGATTGAAAAAAATAAGTAATTGAATTTTTTCAAAGTCCAAAAAATTAAAAGTAAAAATTCCAGATAATTTCTTTTTATATCAGAATTTTGTGCTGAAAATCATGGAATTCTTGATTTTCAGCAATTTTCAGCCGGTTCTACCAAATAAGCATTTTATGTACATATCAGTGTTCAAAATGTGTTTTTTGCTACAAAAAGATCACATTTCGAACACATCATTGATCACTTGTTATCTTTTCTCTGCACTCTCTCACTCTCTCACACTTGACCCCACGTTTTTCTTTTATTTATTTATTTTTTCCAATTTTTCTCATTTTTCCCAATGGTTGTGACTTTTTTCTAGTCTTGTATAAAGAAATTTTGATTTTTCTTTCAAATTTAAGAAAATTTATCAGTTTTAATTTCAAAAAACTGCAAAATATCTGAAATTTTCAGCATTTTTCATCTAGAATTTTCAGAATGTTCCGAGTTTCAAACATTTTTGCCAAAAATGTGCAATTGTGTGCAAATGCTCAGAGATTTGCCAGCACTGCCGCGGCTCCAGAAATGATCAAAATTGAGAAAGTTGGAGCGAACCAGAATGTTGCGTTGATTAAATTGAATCGACCAAAAGGTGAGGGATTTGGGGATAAGTTTTTAGCTGAAAATCACTGAAAATTGAAGAATTCTATGATTTTCAGCATAAAATTCTGGTCTAGATATTTCCTGGAAATTTTACGTTTCAAAAATTCAATGAATTTTTTGGATCTGAAAAAAGTTCGATACATGGCACTTAGGCTTTTCTAGACTCAAATTTTGCGCTGAAAATCATGGAAATGCTGAAAATCACTGAAAATGAAGAGTTCCATAATTTTCAGCACTAAATTTTGGTCTAGCACAAAAAATTCTGGAAATATTTCACTGTTTCAAGAATTCATTAGTTTTTTCGGAGTCTATAAAGATTCTTTTGAAATTCTAGACGCAAATTCTCTCCTGAAAATCATGGAAATGCTGGAAATTTCTGAAAATTAAGAATTCCATAATTTTCAGCACAAAATTTAGGTCTAAATATTTCCTGGAAATTTTACGTTTCAAAAATTCAATGAATTTTTGGATCTGAAAACAATTCGATTTTTTTTCTTTTTTCACTTCTAGACTCAAATTTTGCGCTCAAAATCATGGGAATGCTGAAAATCAAGAATTTCACAATTTTCAGCACAAAATTCTGATCTAGAAGGAATTTTTCTAAAATTTTCTCACTGTTTCAAAAATTCATTGAATTTTTTCGTCTAGACTCAAATTTTGTGCTGAAAATCAAAAAAATCACTGAAAATATAGAATTCCCCAATTTTCCAGCTCTCAATGCACTTTGTTCCCAACTAATGACCGAATTATCATCGGCTCTTCAAACCTTGGATGCTGACAAACAAATCGGAGCTATTGTCATAACTGGAAGTGAAAGAGCCTTCGCAGCTGGTGCTGATATCAAAGAAATGACAAATAATAGCTTCTCGCAAACATTCAGCGGAAGTTTCTTGAGCAATTGGACTGATATCAGCAAAGTCACGAAGCCAGTAATCGCCGCTGTCAACGGTTTTGCTCTCGGAGGCGGCAATGAGCTCGCAATGATGTGTGACATTGTCTACGCTGGAGAAAAAGCACAATTCGGTCAACCGGAAGTCAATATTGGCACAATTCCAGGAGCCGGTGGAACTCAAAGATGGGCTCGAACTGCTGGAAAATCAGCTGCGATGGAGATTTGTTTGACTGGAAATCGAGTGACTGCACAGGAAGCCAAAGATTTGGGAATTGTTAGCAAAGTCTACCCGGTTGAACAGGTTGTTCCGGAAGCGATTAAATTGGGAGAGAAGATTGCGTCGCAATCACCGCTCATTGTTCAAATGGCGAAAGAGGCGGTGAATAAGGCGTTTGAAACGACTTTGCAAGAAGGTTTGCATTATGAGAGACGACTTTTCCATGTCACTTTTGCGACCAAAGATCAAAAGGTGAGCAGCACAAAATTCTGATATAAAAAGAAATTTCCTGAAATTTTTCACTGTTTCAAAAATTCATTAAATTTTTTGGGTTTGAAAAAATTTGATAATCCTCTTGAATTGTTTCTAGACTCAAATTTTGCGCTGAAAATCTTGAAACCGCTGGAAATCACGGAAAATTAAGAATTCCATGATTTTCAGCACGACATTTTGATATTAAAAAAAAATTCCCTGAAATTTTTCACTGTTTCAAAAATTAATTTAAGTTTTTGGGTTCAAACAAATTCGATCATCACTTCTTATCTTCTTCTAGACTCAAATTTCGCGCTGAAAATCATGAGAATGTTGAAAATCACTGAAAATCAAGAACTCCATGATTTTCAGCACGACATTTTGATCTAAAAATAAATTTTCTGAAATTTTTCACTGTTTCAAAAATTCATTGAATTTTCTGGAGTTAAAAAAATTCCATTCGTCATTTGCTCTCTTAGATTCGAATTTCGCGCTGAAAATCATGAAACTACTGAAAATCACTGGAAATTAATAATTCCATAATTTTCAGCACGAAATTCTGATCTGGAAATTTTACGTTTCAAAAAATTCAATTATGGGCCTATGCAGAATAATATTTTGTAATAAAAAAACATAAAAAAACATTTTTTTCCTATGCAGAAAAACGTCGAAAAAACAAAATAAAGACAACGTGAAATTGAGAGAGCGCAGACATAAAATGGTTTTTTTCTCTGCACTCTCTCAATTTCACGTTGTCTCTACTCAAAATAATAAACTGTATATTTTGTTTTTTCGACGTTTTTCTGCATAGGAAAAAAATGTTTTTTTAATACAAAATATTATTCTGCATAGGCCCATTAATGTTTTGGGATCTAAAAAAGGCAATATGCTTTCAACCAAAATTGTTAAAAAATATTCAAATTCTACGCTGAACATGATGAAACTACTGAAAAACACTGAAAATCAAGAATTTCATGATTTTCAGCACAAAATTCTGATCTGGAAATTTTACGTTTCAAAAATTCAATAAATGTTTTAGGATCTAAAAAAGGCAATATGCTTTCAACCAAAATTGTTAAAAAATATTCAAATTCTACGCTGAACATGATGAAACTACTGAAAAACACTGAAAATCAAGAATTTCATGATTTTCAGCACAAAATTCTGATCTGGAAATTTTACGTTTCAAAAAATTCAATAAATGTTTTAGGATCTAAAAAAGGCAATATGCTTTCAACCAAAATTGTTAAAAAATATTCTAATTCTACGCTGAACATCATGAAACTACTGAAAAACACTGAAAATCAAGAATTTCATGATTTTCAGCACAAAATTCTGATCTGGAAATTTTACGTTTCAAAAATTCAATAAATGTTTTAGGATCTAAAAAAGGCAATATGCTTTCAACCAAAATTGTTAAAAAATATTCTAATTCTACGCTGAACATCATGAAACTACTGAAAAACACTGAAAATCAAGAATTTCATGATTTTCAGCACAAAATTCTGATCTGGAAATTTTACGTTTCAAAAATTCAATAAATGTTTTAGGATCTAAAAAAGGCAATATGCTTTCAACCAAAATTGTTAAAAAATATTCTAATTCTACGCTGAACATCATGAAACTACCGTAATAACTTGAAAATTAAGAATTTTATGATTTTCAGCACAAAATTTTGATCTAAAAAGAATTTTCCTAAAAAATTTTCACTGTTTCAAAAATTCATCTAATTTTCTGGAAGCTTAAAAATCTCGATCATCTTTCATATCTACTTCTAGACTCAAATTTTGCGCTGAAAATCATGAAAATGCTGAAAATCACTGAAAATTAGGGATTTTATGATTTTCAGCCCGAAATTCTGATCTGGAATCATCCGGGAAATTGTACGTTTCAAAAATTCATTGAATTTTTGGGATTCAATGAAAATTCGGTGTTTCAACTTTAATCATTTTTAAAGATTCAAATTTTGCGCTGAAAATCATGGGAATGCTGAAAATCACTGAAAATTAGAAATTATATGATTTTCGGCACAAAATTCTGACCAGATCTGATTTTCTGAGGAAAAAATTTGAATTTTTCACCTAAATTCAATGCTAGTTTCATTTCCCCCCGCGAAAATTCTCAAAATTCAAATTTTTTTCAGGAAGGAATGACCGCTTTCGCTGAAAAACGTGCACCAAACTGGAAATCCGAGTAAATTCCCAACTTTTATGCTCAAAATTGTATTTATTTTCTTTTTTTTTTATTTTTTTCCTTCAAATAGTCATAGTTTTTTATTTGTTCTTATCTCAAAATAAATTTTTTTGTAAAAAAAATTTCGATTTTTCATTTTCAATTGATTTTTTTTTGCCGTTCCGTACATCAAATCGGAAATGTATTTTTTGTTGATTTGTGGGCGGAGCCTATTTTTTCACCTGATAAAAAAGCACAAAAAAAAATATCCATGGCAACCTAGAAGAATAAAAATAACCTTGATCCAATTTCTCTTTCGAGATTTTTCTATACACTTTTTTTTTCATTTTCGACCGTTTCCATGGCGATTTTTAGGTTTATCAGCGGCGAAAATTTCAGAAGTTTAAACTTTACTGAATATCCTAGTTTACTGAATATCCAAAGATATAAGGGCCGTGGAAGAGAAAACCAAAATACAGTAGGCGTTTGGTTTTCTAGGCCATCTCTTCCAAACGTCGAAAATCTTCGAGTTGAAGATTTTCGACCCATTGGTGGCCTAGAAAACCAAAAGATCAAAAGTCTACTGTAATTTGGTTTTCTCTTCCACTTTCAGACTTTCAGAATTTTCAGACTCCACTCACAAAATCGTGCCCAAATTTTGGCGTGCGGCACGATTTTGTGGGCGGAGCCTAAAATCCCCCGCCCCCATAGTCAAAGCCACGCCCATAAAACCGTGCCCCAAATTGCAGAATGCTCATAGTTGGTCTCAGTGGCGGTGTGGCCACCGGAAAATCTACGGTCTCGAATGTTTTCCGCGCGCACGGTGTACCAATCATTGACGCGGATTTGGTCGCAAGACAAGGTATGTCATTTTCTTTCCGCAACCCCCAAAAACCACGTGTTTTGCAGTTGTTGTCCCGGGAACTTCGACATATCAAAAATTGCGCGCGGAATTCGGAGCGGAATATTTCGACGATGAGCACGGCGGTTTATTGCGCAGAGAAAAGTTGGGAAAACTCGTCTTCAATGATCCGGAAAAGCGGAAAAAGCTGAACGGAATCACGCATCCCGCAATCCGCTGGGAAATGCTCAAGCAATTCTTGTATCTGCTATTCACCGGCACCAAATTGGCGGTTTTCGACACACCTTTGCTGTTTGAAGCCGGATATGATCGATTTATTGGCACGACGATTGTTGTTTGGTGTGATCGGGATAAGGAAATCGCGCGGATGATGAAACGCGATAATTTGAGCCGCGAAGACGCGGAATCGCGGATTAATGCGCAAATGGATATTGGTAGGAGCAAAAAATATGGTTTTTTGACGTCGAAACATCAGTTTCCATCAAAAATGATGAGAAATCGAGCTTCTGCGGTGAAATCTCATGAAATTTGACCTAAAAATCCCTTTTTCAGAAGCTTGTGCTGATTTTAAGATCAAATGTCATCAGGTTTCACAAATCTCATGAAATTTGACCTAAAAATCAGCAAAACCTTCTGAAAAGTGGATTTTTAGGTCAAATTTCATCAGATATCACCCCAGAATCTTTAAAAACCTCGATTTGTCATCATTTCTCAGTTTTCAGTCAAAAATGATGACAAATCGAGATTTTTAAAGCTTCTGATGTGAAATCTCATGAAATTTGACCTAAAAATATACTTTTCAGAAGTTTGTGCTGAAAATGGACGGATTTCTGGTGAATTTCGAAAAAGTTCATGGAATTTTGAGGTCAAATTTCATGAGCTTTAAAAACCTTCATCATTTTTGGCTGAAAATCAGTGTGCTCTTAAAAAATCCATAATTTTTTGCAGAAGAGAAGAAAAAACGCGCGAAAATCGTCATAGACAACAATGGAGACATCGATGATCTACGGGATAAGGTAACAATTTCTTAAATTCCTTTAAAATCTGAAAAATTTTCCAGGCTCGTGAAATAATCGCTGATCTCGACAAATCTTGGAAACCCTACATTCACTATCTAATTCTAGCCGTCATTTTTGGCGTTTTGCCATTGTATCTTTTGAAAAAGTTTCGATAACTTTTAACCTTATTTTTACATACATATCTTGTGATTTCAATTAAATTATTTTTCTAATTTTGTTGAAGAATTAAAATGAAATAATAGCTGAAAATTTAACTGGAATATAAAAAAAATGTGTGATTGTTCCTGGAAAATTTAATTGCGCTCTAACGCAAACATTTTGTATGAGCGGCGTGTTTGCAGATTACACGCGCAACACCGTGACGACTCATTGCAGACCGACAAAATAGATTTGAATTTACCTGCATTGATTTTTGGGGCAAAAAATAGACAGAATATTATTAGTCGAGTAAACATTGTCAAAAAGATATCTAATACAATATTCACAATGAGATTAAATTGATGACATTGACCTATTTATGGATCAGCTGTGAAAGTACACACACCTTCTTTGATTCTTAATACTTTTCAAATCACAAATTACAACCAAAAGGTTACAACCAAAAATGATCGAAATTTGAAGATAATTTTTTTTTTGAAAAATTCTCGATGACTTTTCGATAAAATTCATGATTCAACGTGTATTTTCCCAAAAAATAAATACGATTTTTATTATTTTTGTCAACGTCTTCTTCGCAATTTGAAAGTTGATTTGTTCTTTTTGTCTTTGCCACGTTCCACAGTTCGATCACCAGCCCAAGCTTTGAAACTGCAAAAAAAAACTTTGAAGCTAGATTTTAGCGCCAAACATTGCTCATATTATCGATTGTAAAAATTCTGCTTTGAGAGAAAATTCAAAATTGCTCATATTATATTTTTCCAGACCTAAGCCTCATCAAAATAAAATCAGGCCGATTCTAAGAAGAATTTAATCTGAGCAATTCCGCAATTTTCTCAAAACCCGATCTATAATATGAGCAATGTTTGATGTTAGAAAATACAGATAAAATTGATTTTTGACGCCAAACATTGAGAAAATTCAGAATTGCTCATATTAAAGGATAATCTGAGCAATAATGAATTTTTCTCAAAACCAGATCTATAATATGAGCAATGTTTGATGTTAGAAAATCCGAATAAAAAGGCCAAACATTGCTCATGTTATAGAATTTAAAAAATCTGTTTTGAGAGTAGTTATTTGGGCGCGAAAATTTGAGAATTTTTGAAAATAGAAATTTCTTGCGACGTATATTTTTGGGTGCTTTTGATTGAAAATTAGAGTTCTTGCCACGTGGATTAAGAATTGCGAAAATTTTGAGATTTTTTACCTAAAAATCTCGATTTTCTCTATTTTTTCGAAATCAAAAAAAATACGTTTCAAAATTTTGATATGAATTATTGTCAAATATTGCATCAATATGCTTTCTTCAAATATCTCATCAATAGTTTTTCTACATTTCTTTCGAATAAATAATAAATAAATCAAAACCAATTGGAAAATGCTCTGAATTTTGATAAAAATTCAGAAATTATCAATTTTTCGATCAAAATTTATGAAAATTCTATGCAATTTCTATGAAAATTTCATAAATCCACCTACTTTTTAGGTGTGAGTTTTTTGGCAATGAAATCCAAACCTAAAATTTTCTACAGTAGCTCAATTCTGGTTGAGCAATTCTGAATTTTCTATCAAACTTAAATTTAAAAAAAAACATCTATAATATGAGCAATGTTTGGCTTCAAAAAGCACACCTTTAAAAAACTCACTTTTGCTGTCTAATCAATTTCTCATCATAATACGCATTTTGCCGAATTTTTCGATTTTCCCGCCAAATTTCGTCTTCATCAACAAGTTCATCTTTCGAATTATGATAATAATTAATTCCTTCCATGAGTTGCGGCGATTTTGCCATGGATTTCTCGAAAATCTCAGCCTGCGCCACTAAAATCGATGTTTTTGGCATGGTGACGTGGGAAAACTGGAAATTTTTCTCAATTTAAAAATACATTTTTGAATAATTTACCTGTCTGGAACTGCAAAATGGCGAAAAATCATTGAGTGATTGATAACGATGAATATAATCCCAATGATAACCTTCCAACCAATTAACAATTGAGGAGAAGAAGAAAATCGCTAGAACTATGTGTCCCATGCAAATGAACACCGCTGCCCAGTAATGGATATATGTTATGACCATTTTCTTTTTTATTTTTTTCATAAAATGAAATTAGACAATTTTCACGTAACAGATAACCTATATATTTTACTAACAAAAAAAAATTAAATTAATTTTCTAGATTTATAGCTCAACGGCTCCGCGAAATTCTCGTTTCTCGGCAAGTTTTCGTTTTTCAGCCAAGCGTCTTTGATTTGATAGAATTTGTCGATCGCGAAGAATTTTCTCGTCTTTTTCAGAAATCGTTCGCTTTCCCTGATCCTCTTGAATTGCGTAGATTTCGCTGCGAAGTTTGTCGAAACAATCGGCGACGTTTAGATGGCGATGGCGAGTTCGATCACTGTCGATTATCAACTGAAAATTTATTTATTTTCTTCAAAAGCTCGTGAAATCACGTTTTTCTCAAGAAACTAACCTCTCCAGCCGAATTGATACGATGCGCAAGTTTCTCGCTAATCGAATCTTTCAATGTGTCATCAAGCCAAGTTGCCTCACCGAGTTTGAAGCGAATTTCAACTTTTGTCGCATTCTTATTCACATTTTGTCCGCCTGGCCCGCTACTTAGCGAAAATCGCTTTTCAATTTTGTCGGTTGGGATGATTCCATTGAATGTGGAGCTCCGCGCAAGTTGAAGATGTTGAATGAGCAATCGTGAGCGCAGCATTTGTGAAAAACCCGGGAACACACCCGCTCAAGCAACACAAAAATCAGCAAAACGCTGTAAAAACGGTGCACCCTGTAGCTCAAAATCTAGATAAGGTTCATGAAAAACTAAATATAGCATGAAAATCAGCGCCTCGAGTTCTACCTGACTTGCTACTTCTCCTATTTTTTGAGGTCCTACGAAGAAAGTTAGCAATCGCGACAAGACCCAACGCGTGAAATTTATCATGCTCCTTTAATACTGTAGTGCGAAATATAACGGCGAACAGAGAGAATTAGACAAAAGTGTTTGCACAGTTTTTTTCATTTGCAGATTTTTCGTTTTACAGTAGAAAACACTCATTGCGTGGCTTGAACGGGTGTGGGAAATGCGAAAAAATGAAAATATTTTTCGAGGGGACTAGGAAACCAAATAATTTTTATAAACTCGGCCACGCAAATTTTTGGCGGTTTTTCGAGGCCTCGAAGACGAGAATGGGTCCCCTCAGATAAGCTGACTCTCTCTGAAATTGTCTGAAACAATATATTTTCTATATACCAATAGAAACAATTTCCTGTCTGTTAAGCTTAATGGAAATATTTTATTTCATAAAGGGACTAAGTTTCGCACAAACTCGGCCATCGGGAAAATTATTATTTTCACGTATTTTCAATCGAGGAAATTGCTGAAAAAACTACGGTGCGAACCCCTACGTGTGTGGTGCATTTGTGCGTCAGCGTGTTTGCACAAAAAATCTCTCTGCGCAACAGCGTCTCTCTTTTTCGCACGCTCTCTCTTAAAGGAAATTTTTTCGAAAAAGCAATTGGGTCCCGTAACGAATACCGCGAGAAAAAAGTTACACTAAATCCGCCACTCGAACCTTATTTCGATGCAGTTTTTTACGTAGATTCGAATGGTCTATGTAACTTTTTATATGGTTCAGCCATTCTGAGTTTTTCCATTACAAATGGTTCATGTCCCTTTAAACTGGCGTTGCCGTTTTTTCTTCAGAAAAAAAATGCGTGCCGTTTTTTCTTCAGAAAAAAAATGCGTGTTTTATCAAATCACATGTGCATTGCGCGGTGCTCGCTAGCGAGCGCGCTTTTAAAATAATTCCTCGATTTTTTTTAAAAGCGCGCTCGCTAGCGAGCGCGCTTTTAAAAACCAAATAGAAAATTGTCTTTTATCCCCAAAACCTATCAATCTCTCCCCAAAGTTGTTTGTTTTTTCACACAAACCAACAAAAAAGTGTAATAATTTTTCGATTTTTTGCAGATATCTAAATGTCTTCTTCCTTTTCCGAAGATTCAGATGAGAATTTCTCAATTGTTGATGAAGATGAATATCGGAAAAATATGGGACTCGAGAGAAGTAAATGGAAAACGTGAGTAGAGGAACTTTTAGAGATTATAAATAAGTTTTAATTTATTACAGGCTAGGAGGAGTTGATAAACTTCAAAAAATAAGTAAATCGATTCACGCATTGTCGCAAGAATTTCGCGAAAAGTTAGCGGAAATCGGAGATAATTCAAGAGAGCAATTTCCAGTTTTTGAGGACGATGAGATCGAGGTGGAAATCAGGAGAAATGTGAAGATCCAGAAAACCGCCGCGAAATTCGGGCAGCTTTTATGGCCGGATTTTTTTGCGAAACTAATTGAGGATTCTGAAGAAGAAGACGCAGTTTTCGAAGACTGGGATGTTGCTCATCTTAAAGAATACATCGAAAATCACCCATTTTTATTCAAAGATTGGGATCGATATTATTCCCCAGCAAATCGAGAATTCCATTATTATTTATTCGTCAAATTCCTGGCCAGGTTTTTGAGAAACAATGAAGATCGCATAAGATTCGATAAATTAAACGATATTTTACACAAAACTCAAATTTTCCGACATCGCGGATCGCTGGAAATCCAAGAAGATTTGGCTGGAATTCTTCTAACTAATCAGATCTTCTTTGGTGTGGAAGAGGAAGATCAACAAGATGTTATAATTCTAAAATCAGAAGCAGCTCTTGAAAATATCTCACTTTGGGAGGAATGCGCAATCGATTTGGTGCGTGGCAAAGATGAGAGTGAAAATCTAGATTTGAGTCGGAAATGTGTGGTTTTCGGAAAAGTTGTGAATTTCAATCGTTTCAAAGTCGGCGTCAAAATTCTCAAATATTTCGCTCTACTCGACCCAAAAACCACCTATATTTTCATCGAACTTTCGAAATTCGCGATAAAAGAAGCGGATATTGCGGGAATTTTTGAAATCGGTTCCACAATTTTGTGCGAAGTTTATCGAGTTGGACATATCAATCAGAATTGTAATTATATTTGCACTAATTATCGAATACTTTGCGATACTGATCAACAATTTGATGATTTCCCATTTTGCGATTTTGTGGAAGAAAATGAAACTGACGAAAAGCTAGAAACCCAGCTAGAAAATCTGAAATTACAGCAGCAGCAGCCAGAAGTTCCCGAGAAAACCCTGAACTTGAAATCAATAATCGATCAAAGTTTAGAAATCGGTGGAGAAGTTAGTGCATTCGATATTGTCTCAATATTAGAAGGTTATGGTTTTGAATACGCTGAAGTTCTCAATTTTATTCGTGAACAACCACATTTCTATGAGATTTCGGATGATGGTTGTAATTGTAGATTACGCGACAAGGAAAATGTAGAGAAATTGGTGAAGATGGTGGAGAAAATGGTGGAGAATGAGGGTGTGGAGACGGAAAATATTGAGTGAGTTTTTGCTGATCACGATGTTTAAAATTGCAAAACTCAACTCCTAATATGAGTTATGACGTGGAAAAACGTGTCAATATCCGATTTTCCAAGGCTATAACTTTGAAAAATCAGAAACCGTCTTCAAAACCGATGGATTTTCGGACAAAAATCGATATTTGAGCATTAGAGCGCATTTAATCCTCCGAATTCAAACATTCTCATGTGAAATTCAGAAGCAAATGCGCTCTAGTGATAAAATATCCCATTTTCAGTGGAAAATAAAAAATGATTGTAAAATCAGGAATTTTCAACTTTGCCACGTCATAACTCATATTAGAAGTGAAGCTCTGCAATTTTGGATAGCGGAATTGTGAGTTTTCAACTCCTAATATGAGTTATGACGTGGCAAAGTTGAAACTCTCTAATTCTCTTTTTTAAATATTCAAAAAATTATGTATTTTCATTGAAAATTAGATATTTTATCACTAGAGCGCATTTGCTTCTGAATTTTAAATGAGAATATTTGAAGTCGGAGGAGTAAATGCGCTCTAACGCTAAAATATCGATTTTTGTCTGAAAATCCATCGGTTTCTGATTTTTTCAAAGTTATAGCCGTCTTGAAAAATGTTATAGCCTTGGAAAATCCGGAATTTTTCAAACTTTGCCACGTTATAACTCATATTAGTATTTTTTGAAGTCAGCTAACAATAGGCTTGAAAAATCCGGAATTTTTCAAATTTTTCCACGTCATAACTCATGTTAGGCCAAAAAATCCCATGTTTTTCCAGAATTGGTCTACCCGAAAAAGATTTCCACGAACTTTGGCCAATCATTGCTGACAAATTCGAAACCACAAGCGAAAATGAGAAAGTTTTCATTCGACCCAAGCAAAAATTTGTTCAAGGAATTTTTCTATAAAAAATTAATTTGACCATGTAAATAAAATAATTTATTCTATCATTTATGCTAAATTTCAGTTTTTTTCATACATAAATGAGTTTTAAATCTCTGAAAAATATCCAGAAATTTTCAAAAAAAAAAATTCCCAACAAAAATTTGAATTCAGATGGGATCGGTGAAATCGAAAGTGAATGTTGAAATTGTGCAAGAACATGTGAGTTTTTTGAAATTTTTTGAAATTTTTTTTGAAAAAAAAAAATTAAATTAATTTCAGGTCAAAACCGAGCCAGTTGTAATGTACACCAAATCGGCTTGCAATTTCTGCACAAAAGCCAAAGATTTATTCAAGGATGTGAAAGTGCAGTACACCGTGAGTTGTTTTTTTTTATTTTGAAATTAAAAAAAGTTTTTTATAGGAAGTGAATCTGGATCAGCTAAAAATCGATCAACCCAAAGATTATTTAGGAATTGTTAATGGATTGGTTTATACAACACGGCAGACAAGTGTTCCGCAGGTGGGGATTTTTGGGGGTAAAAATTGAGGGATTTTGGGGGAAAATTGAGAAAAATAAGTGCAAGAATTATAAATACTGTAAAATCAATGAAAAAACACTAACTTCGTACGGAATTCTGTGATTTTTCAGATTTAATTTACCCGAATTTTTTTTTATTTTTCTGAATTTTTTTTTAAATTTTTATTTGTTTTTCAAATTTCCCAAATTTCCCATTAATTACTAAAGATCAACCACATTCTTTCTGTTTTTAATTATCAAATCTTTTCAAATTCAAATTCCCCTCATTTATTCATTTCCCACACCATCTTCTACATAAATTCTCCCCCTGTAAAATTTGAATCATATTAAAAATGTTATTCCTTCCATTCCTCATTTCTGTGGCTCTCGCTGCTCCACAGTATTACGGTAGATATTGTTATCCTCCAAAACAACAACCACAAACACAAACACTAAACCCTCTTTATATGATCCCACCTATGAATAAAGAACCATGGGACAATCATTTCAAGGGAATAGGCCATTATATTGATTTGCAAGCCTCGTTAATTTCGACGACTCCATCATCTCTTTTGGTTCAAAATGATCAGGGATTGGATTTCAATAGTTTGCTTCAAGGACTCTTCAGCTCGCAGAACTCGCAAAATGGTAGACAATAATTTTATTCTTGTTGGATTTTGTAAAATGAAATAAATGGTTTTCGCTAGATTTTGTGTTGAAGATAATCCCAATTTCTGATCAAAAATCGAATATTTTGAGTCCTGCCATGATTTTTAAGGGTTTTAAAGGCGCATATGCTTGAAAATCTTGTCAGGACCACATTTCTGATAAAAAATTGAATATTTTTGGTCCTGCCACGATGTTTGGGGATTTTAAAGGCGCATAGGCTTGAAAATCTTGTCAGGACCACATTTCTGATGAAAAATCGAATATTTGCTCCTGCCACGATGTTTGGATTTTAAAGGCGGATAGGCTTATGTAATCGAACCTCCTGCTCAACTCTATGATATCAGATTCTCACGAAAATCAAATTTGAAGTTAGTTATACAGTCATGTAGAATCCGAATTTTTCAAACTTTGCCACGTCATAACTCATATTAAGAGTTCTGCAATTTTAAAAAAGAAACAAATCATATTCAATTAATAATTCAAATTTATTTCCACCTTTCAAAACCTGTGAATCATAATCCACCACTTTGCGAGTTCTTCGAGCTGAAAAGCCCTTGAAGCAAACTATTGAAATCCAAACCCTGATCATGTAAAACCAAAGAAGAAGCTGGAGTTGTAGCAACTTCAGCTGGTTTGATTTTGCCAGCTGCATCGATAACTATACCTACACCTTTGAATATGGCGTCCAACATATTTGGAACTGGGTTGGCGGTTGGTGGTGGTTGGACATATACAACACTTGGTTGTTGGGGTTTTGATTGCTGTTGTCGAGGATAGTAATATTGCTGTTGCTGTTGTTGCTGTTGTTGGGGATAATAGTTATAGTATTGTGGAGCAGCAAGAGCTACAGAAATGAGGAATGGAAGGAATAACATTTTTTGATTCTGTGTAGTTCGGAGGAGGAGGTGTATTTATAGAAACGAGATTTTCCCAGCTCAAATGAGATTCTTTTGAAATGCAAATCCATCCCACTCCACTAATTATCACAATTTTTCCTATAAAATCAAAATCCCACACACTAAAAATTCCATCAAAATGCTTCCAATAATCGCAATCATCTTTGCTCTAACTCTTGTCAGCGCTCAACAACAAAATGTAGCTGCAAACGGAAAAGTGGCGGTCGATATTGTGTCAACGATTTTGAAAGGAGTTGAAACGATTTTGAAGGCGGCTGGGAATATTTCACCACCACCAGCGCTTCCGACACTACCCACACTTTTCAAGCTTCAACATGATGAAGCTGGGAAGAAATAAGATTTTGTTTTTTGGTTTTGGAAAATGAATTTGGTTTTGAATTAGTTACTGTTACTAGAAAGTTAGGATAACTTCGTCCTTTTTTCGTATTCACAAAATCATTCCGCTTCAGAATTTTCGTCCGATTTGAGATTCGATGATTCTTGTCTATTGTTCAAAACATTTGACCTACCAAATTTTCATAGTTTGAACCCAAAAGGGCTGATTCACGAACGAAAAAAATGTTAAAAAATGTTTTTTTAACATCGAAAGATCAATTCACGAAAAGTCAAAAAATGTCGAAAAAACATTGTAGGTCAAAATTAGTTTTTCAAGTTTTTCAGCCAAAAATGATGACAAATCGATATTTTTCAAGCTTCTGGAGTAATTTCTGATTAAAATTGACCTTGAAATTCACTTTCCAGAAGGTTTTGTTGATTTTTCGTAAAATAAAAAGTTTTTGAATTTTGATGAATTTCGAAAAAAATCATAAAATAAAGCAAAATAGGGTTCTCGAAGCTTATTTTCATCAGAAATTACTCCAGAAGCTTGAAAAATATTGATTTGTCATCATTTTTGGCTGAGAAACTCGAAAAACTAATTTTGACCTACAATGTTTTTTCGACATTTTTTGACTTTTCGTGAATTGATCTTTCGATGTTAAAAAAACATTTTTTTTCGTTCGTGAATCAGCCCTAAAATAGTATGTAAATCGAGAGATTCACAATCAGACATTAGATCACAAAATCGCACTGATCAATTCGTCAGGATGGACAATAGTTCATTTCAAAATTTTCTAGAAAACTCTTTCTCCAGAATTTTGATCTGTCCCCGGCCCCATTCTTATTCAGTTTCACACTCAGAATTCCACAGAAAAGTTAAACTTCATTTTCAACCACAAAAATCAATACACTGATTTGTAAACCTTCCTCGTCAAAACACTTTCCTCTTCATTCTCCCCAAAATCATGCTGAAACTTTTCCGACGGTTTTGCTGTTGTTGTAGCCAATGCCGAAAGTTTGGCAGCTTGTTCCAAAGTTATTTTGACACCATTGAAAATGGTGTCTAGAATCTTTGGTGCACCACTAACCAGAGAAGCTTCCAATGATTGAGGTGCTGGTTTGAGCTGGATGACTTGAGGTTTCTGGGGCTGTTGTTGCTGTGGTTGAGGCCAATAATACCCATTTGAATATTGATATTGGGGAGATGGAGCTGTGAGAGCAACAGATATTGAAATAAGAATCAGAAGATAGGATCGCATGATTTTCTGAAGATCGGGAAACCAGGGACCCTTTATATATCAAGGGAAGGAACTAATTAGCATATGAATACTCTAATTAGTAATTCTAATTAGTGATTGTACGAAAAATTTGAATTTTTCATTCGAAATATGAAAATTGTCTTGATTTTTCTCATCCCTGTTGTTATTTCTACCAATGTCTTGCGAGTTCTAGTTGATTGTGGGCAGACATGTCGCTGCAGGCCGGGCCGGCCGGGCTCAGCCCGAAGTAAACACAAAAAATCGGGCTTTTTTCAGCCGAAGCCCGATTTTAACATGTGCGGCTTTCGCTGACCCGATTTTGGGGCCCGCTTATTTTTTCTTCGATTTTTTTTCATTGAAAAAATGATTCTTTCGTGGTCAAAAAGGAATTTTTAATGAATTTCAAACATTGTAAAGAAGAAAAATAGTAAAATAATATGTGCGTGGAAGAGAATTCACTTGAATTTTGAAATTTTTGCATATTATTTTTCGATTTGTTACTTATTTCTATTTTTATAAGCAAAATATCACATTCTTATTTGATTTTTCACTCATATAAATACAATCCAACATCGAAAACATAAAAAAAATTCTGAAATTGGCCATTCAAAAATATTGTTTGGGCGAGGCCAACCCGGCCGCTTTTAAATTTTCATAAGGCCGGGCCAGCCGGGCCCGTGATAAATTGAGCGGGCTGTAGGGGCCCGAATTCAGCAAAAACGACATGTCTGATTGTGGCGATGGGAAATGTGCACAGCTTGTTAAACCAGTTTCGATCAAGCAGAAGTTCAATTTTTGAGTCTATATTTGAGTGAAGTTGAAATTTGAAACTTGTGTCTTCAAAGAATTAAAGGCCTGCAGTTCGACAATTATTTCGGTTTTCCTCAAAGTTTAGTGTCAAAAATAGTTCAGAGAGAAAATCTTATGTTTTCAAAATTTGAAATTGCCGCAACGTCCAGCCGATTGGTGTATGCAAACACTGCAACGCAGTTTTGCGTACAGGAAGCTTTGAAATTTTATATTTTCAATATTTCATCCCTATCTTTTGTTTGGTTCAATTTTGAATCAGTTCAAGTCAGAGGCTTCGTGGGTGGTCTCGGTCAACCGGAATAGATGTCTAACCGCCTTTAATTAAAGAATTTATTAGTATTTATCACAAATTGTTTTTTTAATGTCCAACACCTCCATTATCACCCCCAGCTGCAGCATCGCCTCCAACTGCAGCTCCAGCATTTGCTCCTCCAGCTCCGGCTCCTCCAGCTCCGACTCCTCCAGCTCCGGCTGCTCCAGCTCCAGCTCCGCCATTAGCAAACGGACAGCCACCCCCACCACAGCAATTAGCTCGACCACATCCACAACCTCCTCCCCCTCCGCCTCCACCCAGAGCTCCACCAAGTCCAGCGCCACCGAGTCCGCCAAGGCCTCCGCCAAGCCCACCAATTGCGCCCAACGCATTTCCGAGGCCCGCAAAAATATTACCCAAAAGGGCCGAATTCCAACCAGGCTGCTGCTTGTAGACCCTCTGAAATTTCAGATTTTTTTTTCAAAAAAATTTTGGATATTCACCAAAGGCCGGCCTTCCTCGCCATTCTTTGAGAATACTAGATTTAAATTTAGGAGCGCTAGAAAAATCAAGAAAATTTTCATGGTTTTTCTGCTTACTGAAGAATTCTGAGGGTTTTAATAGTATGCGTCTAGAATTTTATGAGATCTGAAAAATCGTAAAAAAATTTTCATGGTGTGAAAATTTGTGGGAGTTTGGAATATTGGCATAATTTATAGCAGTTACGTTAACTTCTTTTCGATCTGGAAATTTCAAAATCGCAAGCTTCTTGGCTGATCTAGAAAGTTAGGTTAACTTTGACACCGCTGTTTTTGGAATAATGCCATAACTCATTAGGAGTTCTGTTAACTTCTTTTCGATCTGGAAATCTGGAAATCTATCCCAAGCTCCTTGGCTGATCTGGAAAGTTAGGGTAACTTGCCGCTGCGCGGTAGATAGTGCCGCTTACGCGGAAGCTTGCGGTCTACACTCGCTCCGCTCGAAAAAAAATCACAAAAACTTTATTCAACTCGAAAAAACGCCCTTCAAAACTTTCAAACTCTGCAAAATTTGAACAAGTTTCTCATCCGGAACATTCAAACTTTGTGCATTTTTCGAGAAAATGCTCAATTGATTTAGCCGCATTGTTAAATGACTCGTCTTTTGGTATAATTCATCCGACAATGTTGAGATTTGTTGCAGCAAAATTAATTTTTGAACATTTCGCTGGGGTAGGGGTGACGGTTGGAATCGTATTTGAATTGCTGTTGATTGGCAAAACGGGACGAGGGTTGAGATGAGAAAAATTAGCAGGAAATTCATTTTTCTTGGATGAATTTGAGAATTGAAAATATAAATATAAATTTTGTATATAATAATATGTATTTTTAATTAATTAAGTCATTTAAATTTCAAATTATGTTATGGGAAATTTAGGAGATTTTTTACATGATTCTAATTTGTTGAATCGGAAGATTTGAGAATCAGAAATTTTGACAAGAAAAAATTCGGAAGATCAAAATTTTCCTGATTTTCTTCCGGAAATTTTAAGGCTGATTCGCGAACGAAAAAAATGTTCAAAAATGTTTTTTTAACATCCAAAATTCAATTCAGGAAAAGTCAAAAAATGTCGAAAAAACATTGTAGGTCAAAATTAGTTTTTCGAGTTTTTCAGCCAAAAATGATGACAAATCGATATTTTTTAAGCTTCTGGAGTAATTTCTGATGAAAATAAGCTTCGAGAACCCTATTTTGCTTTATTTTATGAATTTTTTCGAAATTCATCGAAGTTTAAAATTTTTTATTTTACGAAAAAACAGCAAAACCTTCTGGAAAGTGAATTCCAAGGTCAATTTCAATCAGAAATACCCCCAGAAGCTTGAAAAATATTGATTTGTCATCATTTTTGGCTGAAAAACTCGAAAAACTAATCTTGACCTACAATGTTTTTTCGGCATTTTTTAACTTTTCGTGAATTGATCTTTCGATGTTACTCAGAGAAATGGGCTGGAGAACCGGCGGAGAAAACGACCTGTCGGCGAACTTTCGGACAACCGCCGGAATGTCTGACCAACACTATTTCGTCGAAACTTTTGTCCGCCGGTTGTCCGAGAGTTCGCCGACATGTCGTTTTCTCCGCCGGTTCTCCAGCCTGTTTCTCTGAGTTAAAAAACATTTTTTTTACTTTTTTTTCGAAAATAATTTCTAAGATTTTTTGATTCGGGAAACTTTTCGGATATGTTTTTTTTGTTTAAAAATCACTTACAATTAATTTTGAATTTTTTTTTGGAAATTTCGGAATTCTTAGAAAAAGATTTTCCTGTATATTTTTCCGAATTTTTGAAAACTTCAATATATTTGCGAATCAATTTTTCACATTCCAAATAAATCAAATTTTTCTTCTTTTTTTCTGGTCTCCTATAAAAACCACATTATTATAATTTCCCCCAACAAAAACAAAATGTTTTCGAAAATTTCCATCTTCTTCATCTTCTTCACCTTAATTTTTGCGCAAATTCTGGCAATCAGACTTTGTGTCGGTGATTTGGATTGTCTTCCAACAGCTGTTTGTAGTTTCCAGCAAAAAATTGGTCAATTTGGAAAATGTGTGGCGATTTGAATTGAATAAAGTTTTGAATATTTGAAAATTTGGGATTTTTTGTGATACAAATTCCCTAAACTCTTTGAAAATCCCAACATTTTTTTCCAGATCTTCATTTGCGGCAAATTCATCGGTGGTTTCAACGAGTTATCGAATCTCAAAAATTCCGGTAAATTGCTCGAAGCTTTGGCCGAATGCACTGGAGAAAATTCGAAAATTTTTGAAGCATAATTTTTTTTCTTTTTTTTTCTTCTAATTCTGATGAAAATGGTAAATACCTCATGTAAATAAAGTCCCTTTTTGGAAAATTTAAAAAAAAAATACAAATCTTTGTGAAACACACAATCAAAGGCGAGAGAGTGTTGGAGAGGAGGAGACACAGACACAGGAAGTTGAAGCGAGCGGAAAGATTCCCCCAAGAGACATATTTTTCATGACGAGCCGATGTGTTTTTTTTTTCTGTGGAGAAGAGAGAAGAGTCAAGTTTTTTGCTGTTGATATCTGGCTTTTTAGGGTGTATTGATTTTGGTGAAGTTAGGCTAACTTTTTAGATTCACTAAATTAGTTAGGGTAACTTTATCGTTTGAGTTTCGCGCCGAAAAACCTCTGAATTACTGTAGATCAAAAAATTTTATGAAAAAAATTCCACGTGTCAGTTAAACTTCGATCAAAATTTTCGCGCCAAAACCCTCAAATTACTGTAGACCATGGGATACTGTAGGTCAAAAATCCCGCCAAAAAGCTTCTAAATTACTGTAGATCAAAAATTGTACTCAATTAGAAATTCCACGTGTCAGTTCAGTCAAAATTTTCGCGCAAAAAATTCCAGATTACTGTAGATCACGGGGTACTAGTACAGCTGTAGATCCAATTTTCAAAAAAGTTTTTTTTCAACACGCTTTTTGGATACTGTAGATCAAATTTTCTCGAATTTTCTTCAAAATTACTGTTGTAGATCGAAAAAATTCCAGAAAATTTCCAGCAAAAATGAGCCGACGTCATCGTAGATCAAAAGTGACACGTGTCGTGAACCTGGTCAAAAAAATCATCGCATTTTTCTTCTCCCACATTGGACTGTGCGCTTTGGTAAGTAAGGCTAAGTCTAGAATTTGCACTAAATTTTTTAATTTCAGGTCGTCGGGTATGCTCTTCTTGGTGCTGTAATTTTTAAAGCAGTGGAGCAGCCTCATGAAATTGATGTAGGCTGAAAATATGTTGAAAAAATTCAGAGAAAAAAAATACATTTTCAGATTCAGAGGAAGGTTTTTGATGCCAGGACCAGAGCTGTTAATAAAATCTGGGATACAACTTTTGACATCAATCGATTGAATTCATCGCATTGGAATCGAACTGTAATGGAGCAAGTCGAGATTTTCAAAAAAGTCCTGATGCACTCGATTCGTCGCGGCTTCGACGGCAAACAACTCAACGAAAATTCGCAGTGGACTTTTACCGGAGCATTTTTGTATAGTCTAACTATTATCACAACTATTGGTTACGGTAATACTGCGGCGAAAACCTATGTTGGAAAAACTTTGACAATGTTATACGCAATTATCGGGATTCCCCTAATGCTTCTGTTTTTGACAAATATTGGAGATGTTATGGCGAAAATTTTCAGGTAACATATATTTTTCAAAAAAAACAAAAACTTTCGCAGTCAGCAGGATTCGAACCTACGCGGGCAGAGCCCAATTGATTTCTAGTCAATCTCCTTAACCACTCGGACATGACTGCACGTTTTTTCGCAGCCCTAAAAATTATATTTGTTCAGGTTCCTCTACGCTCAATCGATTCGTCTCAAGTTTCGCCTGATTTTGTGGCACAAAAAAAGAAAGGTGAGGATTATTACTGTAGCGGGAGTACTGTAGAGTACTGTAGATATATATATTTTAGGCGGCGAAAATTCGGCGAGCTAATAGTTTGGTTTCTCGATTGACACGTGGACATCGTGTCAAAACTGACAGTTCTGTGGATTCTTTTGGTTTGGGTGAGTGTTTTTTGTAGATCAAAAATTGAGGACTCTTGGGAGTACTGTAGTAAATTTGTAGATCAAAAATTTTGAATCATGGGGGTGGGGTACTGTAGTTGTTCCAATTTTTCTGTAGATCAAAAATTTGGATATATTAGGAGTACTGTAGTTATTATTTTGAGTATTTCTGTAGATCAAAAATTTGGAATTTTTAAAAAATTGCTCGGGACATACTGTAGTTCAAAAATAAATACTGTAGAATAATTTTTTTTAAAACTGTAAATTCAGAAATCTTGGGAGAGTACTGTAGTTTTTCTGTAGATAAAAAATTTGAAACTTAAAAAAACTTATCTATGAGATTACTGTAGTTTTTCATCTAATTTTTTGTAGGTCAAAAATTAGAGTACTGTAGTATTTCTGTAGATCAAAAATCCCCAATCTTCTAAAAAAATTTCAGGCGGCGGCGCCGATGTTGAAGACCTCCTAACCGCCCGCGTCGAAATGGAACAACTCGAAGTTCGCGAAACCGCGGCGGCTCAACTCGAAGCCGCAACAGTGCCGATGTCTCTGGTCGTTTTCACCATGTTGGCGTATTTGGGAGTGGGAACTGCGACTTTTTCGATTTGGGAACAGTGGACACTTTTGGAGAGCTTCTATTTTTGCTATATTTCATTGACAACTATTGGTGAGTTAGGGTAACTCAATGGGGTCTGAGATTTTCAGAAAAAATATTCCTAAAATGATTTTTATGATGAGGAGATTTCTGGCGCGAAATGCAAAAAAATTGTCCATAATCTTAATACAGTAATCCAGAAATTTTATTGGCGCTAAAGTTTTGATTTACAGTAATCCAGAATTCCTGGCGCGAAATTCAAATCTAACCCCCAATTTCCAGGCTTCGGCGACAAATTCCCCAAAACCTCCGTAAAAGATGACAGTGAGGCGAATTTCAAATTAGTCATCACAAGTGTCTATCTCCTTTTTGGTATGGCACTTCTGGCGATGTGTTTTAATTTGGCTCAAGAGGAAGTGCAAAATAAGACACGGTATGTTTTCCTGTTTTTTTCTGATTTAGGCTAACTCATGAAATTTTCAGATGGATTGCTGACAAATTTCGATCAAAAGATGATGATGATGATTAATTATAAAATTTTATTTTTTATATTTTTTCTTCAAAAAAAATTATCTAAAAAAAGTATTCTCAAAACCCGGAAAAAAGCACCTGATATCACAGAAAAATTGGGCAAAAATTCAAAAAAAAAGGGGGCGTGGCTTCAAACAATTCGAACTTCATCTTCTTCATCATCGCTATACAAATTCTGCATTTCAACATCGAAATTCTCCTCTTTTTGACGCAGAATTTCATAGCGAAAATTGGTTTGTTGAGTGGATTTTGAGGAAGTCGCGCCGATTGCAGCCAACGCCTCTTTTAGCGACCATTTTTCGAATCTTACACCGTCTCCGAGCCTGGAAAATGGGGGATTTTGAGTAGGCGAAATTTTGGCGAGTGGAAAATGTTTGAATGTCGTTGGAGGCGTCGCGGTTGCGCGTTGCGTACTTTGGAAAAAAAATTTGAAAAAATTTTTTTTTTGAAAATGAAGCACGCATCCAACGACATTTGTGTTTTTAATAAATTTATAAAAGGTACTGTACATATTGTCAAATACACAAACGTTGGCAAAAATGTCGTTGTAGGCGTCGCGGTCACGCGTTGCGTACTTTGAAGACATTTTTTTTCATTTTCAAATTTTTTTTTCGAAAATGAACACGCATCGCGTGACCGCAACGCACTCAACGACATTTGTGTTCAGAAAACAATTTTTGAAATTAATTTCTTTTTTTTTTTCAAATTTTGAGAGTACTGTAAGTTAGGGTTACTGTAGAGATTTGGGAGAAAATATTATGAGAAACAAAATTTGAGCTACAGTAATTCAATTCAAAAATTTTCTGGCACGAAAATGAAGCACGCATCGCATGACCGCGACGCATTCAACAACATTCACTCAATTTTTCAAAAGGTTAGGGTTACTGTAGAGGTTTGGGGGGTAAAATCTTCAAAATTACGCCGAATTCACAACAAAAAATTGAGCTACAGTAATCAAATTTAATTTTTTTGGCGCGAAAACCAATTCAACTCAAAAACCAAGCCACCCATTGTTTTCTCTACCATGCATTTTCGATCCTCCACCATTTTCTTCTGATTGCTCTGATTGCTCAGTTGGACTCAGTGCCTGTCGAATTTCACCAATCTCAATATTCTCCACATTTCGTGGGCTCATCGGAGCATTTGGAGCCGCGCCAGGTGGAGTGCTCAGTCGATTCCAAGCGATTCCAAAATCCACACCAGATCCGAGACTGAAAAATTGAGAGGAAAAAGGAGGGGGTGAGAGAGAGTGTTGGTGTGGTGGAGGGTGTGAGAGAAAAAGAGGAAAACGTGGTGGAAAAACAGAAAAACAGGGTGGCTTGATTTTTTGAACAGGCAAAACTTAAAAATTTCTAGCTCCCGAACAAAAAAATAAAAAAGAAGAAACTCACGTCGTGTAAACTGGCAGGAGCCAAAACAATTTTCGAGCTCCGAAAATTTCCAGATAATTTGCTCGGATGCCGTGGTTGAAGGCGTTTTTCTCGTAGCGACCGTCGATTAAAGGCGCACGGAAGGATTCTGGAAAAATATGAAGTTTTGGCGGGAAAATTTGATCTACAGTAACCAAAAATAAAAAAATGGCGCGAAAATCTACAGTACTCCTTGATCTACAGTTATCTAGAATTTTTAGCGCGAGAATTCTTGATCTACAGTAATTTATGCGATTTTTTGGGGCGAAATTCAAATTTGAAAAAAAATTGCACAAAAATGTGGATACAGTAAACCACTTTTGATCTACTGTAATTCATTCCCCCCTTCGTGATCTACAGTATTCAAAAAATCTGAGCTACAGTAATCAAACAGATGTTCTAAAACTAGAAATTTGATCTACAGTAACCCGGGATTTTCGATCTACAGTAGGAGCTTTTTCTGACGCGAAAATATGGTTCACGTGGAAATTTCCAAATACAGTAATCTAATAGATTCTTGGCGCGAAATTCAAATTTGACAAAAAACATGGCTAAAATGTGATCTACAGTATCCAAAAAAATTCGAATAAAAACTACCGTACTCACCTACAGTACTCCGATTCTTGGCTGTCAAATACAAATGATAGAAAAATAGTGCGGAAAGTGATAGAGCAAACATTCCCGACACAAAAACCAGAAAAAGTAGATGAAATCGACCGCCCTGAAATATTTTTTCGTGTAAAAAAAAATTATCTGGCAGTAAAATCTTACCGTAATCTGATTTCCGCTGAATTCGGTCCTCCAAAAATCGATAAAATACGGTAAATCGGTGAAAAATATCCATAGGCAAAATGTGAATCCATATCTGAATTTTTAAAAAATTTATTTATTTTTAAAGGATTTTTTTTAAAGTAAAAAAGAAAAAACTCACCCTAAAAATAGTAGAAAAAATTTATAATTCGTAAAATTCACACAATTATTGACCCAAGGGCAATGATGATCGAATTTTCTGAAAATGTCTACAGTAACCAAAGCTTGAAGTACAGTAACCTACAGTACACATTGTCCACATAATGAGCAATGATGTGATCGATCGGGTTTGATGCAATTGCATTTTTCGCAAAATCTCACTGAATTTTCGAAACCTCGAACTCGAAGCGGCAATTTTCGTTGTTGAACATATCGTTGGAGAACTGCTTGAAGTTTTCGATCGTCGTCTTGAGCTGAGCGGATTTCATCAAGCGATTCGCCTTCGAAACAGAACTGGAATTGGATATTTTATTAAAATACCTCTATTTTTGAAAATTTCTGGCAAAAGGGATAACCCCCTTCTTTTTTTTTTCAAATTTTCAGCTATAAAATCTTGATAATCTGCGATTTTTGATAAACTTTGAGCTCAAAATAGTTTCATTTCGGCTTTTGAGTCAAATTTTGATTTAAAAATTCTAATTTTTCAAAAACAAAAAAATACGTTTCAAAATTTCGATATAATTATTATCAAATAATTTTTTTCAATACATCCGGACCACTCCAACTCAAAAATTATTATTTTTCACATGAAGTTGTGTTGATTTGTGTTGATTTTACATTAAGTCGGAATTTTTTAACGCTTTTGTGAATTTCAACATTCCGTTTAGATTTATTATTTGTGAAGAAAAAGAGATTTTGAAACCAAATATCGTCAAAATAACTTTGAAAATTTGTGTCAAAAACAATTTATTTTTTCATTAAAAAAGTTACAAAACTGGGATAATTTCGAATTTCCATGAAGTTGATGATGTTTGTGTGTGCAAAACTTATTGGATTCCATGTTTTAGTAATTTGAGCCGTGTTTTAGTAATTTGAACAAAATCCTATGAATAAACCTGATTTGAATCATTCGTAATCCGGAACAGCTTCCTTTCAGGCTCTCTAGGCGCTGGAACTTCTAGGAGCGGCTACTTGACATAGAAGCTCTCAAGACGCGAGACCTAGACGCGCGGCTACTTGAATGATATCATTTCTAGGCGTGGCCCCTTGAAAACTAGGTTCTCTAGGCGCTGATCCTTGACAATTCGAATTTCTAGGCGCGGCTCTGATGATTTTGAAATTAAAATTTCAGTGTACAATCCTTAGCCCCTGATTTTTGGGAGCAATTTTTATAACCAAAAATTTTAATTAAATTTTAAAATGTCTGCAATTTTCTATTTTTAGCCGAAAATAATTGTTTTGTTTTTTTCTTCAACAAAAAAAACCAAATAACTGGAATTCTTCTGATAATGAAAATAATTTTTTGGAGAATAAAATTTTTCAATTTTGAAAGTTTCCACAAGACTTTGCTTCAACAATGCAAAAATTTAATTAAACCCGGAGCTAAGATTTTTTAATTGAAAATTTTCCCCTCACCTCTGGCGGCGGTTTTCCAGCCGCTGTAAAAATCGTCTTAAAATATGACGTCACAAACAGCACCAACAACACATGAAATCCCAAAATATACACAATTCGTTGCGGCCAATTATCCACTGTTTTTATACTCAATTCATAAATATACGCATAATATCCCCAACCACAAGCAATTGCAACTATTAGCACGGGAAACCATCGAATCGCCTGCAAAAAATGAAATTTTTAGGGAAAAGCTTAAGATTTTTACCTTATTTTTCAACAAAATATCATCAACTTTATACTGAATTTTGTCAAAAATCTCCATTTTTTTCAAAAAAAGTCAATCTCAGCCCAGCCAGCCACACACACACACACAAACAATTCAATTTAGGTCATTTTCTCTCTGATATCTCTGCGTCTCTCTTTTTATTTTTCTTGGTTACGCCTTTTTTGTATTATTATTATTTTGTAGTATAAATACGAAAAATCTATTTTTGACGATTACTATTTTTGACAGGAAAATATGAAGGGCAGATATCTAATTTCATAAAATTCAATTAATTCCGGGAAATTCCGATTTAGCCCAATTCCTTATCACTTTTTGTCATATTTTCCCAGAAACAAATAAATTTGCTTCTTTTTCTTATTATTTTTCGTCATAAAATTTTAAATATGACGCATTTCGCTGAAATTTCATAAAACAGCTGCATTTTTATCGATTTTAGAAGTTTTCCTTCCCAAAAACAGAGAAAAATATGTATTTACCTGAACAGTTTCATAAAGACATCCTCCTTTGTTGATGCATTTCTGCCATGACATAGCAAATTCGATGGAAACGCTGGAAAAATGAGTTTTGAAAAAAAAATCCATAATATCTAATTATAGAAGTCAAGTTTGTCGCGCACACAAAATGAATAACGGCAAAAATCAATAAAAACACACTAATATTTATGAATGAATCACTCCCTCCTCCAAAAAGTATTATTGGGGGGAAGGAAATGGGCGGTGCTGGTTTGGAGGGGGAGGACATGTGTTTTTGCTGTTTGGCCGCATGCACTTGACGTTGTAATAGTGTTTGTTTTGTCTAGGAAATGAAAAAAAAACTGGAAATAAAAAAAAGAATTTTTTCAAATTTTGGGTTCGCGGGGAGGGTCTCGCAGCGATTGTGTGCGCCCGCGAAATAAATTATTTGAAAATTGAAAACCATTTTTTATTTTTTTTTCAGCGCGCTGGAGAACAAACCTCGAATCATCGTTTTCAGTCATCAAAAATAATCGAAATGATGATTTTCTATCAAAATGTCACGTTATTAAACTATTTTCCTCGAAAATTTCAATTTCCGCGTGAACTTTCGAAATATAATGTTTTTTGTTCAAAAATCCTCATTTTTGATAATCAAAAGAATTGAATATGGTGAGCTTTATCCAATTTTGTCACTTTTGTGCCCGAAAAAACTTTGAGTTTAGATTCACACAAAAATTAAACAAATAAAAGGAGATGAAAATGAATCAAATGCAAAAATTGCGGAAAACGATGCAAAACGAATCGAAGACGTGGAATTGAACATCAAATTCGGATACGATCGACATCTCCAAAACCACGACTCATTTTCCACAGAAAGCCATTCTGCAAACGCAAAACCATTCGCCGAAGAAGAATTCGATAATGAAGATGAGGCTGTGATAAGTCCATTGAACAAAGTTGATCCCGATCCAGATGGAATTGAGGCCGAAGAACTCGATCAACAATATAAATCGGAGAATTATGCGGGTGTTAGTGATTTTTCACATTTGTTTTTGATGTTGGCTGCAGGGACGGATTATATTGAATTGGTCGAGTTTACCATCTTCTTTCAAAATAGTGGTGGAAGTGGGTTATTTTATGAAGAGAACTTGGAAGTTAGGGTATCTCTAGGATATAGTTGGACATCAACTAAATGACATTTTCATGTTTTTTAAGCAAGTTAGTTGAAATATTGGTTTCTATTGTCGAAGTTGAGAATGTGGCAGCCGTAAAAATAAAAACCAGTGCAGAACTGAATGAATGACAAAGTCATTACTTCGTCAGTCGCGTGCGGCTGTGCGTCGCGGTCGGGAAACAAAGGAGCACATGAATTATTATCGAAAATCTCATCGGTACCACGCGCTCCACCGAAATAAACACGCAACGCAGACCGCGCTGCGCCACAACACACAAAAAAGGGAGGGAATTTGAATCGTTCCCTTATTTGTGTGTGTTATGGCGCGATGCGGTCTGCGCTGCGTGTTTATTTCGGTGGAGCGCGTGGAACCGATGAGATTTTCGATAATATAAATTGTTTTTCGACCGCGACGCACAGCCGCACGCGACTGACGAAGTAACGAGCTTGTCATTCATTCAGCTCTGCACTGGTTTTATTTTTTACAACTGCCACATTTTTCAACTTCGACAATAATGTTATTCATATGATATATTTTTTGATGACTTTACCTTATCCATAAGTGATTTAGCGAGGTTTAGTCGTTAAGATCGTCTAAGCGCCCCTAAATCACTTATGGATAACGTAAATTCATCAAAATTTATATCATTCTGTTCGTCTTAGATCATTCTATCATATGAATAACATTAGAACCCAATATTTCAACTCACTTCCTCAAAAAACTAAAATATCATTTAGTCGATGTCCAACTAGTATCCTAGAGATACCCGAACTTCCAATTTCTCAGGAATCCTAACCCCCCCCCCCCACCTCCCTTTAAAAAAATGTTATGTTTTCCAGTATATTCATTGATTCCCTACATCTTCTTCCTGCTGTTTTTCTCATTCCCAGTCAGTATTTATGAAGTTGCCCTCGCTCAATTCTCCTCTCTCCCCCTCTTCTCACTCTTCCATCACATGGCTCCAGTTCTTGGCGGTGTTCCAATCGTCACATCCGCCATTCGAGTCCTCTACCTCACCCACATCGCTCTTCGCCCCAAACTCTACACTTTCACTTATAATTTGCTGTACAGTGCGTTGGTTGGTGATTTGAATTGGATGCATTGCACAAGAATGGAGGGAATATCGTGTTATGATCCGTTTTTGAAGTGTTTTATTGATGAAGATCAAGTTGCGGGAAAATGTCAGCCTATTCCGGATTTGGAAATTATTCATGATTTGAGTTCTTCGACAAATGATCGATATTCAAGAGTTCATAATTTGCAATATAATGGGATTGCTGGAACACAGATTACTAGCCTTGCAAAAATCTATGATGAACCTGATCTTCTTGCTGGAAGTTTCATATTCTTTATCGTTGTTGGCTTGGCATTCAACGCGGGTTACAAAAGATTTGCACAAATATCTCCGCTGATCGCAATTCTTCCAATTGTATCAATGTTACCGATATGTTTTATTGTTTTGAGCAAAACGGGAGATGATGTTTTTGAAGAAGTTGAAAAACGAGATGATATGGGAAAGCTATTGAAGTGGACCACCTATTTCCATGCCTTTATTCATGCTTTTAGCACCGCGCAATGTGGACAAGGTTCTTTGTTGACTTTTGGGAGTAAAGTGCATTTTTATCATAATTTTATGAAGTGAGTTATCGGATTCAAGAAAAAATGGGAATATTTGTTTAACCTGAGCAATGCTTTGTATTTTTTGAAAAATTGGGAAATTTTTTTTTATCTGAGCAATGCTGAAAAAGTCGGAAATCTTCTGATGAACTGTAATGTTTTTTTCTCCAGAGATATGAAAAAAGTGGGAAATTTTGTTTAACCTGAGGAATGCTTTGTATTTTTTGAAAACTTTTGTTTGAAGCAATGCTTCGTATTTTTTGAAAAATTGGGAAATTTTGTTTATCCTGAGCAATGCTCAAAAAAGTCAAAAATCTTCTGATGAACTTTAATGTTTTATTCTCCAGAGATATGAAAAAAGTGGGGAAATTTTGTTTAATCTGAGCAATGCTTTGTATTTTTTGAAAAATTGGGAAATTTTCGTTTAACCTGAGCAATGCTTTGTATTTTTGAAAAACTGGGAAATTTTGTTTAACCTGAGCAATGCTTTGTATTTTTTGAAAAATTGGGAAATTTAGTTTAATCTGAGCAATGCTTTGTATTCTATGAAAAATTGGGAAATTTTGTTTAACCTGAGCAATGCTCAAAAAAAAGTGTTTTTTTCCAGAGACATAATTCTCAACATTCTCTATGCAGTCGGCTATCGTCTCTACTATCTCATGACATTTCTCCCGATTTATTATGCATGCCAAGAATTCCTCTATCCCTTCAAAACTGACGCAATCACGGAAAATTCGGAGCGAAATCAATTACTCGAACTATTCTATGGTGGATTGCCCATTATTACTGGTGTTGATGCGCGAAATTATCTAGCATGTCTCTCATTATTTTTTGCCACTATCAATTTGGCAATGCTCGCTGAATGTATTGTTACATTTGAAGTTTTCAAGTCCTGTATCTATATTTGGTTTCCCAGGATTTTGTACTTGAATAGCACGATTGTTCGAGCAATTATCATTGTATTTTTTATATCGTTGTCAATGCTTCATGAATGGTTCACAGTTGCGCTATCTCGCGGCAATAATGCATCACTCAATAATCATTTTCAATTTGGATTGATATCAAGTACATTTGTCTCGACGATTTTTATGCTTTTGGGTGTACGGTTTTTGTATGGGGATAGTCGATTGTATGTGAATTGCTTGGTAAGTTTTTTGATATGTGTGTGGGCCGAAAATAGCAAATATGCTCTATCGAACACCTTCTATGTCAAGCAGCCGCGCTTAGAGATCTACTATGGACAGGAGTGAGGCCTTGAAAGCATCAATGTCAAGCAGCTGCTCCTAGAGATCAACACTGAAAAGGAGTGACGCCTTGGAAGCCTCTATGTCAAACAGCCACGCCCAGAGATCTACTTTGGGAAGGAGTCACGCCTTGAGAGCTTTTATGAGAAGCAGCGACGCCTAGAGATCTACTCTATAAAGGAGTCACGCCTTGAAAGCTTCTACGAGAAGCAGCTGCGCCTAGAAATCTACTGTGGAAAGGAGTCACGCCTTGAAAGCTACTACGAGAAGCAACCATGCCTAGATTTCTACTCTCGAAAGGAGTCACGCCTAGAGATCTACCCTGGAAAGGAGTGACGCCTTGGAAGCTTCTGTGAGAAGCAGCCGCGCCTAGAGATCTGAGAGTCTGTTCGGTAGAGCATGTTTGCATTTTCTAGCCCCTGGGGCATTTAAAACCCCAGATTCAAACTCAAAATTCTTCCAGACAATGTTAAAGAAAAACGAGCGAAGCTATAAAATGTTCCTCTACTTCAAGAAATATTTCCTGGCCACCTGGACTCTAACATCCTACTTCCTATTCATCCCATTCATCTATTGCACAATTCAAATTCTATCAACCTACAAACTCTACACATTTCAATACACATTTATTATCGGATTTCCGATTCTCTACATGTTATGGTGTCTTGTTCGAGGATATTTGACGAATAATAATATTTCCGTATTAACAAGTTGTCATAAATGGAAACCGGTGCATTTTAGAAACGAAAGAGAAGCGATTGCTCATGAGAAAATGTTTGGAATTGGAGATTGACCTAGAATTATTATTTTTTTTCTATTTAAAAATAAATAAAAACTTCACGTGAATCGCGCAAAAAGCCTCATTTATTTAGTTTTTGATAATCGAATATGGTGACTTGCTCTCTTCTAAAACTCTAAAAAAACAAAAGTTTCTAGATACACTTAAAAATTAAACAAAACGATGAAAAAGAAACTTTGAAACCAAAATTAACGGATTTGGAAGGAAAAAAAGCCGACGAAATTGGGCTGAATATAATATTCGGATATGATCGAAAAATCAATAAAGAGGATTCGTGTTCAACTGAAAGTCAATCAAAAGGCAAACCATTTGCTGAAGAAGACTTTGAAAATGACTCGGAAAATGTGCGAAGTCCAAAAATACACAAAGATCCTCACCCAGGAAGAATTGAAGCCGAAGCACTCGATCAACAATTCAAAAGTTATAACTACGCTGAAGTCAATGATCGATCGCATTTATTTTTGATCTTATCAGCCGCAACAGATTATATCGATCTAGTTCATTTCATAATATATTTCCAGAATCATGGTGGTATCTATTCCCTTGTCCCATACATTCTTTTCCTTGTTATCATCGTATTTCCTGTGAGCATTTTTGAAGTTGCACTTGCACAATATTCTTCTTTGCCACTATTCTCGATGTTTAATCATATGGCAAAGATGTTGGGTGGAATTCCGATTGTTATGTTGATTACACGAGTTTTGTATTTGACGCATGTTGCACTTCGGCCGAAACTTTATAGTTATACTTATCATTTGATTTATAGTTTGTTGATTGATGATTCGAATTGGATGCATTGTAGTCATTTTGATGGAGTTGGTGGGTGGAGATTCAAAAGTTTCGCGTGCAAATATTAATTTTTTGAATTTTCATAATTTCGCGCAAAATATGAAATTTTGAAACAATCGCAGATAAATTTGAATTGTTGAATTTTCAAAATTTCGTGCCAAAATTTGAATTTTTTAATTTCGCTGCGAAATTTGCATTTCTAACAGTTCGAGTCAAATATTAAACTTAAAAATTTTTTGAATTTTCTTAATCTCGCGCCAAATTTTGTTTAGCCAAAAGTTCCCAGGGTTACTGTGATCTTGGAAATTTCAGATCTGAATTCCAATTTCCCCAGGGTTACTGTAGTTTCCGAATTTTTCGATCTGAATTCCAATTTCCCCAGGGTTACTGTAGTTTCCGAATTTTTCGATCTTAATCCCATTTTGCTGAGGGTTACGGTAGTTTTGGAATTTTCTAGATCTGAACACAAAATTTCACAGGATTACTCTTGTTTTGGAAATTTTCAGATCTGAATTCCAATTTTCATAGGTTTACTGTAGTTTGGAATTTTCAAAAATTTTCACAATTTCGCGCTAAAATTTCAAAATTCTCATTTTCAGCTTGCTATGATCCATCTGTACATTGTCGTATAAACGAAGATCAAGTCTCTGGTTTATGTGAACCTGAAGCAGATCCTGAAGTCGCTGCTTCATATAAACGACACTATTCCAGAATCCACAATTTGCCATATTTCGGGCTCAGCGGAACACAAATCACAAGTTTCGCAAAAATCTACGATGAATCTGATCTTCTCGCAAGCACCTTTCTATTCTTCGTTGTTCTTGGTGTCGCCTTCAATTTCGGTTATAAACATGTTGCGAGATTCTCCCCGATGCTTGTATTGATTCCGATTGTCTCATTGCTACCAATCTGTATGATGGTTCTCGAAAACGCCGATGATGATATCTTTGAGAATATTGAGATGAGAGATGATGTCAGCAAATTATTGCATTATGCCACGTATTTTCGAGCGTTTGTAGAGGCTTTTAATACAATGCGATTGGGACAAGGAAATTTATTGACTTTTGGGAGTAAAGTTAAATTTCATCACAATTTTATCAAGTAAGTAAAAGTATTACTTGTTCCAAGTCTTCAAAAATGGTTTTTTTCTAGAGATTTGATAAGTAGCGTCCTGTTCGGTGTTGGATATCGTCTCTTTTTCGTCATGACCTTCCTACCAGTCTTCTACGCTTGTCAAATGTTCCTATATCCCTACAATCCTGAACCATTCACCGAACTCACCGAAAGAATACATATTCTCGAAATACTTTATAGTGGTTTACCAATAATTATTGAAAACGATGGAAAACTTTATATAGCATGTGTCGCTTTGTTTTTCGGCACAATTAATACAGCAATATTTGCCAATGGCATTGTGACTCTCGAAATTTTGAAGTCATGTATTTACAATATTCTGCCTCGATTATCATATACAAATAGTAGAATTGTTCAAGCGATTAGTATTATCTTATTCACTTCGTTGTTAATGCTTCATGAATGGTATTCGATTTATGTAAGTTTTGAATATCTTCACCTTTTCATGCTGAAATCATATATTGATTTCAGATAACCTTCGCATCATATCACGATTTCAGTGATTTGAAAAATCAATTTAATGATGGATTAATTGGAAGTGTTTTCATAACTGCAGTTTTTATGATGATTGGTGTGAGATTTGTATATGGTGAACAACGATTATATGTTAATTGTTTGGTGAGAAAAAGCCTTAGCCTAACTAAGACTAAGCCTAACTAAGACTAAGTCTAACCAAGCCAAAGCCTTAGCCTAACCAAGCCTAAGCATAATCAAGCCCAACTAAGGCTAAGCCTAACCAAGTCAAGGCCTTAGCCTAACCAAGCTTAAGCCTAACTAAGCCTTAGCCTAACCAAGACTAGGCCTAACTAAGTCTAAGCCTAATTGAGCCTAAGCCTGACCAAGCCTTAGCTTGAATAAACTTAAGCCTGACTAAGCCTAAGCCTAACTAAGGCTAAGCTTAACTAAGGCTACGTTTAACTAAGGCTAAGCCTAACCAAGCCAAAGCCTTAGCCTAACCAAGCTTAAGCCTAACCAAGACTAGGCCTAAACAAGACTAAGCCTAAATAAGGCTGAGCCTAACCAAGACTTAGCCTAACTAAGGCTAAGCCTAACCAAGCCTTAGCCTAACCAAGCTTAAGGCTAACCAAGACTAGGCCTAAATAAGGCTAAGCCTAACCAAGCCAAAGCCTTAGCCTAACCAAGCTTAAGGCTAACCAAGACTAGGCCTAAATAAGGCTAAGCCTAACCAAGCCAAAGCATACATGTTTTTCTATCCGGAAGGCCCTTCGGGTTAAAGACCCCTTTTTGTCGAAAATGAAAAAGTTAAAGACCCTCCACCGGAAAAGAGAAGAACAAAAATAGTGCCAAAAATCAAAGTAAAAGCTCTAGCCCTGAACCGAACCTTTGTAGCTGGATTAGAAAGCGCGAGGCTAACCGACTGCTCTATGCTCACGTTGTTTTCTCCTCCTTTGTTTTCCCTTGTTATGCAACACACACACTCATATGTTTTCTTTTTTTTCGTTTTTTTCACAGACAATTCAAATCAAAAGCAAAACTTAACAGCTTAACGGCAACCAAATGAGCTAAAAATTTTCACAGCTCTACTTCAAGATATTTCGCAGGGTTCGAAAACCTAAAAGCCTCCAATAAAGACCGTTTTAAGGGAAATAAAGACCTATCCGGAAAAGTATAGTGTCATCCTATACTTTTCCGGATAGGTCTTTATTTCCCTTAAAACGGTCTTTATTTGAAAGTTTCAGGTTTTCGAACCCTGCGAAATATCTTGAAGTAAAGCTGTGAAAATTTTTAGCTCATTTGGTTGCCGTTAGGCTGTTAAGTTTTGCTTTTGATTTGAATTTTCTGCGAAAAAAAAAGAAAAACAAAAAGAAAAGAAAAGTGGGCGGAGCCAGGTGCAATGAGAGATATGGTGTGTGGCGCTACCAGCGAACTGTCGGCGATGAGAGATATTGAAATATTTCGCGTGATGCAGAATGAAACAAGGCGAAATTTTTGAGGAAACCCTGCTCCTCTTTGCAAAAGACGTTGATGCAGAGGTAATTTTGATGACTTGAGAAATTAATAATAATTTTTTCATAAAAGTTAAGGACCTATTTTTTATGAAAAATGAAAAAGTTAACGACCCTATTTTATACTTTTCCGGACCAAAAACATGTATGAGCCAAAGCCTTAGCCTAACCAAGCTTAAGCCTAACCAAGCCCAACTAAGTCTAAGCCTAACTAAAGCCCATCCTTAAAAAACCTACAAATTCCAGACAATGTTACGAAAACACGAAAAAAGTTATAAAATGTTCCTATATTTCAAATCCTATTTGCTAATTTCATGGCGTCTGACCTCATATTGTCTCATTATTCCATTTGTTTATTGCACAATTCTAGTTCTACCTCATTATGATTCTTTCACATTTCAATACGCGATTATTGTTGGATATCCGATAACTCATGCGGTTTTTCTGATCTGGAGAGCCTATTTGAAGGAAGAAAATTTCGCATTGTTATCGAGTTCTCAAAAATGGAAACCTGTGCATTTGGCGGATGAAAAAGAGGCGATTGCTCATGAGAAAATGTTTGGAATTGAACAATGACTGTAGGAGTTATCTTAATTAGTGATTGAATTATGAAAATGAAATGATTTTTTAAGTTTTTTTGTGAAATTTTCGAACAAAAAGCCACGTGTCAACGTGACCTAGTTTTTTTTTGACAAAAAAAATTCAAATAAAAATCTCCATTTATATTTTTATGGCTTTCAAATATGGTTGGTCCCTATTCCATCCAAATTTTCAGAAAAAAATCAGAAATTTCAGATTTACACAAAAATTATACAAAATAGTGGTAAAGCGAAGAAAATCGACTTAACTGGCAAAGAATCGATTCGAGCGAAAGAAATTGAGCTAAATATAAAATTCGGATATGATCGACATTTGTTGGAACAGGAAACGACAACCGAAACAACTTCGAAAGCTGAACATTTAGCCGAAGAAGATTTCGAAAATGATTATTTAGAAGTGCAAAGTCCAAGCGGCGATAAAGCGCCGAATGCTGAAATAATTGAGGATGAGGAGTTAGATGGGATAGATCAAACTGAAAATAAGCTAGTGAATATCAGCGACAAATCTCAATTATTTTTCATTTTATGTGGCTCCGCTGATATCGTCGATTTGATATCATTCACAATTTTCTATCAAATGAACGGCGGAATTTATTCACTAATTCCCTATCTCCTAACCCTAATATTTATCACATTTCCTACAAGTATTTATGAAGTTGCGCTGGCTCAATTCTCCTCTCTCCCTTTATTCTCAATTTTCCGGCAAATGGCACCGATTCTTGGCGGAGTGCCATTTATGATTATGTACTTTCGATTGATTTATCTAGCGCATGTTGCACTTCGCCCCAAACTTTATTCATTTTCATACAGCTTGCTGCACACTGTTTTGATGGGTGACAAAGCGTGGATGGATTGTACACAGTATGCAAGTGATGCTCGTGAGTATTGTAAAATGCCGTGAACACGCGTGAAAACCAAAAACATCGTGAAAAAAGTTGAAAAAAAAACAAAATTCGAAAAAAATGAAGCGCGCGGACTAGGAAACATGTGAATTCCTAGGCCACGTCCTCAATTTTTATTTTTTTTTTGAAAAAAAAACTCAAAATTGCAGATTGTTTCAACCCGGCGCTAAATTGTCGAATAAATGAACATCAAGTTTATGGAAAATGTCAGCCAAATGTTGGCCAATCGGTTTATCTCAAAAAAACATCAGCAATCGCTTCAAAATATATCCAAATCGAGAATGAGCAATACAATCTGTTTTCCGGAACACAATTCGCAAGCTTGGCGATGGATTTGGACGCGTCGACATTGCTTATGGGATCGTTTTTGTATTTTTCAGTTATTGGATTGGTGTTTTATTTGGGTTTCCGGACGATCTCAAGACTCTCGTTTTTCCTCATGATTTCTCCGATAATTGGAATTCTTCCCGTTGTTTTTTCGTTGAACTTTGATAACGAGATTTATGAAATGATTGAAAAACAAAACGATATTTCCAAATTAATGAATTGGCAAACATATTTCTGGGCATTCTCCGAAGCTCTCAAAACATCCCAAATCTTCCAAGGAACCCTATCAACTTTAGCATGTAAACGCGATTTTCATCACAATTTCTTCAAAGATATGGTGATCAACACATTGTTTGGTGCAGCTTGGCGGATATTTTATGTGTTGACAATGTTGCCGGTTTACTATAAGTGTCAAGGCTTCATCTATCCAGCACATCCATTTCCAATCGATAAGTTTACGGAGAGAAATAAAATGATTGATTTGTTGTTGACCGGCTTGCCGTATTTGGTGGTGAAGAATTGGAATTGGATTGGTATTGCTATGCATTTTGCGACTATTAATATGGCGATTTTCGGGAAAACTGTGAGTTTTCCGGAAAATTTCTTTGAAAAATCATTGAATTTCAGATCGTTACTCTGGAAATCATGAAAACATCTGTCTACAAATTATTTCCAAAGCTCCATTATTCCAATCGACTTATAATTCAAGTTATTATTGTCATATTTTTTATCTCGAGCTTTATGACCTATCAATGGTATAATGTTGAGGTAGATCTATTTTTTTTTGTTGAAAAAAATCTATTTTTAAAAATTTCCAGCTTGTTGGGAGCAACCATAGTTCTTATTCAATTTTCAACTATAAATTTACGTTTGGCGTCACATCTTTTGTTCATATCACCACGGTTTATATGATGATTGGAGTGCGATTTATTTATGGTGAACAAAGGTTGTATGTTAATTGTTTGGTGGGTTTTTTCTTCAGCTTTTCCGAAACCCAACCAGAAAGAATCTGAAAATTTTCAGACAATGCTTCGTAAGCATGATCGAACATATCAAATATTCTCATATCTTCGCAATTATTTCCTTCTGACCTGGCGACTTGCTCCATTTTTTATGGTTATTAATTTTTTCGTGATTGCAACTCGAATTCTAACAATTTATGAATTCCTAAACTTCCAATACACTTTTGCTGTTGGATTTCCGATTCTTTATTCGCTCTGGAAATTGACACGTGGCTACGTGAAATTCGATAATTTACAACTTTTAACAAGTTGTCATTTATGGCGGCCAATGCATTGGATAAATTATAGAGAATCGAGAGAGGCTGAGAGAAAATATGGGTTTAATAATGAATAAATGAAGTTTGATTCTTGTGAGCAGAAAAAGTAATAATAAAAAATATTCCGGAAATATTACTCTACTCAACTGGAAGAAAATTGCCGCACGTGGGTGGGCTCTTTTTTGCGCAGAATATTGAACTTTTTTAATAAAATGTGCCAGAATTTCGTGGTTTGCTAATTTGTTTCGTAAAATCCCAAAAAATTTGTGTATTTTCATGGGGTGTCATGTTTCAGTAATTGAATAAACTCTTCTTTTTGCTTTTTTCTGAGCCATGGCCTCTAACTTTTCCCCTTTTTCTTGGATTTTTCGTTTTTTTTTGCATGCAAACTCCATTTTTTCCTATTTATGAGAAAACTTTTTTTGAGTAATATTTCCGGGAAGGAGCACGTGGATTTTTGAGTAGCGAAATTCCAGGAGAGATTGAGAGAAAACGAGAAAATTAATTAATTTCAAAGGGTTGTCGAAATGTTATCACAACACATGTCAAAATGACAAGTGACTTTTGCTTGTCGTGAAAATTTTCTTTCTCGAGTACTTTGCAGTTTTATACATCGTTTAGTGAATAAAATGCCACGTCATAGCATTTGTGGATTTTTTTTGAGAACTGAAATTAGTTTTTTTTTGATGAAGCTTAAAATTTCAACAAAAAAAAACCCATAGTACTTTTTGTGTTGAAAAATCGCCAAACGAACATTTGTTCCGAAAATTTCTGTTTTTATTTTTCGTTTTTTTTTGAGAAATAGTCAGCTGCGGGATTTATATTTACTTTGACAGAGGGAGGATGAGCGTAACTTTTTTCTATTTTTTTTTGAGAATTATTGATTTTAGTCAATTTTGCAAGTTTTATTGTTCATTTTACTTCCGTTTTCGGTTTTTCTAGTTTAGTCATAACTTTTGTGTAGTTGAGTTTGAGCAGAAAATTGAGTTTTTCGGGAACAAATGCGAAAAAATAAAAAGAAAACAACGAGACTCCGCGTTGACGGCAACGCGCGTGGTTTGAATTTATTTATTTTTTTCGTTTTTTCAGCGCGTTTCCATATTTTTAAGCCAAATCCAAGATCACATTTTTTGTTGTTTTCTTCTCAAAAAAAAAGCTTCCACCATTTTTTCCCCGGAAACCTTTTTTTCCAAGAAATCTCAATATTATTTTGCTAGAAAAACACCTCCAGGCTTTCTTTTTCCTGAATTTCTGACTTCTCTCCGATTCCTGATCGCCAACCAAAAAAATACTTTACGAATCTTCCAAAAGTTGTCACTTGACAAATTGATTGAGAAGAAAAGGCTGTGCAGAATTGAAAAACGAGTAAAAAATTGGGTGGAGAAGATAAATGATCACGACGGTTTACTTAACGTCCCATGGGATTTTGGGGCGATTTTTTGGGGCGGGAGAAAAAGAGAAAAGAGTGACATTAAGATTTTATTTCGATAAAACAAAACTTTTTTTGTTTGGCCTCGGTTGCTCCTCGTTTTTATTGGGTTGTTATTGGGTGAACGTTTGTTTTTATTTTAGTTTTGTTGTTTTTTTTTGGGGTTAGGCTATCTAGTTTCTTTATTTCACACAAAACAAACAAAATTGTATATTTTCATTTTTTTTAGAAAAAAAAACGAAGATTAATCATAGGTTTCATAGGAAAAGCTGGAGGAAGACCATAAAAATTATGGGAAATTTTTGAAATGCGGCGAGTGAATAGGGAAATTTTATATTCTTTTTGCGATTCCATTCGACCTGCAAAAATGATTTTTGAAACCCAATTTCTATTAAAAATTGAAAAAAAATTCGCGGGCACCCGGGATCGAACTCAGCAAAACCGACCAGTTTCCTCGGCGCGCGCTTACCCGGCTGAGCTACCTGTGCAACTGAAACCTCCTGTGTGCATGCCTGAGATATTGTTAGCTCACCTCTCCCGGAAGTGGAGTTGACCAAGAGACATACTGTCGACTCATTAGAACTTCATAATATTGAACAGAATAGTTTTGATTGCATAGATCCTCTTCACAACAATCATCGCAGTTTACCTGAAATTTTTTTTTGAAAATTGTTTGGGAACTTTTCGGTTTCTATGGTTTCTGGAACATTTCTTTTTGAAATAAAATTTAGCCAGCAGGAAATTTGGAATTTTTCCATTCTATATTAAAGCCTATGACGTAGGAGATAGCAATTTTTAAATGTGAAATTTTCCTCTTTTTGAAAAAATAAAATCCTAACTTTCCAAAAAAACTCCCTCTCCCATAAATCTCCAAACGTCCCCAATTACCCTAACTCAAAATACCGTACTCCTCAATGACCCAATAAATCTTTGCCCCCAAAATATTATCCGTTCTTTTTTTTTTTGCTCGCCGTGCTTCTGCACTTTCTCTCTCCTCCCCCTTTTTCACTATTGTTTCCGTCCGTTACATATATTTTTTCGCCTTAACTACTTTAAAATTCCACAGCGCGCAGAGCACGCTTTCTTCTCAATTATTGCTCATTCGACCAAAACTTTCTTCTTTCTCCCCAGTTTTTTCTAGTTTTGAATTTCTAAAAAAAAAATTCGCGGGCACCCGGGATCGAACTCAGCAAAACCTGACAGATTCTTCGGCGTGCGCTTACCCAACTGAGCCATGTATGCAACTGAAAACTCCTGAGCGCATGCCTGAGATATATTTAGCCATACCTGATCTTGCCCATAACCTATCGATTCACAAAGTTCCGAACATCTTTCCCCACATCCACGACTCACTGAAGTGAAAGCTTTGTTGATCGTATTGACCGCGGTCTAAAAATATTATTTTTTCATCAAAAAGCACCTGACTCAACGCATAGATTATTCAATTCAATTCAATTTTTCGAAAAAAAGTAGCGAAATTTTTCGATGAGCCGGAAAATGTTGTGAGTTGGCGTGCACTTTGACACACCAATGCATTTTAAAATACGACATCGAGATCACTCACCACACAAAACTTTTCCCATGGTGCACATATTTTGGCGGTCTCGTCCGGCTCGTATTGTACCAATGATTCGTTGGCGCACCAAGCGTCTCTGTAGTTTTTTTTTTTGAAAATTTGAACTTAGCTAGGCGCGGCTACTTGACATCTAGGATTTCAAGGCTTCACTACTTGGCATAGGAGTTCTCAAGGCGTGGATGCTTACTGGAGTACATCTCTCGATGCGGGCCCTACACACTCAGCTTCTCTAGGCGCGGCTACTTGAGAACTAGGCTATCTAGATGCGGACACTAGACAAGTAGGTTCTATAGGCGCGGCTACTTGATGACTAAGCTATCAAGCTGTGGCTACTTGAGAACTAGGTTTTCTAGGTTCGGATATTTGACAAACATGTTCTCAAGGCCTGGCTACTTGAGGACTAGGTTTTCTAGATGCGGACACTAGACAAGTAGGTACTATAGGCGTGGCTACTAGAGAATTAGATTTTCTAGGCTCGGCTACTTGACAATCATGTTCTCAAGGCACAGCTTCTTGCTAGGGTGCTCCTCTTGATGTGGATCCTAGACATTCAGCTTCTCTAGGCGCGGCTACTTGAGGAATAGGCTATCAAGGTGCTATTCCTTGACATTTGAAAAAAATTAGATCAAAATTAAATTTTTGTGTTTATTTTTGAGCATTCTTCTAAAATTTCTAAGCTCCAATTTTTTTTGTTGAAAATTTCAAAAAAACAATTTTTTTTCCAGAAGAACCCACCTGTGATCCGGATCATACATCTCATTAAACGAAAACGAGCAACTATAACATCGGAGCGCTCGAACTTCCACAATCCAAACAACAATCAGAATCAGAATGACATCTCGAAGAATCATCAATCGCGAGCAGCGACAATGCTCACAAATCCGTCCACACTTGTATGTTTCTGGCTTGGCCGCACTTTCGCCGAGGGTTTTATGTGAGTTACGAGAAGTTGGGCTTAAAAATAGTATATTCAAGAAAAAAAAATAAATAACAAAAAAAAAAAATAAAATATCCAAAGAATATAATCGCTGGTTCTCCAAAAAATAAATATAGGAAACGAATAATTTGTGAATGGAACGAGAAAAAATGAGAAAGTTTTACTGCTTTCCCTTTTGCACGGCCTTCTATCCAATTAAGGAGAAAACCTTAAATTAAAAATAAAAGTATCTAATTTCAGCGCGTTTCTGTGTATGCATCAATTTCATTCCGGGATTTCGATTGTCTGCACCGCCACATATGAAAGTGGTTCATATTCCGCTGCAAGACGACGAAAAGACCGATTTAACACCTCATTGGGCGAATGTGTATAAAGAAATTGAGGAGGCGAGGAAGGGAGCCGGAAGAGCGCTTGTACTTTGTGCAATGGGAATTTCGAGATCGGCCACTTTTGCGATTGCGTATGTTATGCAACAGGAGAAGTGAGTTTCGATAACTGGAAATTTTTCAATTTTAAAATCACAAGTGCAACGCCTTGAGAGCTTCTATGTCAAGCTGCCGCTCCTAGAAAGCTCTAGTGTCAAGTAGCCGCGCCTAGATAGCCTTGTTCTCAAGTAGTGGCGCCTAGATAGCCTTGTTTTCAAGTAGTGGCGCCTAGTGAGTTCAATTGGTAAGGATTAGCGCCTAGAGATTTATTCTTGCAAGGAGCCGCTCCTTGAGAGCTTCTATGTTAAGTGACCAAGCCTTGAAATTCTTGTTGGCAAGCAGCCGCGTCTTGGAAGCTCATTAGCCAAGTAGCCGAAGCTAGAGGTTCTAGGTTTCAAGAAGCAGCGCCTAGTGAGTTCAATTGTCAAGGATCCGAATCTAGAGATATACTCCAGCAAGAAGCCACGCCTTGGGAGCTTCCATTCTAAGTAGTCGAACCTAGAAGACCTGGTTGTCAAGGACCAGTGCCTAGAGAATCTTATTTCCAAGTAGCCGCGGCTTGGAAGCTCATAAGCCAAGTAGCCGAACCTAGAATACCTGATTCTCAAGCAGCCGTGCCTAGTTAGCTCCTATGTCAAGTAGCCGAACCTAGAGAGATTCTATGTTAAGTAACCGAGCCTAGAATCTCTTATTGTCATGGACCTGCTCCTAGATAGCCTTGTTCTCAAGTAGCCGCGCCTAGAAACACCCAAAAAAATTCAGGATTGGAAATTTTCAAAAATTTGGAATCCCGTATTTTTTCACTTAAAAATTCATTTTCCAAAAGTTCACTAATTATGAAATCACTTATTCATAAAAGAACCTTGGTAACCAAATTCGAATTTCAGATAAATAATTCAACAAAAAACAATGACGTCTATGTAGATTCTGAACTTTTCAAAATGAAAAATTTTTTCAAGTTCACAAAAAAAAAGTTTCAATTTCATTTTATAACCTTTCTCTTTCCATTTTTTTTTCAGAAAACCATTGCGCGACGCCTATAAAACCGTTCAACTTGCACGAAATATCATTTGTCCGAACGTTGGTTTTTTCACGCAGCTAATCGAACTCGAAATCAAAGTGAGTTGGGTCCCAAGGGAGGAAAACTATGGACAAAGAAAAAGTTTTTGTTTTGGAGATTTGTTTGTCACCATAAATCTCTTGGGTGATATTTATCACCTTTTTCGGCTGGTGTCGCATCAAATATGACTTAGGCTTGTAAGCTAGAAATGAAGCGGGGGGAACTACCAAAAATCTATAGATGTTTAGAAAAAATAAAAAGTTTGCAGCTTCGCGGAAAATCATCATGTAACATAATCGAGCCTCTTCCCGGTTGTCGAGTGCCGGATGTGATTTGGCAAGAATTGTACGATGAAATGATGACGAGTATGAGTCAGGATGATCGACATTCGCTGGCCTCTTGTAATTTATCAGCGCGGAGCAATAATGATACGATGAGTTTGAGATCGTTGAATGTGGTGAATGATACGTCGAGGTTTGTTGGGAATGATTTTGGGGTTTGGGAAAAGTTGGAAGCACAAATTCTGGCTCTTGAACTCATATTCAAAGATCGAAAATTGAATTTTCGATGAAGTTTGCTGTAATTTTGAATTCCTTTTTTTTGCACTTGAAGTTTCAAACTGAAATTCTAAAAAAAAAGATTTGAATGCGATTTTTATCAGTACAGAAATTAGAATCAAAATTTCTGGCCAACAATTTTCGCTACAGTACTTTTAAATTTTTCTCCGATTCCAAATTTTTACATCAAAAATTGTTTCAGAGTATGCCACGTGGCTAGAAATTCATTAGAAGCTTAGGAATCTTAAGACACTTCAGGATACCCTAGGAAACCTTGGTGAATTTTATAAAAGCCTAGAAAACTTTGTGAACCTTAGCTTAGTTATTTTCTGTCTGAAAGATATTTTTTCAGAAGTTCCGAATTTTTGTAGAGCATTTTTAGATGTTCCTGAATTCTCTCCGATTTCAAATTTTAAATTTCTCTCCGATTTTTTGAAATTTGTTTTGCATTAACAACTTTTGTATGCCACGTGGCTACAAATTCATAAATACCTTAAGAATCTTCAGAAAAAGCCTAGAAAATTTTGTGAACCTTGGCGTAGTCATTTTCCTCCTGAAAGAAATTTATTCAGAAGTTCAAAATTTTCGTAGAGCATTTTTAGATGTTCCTGAATTTTTTTGATATTCTGAATGCAAAGTCCTGTTTCCTGATCTACAAAAATTCTAGTCAAAAAAATCCGAATCTTCCAGATCGCTGGCCTCATTCCATCTAACACATCGTCCAATCGGCGCCTCACCAACTCTTCTCGTTCCACCCTCAACTTCCGCCTCATCCTCCTCAATTATTCGCGGGCCAGTTCCACTCCAACGAGCCCAAACAGAACCAATGAATGGCGGTGATCTTGGTGCGAATCTTTCATCCAAACAAGTTTTGCCAAAAAGTGCACTTCGTGATAAATCCAAAAATTCGGGAAGCGGCGAGAAGAAGAAGAAATGGCGATTGAGTTTTCACAAAGATGTCGTCTAATTTTTGACGATTTTTAAAAAATGAATAATTAAATTATTAATGTCTTTCTTACGGTAAATCTTCTTTTTCTTCTCTTTTTTAACCAATAAATAAAATGAAATGAATGTTTTTTTTAGATTTGAACCAATTTTTTATTGTGTTGTGTCTCTTGTAAAAGATGTGCAATTGACGGGAAAAACAACAACAACAGCAACAAGAGGAAATAAATAACAACACTTATTTTCAGACTGAAATTGATACTACTTTTTGAACTTCTCTCACATCGCTTTTTTTTTATTTTTTGACGAGAAGAACTTGACTTGCGTAGATAAATTTGAAAGTTGTTTAGTGAAGCGCGTTAATTAATTAGCACCTACCTTTTTCTGACTTCTGAATTTTTTGTTTACGATTTTATAATCAGAGTGAGAACATCACAAATTTCGAAAAAATGTTCCCAAAAATAATTCCAGCAGGTGAAATCAAATCAAGTTCAAAAATTTTCTGAGAATTTTGCCCGGTCTGTTAAACTTTTTTAGTAAGGTTTAAACCTAATTTGTACCTTAAAGGGTTTAAAAATTTTGTTCCCGCATTTTGAGACAATTTTAGAAGTGAGCTTTCAGAAGTTTAGTTTTTAAGGGCATTGGGGAATCTAAGATTCATTAGGTTCTAAGGGCTAATAGGGCTTTAAAGACCTTATGAATTTTTGGGATTTAAAGGATTTTGGGAAAATTTAAGGAACTCAGGAACTCCTTAACCTAAAGCTAGGGTGTCCAGAAACTTTTTTAGAAATTTTTTAAGATCGCATAAGTGATAAAATTTTTAGGTCTAGAGATTTAGGTATTTTTGTAAATTAAGTACACACTGCCCTTACCTTAAAATCTAACCAAGTCCAAGTCCAAGTCTAAGATTTTTCCTGTGAGAAAAAAACAAAAAGTGCACACTCGCTACAAAAATCAAATATCTCCTCTCATTTTCTTTCCCCCAAAGCTCAAAAACTTTTTTTTCCGAATAAACAAAAATGACTAAGCCACGTGGAGGCAATTTAGAGGAATTTAATTAATTTTAGCCTCTTCTCTATTTAGCTGATCTTTGGGAGCCTAACACGTGTGTATGAAACTTTTGTTTACTCTTTTTGGGCTCTAGAAACTTCGGCAAAATCCGTGCCAGCCGGGGAATTTCGAATTTTGACTGAAACTTCTAGACTACAAAAAATTAGTGATGGATTTTTAGAAGCTAGAAAAAAGTTTGTTTTGATGATCTTTTTGGGCTTCATAAATCAAATTTTCAGGAATAATTGGAGCGAAATCAAAAAGTGGTCTGAGCATTTTCACTGATTCTGAGAGTAGCATTCAGGTTTCCACGTCATAGTAATCTACGTGGCCGCGGAAGCTTGCGGAATATTCCGCGCAGTTCAACTAGGGACCACTTCATTTTTTTTTGCTCGCAATCTCTGGCACGTGGAATAGCCCCTCCTTTGTTTACCCTTTTCGAGAGAATTCATTAAATTTTTCGTTTTTTTCCGGAAATTTTCCGCTCAATTTTCTCACGAACCCAACAAGAAGATTCCTCCGATTACACTTGATTCATTTTTTATTTTGCGAACTCTTTTTCTAATTATTTTTTTTATAAAAAAATGTTTTTTGGGTACCTGAAGTACTACAAAAAAATCTCTACCAATGTTATTTACCCCCCCCTCCCCCAAAAAAACAGCAGCGCCTCCTCTCTTTTTTTTTTTGCTAACCTAATCAACTATACATCCTGCCTATTTGAATACTCGCTTTTTCTATTTCAGAGCTCATGGAACAACTTACCAAAACTCCACTTTCTTATCGAGATCGCATAACTTTCGAGTTTGCCGTGTATGGAACTTGTGTTTTTCTCAATTCACTTTTATGCCTATTTTTCTTGTTGCGATTTCATTTATGGCATAGTTTTAAGGTGAGTTGGGGTAGGGTATACTGTAGTCAAAACGCCACGTGGCATAATTTTTTGAAAAAAAAAATCAAAATTCTAAATTTTCGCTCCGCCAAAAATCCACGTGGCATGATTTTTCAAAAAAAAGTTCAACATTCAAATTTTTGCCTCTGAAACTTCCACGTGGCAAACAAATTTTTTCAAAAAAAAAAAGTTCAAAATTCAAACTTTTGGCTCTGTCACAAATCCACGTGGCATGATTTTTCAAAAAAAAAATTTCAAAGTTCTTTTTCACAATTCCTCGTGGCATGATTTAAAAAAAAATATTCAAAATTCAAATTTTTGGCTCTGTCAAAAAGCCACGTGGCTTGATTTTTCAAAAAAAAAGTTCTAACTTCTAACTTTTTGGCTCTGTCAAACTTTCACGTGGCATGATTTTTCAAAAAAAAAAAATTCAAAGTTCTTCTTCATAATTCCACGTGGCATAAATTTTCGAGAAAAAAAGTTCAAAATTCAAACCTTTGGCTGTGTCAAAAATCCACGTGGCATAATTTTTCGAAAAAAAGTTCACAATTCTGAGTTGGAGGCTACTGTAGCCAAAAAGCCACGTGGCATAATTTTTCGAAACAAAACTTTTGGCATAGTGCCAGCAAGAAACTTTGGACCAAAATTTGAGCTATCTGAAAAAATTCCACGTGGCACCACAACTTCCAGCCAACAATCTGCTTCGTAACCTTCGGCACCTTCATCCTCTCCCTTCCCCTACTAGCCCTCCAAATATTCCTGGTAATCAATCTCTGGTCTCGCAACGAACCACAGTACACTGTAGCGATTTGCACATTCGTAAAATGTTTCACCAGTGCCACAACTTCTATGGCACAAGTTTTGCCATTGGTAGGGTTTTTGCACGAGACTTCAAGAAGACTTTTAAATATTTCCAGCCCGTCGCAATTTATCGCTACTTCCTTGTGGTTCAAAATAAAAAATTGTCATTGCTATTCGTGATTTCAACACATTTCGGAATTTGCCTGATGTTTCTAGCAATTGCGATTCTAAATTTTCCACTTGGCATATCTCAAGTGAATGATCAATGTGAAAAATTGATTTTTAGTAATGTTATGGAAGCTGTGAGAATTAGCCTAACTCTGGGACTCAATCTATTTGCAGTCTTGATAAATTGTGTGATTTGGATGTTTGTGAGAAAATATGATAAGCGGGAAGTTGGTAGGTTACAAAAGAAAAAAAGAAGCGCATACCTAAGTTTTTTAAAAATTTCTAGACATCCATCGTCGCCGAATTCAACTAACTTATTCAATGTTGCTCCAATCAATGATCCCAATTCTAGTCTCAATCCCACTTCTCGTTGGCTCACTTGATTTCTATTTTGGCTATACACTTCCATACGAATTCACATCTCGCTGGTATGCCACCACATTTCTCTCGCCATTTTTGACACCAATCTCTTCGATGTTATCACTTCGAGTGATTCGACTGGAAATTCTCGAGTTTTTTGTGAAAAGTCGACGAGTTATTATTGGAGGTCGCAAGATTTCGAGCTTTATTAATAGTAAATTGGGAGCGCGACCGAGTTCCGATTATTCTTCGGCTTGATTTTGGAAGTGAAAGTAATAAACGCATTTTTATTTTTTGTTTGAAAGTACTTTTTTTTGCCAAATTGCAGCTCTGATATGAACAATCTCAAAATATTGATGATAAAATATCTTAAATATTATGAAAACTGCGGTATTTCAAATAAACCTACATAACTTCTTTGATTGTAAGGGTTTTTTAGTATGTTCATATAAATTGTATGAAACATTTCCTTACTGCAAAAATAATAAATGCTAAAAAATAAATAAAATTCCTGAAAAATAAGAAATTTGAAGCGTGACATTTTTAACATTGCGTGTGACGAAACAAAATCCTAATTATTCTTTATTCATCTACTCAGAGATTCGCTGGCCAGCTCGCCACGAGATCGCTGCGGCCACCTGGAAACCGCATGGCCGCCAGGTCGCCTCGAGTTTTCCGGCGACGTGGCCTGTGTGTTTGAAATTCGGGAAAGCTGGCAAGACAGTGGTTTGTACTCAAAACACTGCATTTTCTACTGTTTTTTTCACTTCCTAAGGTTTCAAGTGCTGCGAAAAAACAGAAAATGAGCCAAATTTTTCGAAAATGCCTCAATTCACAAGTTTTTCAGACAATTTTATGAAAATTCATTTTGACGCGGCGAAGTGGCCACCACATGGTAGCCATGTGGCCGTGACCTAGCCAGAGCCTGGCCACCTTGCCAGCGAAAAAAACCGGGCGACATGGTTTCCATGTGGTTCCCAGGTCAGCCAGCCTACCCACCTGGTGGCGAGCTGGCCAGCGAATCTCTGAGTATAATCATAAAATAATTTCTACTGAACAGTCGACACTGAAAAAAATGAACTCTTTGACTTTTGAGCGGGAAATTTCGAAGAATGCCAAGAATATTCACCAAAAAGAGATTATTCTCAATGCTGCACAAATAGTGGCGAATCAATTATCTCTACAAATTGAGCAAAATCAATTAAAATTGGATGGTAGGTTTAAATGATGAAAATCGTCGTTCAAATCGGACCGGATTAAACTTTCGTTTTACAGAACTTCAACAAAAGAAATGTTATCTTCATCTTCTTGGGCTGAAAGGAAATGAGTTGAAAACAGCAATACACTCTACAAATTTTGTTCCACTTATTCGCAAGTGTTTGAATTGAAAGAAAGAAGTTGCTTTGAAAGAAGAAGAAAAAGGTGTCTTTTCAGTGAGTTGTACTTGAAAAAGGTTCTACGAGTCATTGTAATCTATTAAATTTTCAGTTCCGATGTAGTTGTGGGGCACGGGAAGGAGCTCGTTCGAACACTTGTTTTTCAAAAACAAATTTGTCATGGGAAAAGATTGTATTGATTATATCCTGCTTTTCTAAAGGGTAAGTTCCATAATAAAAATGATTGTTTTACAAAACGATCAAATATTAAAAAATGTCCAAAAAATATTTTTTCAAGATTTGACAATCGCAAAATCAAACAATTAACAAAGAGTACAACCTACGCCATCCAAAATCTGCGCGATGCTCTTCAATTCGTTGATGCATCGTAAGTCTTAGTTCAGATGGTGGGAAATGTTTGTAATCCGGGGGAATGTTTTACATAAATAATTCACTAATACTATTTTCAAATTTTAAATTATTAATATTTCAGATCAGACTTCGATGGATACATTCGAACAATTGCAACTCACAATCAAAGTTTGATGGAACAACGAAAAGACTGATTTGAGAGATTATTTTTCCGATAAATCTGTGAAAATGACTACAATAACAACAACAATCAAACATTTTTTGATTTTTTATTCATCATCCACTTTTTCTTCAAAATTTTCGCAATATAATAATTTGTTTTTGCTTTTTTTTCACCTCAACATATCTTGAGAAATGTGACAAGAAAATTTCAGAGGGCGGAAAAAGAAAATGAGTGCGGGCGAAAAAATAACTGGAGAAAATTTTGAAATCCTGAAAATTTTCTCAGGAAAACAAAGGTTCCGGCCCTCCGCCAAAAAGGAAACAGAACAGTGCCAAACTGGGCTAAAATAAGACTATATGATCAACGCGCTTCTGTGGATCATGGAGCAAAATAAAATAAAAAATTGTCATTGCTATTCCTGATTTCAACGCATTTTTCCGATGTCCAAAGTAAAAAATATAGCAAAAAAATGCGAGAATAACGAGAATACATCGTACAAAGCTCGCCTTATATTCGGAATACATACCAGAGAAATAGTGTGTTTATTCCAGAGACGCAGACACGAAACAGAGAAATAGTGTGTATATTCGAGAGACGCAGACAGCTAGACTTTGGACGATATATTTTCGCATGTTTTGTTATATGTTTTACTTTGGACACCGCATTCCGTCATATTTGCGTTTTTTACGCTTTACTTTGTTTTTGCCAATTGCTTTTTTTTTAGAATAATACTAATTATGGATGTTTCTGGAGAAGCCTGTTGCAATGCCTGTCAAAATGAATTGACCTCGAAATCAGCGATTCTATCAGTCAAATCCATGGGTAGGTTTATTTTTTATTTTCACTTCTTTCATTAATTTTATCATTTTAGGCGCTTTCTTGACTTTTCGCCCATCCCCTGAGATCATTTTTAGCCGGATTCGCGAGCTGGTCTTCTCATATTTGGCCGCTGGTGATGTGGATGTTCGAGATCAGCTGTTCGCAATTCACGCGATTATTAATGATGTTTATTATTTGAAAATTACGTTCGACACCAGAAGATGCTGCCGTCTTTTTTATGAGGCTGTAGAGAAATACAACTCTACAGTGTGAGTTCTTTTTTGGTTGTTGCCGTTATCTAATTGTATTTTTCAGTTCTTTGAACAGAAAAATTGGGTTTGTCAGTCTCGGTGGATTCCTCGACTCGGTGCCAATTTTCATCAGATATTCGAGTCAGCCTCCTGTTCGACATAATGAAGAAAGTCGATCGCGTCAAGAAACCAGAAGTGACGTTATTGAGGAATCATTCGTCCCATTGTTATCTTCGACGTTTAGACAAGGAAGTTCGCATGTGAGTTCGATCTGTATTTTTGACCTGGTTGGTGTGCGCTAAAAAATTGTGGTTTTGAAAAACGTGACTTACTTGAGAATTTCACTTGAGCCATTTTTCCCCATTGAATTTCCACTGCAGCTGGGAGATTTATAAACCGTTGAATAGTGGTTGATTAACCAAAGTTTTAATAACGGTTAATCAATGAGGTACCAACGGTGTTAATCCATCGTTGATCAATCATAACAAATTATGCAAATCAGAAGAAATATGTAACATAAAACATTAAACAAATAACGAATAAAACTATGACAAATTGGTCAAAAATTATGAATTTCAAGATATTTTAGGTTAAAATTGATAAAAATTATGTGTTTTGAGCTACATATAACGTATGAGAAACAAGAGAATGAAGAAATCAGATGAAGGACATTTCAATTTTCAACTCTAATAGGGAATGTTACATTGATACTCATGAAACAAATGTTGGTGTAATTGAATGAAACTGAAAATGGGCTTTTTTTTCCATCAAACATTGAAAAACTGAACATTTCTCAGTTTTCGGCCTAAAATCATGTTCAATGTGTGAATTTCCAAGTTCTAAAGAAATTTGCTGCTTGATCCTGGATGGGGAACATGTTTTACACATTTCTGGCAGCTTACAACGCTTAATATCTCAAAAAAACGCGAAACACACAAAAAAACGAAAAAAAAAGAAAAAACTCAGAGAAGTTGGACGATTAATCGCCTAGTAACTTGAATTAGCTGCTGGCTGACCGATTAATCGCCTGTGTTAATTTAGTTCAGGCGATTAATCGTAAGTTCACTTTACTCGGCGATTAATCGTACAACTTGTCTGAGAAAATTGTGGCGTGCATTTCGTCCGAGAGAAGTACACACACACACATTTCGCTACAGGACCATTTCATTGAAATGTCTGCGCCTTTAATTTTTTACCTATCAAACTCATTTTGGTGAAAAATGATAAACACCATTCGACGCAGAATTTCGAGCTGAACAAAATGATTATAAATTCATCTTTTGTTTCGACCGATTCTCAGGGAATTTGGTTTTTTATTAGTTTGAAGCTACACTTTGCAAATTGATTATTTTTTCAACGCCGAGAAAGATGCCGCTGAATAATCCGGATCAGAATGCAGACGTGCTAAAAAATTAACTCGAAATCGGGAATTTTCGAAGAAGAACACACGTTTTTGAAATCCTACAACTTATGTTAGAATGACTTTTTGAGAACTTTGGAGAGTTAGGTAGAAAAACTTGAAACGGGAATTTTCTCAGAGAAACACTGAAAATCTATCAATATGATATATCCCCTATTGGAAAGGTCTTGGCGCTGCTCACACACTTCCCTCGTTGATGAAAAACATCCATCAAGTTGAACTATTCAACAGTAGTATCTTCTTTTTATCGTTTAACATCAATAAGTCAACGAACTATCCAGTTCAGCAAAATTCCATCCATGAAACTTTTTATATTTAACCTTACTAAAAAATTCAATAAACAATTGATAAACCATTGATTAAAAATTGTTTTTAATCAACCATTAATCAAGTTCAATCATTTAATTATTTCAGCTTCAACGTGTTCTAATTGACAATGGCGATGAACTCATTTCCGATCCGGAAACTGAACCGGAAACCGAACTGGAAACCGAACCGGAAACCGAACTGGAAACTGAATCGGAAACCGAACAGGAAACCGAACAAGAAACCGAACCGGAAACCGAAGCCGAACAAACGATAGAAGAAACACCAATTTTGGTAACCAAAAGAGAAAGTGAGTTTTTGTCTGGAAACCTCTTGTTTTTGTGATAGATGCTAGTTCGAAAAAAAAAATGAAAAAAGAAATAGACGAGCAAATCTGCTCCAGTCGCAATTTTTCTGTCCGCTAACTAGCCGCTAGCTAGCGCTAGCTGGCGGCGAGGAAGATGCGCTCGCCCCTTCCCTTTTTTGAGAATGCGAGCTGGCGGACAGCCTCTGCTAGCTTTCGACAGCTCGCAACCTCGCGGACGAGTATAGGTTTAAATGATAAAAATCGTCTTTTAAATCGGGACGGATTAAACTTTCATTTTACAGAAACTGAACAAAGGAAATGTTATCTCCATCTTCTTGAGCTGAAAGGAAATGAGTTGAAAACAGCAATACACTCCACAAATTTTGTGCCACTTGTTCGCAAGTGTTTGAATTGTAAGAGAGAAGTTGCTTTGAAAGAAGAAGAAAAAGGTGTCTTTTCAGTGAGTTTTACTTGAAAAAAGTTCTACGAGTCATTGTAATCTATTAAATTTTCAGTTCCGATGTAATTGTGGGACACGGGAAGGAGCTCGCTCGAACACGTGTTTTTCACGAACAAATTTGTCATGGGAGAAGATTGTATCGATTATTTTTGGATTTTCTAAAGGGTAAATTCCATAATTCACTTTGATTGTTTTACAAAACGATCAAATATTAAAAAATGTCCAAAAAATATTTTTTCAAGATTTGATAACAAAAAAATCAAGGAACTGACGAAATCGACAACCCACGCCATCCAAAATCTGCGCGATGCTCTTCAATTCGTTGATCCATCGTAAGTCTTAGTTCAAATGGTGGGAAATGTTTGTAATCTGGGGGAATGTTTTACATAAATAATTCACTAATAATACTTTCAAATGTTAAATTATTATTATTTCAGATCAGACTTCGATGGTTTTATACAAACTATTGCAACTCACAATCAAAGTTTGATGGAACAACGAAAAGACTGATTTGAGAGATTATTTTTCCAACAAATCTGTGAAAATGACTACAATAACAACAACAATCAAACATTTTTTGATTTTTTATTCACTTTTTCTCAATTTCTGTAATATAATCATTTTTTTCACCTCACGATATTTTGAAAAAAAGCGGCAGACAATGAAAGCCAGTGCAGAAAAACTAGAGAGTAGGAAAATGTCAGAAAGCAAGAAAATAAAAGAGTAAAAAAAGAAACGTGAATTAAAAAAGAAACGTCAATTAAAATGCCTACTTGGTGTTTGCACATATTTCGCAAACTACCGTAGTATTTTCAAACTTTTTCGCAACAAAACCCGTGGCGAGAATTTTGATTAAAATTTTATGCAAAAAATTTCTACATGAAAAAACCCCTGGGCATGGTACGTTTCAAGAGGAAAACACTCATTCGTCATCCGCCTTCAAAGCGTTCTTCAAAATATTATTCCTGAAGAATATATTATTTCGTTCCGATTGCGAGAGAGTAGAACTGAAATTCCAAAAAATTCCAAAAAATTTGGTATATTTTAAGTTACAGTAACCTTCGAAGTGTTAGATATTGTAATTCATTTAAAATCTAGAAAAACGTATAAAAGGACTCGTATAAATTTGTGTAAAATGACTTACCCTTCAGCAAACATATAAACTATTTTGAGAAAATTATCCATGCTATTCTCCATTTCTTCCAAAAAACTTTTTTTGTGCGATGCCGACAGATTGATGTGAACATTTCCATAACTAAAAAAAGAATGTTTTCAATGCATAATACTCCCAACTCCATGCAGATAACAATTAAAAACTGGCGGGGTGGTTTCTGATAAGTTTTGGATGGGTGAAAACAACGTATTTTTTCAAATATACTCACAAAACAGCCCGAAATTTACTTGATCTTTTTTTGGCGTCGTGGATAAAATTTCGGAGAAAATTATTAGCGCCGTGCATTTCTTAACCCCTGGGCGTGATACGTTGCAATGACAAAATAGTTTGCAACAATGAGACATACATGTTGATTGACAAATTGGTTCTTTAAAAATCTGCAATTCCGCCATTTTTTTGAATAACTCCAATCCTTTCAACAATTCAAAAACATTGAAATTCGAAAGATTTATATGTTGTTCTGGAAAATAATTGTATTTTTGATCATTTCTATCAACTAATTATAAATATCTTGTAAGTTTAAAACTTAAAAGAGAAATTTCTTATTTTTTGCTAATAAACATATGTTCATCAAAAATGGACAAGCTTTTTTTCAGCCCCGTTTTATCACCATCGGAACAAGTCAACTTGTTCTTCAGGACAAATATTCTGAAGGCCGCTTCGAAGGCGGATGACGAATGAATTTTTTCTTCTTTCTTTCCGATAAATAATTTCGCAACAAAAGTTCTCAGTTGGACAAAATTTGATTTGTCATTGAAACGTACCACGCCCAGGGGTTTAGAAATGCACGGCGCCAATAATTTTCTCCGAAATTTTAATGAAATCCACGACGCCAAAAAAGATCAAGTAAATTTCGGGCTGCTTTTCGAGTATATTTGAAAAAATACATTGTTTTCACCCATCCAAAACTTATCAGAAACCACCCCGCCAGTTTTTAATTGTTAGCTGCATGGAGTTGGGAGTATTATGCATTGAAAACATTCTTTTTTTAGTTATGGAAATTCGACCACAAATCATTGGGAATTGCCAAAAAAAGTTTTTTGGAAGAAATGGAGAATAGCATGGATAATTTTCTCCAAATAGTTTATATGTTTGCTGAAGGGTAAGTCATTTTACACAAATTTATACGAGTCCTAAAGATTTTTATGCGTTTTTCTATATTTTAAATGAATTACTGTAGCCTTGGGATTACTGTAACATAGTCTCAGGAAATTCAAAATTACAACGTTTATTTTAGCTCAAGGGCTACAAGGATTACCATAATTAAAACTGCGAGGGGTACTGTAACTTGAAGGTTGTCAATTTTTATGAAAAATATACCAACCGAGAAATTTTCTAGATTTTCCAAATATTTTGAGTGAAAAAAATTGAACGCTATATTCATATTGCTCCAACGATTTTAATTTTAGAAAAAAAGTCGGAGACATAAAGAAACAAAAAGAATTCTCTTCAAGATTGGTCACAGCTGTGAATTTAATATTCCAAAACTATTCAATTGCGTAAGTGCTCATTGAGATTATTCAACCAAAAAGATTTTTTTTCAGTTCGACTCTCTCGCAATCGGAACAAATTAATATATTCTTCAGGAATAACATTGTTTCTCATTGTTGCAAACTATATTGTGATTGAAACGTACCACGCCCAGGGGTTAAGAAATGCACGGCGCCAATAATTTTCTCCGATATTTTAATGAAATGTTTTCACCAATCCAAAACTTCTCAGAAACCACCCCGCCAGTTTTTAATTGTTATCTGCATGGAGCTGGGAGTATTATGCATTGAAAACATTCTTATTTTTAGATATGGAAATGCGACCACAAATCATTGGGAATTGCCAAAAAAAGTTTTTTAGAGTCTGAAGAAAAGAATATTGAGAAGTATATTTACATCGTGTTTCTTTTGGCTGCTAAGTAAGTCAAGTTACACAAATTTATACGAGTACTAAAGATTTTTATGCGTTTTTCTATATTTTAAATAAATTACTGTAGCCTTGGGATTACTGTAGCATAGCATCAGGAAATTCAAAATTACAAAGTTTATTTTAGATCAAGGGCTACAAGGATTACCATAATTAAAACTGCGAGGGGTACTGTAACTTAAAATTTGTCAATTTTTTTGGAAAAAATACCAACCGAGAAATTTTCTAGATTTTCCAAATATTTTGAGAGAAAAAAATTGAACGCTATATTCATATTGCTCAAACGATTTTAATTTTAGAAAAAAAGTCGGAGACATAAAGAAACAAAAAGGCATTCCCTTCAAGATTGGTCACAGCTGTGAATTTAATATTCCAAAACTCTTCAATTGCGTAAGTGCTCATTGAGATTATTCAACCAAGAAGATTTTTTTCAGTTCTACTCTCTCGCAATCGGAACGAATTAATATATTCTTCAGGAATAATATTTTGAAGAATGCTTCGAAGGCGGATGACGAATAAGTGTTTTCCTCTTATTTTTTTCGACTAATAAATTTCGCAACAAAAGTTCTCAGTTGGACAAAATTTGAAAACCCTTAGTTTCTAAAAAAAATTAAGGAGATCCAAATCTTGAATTTAAGCATCGAAACCCGATTTTGAAGATGTTTTGAATCGGACCACTATGGCTCTTCAGTAGGAATCAAACCAGGAGCGAATTTTGAGCAAACTCAGGTCACATTTTTTCGAAAAAATTAAATTTTGATTGTTTGAATTTTCAAATTTTTGAAAAAATGGTTCGATTTTTTGGTTCATATTTTTTCAATCAAAAAATCAAACCTGGCAAAGTTTGGATAATTTATTTAGAAAATCTAGAAAGTTAGAAAAAAAAAGGCTAGTTACTTATTAGTGGGATATTGAAGAAGGGAAGCATTTGTTTGTCCCACCCAAATCTAGAACCTTCTTGGTACTCTGAACATAAATTCCTCGACCTAGATCAATATTTCCGGCAGCTCTGACGCCGTGCATTTCTTAATCCCGGGCGTGGTACGTTTCAATGACTAAATAGTTTGCAACAATGAGAAACATTGGTAATTCCCAATGATTTGTGGTCGCATTTCCAAATCTATAAAAAATAATGTTTTCAATGCAAATCACGCCCAGTGGTACGTTTCAATGACAAAATAGTTTTCATTCAGTAAACTTACCAAGGTTTGTTTAATACTACAGAAAAATCTTTATTCTATGTGATGATAAATATGTATAAATAAGAAGAAATGGGAAGAATTTCGAAAAAATACGCTGGATTGATGAAGGTCATGTGACCTGATCGAATGATTCATTATTTTTTGGACTTTGTTTTTTTTTCAATTTGGGTTTGTATAGTTTCTTTTAAGAAAAAATAATCGCGTTTTTCGAAAAATTAGCAAATTTTATTAACCAGCTCCTATTAACTTAAAACTTTGGAACTATTTATTTTACAATTTTCGAGAAAAACTTTGACATGTTGAAATTCTTACTCGATTCATAAAAATAAAACTTGATAGGAATTTCGGCATATAAAATTCCTACAAATTTCCAGCCCGTTTATCATATCGTCCATAGTGTCCGCTTCATATTCTTATCATAAACTCTGCGCATTATCAAGTTGTCTTGAACCGACAAGAGGTTTTCAAACAGCTACAATGCAAGAGAATGAATAATCAAAAAAAATTGTTGGGTAAGTCTTATTTTGTCATTGAAACGTACCACGCCCAGGGGTTAAGAAATGCACGGCGCCAATAATTTTCTCCGAAATTTTAATGTCAAATATCCGCATTTTTTCCAATAATTAGCAAATTTTATTAATTCACACATCAGCTCCTAATTATTACTTAAAACTTTGGAACTATTTATTTTACAAACAATGAAACGAAGGAGAAAGAAATTAATTAATAATTTATGATGAGCTTGAACTATTTCAACTGTGAAATAGTCCGTGTCGAGATCTCGGGGCGAGGGAAAAGAAATTCGGTACATTTAACATATTTTTGATAATAAACATAATAAGAATGAAAAAAAAGGGAGAGATGAAAACGGGTTGGGATTGGAACAATCAAAGTGGTCCCAACAAATTTAATCTGCGATTCGGATTTGCGGATCGTGTCAAAAGTGGAGTTGCCGGTGAGATTGATACTGGTCCAAGGATACTACGATCACAAACATTTCCCATTGGCGGAGAATAAAGATCATTGTGACGTGGCATTTCAATCGAATCAATTGGACCCAAAAAACGTTGCCAATATCCCTGGAAAAATCGATTTTATTGAGGGCCTGAATTGTTTTCAAAACAAAAAAATTTTACGTCATCAAATGTGAATAATGCGTTCAATGTTCTTTCGCAATTTGTAATATCATGAGTAGCTGAAGTTTGATCCATTCGACTTGTTGGAATTCCCATTACACATGGGGCTAATACTCTTGCCATATTTTCTTTTGGCATTTTATTGAATTCGGAAACCGCGACAACCTGCAAAAATTTGGGGTAAAATTGATATAATTTTAAATTTACAGGAATTTTTTGTTTAATCAAAATTTAAAATTTTCAAGATTATCAGAGGATTTTTTTGAACTCTAAAAATAATACTCACTTTTCTCCAATGCAAAAACAAATAAGCCATTGTGTCTCGATTCGCTTGAGGCAATTCACAAATAACTTTATTCAATGAAAGTCTTCCCTGATCTGGATCAGTTGTGAATTGATTCGCAGCAACCATAAATTCCTCTCTCGACGTTTTCGGAACCAGCGGATCGCGTAAATCGCGCAAGAATCGCTTTAATGTTTCAGTGATCACTTCACAATCTTGTAGATCCAAATTCGGAACAGTTCGCGAGGTTCGCAATTCATCGAGCAACGATGTGACAGTTCGTGTACTTCCCGGAACTCGATAGAGACCTTCTTGGGTGAGCGCGCGCTTCTCCAACGCAACAACACAATGAACAACTGGGAACGGAATCATTGGCTTGGCATTTGTACAGAAATCTTGAAGACGATATTCTCGTTTCACATTTCGATTGGCCGATTTTGGTGTGGCAATGGTTTTTTGTCGTGGGACGCATGGAAGACGAAGACGACCTGTACAATGTTTGTGAACAGTTTGATGACAATCTCTGCATTTTTGAGAGCGATTTGCGAATATAACTTGGTGACATTCATCACATTTCGTCATTTTCTGCAAAAAAAGTTTTGTTTATAAATAATTCTGAAACTAAATCGACTAAATGACATTTCCAGGTTTTTTAAGCAAGTTAGTTGAAATATTGGGTTCTAATTTTATTCACATGATAGAATGGTCTAAGACGAACAAATTTTGATGACTTTACGTTGATTTAGGGACTTAACGACTAAATATCGACTAAACATCCCTAAATCACTTATGGATAAGGTAAAACCATCAAAATTTATATCATTCTGTTCGTCTTAGACCATTCTATCATATGAATATAACATTAGAACCCAATATTTCAATGCTTAAAACCCTTTAGTCGATATCCAACTATAATGTAAATTACCAAGTTCAATCCAACATCTTCAAACGAATGTTTTCTCAATGCTATATCATTTACTTGTCCAGTTGTCCACGTTGATGTTCCGCCTCTTTTCAAAGTTCGAATATCCAATGTACTTTTAGTCAAAGCAGCATTGGTCGACATTCCAGCAGCAAAAGTATGCCCAGGTGTTTGTTCAATTGATGGAACACTTCCACAACTCATACTTCTTCTTGTAACCTGTCTATGTATACTTGTTCGTGTTGGTCTTCTATCATTTCCTCCTTTTAGAGTAGTTGTGGTGGTTGTTGTGGTAGTGGTCACTTCTTGAATTCCATCATCCCGATATCTTTTCGATGGTGTTTCTTCAATTTGTGGTTCTTCCTTTATTGGTGTTGCCATCACTCGACTTCGACTCCGCTTCGAATTGATGTGAACATGCGCGTGAGCTGAAGAAGATCGACGTTTCCCACCAGCAGCTGAAGATCTACGAACTTCCCGACCATTTCTCAAAGTTATCACTTCATCTAGACTTTCGTTTGTCATATCATAATCTACAGAACTATCATCTTCGCTTTCATTTGTTTCCTGAAATTCGTTAGATTAAAGAGAAAACTTTTTTCTAATTTACAAACCTCCATAAGATGTGGATGTTTTTCTTGAATTCTCTTCGAATAAGTTCGAACCAGCGGCTCTCTCAAAAACGCAAATTGATCTCGATCTTCTTTTGTGAGACTATCAAATGCTCCACCTTTCATCGCATCTTTCAACCGTTTTTCTCGTGTCTCATATACATTCAAATCAAGTTTCAGTGCTTTATTCTCATCCAACGCAGTCCGCAGCATTTTTCTAGTGTCTCCCATATCCAATTGGAAAAGTTCAAGCTTTTTTCGCGCTTCGGCCAATGCTTTTTCCATCTGATTCATTTCTTCGGCTAATTTTAGCTTTGAATCTTCTGACATTTTCCATAATTGACGAAGACGATCAATTTCATCGACCAATTGTAGCATTCCAATTTCTTTCACATCAATTTTTGTCTTTTGTGCATTTACAACTAAATTGAATAACTTCTTTGAGTCTTCTGTACATGTTTTCTCTTTTAATGAGCTTGATTTCATTCTGTAAAAATGACTATGAAGAATTTTTCAAAGGTTTTGATAAGAAAAAACGATAAAATATTTTACAACCATGACCGTTCGTTGAACTTTTAAAGAACAACAAAATTTCACGGTAAACAGAAAACAAACATTCGAACCTTCCGCTTCCCCCTTCCTACGCGTTGCGTGCGCGGTTTCTCAATAGAGCAGTAATGCAGATGTTTGGTCTCGCGAAGAAGAGCCACACGCATTGCGAAATACTCTCCCGCGCGAATTCAAATTGAGCTCGATTTTTTTTTTGAATGAAAACCCCTTTGCTTAACCCGAAATCCCAAATTTTCTAGCGCGCATAGAAATGAAGAAACTCACCGATTTTCCACTATTTTTTGAAAATTCATTTGATAAAAATAATCTTATTGTGAGTTAAATAGGACAACAGAAATTAGGTCACGTTTTCCGTGAAATTTTGAAATATTTTAAAATTTCTATTTTTAAAGCGCCAGCAACTAACGTTCAAATGTTTATTTTTCTATCCTGGCGTTATTCTCATTTTATACCTATTTCACCACGACTGAAAATTCGCTGAATTAATCGCCTAAACTTAGCCAAACCCTTCAAAAACTTTCGAAAAAAAGAAATGAGACATAAAAACATGGGCCACTATTTGAAAAACCCCGCGAAAATTGCAGTTCGTCGCGAGACCCACACAATTTTCTCAATGTTCCTTTACTCGCTATACGATACTTTTATTTCGAAATTTTTTTCCGAAAACTTTTTTTTTACATTTTCGAAGCGAATTTCGCAGTTCTATCGAATCTCATGTTGCATTTCAGGTTAAATGGATTTAACTACAACAGAAACGAAGACATCAAAATGGGTTGCTGATGGTATGGAAGCTGTTAAACTGTCTTTCGGTGAATTTAAAATTTCGAAAGTTATTTTTCCCATGAAAAACATGTTTTTTTGCAGTTCACAAAATCAACGATCTCGGCACAGTTCCAGAATATGAGCCAGAATTCGTATATCAACACTTTGGACAGAAGTAAGAGTTTAAAAAAAACTGACCTCTTTTTGAAGCACATGAAAAATGTAAATGAAAACACTTAGATAAAACGTGTATTTTTCACGTGAAGTATTTAAAAATAAAAACACATTTCATTCATTTATTTTCCAGCGAAACAATATTTGGATACGAAAATCTGAAGGTGACCATAAATTATGCCGATGCCTCACTTCATTTCTATCCTCAAATCGAATACACTTCCAAATTCAACGAAGATCCTGACATCCAACCAGATGATATCATGATAAAATTGAAAGAACAACAACCAAGTGATCAACTGGATATGCTGGTTGAGTCAAAAGCTGAATTTAATGTACTTAATTCTATTTTTTTAGTTTTATATATATTTTATTTTTTCCAGGCGATATTAGAAAAACAAAAATCGTTCAATCCAATTGGAGAATTAATCGAAAAATTTGCAAGTGGTGAATCGAATCTTGAAATTTATAAGGTCGCAGAGCCATCCCAAGAAATTGACCATTTTCTGGGAAGAGCTCAATATATGGCTCTTTTTTATATCGACGCTGCTTCTTACACCGATGTGCAAGATGAACGATGGTTGCATTATCTTATCTACGAAAATTGCGATAATGGAGAAGGCGATGGTTCAACTCATCGAAAATTCGCAGGCTACGCGTCGCTTTATCGCTATTACGCGTATCCGGATAAAATCCGTCCTCGAGTCGCGCAAATTCTTCTTCTTCCACAATACAGAGGACAGGGAACTGCTGCGAAATTCTTGCAAACAATTTATAAAGATTTGTGGGCGACGTCGAATATTTTGGATATTGCAGTTGAAGATCCAGCCGATGCATTTATCTTTCTTCGTGATTATGTTGATTGTTGCAATTGTTTGGCGCTCACCCAATTTTCACCACAAAATTTGAGGCGGGGATTTAGCGATGAGATGCGATTGGCTGCCTTGGAAAAATATAAAATTAACAGGGTTTGTTGGAAAATTTTGTATTTTTTTCATTCAAAATTCATTTTTTTTTCAGAAACAAGCCCGGCGCGTCTACGAAATTCTCCGCTTCCGCGTCACCAACCCGAACGACGCGGAAGACTTGAAATCGTATCGATTAGACGTTAAAAGACGATTGCATGCTCCGATGAGAAAATCAGAAAAAGACAAGCGACGATTGAATTGCGCATTAACACAAGAAGAATTGACGCAAGCTGCGGTTAATGAGAAAGATTTGAAAGAGACGCATGCTTTACTTGAACAACTCTATCAAACAACTGTCAAGGAATACGAGAAAACTGTTGCTAGACTCGAAAAATATCCAACAATTTTTTAATTTGCTTTTTTGAAATGCGTTTTTATATAACCTTATTTATTTTATTCACTGTACGATCTCATAAACTAAAAATTTTTTTTATTTTTAAAATTGAATTTTTTTTTTGAAAAATGCAAGTTTCAAAGAACTTGAAAATACCTAGTTGGCAAAATTTCAGAAATTCAAACATTTTCAGATGGAAGAATTTTCATTTCCCTTCGAGCCATATGATATTCAATTGCGGCTAATGCGAGAAATTCGAAAATGTTTGGAGGAGAAAAATATTGGAATTTTCGAATCGCCAACTGGCACCGGAAAATCATTGAGTGTTCTGTGCTCAACTATGACGTGGCTAGAAGATCAAGAAAAAACGGAGAAATTGGCGACTGAACGGAAAATCGAGGAGAATAACAGGAAGTTGAAAAAATTGGAAGATTCTGATGATTGGGTTGAAGCTCATCGAAAAAAAATGGAAATTAATCGAGAGCAGGATGATCTTCTAGCGAAAATGCAGAAAATCAGGAAGCTTTCGGAGCGAATTGAAAAGGCGAAAACGGGAGAAATTGATGCGAAATCAAGGAAAAGAAAGACGAAACCTGAATTAGAAGAGGATCTGAAGGACTTGTTGAAAGTTGAAGAAGTTGATGAATTAGCTCCTGATGAAAATTATGATTCTGATTCAGAACTTCCATCGACATCTCAAGAAGAAAATGAACCAGAGGCCAAATGTATCAAAATATATTACGCTTCTCGAACACACTCACAACTCGAACAATTGATTGAAGAGCTCGAAAAAACCCGCTTCCGCCCAAGAATCGTAACATGTGCGGCGAGAGGAACTCTCTGTGTTAATCAAGATGTTCAAAAATTAAAATTGAATCATTTGATCAATGAAAAATGTATGGAATTGCGGAAAAATTCGGGAGGAGGAGGTGAGAAGAAAGCAAAAGAAACTGAAGAAAAATCGAGAAAGAGCAAGAAGAAATGCGCAAATTCCTGTCAATTTTACAATGCTCCGCAAATCGAAGAAATTGTCAATGGCATTCTTGCAGATAAATTGAGGAAAACTGGCGAAGTCACAAATTATGGCGCGAGAAATCAAGGATGTCCATATTTCGCTACCAGAAAAGCGATTCCAACCTGTCAAATAATTTTGCTACCATATCAGGTGCTTTTGCATAACTCAGCTCGTGAAGCTTGGGGAATTGAGCTCAAGGAGAATGTTGTGATTTTGGATGAGGCGCATAATGTTTTGAATACAATTGGGAGTCTGTATTCTGCTGAAATTTCAGTCAAATCACTTGTTGTTGCGTTGAAATTGATTAGGGAATATATTGAGACTTATAAGTAAGGTTTTTTTATTTAGGAACGAAAATTATTTTAAAAATCTCTGTTTCAGACTTCGACTGAAATCGAAAAACCTCCTCTACATGCGTCAATTATTAAACCTCACTCAATCAATGTTAAATTTCCTGAATTGCCCAAATAATTTAGATCAAGTTCTGAAAATCTCCGAATTTGCTGCGAAACTCAATATTGCTCAGATTAACCTATTCAAACTCGCTGCATACATTGAGAAAAGCGATTTGTGTAAAAAATTCCATGGATTTTATCAGCGACAAAAGAAGATGGAGATTATTATGAGCAAAAAGGAAAATGATAAACCATTGACTGGAATCGCGAAATTAATGGCGGGAAAGAAAAAGGGAGAAGAAGAAGAAGACAAAAAAGAGGAAGAAGAGGTTACGGTACCTACAGTACCCTCCCCCACTTTTTTCGATCAAAAGTTTCATCGATTCTTTGAATAATAAATGTGAAGATGGACGAATTGTTGTTGAAAAACTGACAAAGTATGTTTTTTTCTTGAAGTTTTTGAAAGATCTGAAAAATTTTTTTCTTAAAGATTCCGCTACATGCTCCTGAATCCAGCAGATCGTCTCGCTGAAGTTGTGAACACAGCCCGTGCAACAATTCTCGTCGGTGGAACTATGGAACCTGCCGAACTTCTTGTTGAAACGCTAGCCAAAGGAAATGTGAACAAGAAAATTCAGCGATTCTCTTGTAATCATGTCATCGACGATGATCAGCTTCTCTCCCTAGTTATCGGTAATTTCTATTTAAAAAAAAAACAAAAAGCATTCCGTCGAGCCGGATTCGAACCAGCGACCTAAGGATACCCACTGACTCTACAGTCCTCCGCTCTACCAACTGAGCTATCGACGGTGACGAGAGCGAGAGGGCGAAATTGAAAAGATATGAAAGCATGCATTGCGCTGGAGGGGGAGAGAAAAAGAGAACATTTGTGTTGAGAAGAGAAAATATTTGTTTTCTTTTCAGATAAAACAGTGGATGGAAAACCGTTCAAATTGACATATGAAACAAGATCAAATGAACAAGTTTTGCGATCTTTGGCTATTTCACTTCGAGTTCTGATTCCTCAACTTCCAAACGGAGTTGTGATTTTTGTGCCATCCTATGATTTTCTATATATGTTTCAAAAGAAATTAAAAGATTTCGGATTAATTGACAAATTCCAGGTTTGACCTCTTTTTTATCAAAAAAACATGTCAAATTAATTTATTTCCTTTTGTTAGAAGCCAATCTTCACGGAATCTCGTCAACCGAAATCGGATATTTGGGACAAGTTCAGTCGAGCGGCAAAATCGGAAAAAGGCGCTGTTTTGATGGCTGTGGTGGGCGGAAAAATGAGCGAGGGCATCAATTTTTGTGATGAGTTGGGAAGAGCTGTGATTGTTGTTGGATTACCGTATCCGAATAAGAATAGTGTGGAATTGAAGGAGAGAATGAGGGTGGGTGAAAAAAAGGGGAGGGGGGGGGGGGGGTTTGATCTACAGAAAAATTCAGTTTTTTGAAAATCATTGCTCATATTAGAAAAATTGTGAAATTTTCTGATTTTTTGGTTGAAAAAATTCGGGAATTTGATAGCCATAAAATCAGATTTAATATACATAAAACCAGAAAAAAAATAATCAAAAAAATTATTTTTTCTGAAAAATCATTGCTCATATTAGAACAATGTGAAATTGCTTGATTTTTTATAGGACTTTGATGGCCATTTTTTTTCAAATAAAAAAATTAATTTATCAAAAATAAAATAAATTTCACTAAAAAGCATTGCTCATATTAGAAAAATGTGAAATTTACTGATTTTTTGGTGAAAAATATAGGAGTTTGGTGGCCATGAAGCCAGTTTTTTCGAATTCAGAAAAAAATAATTATCAAAAAAAAATTCAGTTTTTCGAAAATCATTGCTCATATTATAAAAATGTGAAATTTTCAGATTTCTTGGTGAAAAATGGCCATGAAAACCCGATTTTTTCAAATTCAGAAAAAAAAATTATCAAAAAAAAAAAATTAGTTTTGCTGGAAAGCATTGCTCATATTAGAAAATTCTTCAAATTTTTTTTAGTCTAAATTTATTTCAAAAATAGGTTCATGATTTTTTTCGGTATTTGGAATACTTGAAAAATCATTGCTCACATTGAAAAATCTGAAAATTTCGAAATTTTTGGTCTAGAAAAAAATTTTCAGTTCCTCGATTCACAAATCAAAAATGGTGGAAATCTACTGTATGAATCCCTATGTATGCATGCTGTAAATCAGGTTTGTTCTCATTTTCACTCCTCTTTGTTTTAACATACATATTTTCCCAGGCAATTGGTCGTGCAATTCGTCATCGCCGCGATTACGCCTCCGTTTTTCTCTTCGACGAACGCTTCAAATCCTCAAAATCCAAACTTTCCACGTGGATCGGTCAGAAAACTCAAACTGATTTGAGTTTTCAACAAGTCTTATCAAAAACTAAAGATTTCTTTGGAGCCAAAAAATAATTTTTTTATTTCGAAATTTCATTTTTTACGGGTTGATTGATAAAAATTCACTTTCCTTTTTGAAAACAAAAAAAAAAACACAAATTTTTTTTTTCTTCTCTAACTAAAAAAAACGGAAGCTTCTGAAGTGTGGAAGAACTTAATTAGTAAGTTTTGCTGCAAAACTCAATTTCTCTTTTTTTTTCGACAAAAAGCGCGCCAAAAATATTTTTCCAAATGACGTGTTCTTCAAAAACATATTTTTGGCCACGATTCATGGGGAAAAATCAAATTTCGCCCCCAAAAAATCTCATTTTTTAATTTTCGTGTCGCCATCCCACCCAAAAATATGATTAGATTTTGCGAGTCTCTCGGATTCGATGAGGAAAAAAGAAAAAGAAAGTATAGCTCGAAAGACGCGACAGAGAAAGAGAGATGTGCTCCAAAAATGGGCACTTCTTTTTTCCTTTTTTTTGCTCTGCATGGCCTCCTGCTTCTTTTCCTTGTCTCTCTTCCTTTTCACATTTATTATTATTTCCATTAGTCTCACACTTTTATACCGCTTCCGACTTTTTTTTTGTTTTTTTTCAACGGTTGAGAGCGATTAGAACAAATGCGCTCAACTGATAAATTAGTTTATCATTGGATTTTTCGAAAGCAGCTTTTTTTGCTCATTTATAGCGAAAAATCCCGCGAAAAACCCCCAAAAAAGAAAAAAAATAAAAAATAATTTCACTACCGTACTCCTGTCAAAGGCGCACACAATTTCTCTGTTGGGTCTTGCAGCGCGCGTCAAATTTTTTTTAATTTTTCAAAAAAAATGATTTTTTTTCGTAATTTTCAGCAAAGTTTTAACAAGGAAAGCGCAATGTTCAGCAAGATTTTAAACATGAAAAAATTACCTAAAATTAATTTAGATTCCAGAAAAATCCAAATTTTTCTCTATGATTAAACAATTTTAATTGTTTAAAAATTGGCATCTGGCGATATGTTTTCCGATGTTTTGTTTCCAAAAAAATCCTCCCAAATCTCAAAAAAAATGTCTCTGTTTATTTTCCGTCAAGTACACACATTTTCAACATCTGCTCAATAGAGCTCGCCGTTTTTGAATGTACACAATTAGGCGCAGCAGTTTGGTTCAAAACTTTCATTTTCAAAAAAATCTTTTTTTTTTTCACAGTTAGTATTTTCAGACAGATGAATGGGAGGCCGAATGGGCGTGGCCAGACGTGGCAGTGACGTCACATCGAACGTTTCCACGTCAGTGCGTGGTGGCGGGAAAACCGAAACACCGTGTTTGCAAAGTTTTTCGGTTATTCGAAGTATCGGAAGGGGAGCTTTTGGAAAAGTTTGTATTGTTCAGGAAAGAAAAACTAAAAAATATTTTGCGTTGAAATATATGAATAAGAGAAGATGTATAGAAAAGGTAGGTCTCACCAGATATACTGTAGAAAAAAAGTTTTTTTTTTTTTCAGTGTGTCGCTTCAAATGTAATTCGCGAACTAACCCTTCTCTCAACAATCTCACACCCTTTCATCGTCAATTTATGGTACACCTTTCAAGATCCCGATTATATGTACATGGTGTCTGATTTGCTGCTCGGCGGTGATCTTCGCTATCACTTACATCAATCAGGAAAATTTGCCGAGGATCGAGCAAAATTGTATTTGTGTGAGATAGGTTTGGCAGTGGAATATTTGCATGAGATGAAAATTGTGCATCGAGATATTAAGCCTGAGAATATTCTGTTGGATGAACAAGGACATGCGCATTTGACGGATTTGAATTTGGCGACACAATTGGAGACTGATGAATTAGCTACTAGTTATTCGGGTGAGAAAGGGGGAGGTTTGGAGAGGGATACAATGGAAGAGAATTCCAAAAATGAGAACTTAGGCCACATGAAAACATAGAGCTTGTATAAATTCTGATAATTTTCTATATGAGAGTCACCCCGCGAAAAAATAATATTGAATTTTCAAAAAAAAATCTCAAATCTCCCCCTATACCCGCGACGCATGTGCGTTGCGGTCGCTTTTCAATACAAAAACCCCTCTCGCTGTCTGCGTCTCTTCGAGCAAATTAAAATTCATTTTTTCGCCTGGTGACCCTTCATTCCAAACGGACAGACTGAAGACAGAAGTTCAAAAAATGTTGAATCCACACCTGACGAGACCTGTCCAAAATGGACACTGTACAAAAATTTTCAAAGTCACAATGTACATTTTTTCACGAAAAAGTGTAATTTTCATTGCTTTGCGGTGGATTTTGATGAAAATTTTCAAAAAATTCGAAATTTCACCCTGAACATTTTTTTCGCCAAAATTTTTCACGCTGCACAAAAATATTGGGACACTCTCTCGCCAGGTGTGGTTGAATCACTTGAAAAATACATCTCATAAAGTTCCGTGAACCTTTTGCTGCTATATTCCAGGTACTCGCCCCTACATGGCTCCAGAAATCTACGCAACCTACCTCGGTTTAGCCGACGGCTATGACAAACGTGTCGATTGGTGGGCTCTTGGTGTATGCTACTATGAAATGCTGCGCGGGCGAACACCTTTCGAATTCTCCGCTCGAACAAAACCCGAAGAAGCCTATGTGACATTTCGAGATGCTTCAATTCCATTTCCAGCCAGTTGGCCGTCAGATCTCATTCATTTCTTGAATTCATTCCTCAGATTTGAACAGGATAAGCGGATCGGAAGTTTGCAAGCAATCAAACAACATCCATATACAGAAAGAATTGATTTTGATAGTGTATATTTACGGTGAGCCTTTTTCTAAAAAGATTTGGAAAATATTTTTTTAATGGTTTCAATTCTATAGAAAACCAGCACCAGTATTCATTCCATGTAAAGAAGGTTTGAACTGTGATCCAATGTACGAGTTAGAGGAGCGAATTCTCGTTTCGACACCAATTCATCGAAGACGGGCCAATTATACGTCGGCAAGAAGTTCGAGTGAACCGCAAAATGCGGCGCTGAATGAGGTGTCGAAGGTTGGTCCTAACTAAATTGTGCTAGTCTGAGTTTAGGAGCTGTGTGCGGGACAGTTGCAGTTGAGCCACGCCCACTTCCGGGTAGAGACAGAGACAGCGCGGTGATTTTAAAAATGATTTTTTTGATTTTTGAAAAAAACTTCTGGGGAACTTTGGGAAATAGAATTTCACTTGACAGCTAGGGTTTCTAGACTCGGCTACTTGACATAGACGCTTTCAAGGGGCGCCTCCTTGTCAGTGTGGATATCTCGATACGGGCCCTAGAGAATTAGCTTCTCTAGGCTCAGCTACTTGAGAACTAGGGTTTCTAGACTCGGCTGCTTGGCAAAAAAGTTTTCAAGGGCTGACTCCTTGTCAGGGTGTATCTCTAGATACGGACCCTAGACAATCAGGTTCTAAAGGAAGGCTTGAGAAGTAGTGTTTCTAGGACTTGTCAGGGTGGATCTCTATATGCAGGCCTTAGACAATAATCTTCTCTAGGCGCGCCTCCTTGTCAGGGTGAATCTCTAGAAACGGGCCCTACACAATCAGGTTCTCTAGGCGCGGCTGCTTGACAAATGTTCAACCCTCTTCAATAAATTTCCTATTCAGGCTTTTATCGATTTTTCGCGCCACAATATGCCAAATGAATCACCATTACTAATACAACCAACAACTACAAAAAACGGAGTCGCAAAAAAATAATTTTTTTTCTTCATTTTTTCTCTGACCACATTTTTTTCTACTAATATTTATTTATATATTTGCATTCATTATACCGGTTATTTTTGTTTGTTTTTTTTCCAAATTTAATAAATTTTCAATTTTCTGAAAATCCTTTTTTTTTTGTCTGGAATAAGAATGACGTGGATTCAATCCGGTTCAAAACAACTTTTTTTGTGTGAATGAATATTTGCACAAAGATGAGTCAAGACAAGAAAAAGAGAAGGAGAAGCCTAATGTATTTATTTAACAAGCAATGATTTTTCGATACGAGACCAATTTTTGGTTTTTTTTTTGAAAAAAAAAAGTTTGAAACAAATATATGTTTGTTCAATTTTCGCCAGCTTCTAGATATAAATATATATCTACCTCTTGTTTACCAAAATTCTCATGTTACCTTTTACTTTTTTACTTTTTGAACTTTTTTCCCGCCAAGCAAGGCGGAAAAAATTGAAAAAAAAAATTGCCTCGGAGTGGCATCGAACCCATGACCTAAAAATTTGAAAGTGAGCGTGTTAACCACTCGGCCACGCGCTCATTTTTTTCTAGCCTGCAATTGTTTGATATATGAAACGAGGAAAATTGGTGCATTTTCGATGGCGCCAAGCTCCATTTGAAATTAAAAATGTGTTATCCTCAACCACCTCCGCATGTTTTTGCGTTTCCGGGTTTCATATCAGATTATAATTCTCTTTTCCGAATTTTTTCCATCCATTCTGCAAAATTCTTTTCTTTTTCTTTTTCATAATCATTTTCTATTCATAAATATTTTGTAGTTCTTGGGAATTATTCTTTTTTTTTTAAAAGAGCTCCCCCCAGTTATTCAAAAAGTGCTGTTTTTCTAGAAAAAAAATTGACGTAATGTTCCTTTAATCTTCTGGTAGGATTTGAATTAATTAATTTCTGTTTTTTTTTCTGTTAGATAATCGCTGCGCGGGAAAAAATAGCACGAGGATTTTTTGTAGTAGCAGAAAAGTGGTTGTGCAACCCTGGCACACTATTTTCAACGCGAGAAAAATTGTGCCAGGGATCCAAAAAAGGAATCTTGATAGTACTATAGATCGCTGCGAGACCCTGTGAGCATCATTTTGAGTCCGAACATGAAAATGTTAGCAACTGAAGCTTGTAGATCAAAAAGTTACGCTAACTTTCTGGAACAGCCAAAGAAGTTATGATAACTTCACCGTTTCAAATGCAAAAAAATCTGTTCTGATCGATTTTTGTTTTTTTCCTCAGCGAAAGAAAAAAAACCTGAAGCTGGGTGGAATAATCGGATTAGGAAAAGACAAAAGTTACTTTTTTCCATACATTTTTCTATGTCTGATGTGATTCAAGCCCCGCCCCTTTCCATGTTTTTTTCACATACTATAATTATTTTCATTTTTTTTCAGAATGTGTTTTTCCATCCAGAAAAAAAATCTGAATCATATTTTTTTGTTCCTCAAAACAAATGTCCTCTGGATAATCCTTGTAATCCAGCAGACATGTCGCTGCAGGCCGGGCCGGCCGGGCTCAGCCCGAAGTAAACACAAAAAATCGGGCTTTTTTCAGCCGAAGCCCGATTTTAACATGTGCGGCTTTCGCTGGCCCGATTTTGGGGCCCGCTTATTTTTTCTCCAATTTTTTTTTCATTGAAAAAATGTGTTTTTCGTGGTCAAAAAGGAATTTTTAATGAATTTCAAACATTGTAAAGAGTAAATATAGTAAAATAATATGTGCGTGGAAGAGAATTCACTTGAATTTTGAAATTTTTGCTTTTTATTTTTCGATTTGTTACTTATTTCTATTTTTATTAGCAAAATATCACATTCTAATTTGATTTTTCACTCATATAAATACAATCCAACATCGAAAACATCAAAAAAATTCTGAAATTGGCCATTCAAAAATGTTGTTTGGGCGAGGCCAACCCCGGCCGCTTTTAAATTTTCATAAGGCCGGGCCAGCCGGGCCCGTGATAAATTGAGCGGGCTGTAGGGGCCCGAATTCAGCAAAAACGACATGTCTGAATCCAGGATTTTTCAATTGATTTCTATTTATTTTCTCAATTTCTCAAATTTTTTCTGCTGAGTGGGAAAAAATAAGTTGAGCTAACTAGATTTTTCAAAAAATTCCCACGCTTTTCAAACACTCAAGCGAATATTTTTGCAGTTTTTTCTAATAAAAGCAAAAAAAAGAAAGAACAGATTCCAACCATTACACAATTCGGTCTGCGTCTCTCTATTTCGCATGCTATTTTCAAGCGATTCGTCATCGAAACTATTTCCGATTGACTGACTGTGTATTTTTTTTCAATTCACTTTGTCTTATCAATAAACATAAAAGTTTATTTTTCTCGATATCTGAAAATATTAATCATAAAAATTGACGCTAAAAATAAATAATACGCATTAATTTTTGATCCAATTTTCCGATTAGGGTTTCAGTTTTTTTTTCTTCATTTTTTCTTTGGATATTTGATGTTCTAGTTTCTTCTCGAATATAATTTTAATATTTTTTTTCACAGTTTATATGTATTATCAATCTGAAATTTGTTAGAGCCATGGAAGAGAAACCCAAACTACAGTAGCTCTTTTGATCTTTTGTATTGAAAGAGAAACATTTTTGGTTTTCTAGGCCACTATCTTCCAAGAATCAAAAATAGTTCTTTTTTCTCTCAGAATCAGAATGGATACTGTTGTCCCAATACAATCTCAAAGTTCTGCCGAAACATCAGCAATGAATGGCTATTACACGCCCAAAGGATATTTGAATCAGAAAATTGTGAAAGAGTGAGTCAAACATTTTTTTTCTGAATTATGAAATTGATTTTTTTTGCAGAGCCGAAAATTCAGTAAATCAATCTCCAAGATATTCAACAACTTCGGCGGATTATAGCGTTCCAGTTTCACCGATTTCAAAATTTCCGTCTTCCTCGCCGCTTATTGTTATAAGGTTAGTGGATTTTTTCAGAAATGAAAAATAAAAATGCCTAGAAAAAATGCTGATACAAAATCATTTTCAAAAATTTTAAAACACAATTTCAGTCCGAGAATTTGTGACACTTGGAAGAGAACCGATATGGCCTAGAAACCCAAATTTTGGTTTTCTCTTCCAAGACTCTTATATTTTCGGATTGACAATATGCACCTTTTCAGTACCTTTTCTTATTTTTGTAATATGAAAAGAGCCAGTAAAAAAATTGCGAAAAAAAAACTTCAAAATTTCAAATTGCCGCCACATTCAGCTGTGTAAACACTGCGACGCAATTTTGCGTACAGGAAGATTTTTTCATATTTCATCTCTATTTTATCTTTGGTTCAAATTGGCCAGAGGCTTTGTGGGTGGTCTCCTCCTTTAAACATTCCCGAAACAACCCAAAATTATTTCCAGTCCACCAGATGGTTCAACATCTCCAACAACCCTAATTCCAACAACAGTTTCATCTCACCAGCATCAAAATCATCACACCCTAGCCTCAAATGCTCCATCGCTTCCCACACATTTTGCACTTTCTCCACAAACTTCTCTAATGCCCGAATACACTCATCGGAGAAGTTTGATTGTGGCAATTATCGCGGCAGGACTCGTGTTTTTAGCCGTCATTTTTATGGTTTTATTAGTTTTGAATGTATATAATTAGTATTTTTCCTCGGGGGAAAAAGTTTAGATACGGTGTATATTTTGCATAAGCTCAATAAAAATTGTATAAGAATTGAAAGAGTTTATTGGGAGGATTTTGAATTTACAGTAATTATGAATAAAAAACTTTTTCCCAATATTTTCAAATCTCATCTGTTAACTCCCCCCCCCAAACCTCAAAATAAACTAACTTGACTGGCCCGTTCCGTGAGAAGTTGTTGATCTGTTCGAATCCTGTCCAAACGAAACATCTTCTTGTTCGGATCCGGAACTTCGGAAGCCTGAAACTTCTACATTCTTTTTCTCAAAATTTTCGCCTATTCTTAAACTTACATCAAAAATGACAATTGTGGATTTGATGGGAACACTGCATTCTGTGACTGTTGTCTCTAAAAAAAAAGAAAATAAAAAAATGTAAAACCCATTAATAACACTTTCTGCGCTGAAAAAAACGACTTAAAAAACCAGAACAAATCAAAAAATAAAAATATCGTGCAAAAAAAAAACAAAACAACGATACTCCGCGTGCGCGTTGTTTAGCTTGTTTGTTTTGTTTTTTCTTGCAGTGTAGATGAGAGAGTGTGGGAAATGGAGAGAGGGTTAGAGAGAGAGATATGTTTTTATTCAAAAAGAAACTATTGATTGAACGCTTTTTTTTTAGTTTTTTTCCAACCCTTGAGAAAGATCTTTTCCGAATTTAAATTGGATTTTTTTTGTACATTTTTTAATGTTCTTATTTTTTTAGAAACAACAGTCACAGAATGCAGGGGTCCCATCAAATCCACAATTGTCATTTTCTGAGGTAAGTTTAAGAATAGGCGAAAATTTTGAGAAAAAGAATGTAGATATTTCAGGCTTTCGAACAAGATGATGTTTCGTTTGGACAGGATTCGAACAGATCAACAACTTCTCACGGAACGGGCCAGTCAAGTTAGTTTATTTTGAGGTTTGGGAGGGGGGGGGGGGAGCTAACAGGTGAGATTGGAAAATATTGGGTAAAGTTTTTTATTCATAATTACTATTCATGTTAGAGGGCATTTGTTTTGTTTGAATCATTAGATGAAGCTTTGAATTACACTTGATGGTATAGGATACGGTGTATATTTTGCATAAGCTCATTGAAAATTGTATAAGAATTGAAAGAAGTTTATTGGGAGGATTTCGAATTTACAGAAAAGAAAATACGATTATTGCTAGATTTTGGATGATTGATTAAATTGTAGTTTGATATCTAATCAAAACACGAATCATAAAATGATTACAATTGGAGAACAAGCTTCTTCTTGTGCTTGTTTCGTTTGGTTTTCGGTTTGTGAGGCGACACGACCATCGAGCGTTCTTCAACCGACATTAGCATTGACATATGGGCACTTGGTTTTGCTCGCACACTTTTCTTCTGGTTCTGAAATTGAACGAGTTCATTTTTTGTGTTCGGATTTTGAATTATACAAAAGTTTTGAAACGTATTTTTCCAAGCAATTTTTATTTTTTGAATCAAAAATTTACATTTTTCAAAAAAAAAAGTTACCGAAGTTTCTAAATTACGGTAGATACAGTCTATGCCTATTTCGAATCCCATGTCCCTTTAGAGAACTGTAGATTTTGAGCCCAAACATTACTGTAGAAAATGACGTGTAGATCAAAATTCCGCAAATGCAGTTCGAGCTAAACGAATTTATTCTCCTTTAACAAACGCTACAGTATCCCTAAAGTACTGTAAATCGCTGCGAGACCCTAAGAAGATCATTTTGAACCCAAACATAATAGGGTTACTGTAGAAAATGACGTGTAGATCAAACTTCAGCGAATGTATCTCGAGCTAACAAGGGAAGTGCATAGGGTCAGGTGTTGAACTTTTGATGAAACGTTTGAAATATACCAAATCGACCATGCTGATCACGATTCCGAAGTCAAAAATTGCCACAATTGAGCACTTTTCTGGAGCTCCAAAGTTAGAATTGAATTTTGGTTTTCGCCCATTTTCACCTTGTTCCTGAGTGGAAAATCAATTTTTATAAGTTGAATAAGGTTGTTCACCACATTCGAAAACCTATCAGCTTTTTAGTTTTTCAAAAAATATGAAAAACCAGCTGAAACTGTAATTTTCAAAAATGCACAAAAAACTTTGAAAAACGTGTGTATTTACGTGTGTTTGTGTGTATTTTCAGGAATTTCTTGAAAATTACAGTTTTCAGCTGGTTTTTCATATTTTTCGAAAAACTAAAAAGCTGATAGGTTTTCGAATGTGGTGAACAACCGTATTCAACTTATAAAAATTGATTTTCCACCCAGGAACAAGGTGAAAATGGGAGAAAACCAAAACTCAATTTTTACTTCGGAGCTCCAGAAAAGTGCTCACAGGAGTTTGTGGCAATTTTTGACTTCGGATTCGTGATCAGCATGGTCGATTTGGTATATTTCGAACGTTTCATCAAAAGTTCAACACCTGACCCTATGCACTTCCCTTGTAAGCGAATTTATGTTCCTTCAACACACGCTACTAGAGTACTGTAGATCGCTGCAAGACCCTAGTAGAATCATTTTAAATCTAAACGCGATAAGGTTACTGTAGAAAATTGCGAATAGATCAAAATTCCGCAAATGCGACTTGAGCAAATACAGCCCATGTTCCTTTAAAGTACTGTAGATCGCTAAGAGACCCTGAGAGGATAATTTTGAGTCTAAACGCAACAATATTACTGTAGAAGATAGCGCTAAAGATCAAACCGCTCACATCTTTGACACGATGCCATTCCGGTTGTTCTCGCTCATCAAAAACCTTGACTTCCATCGAAAAAAGTTCCTCAATTTTCGACTCAAAGAACAAATGACTTTTCTGGCATTTTCGCAACAAATAGGGAACAAGTATCAACATATCAGGCGCGCCAAACCAAAAATAATCTTTCGGCGCTTCGTGAAACTTCTCCTTCGCTTCTAAACATTCGTGTGGGCTCCAGAGTAATTGATCCTTGCAAGTCATGTGCATCATCTAACAAATTTTGAAATATGTCTTGATTTATTATGGATGTTCTTACCGTATACAACCAACTTTCATAATCATCAAACTCATCAATCACTTCTCCAATCGAATGCGATTTTCGAGAACAAAATTGATCAACTGTCACATTTTTGATTCTCAAGGGATTCCTGTAACAAAAATAATTTTTGAACTTTTTTTGTTTAAGCAGAAAAATAAAAATAAAAAATACCCCTTTGAGATCTTCATCTTTGTCCGATAAAAATCCTTGATCTTCAACGAAAAAGGTTTGCTGAGCGCGAAACATGACGGTTTTATATCTCGATGCAACATTCCTAGCGAATGTATCGCCTTGATTGCTTGGTATGAATGATAGGTGACGAGAAATGCGAGCGGTGGACTGCAAAAATTGATCCAAGTTTTGTTGAGAAAAATAAGTTAAGAAAATGATTTACCCAAAAGGCTTGTATTTGTTGTGCATCGTTTGCAAGTCACTTCCATATTCCTCAAAAATCAGATATCGAAAATCGCTGTCAAAACCGCAATCAATCAATCGAGCCACATTTTTCGCCTCGATTTTCGATTGATTTGACAAAGCTGATAGAAACTTGAATTCTTTCTGAAAAAAACACAATAATATCAAATGTGCTCTACCGAACATCACCTCCAAGCTATACATAGATTGCTGAAGATTGATTGGTTTGCGGCTTTGAATTTTGGCAATATATTTTGTGATTGTCGGTTGATCTGGCACTGGATGTACACGGGCTATCATAGGAGTGTTTATTCTATCCACATAGTCAATAATCTCATATCTGAAAATCTCTATCGTTTTTTGAACCAAAATCAAAATTCAATTTTCCAAACCAACTTGTAAGTGTCGGTTTCAAGAAGTGTCGAAACTCTTGTTGCATAATCTCGATCTTTGGTATCTTCCTTGATAAATTCATCCTTGAATGCTGCTTCGCATTTGGTCAGCGCTTCTTTTAGATGTTTCGTGTTCTTCATAGGAGTTGATAGAACTGAGATTGTTGACATTGTTGATGTTCCAGCTGATGGTTGAACATCTTCTAATTTATGTTTTTCGGTCGCATATCTAGGAATACCCATGAATGGGAAGAGAAGATCGGTCATTTTGGATTTTGAGGAATGTTGGGGTGTTTTTGAAAAAAAAAAACCGGGCGGGATCTGTCACACGTGGAATTGTTATGCGAAAAAAAATTAGGTCACGTGGAAATATCGCTTTTTAAAACACTAAAAATATATTTATTGACTATTTTTGTGGTTTATCATTTGATTAAGTTGAAGTTTGATATTTACAGTTACAATTTTGCTATTCATTCATTTTCTTCGCTCATTTTTCGATTTCACCGCCTTTTTCACTTTTTTTGGTGATATTGTTGATTGTGGCGATACGAAACTCGGTTCACAATTTGTTCTCTGATCGTTTCTTCTTTTCGGACCGGGCTGAAATTTGTATTTTTGATCCAAAAGCGCCACCGAAAAAAAGCGCAAAAAAAAATAGGGCGTGCATTTGTGCGTCGCCGTGTTTGCACACAGCTGCGCGCTACAGTAGTCTGCCACACAACTCAGCATCCCCTGGCGTACGTTTATAAATTATTCAAGATAAAGCACTCAGACAAGTTGTACGATTAATCGCCGAGTAAAGTGAACTTACGATTAATCGCCTGAACTAAATTAACACAGGCGATTAATCGGTCAGCCAGCAGCTAATTCAAGTTACTAGGCGATTAATCGTCCAACTTCTCTGAGCAGTTTGCAAGATAGCTGCGGGGCCGAACTTTTCGCTGAAATTTCTAGGCCATCATCACAACCAACCTCTTCAATCAAATTCCATTCGGGCATCTCTTTCCTATCAAAAATCATAGCCTCTAATGAAAACAATTCATCGACAATCTCAAGAAATTCAACTTTCGATATTTCCTTCTTCAAAAATGATGGAATCAAGCACAGAATGTCACAAGAACCAAGCCAACAATAATCAAAAGATTCTGGCGATTTATAGAAATTCTCCTTGTTTTTCAACATTGTCTCATCTGATTTCCAAGGTAATTTCGATTCGCAAAACAGAAACATCATCTGAAAGATTGACTAAACTTTTTAAAAATTTTAGAAACCCACCGTGTGTAACCACATCTCATAATCATCAAATTCATCCAAACTCGCATCACTATTATGAGCTCTTCGGGGTGAAAAACGATCAGCTCGCCAAGTTTTATCAACTCTTTGATTCGTTCCCGCGTAGGTTTTCTCGGTTGCTCGATAGAAATCCTTCAATTTCAAAGAGAATGGTTTGATAATTGCGAATGAAGATGGTCGAATATCTCGATGAATAATATCGAATGAATGAAGATTTTTGAGCGATTGAAATGAGTAATATGTGATCAGAAAGATCAGTGGTGCCCTGGAGAAAAAATAAAATATATCAGGGGCTCTTGGCTCGCGGAGCCCTGCGATAAACTAACTCGAATCTCCTATGTGTGTTCACAAGAGTCATCAAATCAATTCCATAATCATCAATAACAATATATCGAAAATCATTATTAAATCCACAATCTCGAAGATGATTCAGAAATTTCGATGATCCAACACGATTTAATTCTTGGAATTTTATCATAACTTTTACCTCGTTCTACAAATTTTAAATTTTTTTAAAAATTAATTTTTGAAACCTCTCAACTTACATCAATCGAATCACCTTTCCAATTATTCCGATACTGAAACTTCGCATAAAACTCCTGTTTGGTTTGTCGATTTTGCACATGAATCACACTCGGACTCTTCGCTTTCCTATCAAATCCCGAAATTTGTTCTAGAACTTCATAAACATTTTCCACAGTATTGATTTTTTGCGGAAGTGTTGGAATCATTTGCTGCTTCTGTTTCAAGTCTCGAAGAGCATCTGGTGAATTGAATTTTGATATTGCAACATCCAAATTATTCTTCTTCTTCATCAAAGTTTCGTGGTCTTCTTCCTTCTGTTTTTCTAACTTTGACTTTGATTTCATATCATTTTTATTATCATTGGCTCTTGGAATTGCATCAAATGGAAATATATCTTGAATTTCTTGTTTCTTACTCATTGTATTATCAAAAATGAGAGGTTGGAGCAAAAAATCACGTGATTTTTTTTTATTTTTGAGAAAAGGTCACGTTTGAATTTTCCAAATGGATAAAGATTCATTGTTTTAAAAAATATCTAGATTAAATTGAAGTTTGATACTAATCAGAGGCCAAACCATAGATTTTCACATCGGTCTCTTCGGTTTTCGTTTTCCCTGCTTCTCCGCTTCGATGTTGGTTTTTTCCATTGTTCCTTCCTCTGTCACCAATTTTTTTCTTTCTCGTGGATTTTTTCGGTTTCTCCTCCTATAATTTTATATTTTCGATTTATTATATTTTTTTCAAATCCAAATTCTTACCGGTACAAAGAAACCCCAATCCGGTGCTTCATTTTTGTCAAACATTTTAACATTGATTGAAAAGAGTTCATCAACTGCACTTTCAAATTTTCTCACTGATCTATATTTCTTCAGAAGGTGTGGGATCAGACATAACATATCCGCTGAACCGAACCAATCAGCATCTAGAAGTTCATAGAATTTTTCCTTCGCTTGCAAATCAGCAGTCTCTTCTTTCCAGGGTAATCCATTTTTACAAGTTGCATGCATTATCTGAAAATTTTAGGGAAAAAATAAGAAAAAAAAAGTTTCGCGGGGAGGAGGATTCGAACCCTGGTGTCATGCATTGCAGGCAAAAGTGCAAGCCTCTCGGCCATATCCCATTTTTGGTATGACGGGAAAATGTTGGGGATAAAGAAGAAAAATGGTTTTCAAAAAAGGAGATCAAGCTTACCACATGAAACCAATTCTCATAATCATCAAGTAATTCCAATTTTTCTCCAATTTTATACGCTTTTCGAGAAGAAAATGCAGTTGTTCGAAGCTTTTTGATCACCAAATTTCTGGAATTTTTCTTCAAATTTTAAGATTTCACAAAAATCTCAGCCAACCTTGTGCTCGTCGTAAAACTTGCCCGATAAAAATTCTTGATTTTCAATGAAAATGGCGGCGAAATTGTGAAACAAGCTGGATGTAGATCACAATGCATAAAATGAGCTTGATGAAGTTGTTTGACTGCTTGAAATGAGTGATAAGTTAGTAGAAATACAAAATTTCTTCTGGAAAATTGGAATTTAGGATAATTTTTCTAACAAATTGGCAAAAACCCACGGCATTTTATTCCTTGAATTTTGGAGAATTTTCAAATTAGTGAAAGCATCTTCTATTAAAATGAATCGGAAATTATCATCAAAACCACAATCAGCTAATTTTGTCAGGTATTTTGTTTCTTCTTTTGGTTTATCTATCCAATTTCCTAATACATAGAGTTCTCGCTGAAAAATCAATATTCCAGGTACTGTGGATGGGTTTTGTAGATCAAGAAACTGTAGAGAAGCTTCTGGTACTGTAGATAAGTTTCAGATACTGTAGATCATCCAGAATCTACAAAACTCACAAGTAAGATATTATGATCTGTTCCAGAAACTTTCTCAATCGGTTTTCGCATCTGAACCTTTGCAAAATACAATTTATCTGTCTCGACGCTTTCAACACGAGCCATCGCTGGTAAATAACCATTTGGATCAAAACAGTTCAAAATTTCAACAACTTGATATCTAAAAATATTTTTTAAAATTTTTTTTTGAGAAATCTCCAAACCTCACCCAGTTTTTGTTATCAATAATTTTGGAAACACCGTCGAATATTCCTTCTTCTCCAAAATTCTCTTCGGACTCTTATCGCTCTCAAAAACTGCCATTGTTGCGTCATAAACCGATTTGATATATGCATTATTTTTTTCCTGTTCAAGAAGATCTGCTTTTGGTTTTTCAGGTTCATTTTCTCCAAATCGAGGAATTGAATAAAATGGAGAACATTTATCTTGCTGCATTTTCTAACGGATAAAAATTGATGACTGAATTTTGAAAATTTTGGACAAAATTTCGTTAGGTCACGTTCACGTCGATTAAAAATTTAAATTCAGAATTTACACGGCCTTTCAAAAATAGGGAAAATTGCAATTCGAGAGAGACACAGAGAAAGAAACACAAAATCTTCCAATCGAAATACGAAACACCAAATTCATTTGCAGTCCGACTGCTCGTTGCAAGACCAAGCGCGGGAAACATGTTTTTCAAATATTTTCGAATTCAAAAAACTTTTTCCGCGTTTGGTTTCGAAACGACAGATCAAATTTTTTTGAATTTCATGTTTTGGATTTCTTTTTGAAGAATTTTTGTCGTATTATCTGTGTCTCTCTCGATTTACCCTGTAAAAGGCCGTGTTTATGAAACTCAGATTTTCAAATAAAAATTCTGAATTTCCAAAAATAGCCATAATTTCCCGCATTAGCAAAAAGTTTCCCTTTTCCCCAAAAATATTTTCCAATTCCACAAACAACATTTTGTTGCATCAAATGCAAATAGCCGTAAAAATATCATGGAGAATTGAAGAGAGAGAAAAATTATACAGTAATCCGGATTTTAGGCGGGAGAGACTGGTTAGATTTGGATTAAAAATACGAATAATTCTCCAATTCTCTTTTCATTTCGAACTTTTTTTTTCTGTTCTTGAAAACTGAAAATCGATAAGAAAAATAGCATTTTTCTGTTAAAAAAAATCCCAAAAACTTATGTCATGCTCCTTTAAACAAACAAAGAATCTGAATTTATTCTTGAAGCTGTTTCCTTCTTCTTTTTTTCCTTCGCGCACCTACTTTCAACACCTCGACCCACTATTTATTTATTTATTTATTTATTTTTGCCCGCGTTTTGAATTGGTCATACACGATCACTTTTTAATATGGGTGTGTAGAGATTCGACCATTTTTCCATCGCGTTTTTATTGGTGGTTTATTTTTGCACCTGTTTTTTTCGGGTCACACGTGTTAGATAAATGGCCCCATCTTGATTTATTATTCTTTGTTTTTTTTTCCGCAAAAAAAACTTTGGTGACACATTTTCTACATATTAAGAGACGTTTTTTGCAAAAAGGTGAATTTTAATGAAGGAGCTCGGACAACAAAAAAGGGTGTAATTTTAGAATCGGCTCAAATTTTTTTTATTGATACATGGATGGATGGTGAACATTTTCCACCATATTTTTTTTCCATAAAATCGATGCACCAATTTGGTGGGGGTGATGAATGCGAAAAAGGGCATTTTTTCAAAAAATCAGAACTCAGCTCAAACTTCATATTTTTTGATGATCAAAAAAGGATTTTGTAGCTCTTGAGACGCTCTTTACTCCTGAATTTACTAGAATTGCCGAAATCCAAAAATAAATTTTCAATATTGATGGAAAAATTTTGACGCTAATTTTCCCTCCTTAAACGCCATTTCCGCAATTTCTAACTCGATCCATTCGATCCGCCTTGCAATTTTACGTCGGATTAGTCGAAAAAAACGGAAAAAAGGGGGCCCTCAAAAAAGTTCTATTCCAGCTTCTAATTTTCATTCTGACGCGCGCAACACACATGTGTGTATTTTGTGTGCGCATGCTCCCACATATGTGTGTTGTGTGTTAGGCGCTTGAAATATACAAGGGTACTGTAGTGTGTGTAGTTTTTTTTGTATTTCAATTGTAGATTCAGCATCTGGGGAGGTAAGAAAAACCCCGGAGGATTTTTACATGCAAAAATGTTTTTCCTGGGGGTGGACCTTTTTTGAGAATTTTTTTGGTTCTGAACTTTGAAAAATTGTAACTTTAGTTAGTGGACGAAAAAAATCGAACATAAAAGCTAAACAAAGGTTACATTTCGCTCTATGAATTCAGCTAATGGACAGTTCTATGAACTGGAAAAATTGTTGTAACAAACTAATTTTTTTGACGTACAAAATTCGAAATTTTCAAAAAAAAAAGGAAAATTCGAAATATTTTTAGAGAAAGTGTTAAGTGTTCTATGATCTAGATTCGAAATAACGTATATATATTTCCGTAATGTAATAAAAATGTTAAAATCTATAGGTTTCCGGGTTCCCAGAAGTTCTGAACATCGATTTTATGCTTTTCTCTTGCAAAAATAAACAGAAATAGTGTTTTCTGCAGGCTGCAATTTTAAGTAAAGTTAAAAACGTGAAAAAAGTTCACTGGATCGATTCCTCACAACATGAAAAATATTATCTAAAAAAATAATTTTTGGGAGAAGTTTCAGGGAATCAAAAATGAAGTGTACGCGATTTCTATCAGCACCAGAAGAGCTGATATGTCTAGCAAAGTTGCCTGAAGAACTTTCACTTGGTACGGCGTCTTGATAGATTTTATGTCAAGTCTTGAAGACATATTTGTTGTACGAAAAGAGCACACCTCGGCCAAAATCGTGTTTTCCACAATAAAAAATTGTACGCTAACTTTTTACAGTACAAAAATTGTGAATTTTTCAGTTTTTGTCCTCTAAAAACTGAAATTCTGATTTTTCCAAAAATTGTACTCTGGCCAGCCACGGCTTGGCCGAGGTGTGTATTGAAGTCCCGCGTGATCTACAGCGAGTAAAAATTGCTGGTCTAGAACTTGTGAAAAAGCATTCAACTTGATTTTTGAAAATACATTCCTGAACTTTCAGTGTGCCAAGAGAGTAAAAGGCCTCAACTTATTTCGGAAAAAAATATGTGCAGCAACAGGGATTTCAAAAATTATGGATTTTTTCGTTTTTTTAACTGATTCTGAGTCTACCTCACTCTCACCAATTTTCAATTTATAAAGGGCTGACATGTTTCGAATTTTCCTTTTTTTTTTGAAAATTTCGAATTTTGTACGTCAAAAAAATTAGTTTGTTACAACAATTTTTCCAGTTCATAGAACTGTCCATTAGCTGAATTCATAGAGCGAAATGTAACCTTTGTTTAGCTTTTATGTTCGATTTTTTTCGTCCACTAACTAAAGTTACAATTTTTCAAAGTTCAGAACCAAAAAAATTCTCAAAAAAGGTCCACCCCCAGGAAAAACATTTTTGCATGTAAAAATCCTCCGGGGTTTTTCTTACCTCCCCAGATGCTGAATCTACAATTAAAATACAAAAAAAACTACACACACTACAGTACCCTTGTATATTTCAAGCGCCTAACACACAACACACATATGTGGGAGCATGCGCACACAAAATACACACATGTGTGTTGCGCGCGTCAGAATGAAAATTAGAAGCTGGAATAGAACTTTTTTGAGGGCCCCCTTTTTTTCCGTTTTTTTCGACTAATCCGACGTAAAATTGCAAGGCGGATCGAATGGATCGAGTTAGAAATTGCGGAAATGGCGTTTAAGGAGGGAAAATTAGCGTCAAAATTTTTCCATCAATATTGAAAATTTATTTTTGGATTTCGGCAATTCTAGTAAATTCAGGAGTAAAGAGCGTCTCAAGAGCTACAAAATCCTTTTTTGATCATCAAAAAATATGAAGTTTGAGCTGAGTTCTGATTTTTTGAAAAAATGCCCTTTTTCGCATTCATCACCCCCCACCAAATTGGTGCATCGATTTTATGGAAAAAAATATGGTGGAAAATGTTCACCATCCATCCATGTATCAATAAAAAAATTTGAGCCGATTCTAAAATTACACCCTTTTTTGTTGTCCGACCCTATTTGCCTTTTTGCAAAAAACGTCTCTTAATAATCTAAAACACTGTGCTTTTTAGTGGGCCCAACTTTTTTGGAATTTTTTTTAGGCAGATCAAATATAGTTTTCTCTAAATTTTGATTTGTAGTTTGGATTACTAGAGTTTAGTAGTTCGAGGCTTGAACCCAGTAATTAATTTTTTTTGGGATATTTTCAGCATTAATTAAAAAATTCTACAGTAATCCAGTGCCCACGTTGGCATCAAACTGCAAGGCATACGGTAGCCTGATTGTGAGGGTTACTGAATCTATGTAGAACTGCAAGGATTACTGTAGCCTAGAGCGTAGTACAGCACTCCCTAATTTCCACGTGGCATGATTTTTGGCAATCAAAATCCTTGAAAACCCAAGAAAAATCCGAAAATTCCAATGAATCTCAATATTTTTCTGATTTGACCTTGAAAAAAAATCTAAAATTTTCTGGTAGATCAAAAATATTTTTTCTAAATTTTTTTTCCAGCGCTTCATTGACTCGATTTGAAATGCAAAAAAGTGGTCAATAATCGAATGGACATTCAACCAACTTCCTCTAACTCAACACCAATCCAAAGATCCCACCAACATTTTCAAAAATACTCGCGCGATTCGAGTAGAGTTGAACAAATGAATGATAAACGGCGTCCAGCTCCACCACCTTATATGGGACAACCAATTCCACGTGTCAAACCGATTCATGTGAAAAAGGAGATTGGGAATAATAATAGTGTGGGAAAGGTGAGGATTTCAGATTTCTGAAATAATTTTTAGAATTCTCTAGAAGTTCAGAGATCAAAATTCCAAAATTTTTCTAGAGCTCAAGTCGACGCTACGATACATTTGGTGAAAACGCATTAGAAACAATTTACGATCAATTCAAATTTCTCGACGAATCCGAAGAACCTTCACAAACTCCTTCTTCTTCCTACAGTACTCGCCCAATTATTGGGCCAACAAGAGAGCAACAGAAGTGAGTTGGCACTTTGATCCACCAAATTTAGAGCTAAAACAAAAAATCAATAATTTTTCTAGAAAACCACAAAGTCGTGCACTTCTTGTTTATTGTCTTCTCCCTACAATTGAACTTTTGGCAGCAATTGCGATCCTGGTTTGCACTTTTTTCCGAACACGAAAAACATCAAGTGATTCTTCCTCAACTTCGAAATCATCCGAAGCTTTAACCGGTTTAGAATTCCAAACCGCAATCTCATCAATAGTTCCCGCAATATCCCAAATAATCACAGCAACCTTCGGATTTTGGCCAATAGTCGCGTCTCGAACTCGCCGAGCCGCTCGAATCCTTCACATCGCCTTCTGCTCGCTAACAATTCTTCTGTGGTTTTCAGCACTTGGCGATGAGTTCCTGAGAATCTCACTCGTTCACATTTTCGGTGCCAATGATGAGAAATATGTTACTGAATTGATAATCGCAATTTTCGCCTATTTTGCCACAATTATTTTGCCATTTACAACGTTATCGATCGCCGCATTCAATTGTTGTCTATTTTCAAAATGTCGAAAATCAATGACTTCGATTACTTTTGCTTTGGGAGTTTTGCTATTTTCAATGGCAACTACTGTAATCGCAATTTTCACAGCGCAAGCTAATCTGAATTCTCCAAAAGATGTGTAAGTTTTAAATTTAAAATTGCCGCCACGAATTGGTGTGTGCAAACACTATTGCTTACAGTATTGTCAAAGTTGAAAAAAAGAAAAATTTGAATTGAATTCGTCAGTCGCGTGCGGCTGTGCGTTGCGGTCGGGAAACAATCAATAATTCATTTTCACCAGTTTTAGTATAAAACTATCGAAAATCAACTGAAATTATGTTACTTGTACTAAAAAAACAACAAAAAAAAACGTGAATAAAAAATTTTCGAAAAACAAAAACAAGAAATTTTTTTTTCAAAAGTAAAAATGGAAGTGCGCCCTATTGATAAAAATTGGTTTTCTCGCGGTCTCTCAAAAATTTGTGTGTTTCGTCGTTGCTGTTTTATTATAAGACTAAAAGGGTGTGGTTTCTCGACCGCGACGCACAGCCGCACGCGACTGACGAAGTAATGTTTTTTCATTCTATATTCTACGTTGGTCACATTTTTTAACTTTGACAGTAGACTTTGAACTTTCAATATTTTGATTTTTAAAGTTCCAAGCGTTTGTGGTTGGCACCTTAAAATTTAAATCGTGCTGAAACTACAGTAATCCTTGCAGTTCCGATTCCTCCTCTCTCTATGCATACGGTTTGAAAGAATCTCTAATATTCGTGTTCGTCGTGCTAACTTCAATATTTTCTCTAATAGTCTCCACTCAACAAAATCGTCCGTTAATGATTGGCGGAGCAATTGGTCAAGGGTAAACTTTTTCCCTTTGTAAAACTTTTCAAAAAAAACACGTTTTCTTTTCTAGAATCTCGCTGACAGCCGTGACAACCGAATTATTCACCTCCGAGCAAATCGCGGCAATCGTCAGCGAGTTCAAGAACTTCTCCGAGGCTGGTACAACCATCGAAATCGGTATTATTTTATTAAATGGCTGCGCGATTGCCACGTGTCTTTTACTTGTGATACAATTGACGATATTTCTAATAGCAGTTACGGAGCCGATTCATTTTTTATCGGCAAGATCGACGAGTTCACTGATGATTGATAATAATCGGAATCCGGCGCCTCTTGAAAGAACAGCCTTTTGAGAAACCCAAAAAATACTGAAACTTTGCTCAAATAAACATTTGTTGATAACAAAATCATATCAATCAAAAAATGCACGTTGTTATCTATTTATGTATACAAAAAATACAAAAGTTCAAAAATCTAACACAAATCAACATCTTCGCATGCTTTTTCTGGAGCTTCCTTATTTTCAATGTCTTTCTTCAATTCCTTCTTGACAGCCTTCAATTCTTTTTCGCATTCGTGGTGGATTGGAAGAAGCATTGTCCAGCAGAGTGTTCCGATGTTCACATCGAGCCATGCATCGAGATCGTCGTCACCGACTTTTTCTCCACCCTGGAAGATCGAACAAGTTTCGAGACCCTTGAGATTCTTTAGGCGTGGCTACTTGAGAGCTAAGCTTTCTAGCTGCTGACCCTTGAGAATTGAACTTTCTAGGTGCGGCTCCTAGACAACTAGGCTTACTAGGCTTAGCTGCTTGAGAACTGTGATCTCTAGAAGCAGCTACTTCAAATTGGAGCGTTGAAGACGCGGCTCATTGACAACTAGGTTAACTAGGCTTAGCTGCTTGAGAACTGTGATATCTAGATGCGACTCCTAGACAATTGAACTCTCTAGGCGTGGCTTTCACTAGGCTCAGCCGTACCACACCCAGGGGTTAAGAAATGCACGGCGCCAATAATTTTCTCCGAAATTTTAATGAAATCCACGACGCCAAAAAAAAAAATTTCAGAATGTTGTTGTCCAAATTTGATGAACATGTTCATAAGCAAAGAAAATAAGAAATTTCTCTTTTATGTTCTAAATTTACACGAAATTTTTTTGAATTAGTCAATAAAATTGATCAAAAATACAATTATTTTCGAGAGCAAAATGTAAATCTTTCGGATTTTAATGTTTTGGGACATTTAAAAGGATTGCAGTTGGATTGGAGTTGTACAACTATTTTGTCATTGAAACGTACAACGCCCAGGTGTTAAGAAATGCACGTCGCTAATAATTTTCTCCGAAATTTTAATGAAATCCACGACGCCAAAAAAAAAGTTCAAGTAAATTTCGGGCTGTTTTTTGAGTATATTTGAAAAAATACGTTGTTTTCACCCATCAAAAACTTACTAGAAACCACCCCGCCAGTTTTTAATTGTTATCTGCACGGAGCTGGGCGTGATATGGGCTCAGCCACTTTACATGTAAGCTCTCTAGGCGCGAGAACTTGCCAGAGTAGATCTCTAGACGCGGCTCCTAGACAACTATGTTCCCTAGGCTCAACTCCTTGACATACCTCAACCAATGCTTTACAAACATCACACATAGCTCCATGATGTTTCTTCAAATTCAACGGATTCGGAACGACAACTGCAGCTTGCGCAGTCAATGCGATGAGCAAAATAATCGCCAAAACTCTGGACATTTTTCAAAATGTTTTCGAGAACAAAGTAAAAATATTCTGCCGGGGTGCTTTTATCAGAAAATTTTCAGCTGATAAGACTACCAACCACGCGGAGATTATACGGTCATTGATCAACCTCATTTTCGAGAAAAAAGCTTTATTATTGCAGGGGAAAACGAAGAATGCGAGAAAAATTACAAAAAAAAATGGGAGGTTAACCCGTCAGGTACTACAAATGTGTGCAAATGCGCTCTATGGATATCAACCCGGGTTCAGAGAAAAGTTGGATTATGCGTGTGTAGAAGTCGAACATCAATCTCATTTTCATCGTCGTTCGAACCAAGCAAAGCATCATTCTGGCCATTTGCTGGAATTGTAGAAGTTGCAGCCGCAGCGATACTTGTCATAGATCCATTTGCCTGAAAAATCTAGAATGAAGATCTATTGAAAGTTCTAAGATCTACCTGATATTGTGTTGTATTCAATTTATGATTCGTCAAACATGTTGAATTAGTCGTTCCTAACTTCGTCGAAGAACTTCGACTAGATCGATATCGATGTTGAAGTTGACTATTCAATGCTCCATAAAGTATCCAATTTATTGCAGAATTTGTGAATGGCAATGCATGAATCACATACATAATGTAAACGAAAAGTGGAGGGGCTGATCGTTCCTCAGCGAGGTTTTCCAGATAAACAGCGAAAACAGTCGCCATCCAGAACGGCGTCCAACAAAGAAAATAAAAACATGCGACTGCCAAGGTGTAGAGGGAGATGTGGAGAAATGGGATTTGTGAACTTTTAAAAGTTCGTGTATGTTCTCGCAATTTACTTAATAATTTGGTGTAGAAAAATGCGATGGAGATTAGAGGAAGACAATAGCATAGAACAAATTGGTAGATTGTGAATGCTGTGAACATCCGCGAATCAATATTGACCATACATTTTTCGATCCGCATTCGAGTAAGAATTCCAGGTCCTGAAGTATTGCATTTTGAGAAGTGAAAATAGGGAAAAAAAAGAAAGAAAAAGCTAATCAAAGGGGATTAACTTGTAATTGAAAAAAATAGCAGACCTGTAACTCTTTCATACAAAATAATCTCCTGAATCGTGAATGACCAAAGAAGTGGGTACAGCGTGATAAAGGCGTAGACAACCAGACCCAATAGAATTGTGATTGCGATGTTTCGCGATCGCAAATATTTCTTTTGCGCATGACAAACTCCGGCATATCTATCGAAACTCATTGCCGTCAAGATCAGCGCCGATAGAATTTTCCCGAAATTCTCACAAACTGCATGAAGTTTGCAAGGGATCAAACCAAACATCCAGAAGCCAAGAATCTAAAAACATTTTTCTTTTGAATCAGAATTATCCAGGATCTCTAACCTGATCAATAATCGTTAGCGGTAAACTAAGACACACTGCAAAATCGACGCAGGACAGAACAATCACATAGATCAAAGTGTTGTCGAGAGTGGCGCGAGAAGATCGAACAACGTGGTAGATTGTGGTTAGAACTGCTACATTTCCACAAGTTCCTAGTAAAAATAGCCATAGATATGAGACTGCCATAATCATCACGTGTAGATCTTCATTGTTCGGAGGGGGTAGAACATCATTCACTATATTGTATTGACGCTGAAAATTACTGTAGGTCAACAAACATTTCCAGGAAGTGTTGCGTGTTGACACGCGACGCACAACCGCGTCGCAACTGGCGACATAAACTCACCAAATTTTGCTCGGGACCCAATGACTGTGACAATTCGAGTATACCACTTTCATTCATAGCTGCAAGAAGAAAAAAGATTTCGAAAAACAAAAAACAAAAACGACATTGAAAAATGAGCAGGAAGAAAAATGATTTATGAACGGGTGGATGAGAATTAAATTGTCATAAAATCGAATCATTTTTTTGAGCTAAAGAGTACTGTAGGGAAATTCTCGATGGCAGAAATGAAAAAGAAGAAAAAGTAAAGGAATGGATGGGAAGAGAAGAAATGACGATGATGAATTAATTAGGACAGAATGCAAATGAGAGCAAGAAAGAAGCAAAGGTGGTCGGGGCTCCGTTTCTTAATTCCTCGAGAAATAGAGGATGAATCGAATGATGAGAAGTGTGGAGAAAAAAGCAACAAAATATTATGATGTGTTCGCTTTTACAGTAGGGAAGATCTGGAAAAGGGGGGGGGGGTTATCTTTTTCTTTAGGAGCGATTTTCGGGTATTGGGAGCTGGATTTTTGGATTTCTGGGAATTTTTTGACCAGGTGAGTAGATTTTTGGAGCTTAAAGGGTTGGTGCTCCGCCAGGGAATCTTGCTTGGTTTAGATAGGAATAAGGTGCTCCTGGAAGGTTCCAGTTTTAGAAAAAATTCTAGCATCAATTCAATACATGTTTTTCCTCAAAAACACAAGCGAGTTAAAACCTACGAAATAAAGCATGTAAATGCGCTCTAGCGCACAACTTGTTTTTGAATTTTCGTGTGTGTGTTTGCACACAACTTTGAAAACAACACTGTGACGCCTTTTTGCAGACGATTTTTTCACCAGGAAAGCACCAACCCTTTAAATGATAGTTTCAAGGGTTCTGTATACCCCCGCGGTCAATTTTCTTCGGAGGGGGGGGACCTTTTTAATTCAGAGCGATTTTCAGGTTGTGGGACCTGGATTTTTGGATTTCTGGTAATTTTTTGAGCAGGTGAGTAGATTTTTGGATCTTTAAGGATAGTTTGAAGATTTTTTGTACCCCCCCCCCCTTTGGATAATTTTCTGGGGGGGGGGAGGTACCACTTTTAGAGAAAATTTAAGAGAAAAATTCGAAAATGTCCGAAACTCGTCAAAATTCGGAAAATCCAGTGAAAAATGTCAAAATTCTGAATTTCCGCACAAAAAATTTCATCCTCCAAAAACCCGAAAATTCACTGTTTCAAAATTTTTTAAAAATAGTCTGCATTTATTTTTGCTTTGATTTGGTCAAATATTTCATTTAAAAATCGAAAATGTCCGAAACTCGTCAAAATTTGGAAAATCCAGTGAAAAATGTCGAAATTCTGAATTTCTAGCTCATTTTTTTTACGTGTTCGCTATCACAGTAGATGTTTTTAGAAAATGTAAAACAAATATTCGAAAGTGCGAAAATTGGTTGGAACGGGAAAATTGGGGTGTCATTGAGTTGAAAATGGAGGAAGCAAACAAAAAAGTGGGTAGAGGAGAGCGAGAAATTTTTTATTAAGAAAGAGAACTCATAAAAATTGTGTTATTGCTTGCTTGTTTTAGGCACAAAGTGGAGTAAAGTGGGTTTGTGGAATATTCTGATGTGTGAGAGAGAGCCACGTCACCCTGATCTACATCCCTGAAAATCGAAATTCAAAGTTCCGAGCATTCAAATTCTAGATGTTAGAATCCGAAAGCTCGCGCGAAAAAAACGATGGTTGGTTGATTTGTTGAATGTATAATTTAACAAGAGTATGTATGTATGTACATACATATTGGAGGAGCAACACAGAAAAAATACATAGTGAGCGGATGGATAGATATTTGGGGCGGACAGAAGAAGAGGCTCTCATTAAAATTGCATTCCGATATGGAAGAAGAAGAAGAAGCGAAAAAAAGAAGAAGAAGCGGTGTGGAAAATAAAACATTTTTGTTGAAGGTCCAATGAACTTTTAGAACAAATAAATGTGTAGATCAAATTTTCGGGTCTCTTGCAAATATTTATTGCAGGAAGTCGTTGGGCCGAAAAAAGTTTTGAATCTGGAAATTTTAAAGGGTACAAGATTTTTTGAAAGCATTAAAAGTTAGGCTTAACTTTTGGAACCCTAAATTTTAAATTTAGGTATACATTTGCAAGCGTTAAATTTTGGATCCCTAAATTTGATGGCTTCACATTTAGAGATCAAACTTTAGGCTTAACATTAACTTAACTTAACTTAACTTAACTTCACGTTAACTTAACTTACATTAATTTAGGATAGGCTTAACAGAACCTTAAATTTTAAGTACAACATTTTCAAGAGTTAACTTTTGAAACCCTAAGTTCTAATTGTAATGTTTAACTATTTAAGATCAAACTTTAGAGTTAACATTAACTTAGCTTAACCTAACTTAACATAGGCTTAACAGAACCCCAAATTTTCAGGGTTGTATTTTTTAGCGGCTTAATTTCAGCCTAGTTTTTGAAACCCTAACTTCAAGCATATCTTTTCAAACCTTAACTATATCAACTAGTCAAATATCAAAAATTCTAGAAATTTTTTATTTTCCCTCTGCGAATATAAGGAGCCGCTTATTAGTAAATAAATACTCATTCTAACCAAAAAACATACAAAATTAAAGCAAAGTTTTGTTCAAACCACCAAAAAAACTACATAAAATCCATTTCGAAAATTACCCTCTACTAATATGAAAATCGGATTTAACCAACTATTTTCTTCCTTGTTTCCCAAAATAAATGCGATCAAAAATATGCCCGACACGGAACATGATGAAATAATTCATAAAGTTAAGAACACAAAATGACCTCTCGCAGTAAACTGCTATTTATAAACAAATTAATTGAACCCAGATTTTATCATACCTGTTTTCAATTAATTAATTAATTAATTTGACAAAAATTGGAGACTGGAAACAATTGTAATGATATCAAAATAAATTCGAAAACAAATTAATTTTAGTTGGGCCAAAGAGCAAAAAGAGATTATCCTATGCCAGAAAAAAATCTATAGTTACATACATTTTAGTCGCTTAATAATAATAATAATAATATGTATTATGTTTAGCCAAAACAAAAAGATTTCTTGATTAAACATCGAAACATCTGATTTTTTGAGCAAGTAAAATTTAATTTTTTTTTGGGAAAATGAAGATCAAACAACAAAAGTCTGAATATTTGAAAAAAAGGATCATAGAACTAGCCTAGAATAAGGTACAGAAGCCCGGAAACTTAAACCAGACTGAGCCTAAAATTAGGGCCACCTAGACAGATTGGTTTTCAACTTCAAATTAGAAACTTGATTTAAAATTTAAAAAATTGTTGGTAGCTCTTCTTACGTGATTTTTTTCAAACACATCTAACCTAACACTTACATCACTTCCAAGGAGAAGATCAAAAAATTGGCCGAGCAAAAATGAACTCATCATTCTTTTTTTCCCTCTTTTTTTCTGCTTACGACCAGGATTAGTTGACAATAGTCGATCATGAATTACATGGAGTTGAAATTGAAAAAATTTCAAGAATTTTGTCACTTTCGCGGCAAAGTTGCGCAAGTGAGTTGTTTGAATATGCGAATATGTAAATGATTGAGGAGGAGGTGGGAGAAGATTGATGAAAAAACATTTAGATGACACGAATATTTAAGTGACTTCTTCTTCTACTTCTTCTTCGGCAGCATAAAAAAATGAAAATGAATTGGAACACTTGTAGGGTCCAAGAAGTTTTCAAAAATAATGCGGAAAGGGTTTCAAATATGTTGTAGTGCGTGAGAAAAAGGATCAACTCAAAAATTTTTCACGTGTTTCGAAAAATGCCACTTGGACTTGAGGAAAAATAATCATCAGGGATTAGTCTGGGATCAAAATAATTTTATTTTGTTTTGAATTTGTAGGGGAGGCTAGAGAGGCTAGAGAGGGTAGAGAAGGTAGAGATGCTAGAGAGGTTAGAGAGGTTAGATAGGCTAGAGAGGCTAGAGAGGCTAGAGAGGCTTGAGAGGCTAGATAGGCTAGAGAGGCTAGAGAGGCTAGAAAGGCTAGAGAGGCTAGAGAGGCTAGAGAGCTCTGATTTTTCTAACATCGAGACTTTTTTTTGAAATTAAACTTTTAGAATTCAAATTTGTCAAAAAATAGTTTCCAAAAAATCAGAAAAAAAGTTTTGATCCAAATATTTTCCATCTATTTTTCCCTCAAATCCTATAATTTTTTTTTTCTCGTAGAAAACAACAGATAAGGATGAATAATAATGAATAGGTAGAGACTCCTATTTCTGAATCTGAATCTGAATATTGAAAATAAAAAATGAGAAATAGAAGAAAAGTTCCGGGGTTTTTCTGTGTTTATGTTATTTTGAGTTGAGTTTTTCGAGTTTTTGAAAAAAAAAAAAACCACTTTTTCAGATATTCGAAAAAAAATCGAAAAGAAAAAATAATTGCTTCTTCTTCTTCTTCTTCTTCTTTCCATCAAATATATATTTTTCATAAAAGAAATCTAATGAGATTTTTACGACTCGCCAAAAACGAAGTTTTTGCTTCAAGTTGGATGAGGAAGATGATTTTTTGAATGAAAAAAGAGGAAGGAAACTGTACTTGAAAATGACGATTTCAAAAAATTTGCAGGCAGGAAATAATGGGATGGGATGAGCAAGGATTTCAAAATGGAAAAATAATGAGCTGGGTCAAGTTTTTGCAGAGCAACTTAAAGAGCTCTCAAGGGATCATTTTTGGAATACACGTCGGTGCACCTCGCTCTATCGAACAAACACGCTCCGCATCGCACGCGACGCGCCGCCAAAAAAATCGCACGAGTTCAAATTCGTATATGCTTTATTCAACAATTCCCGCAAAAAAAACCGATTTCAACAACTCACCTGGAGAATCTGTTTTTCAAACAGAAAATTATAAAAACGACGTTTTCGGAAACATCAGCAAAAATTCTCGAATTTCTTTTTTTCGTCAAAGTTGGCCGAAATCCTGGAAAAAAAACCAACTAGAATTTATTGAAAAACTTATTCTTACCTTCAAATATCATTTTCCAGCCAAATAACAACATTTTGGAGCTTGATTCGATGCCACACACGTTTGAAAAAGAAGAAAGTTGTGCAATTTTCATCGCGCATCCGACAAAAACGGTGCAACGCCTAGCGGTGAAATTACCCCCACTTCATCAAAAACAAAAAACATAGCGAAAATCAGCGTATCGAGATCTGTGCGAATGACTTTGTTTGGAATTTTTAGGGGTCCTGGGAAGAAAGTTAGCCTCCGCTGCGAGACCAATCGAAATTAAAAACACATGCGCCTTTGATACCGTACCTCTTTTTTTCAAAATGAAAAATAGAGAGCGCGGCAAACGAGAGAGTGCGAGAGATGTGTGAGAACAAAATGTGTGCAAACACATGTCCGCAAACACCGTTGTCACTGCTTACCATGACTCTTCATTGCATGGGAAAAACGTGTGTGAAAACTGAAAAAACTGAAAAAAAAAAAACTGAAAAAAAAAGAAAAAAAAAGTTTGTGTGGTACGGTAGAATTCAAAGGAACATTGCAAACAGCAACTGCGTCTTGACACACAACACACAAAAAATTCAAAACCTGCCCGCGAATTTTTATTTTTTCCACGCGCCAACCAAAAAATCGATATTTTATTCATTTCTTCGTTTTTGCGTCGCTCAAGACGGCTGTTATTCGGCAATTCAACGCAGGAATGTGATAAAAGATGAGTTTTTTGGGGATTTTAGCCCCGGTTTCCTTTTGAATTCACCCGAAACCCTCCCCAAAAACCATTCCGAGCAGTTCTAGTAGTCTTTCGCTCGGAGTTAGTACAGCGCTCGATAAATTTCGAGCCCACTAGTCATTGCCACTACCAGGAACCTCGGTAGGGGACACAGTTTCTTGCGAAATTGTGGACCGCGGAATACCGCCTGGATTTGATTGGAAAACAATGATGAGCAAGACCTGAGGTTCCTATAGAACTGCTCTTCGGCCACCGATTTGGGTGGAATGGGATGATGAGGACCTGGTTTGGGACTTTGTCATGAGCAAAGGAATTTGACTGGAAATTGGGGTTTTTTGAGGAAAATCGATCTGGACTTTTTTGTTAATGTATTTTTTTCCAGAAAAGTTCACATCAATCAATACAACTCGCCGAAAAAATCGCTCGATCAAGACCTGAAAGTTGTGAAAATGTTGATCGTGAGTGAAAAAAATAATTTGAACTTCTGAAATTTCATTTTGAAACTAATAAAAGTCGCTTCTTTTTTCTTGATTTTCTTTAGCTAGAAAATCTTGAAAACTGGTTGATTTTATCAGTTCCAAAATGAAATTCCAGCTGGGACGCGGAAGCTATGCCCAATTTTTGAATTTTTATTGAAAGACTTGTTTTTTTCAGCTCGAAATCAACAATTCAAAGCGGATTTGAGAAATTTTGGAATTGGTAAGTTCTACGAAAAACGTTTCAAAAAAAAAAACAAAAAAACAAAACAAAAAATGGCCGAGTGTGTCGGCTCCTAGGCCGCGAAACATATTTTTCTCTTTCATGGCGAGAGTGCGATAGAGCGAGGTTGGTACTAAAATGCCAATAAAAAGTTTATGCTGGTGAATTACAGTAATAAAATGTGAATAACTTTCAGATAGCTGAGAGTTAGTCTATCTTGTCCGGATTTTTTTCGAGAATGACTAACCAAGATCAAATCATGACAAAGTTATATTAAAAATTCAGAAAAAATTTTAGGAATTACGCAAAATCAAGGTTCACTATATTTTTCACCTGTTTTCCAACTTTTATTGACGTAAAAACGAAAATTCCTTCGGGATTTCAAAATTATTTTTCCCAACTACCAAAAACTAATAAGAAAATATAAAATACAAGGCAAAAAAACTATTTTGGATAAATTCTTAACCCTTAAAAACACCCTATTTTGACTCCGAAATGTCCGCCAACTGTTGTTCTTTTTGTTTTCGTTTGCGATGCGCCCAAATTAATTTATGAGACTTTTAAGAAATGCCTCCAAATGTGATCCAATGATTTATTGTTTATAAAATAACTAGGTGATGAATTTAGGGCAACTTCTACAGTAATCCATGTTGTTTTCTTGTTTTCCAGACAGACTTGTTTTCTGATATGAACAAAATTTCTTTGAAAAGAATAAAATTCAAATATTTCCTCGTTAGGTTTCTAAGAACCTTTCTTTTGTTGATTTGTGTGTTGGCGCCAAAAAATTTCACAAAAAGGAGAAAAATTCGGGCTCACTGATTTATTAGGTTCAAAAAAGATTGAATAGTTTGCTAATTAAGCAAGGCGCGAAAAAGCACGAGCGCGCGCCCGCCAAAAATTTGCTCATTGTCACTTTTGAATTTCAAAAAGCTCCGCGTTTCTCTGCTCAAGGTTGACGGATTACTGTAAGGTGGGTATTTTTAGGGCCAAAAATAGATGTGTTTTGAATATTTATCTAACAACTAGGGCTGGCTACTTGCCATAGAAACTCTCTAGGCGCGGCTTCTAGACATTTAGGTTCTCTAGGCGCGGCTACTTGTCGAATATGTTCTCTAAGCGCTAATCCTAAACAATAAGGGTCTCTAGGCAAGGCTCCTAGATAACCAAGTTCCGTAGGCACGTCTGCTAGACAACTGGATTTTCTAACTGCGACTACTTGACAACTAGAAACCCAAGAGTTGGCTACTTGACATAGAAGCTCTCAAGACGCGGCTCCTAGACAATTAAGTTCTCTAGGCGCGGCTACTTGACATAGAAGCTCTCTAGGCGCGGCTCCGTGGCAGAGTGGATCTCTAGGCGCTGCTCCTTGACAATAAGGTTCTCTAGGCGCGGCTACTTGTCAACTAGGCTTTCTAGGCTTTAAAAAAAAATAATTCAAAAAAGTAATCGAGGAAAAAAATTCAAGTGAATTGATTTTTGTTTTCGAAGATTAGGATTATTTTTTGATCTCATAATAAACTTTCAAAACAATTTCATTCAATTAGGTTTTTGATTCTTCAAATTTCAAAAAACCGTGGGTGGAATAAGAACTTAAAGAGAAAAATTTCCAGAACTTTCAGAAAGGATTACAGAAAAGTTTCTGAAAATTTTGAGACCCCTCTTCAAGCTGTTTCCAAAAATTTCCCAGACATTTTTTCAAAATTTTGTCACCCCCTCTCTCATTTTTTGGCCACCTCGTCATCATAATTTCTCGAATCAGTATAAAATAATAAAAAAATCACGCTCCACCGATTTTCGAACCACCCCGCCATGTGTAAATTGATCTTTCGACGCGACGAATTGTGCACTTTATTCATATAAACAATAAAACAGGGGAAGGGACTCTTTTCTAAATATACACACACATACACGTTACAATATAAAACAATAATAATAATACCTCATTAATATGAGCAATGTCATTAATCGGGTAATTTTTGTTGCAGGCAGCAATTATGTTGAATATTATTCGCGAGAAGAAAAGAAAACAATCACAGGCGAAAATACAAAGAATCAAACCAGTCGAATTGAGGCCGCATTTGCAATTTAGTGAGTTTTGGTGTGAAAATTGGAAAAAAAAAGAAAAAAAGTTGTGCTCCGGGTGGGGATGGAACCCTGGTTTTGCGAACAAAAAGCGCGCATGCATACCACTAGGCTACGCAACTGTTTCTTCTTCTGTCAAAAATCTCGGATATAAAATGCGATTTTCGAAATTTGTATCGACCCCTCAATTTCCGCGAATTTTTCGATTTTTGAAACCTGACACAACATTTACAGTAGCGTGCAAAAAGATACGAACACCCTGCAATTGTATCGTTTCACGGGACCTAGTGGTCCAATCGTTCTGAAATTTTTAGGGAGTGTTACTGGGGTCCCAAAAAGCCTTTTCTACAAGCGGGATATTGTAGTTACTAGCTGAAGAGTTTGAAGAACTCGGATATCAAACATAAATTTTTAGATATTCTCACAAATTTCAAAACATCGTTGAAAAAATATTTTTTTAGTCTCAATCATCATCAACTTTCATTTTTTATGTCTTCAGGAAGACATAAGCTCTTGATTCCGACCTCAACTTAATGATTTCATTACCTACAAGGCTCATTCTGAAGGTTCCAGTAAGACCATCCAGAGAATCTGAAAATGCACAAATCTGGATTATTGATGATATTTAATCGTTGAAATGTGTTCAAAACACTTTAAACTGGTCCATTGAACCATTCTACACAAAATTCCAATCAAATTCCGAAGTTTTAACTCAACTCGCACATCACTGAATTTTCGATGTTTTTCTAGATCTTTGATTCCACATCATCAACAACATCAAAATTGACCTTTTATTGATCGAACTTGTTCTTTAGATGACTGTTCATGTTTATCAAGTGCCATGAATGTACTAGCAGTCGTAATTTGAGTTTGCTAGAAGCTGAAAGCTGACCTCTATGAAAACTCTTCATTTTCAATTGGTTTCCTTTATAAAATTACCCTATTTTGGTAGTTCGATGTTTATCGAGCTGATATTGAGCCGATGAATTTTTTGAGTGGAAATGATGAATTGTTCAGTGTTTAGAACTGCTTTAGGAATTAGTTCGATCAATAAAAAGTCAATTTTGTTGTTGTTGATGATGTGGAATCAAAGATCCAGATAAACATCGAAAATGCAGTGATGTGCGAGTTGAGTTAAAACTTCGGAATTTGATTGGAATTTTGTGTAAAATGGTTCAAATGACTAGTTTAGAGTGTTTTGAACACATTTCAACGATGAAATATCATCAATAATCCAGATATGTGCATTTTCAGATTTTCTGGATGGTCTTCCTAGAACCTTCAGAATGAGCCTTGTAGGTAATGAAATCATTAAGTTGAGGTCGGAATCAAGAGCTTATGTCTTCCTGAAGACATAAAAAATGAAAGTTGATGATGATTGAGACTAAAAAAATATTTTTTCAACGATGTTTTGAAATTTGTGAGAATATCTAAAAATTGATGTTTGATATCCGAGTTCTTCAAACTCTTCAGCTAGTAACTACAATATCCCGCTTGTAGAAAAAAGCTTTTTGGGACCCCAGTAACACTCCCTAAAAATTTCAGAACGATTGGACCACTAGGTCCCGTGAAACGATACAATTGCAGGGTGTTCGTATCTTTTTGCACGCTACTGTATATAATATGATTTTAATAAATATAAATGAATCGGAAAAATTAAACAAAATTTGACCTCCAGGCAAAAAATGTTTAGATCATCCTCTTCCCCCACATTTCCTACTAACATGCAAAAAAAACTATTTTTAACCCCTGTCTAAAAATTTTCAGAAAACGGAAAAAAAATTCTCTAATTTGACCTGAAGTTTGTCAATCTTCCGTCTTTCATATCACATGAGAAACCTACTCCTTTCGGTGTCTCTCATTTTCCCACACTCTCTAATTTTTTCCAGAAAAAATAGTTTCATGGCTGAAAGACATGATTGTAACATTAGATACTCAGCCAAGGAAGAAGAGAAAAAAACTCTTGGGTACGCAGACAAAGTGCTTCTTGTGAAAAAAAACGTTTTGCAAATATTTGAAAACCACCCGCGACGAAATATTCCTTTCGCTTTGTTTGTTTTGTTCAGCGAGATTTTCGACTAATTGTTTTTTATCCTTGGTTTTTAGTGCCTTATTAAGGTGTATGCTGAAAATTCCACCAAAAATGCATTCTAATAACACACAAAAAAGCAAAAAGATCTTCGTCTTGTGAAAAAAAGTGCAACATGGAAGCGTCTCCTAGTTCTCTGATCGCCGGCGGCAAAAAATGCTTGGGTGGTCGTGTCTGCGTCTCTTCTACGCTTCTATACTATTTCATCATTTCATCGTCGCAACATTCGAATGTTCGAAAAAAAAGTGTATTTGGCCTTTTCTCTGTCCTCTCTTCGTTCATTTCTTTTCTTTTTCGTTCGTTCGTTTTTTCGGCGATGGTGTTCTCTTCTTCTTGTCTATGTACTTTTTTGCTTTTTTTTGAATAGAATTGATTTCGATTCTACTTATTTTGCATATGTATTTTCATCAATTTATTCGTTGTTCGCTGAGAGTTCGCTAGAGCAAACTTGTTCGTCTGTATTAACAAGAAATACTTTTGTTTTCCGGTTTTTTTTAAAGTTTTCTTTGTTTCCCTCGTGTCTTGGAAGCTGCTTTGTTTTATTCTTCAATTCAATTTGTGATAAGTTTCATTTCTGATGAATATTTATTTTGGCGAACGCGTTCTTTGAAAATAGAAGCTTCCGCAACAAAAAGTCGGCCAAGTTCATTTCTCAAAAAAAAAGAAAACCTTAAAATTTTATCGCCCATTGCAAAAAACGACGATTAAAACGCGACTAAGAAGAAGAAAAGAGACATGTTTTTTGGTGGGTCATAAATTTTCAGTGTCCCAATCGATCTGGTTTCAATCTAACTGCCCTTTTTTCTTCATCTTCTTCTTCTTCGTTTTCGTATTTTATAAAAGCTATAAATCTTATTTCAGGGCGCCGCGCGTCCCGCGCAAAATAGAATTGAATAGGGCACAATTATTTCTCATCTTCTTCATGATTTCATTTTTTTCGAAATAAGAAAGTTATAATTAGTCTTATGAGCAAGCGATACGTTTTTAATTGATAGTTAGTTTATGAGTGCAACTACGGTAATTCGGATTTTTGAGCTTTTCCCACGTAGCTCCGCCTTTTCTCTTCGCCTTGGGGAATATAACCCCCTTTAGAAAATAAACGCAACATTTCTAAAGGGAACACCCCGTTGTCCAGATGTTTTTTCTTCTTCCTCATTTTGCCCTCTTCTCTCTTTTTGAGCTCGGCGATGTTTCTTTTCCTCTTCTTTCTCTCCTCACTCGTCATGTCTCGAGGCCAAAAGGCTGAAAATGTTAGCTGAAACAGCAGCAGCAGCACTACTATATAGATTTCTTCTGATCAAAAAGCGAGAACGAGAGTCTAGACGGGTAGAAAGGCGGGTAGAGACAGAGAGACGGATGATTTTCAGAGGAGCAGTCGTTCCTCTTTTTTTTCCTTCACACAACATTTCCTTTGCTCGAAGAGTGCGCGAGAATCCGATATTGGCCACGCCCACATTTTTCGCCTTTCTTGAAATTGGCACTGGAGAAAAAAAATGTGTGTGAGAGCGCTTTTCTTGATTGAATTAGTTTTTCGTTAGTGAACCTAACCTATACTTTTGTTCTGCTTTGTGTTCCTTTTTCTCAAAACTTCAGATTGAAAGAATTTCGGATCTAGATCTAGTCTTCTGCTTCAAGTGACTGGGTGCATCGAAAGGGGGAAACGGGAATTGAACCCGTGACCCTGAGATTGACAGCAGCCACCACTGCCACTGAGCCATCTCCTCCAACAAATTCTTGAAATTTTTCTATCAAGTTGGACCGGTTTTCTTATCTCCCTTCACTTCACCTCGAAAAAAATCGTAATAATCTTGCTCTGTCACCTCATATTTTTGTACCTTCCCAACTACATATTATTGTAGTAGTACCGTAATCATCTCCAAGGCAACTAGCTCTATATTTATCCGATGACTGCACACCTCCCAGAAAGTGCAAAATCGTCGGCTGATCACTTTCTCTTCTCCGCCGCCGCCGCATAACAAGAAAACCCATAAAACATGGCGACGGCGGCGGTGTCCCGCGACGAATTTGAAAGATTATTGAGATTTGAGAGATATAGAGAAATTGTTCTGCTTTAAATTAGCAAAAGGTCGATCTAACGACTTTGTATTTTGTTGCGATTTCTACTTAACTACCGTATACTTTTAGTTGCTTCGAGACCAACTACTCTCGCTAATCACCACTCATTTTTTCTTTTCGCTGGGCCCGAAGTCATTTTGAGTAAAAAGAAGAAGAGAAAAAGTACAAGCCCATAAAAGTGGGCGGGGTTTGTGTTTTAAGGGAGGAAAGTGTTCGTTTTTTTCTCCTTGGCGGAGGAGATTTATGGCAACATTTTCTTTCCTAGGCACACTCACAAAAAAGTACTTCTTCTTCTCCATCTTCTTTTCTTGTTTTTGTTTCCATTCGTAAAATTTTGTCGAGACTGATTTTTATCTAACAAAAATACTCATTTATTTTGGGAATTCTTTCGCGAGAAAAAAACTGTCTGGAATTGAATCTCTCGAAATTTTTTTGTAGATCAGAAATGTAAAAAAAAACCTAGTTCCTCTGTTGTTTTTAGGCTCACAGATCATTTTTTTGAGAAGCCCAAACTTTCGTTTTTAGCATTTTGATCATTTAGCAATTTTGAACTTGAAAATGGCGCGACACCTTTAATTAGAGGTTTTGTTCTGCAAATTATACGTTTCACTGTGCCTATTATAAATATCCGAGCCCTAAAAATATCGATAAAACTCAAAAGAGCACATATAAGGGCATGTGCATCTCAAAAAAACTGGAATCTTTCATAAAACGACTTTATTTTCTATTTTTCCCTGTCTGAACAGCAAACCTAAACAGGCACCAGTGAAAAGCACTTTGAGCGGGATGCGAAAGTTGAGTATCAAGCGATCTTTGCATTTTTTTTCAGAAAAAAATTATGAGTTTCGCGGAAAAGTTGTCTTTGCCAGAAGAAAAAATTCAAAAAAAAAAGAAATAAAAGTTTATTCATGAAAAAATTGTAAATTATCGGTTTATTCTTGAATACTGTAGTTTTTCACAATGTTGAAACGATCTGCCAAAATTGAAAAATTGAAGCAAACTGACAAGATTTGTTGATGTTGTTGATTGCAGGTTATCTGAAAAAAGTTTGTTTTAATTTTTTTTTGTTTTTCACATTTGTTTATTTATTTTTGTACCGAAAGACTATTTTTCGAAAAGCATTAAAAAGAATTCACGTTTTTTTCTGAGAAAAATTTCAAAAAATTCGCGTGAAGCGAGCATGATGCGAGAAATTGAGATTTTTGGAATTTTGGTTTTGTTTTGTATGAATTTGAAATTTTACGAAGACTAAAAATATTCAGAAGTATTTTCCGAAATTCATTCAAAAAGTACTATTCAACTTATTATCTCAACGCTAAAAATGTTGACAAAAAAAACGGCTAAGCGATTTATCATCAGTAGTTAGTATGTATTAATATCCAAACAACAGTAGTCAGAAATTTAGAGAAATCCGAAAAAAAAACTCTTTGAAAGGTTTTATTAATGCGAGAAAAACTCACTTTCAAAGTCCAAATCGTAACTTGAGCAATAGAGAATAAAAAATTTTATTTTATCGAATTGATTATTTTTGAGAACCGAAAATGCATTCCACGAATGTAGGTCACGCAAAATTTTTTAAATTCTGATTTTAGTGGGAAATTCCAAAGAAAAAGATGAAATTCTTTTTTTTTCACGTTGTGCCACGTGAACCAACATGAAAATTCTCATTTCGTATTTCATAAAAAATAGGGCGATGATCTTATTGAGTTTTGTGATCTTCTTGCTTGAATGGTGAGTTTTCAACAAAGCTTCTTGAAAAAAATAGTCGTTTTTCGTTCCTAACAATATACGAAACTTCTGAGTTTAGCAAAAAAAAAGGAAAACATGTTATATAGTTTTTTGTTGACAATTTCTGATTATTTTCGAAATATTTTACAAGAAAGCGATCATGAGAAAACGTAAAATGTAATCGAAAAAACTCGAAATTTTTATTTCTTTACAGTTCGTACTACTACTACTACTATTTTACTTCAAAAAACCCCATTTTCTTAGCAGTTTTTTTGTCAACATTTTTAGCGTTGAGATGATAAGTTGAATAGTACTTTTTGAATGAATCTCGGAAAATACTTCTAAACATTTTTAGTCTTTGTAAAATTTCAAATTCATACAAAACAAAACCAAAATTCCAAAAATCTCAATTTCTCGCATCATGCTCGCTTCACGCGAATTTTTTGAAATTTTTCTCAGAAAAAACGTGAATTCTTTTTAATGCTTTTCGAAAAATAGCCTTTCGGTACAAAAATAAATAAACAAATGTGAAAAACAAAAAAAAATTAAAACAAACTTTTTCAGATAACCTGCAATCAACAACATCAACAAATCTTGTCAGTTTGCTTCAATTTTTCAATTTTGGCAGATCGTTTCAACATTGTGAAAAACTACAGTATTCAAGAATAAACGGATAATTTACAATTTTTTCATGAATAAACTTTTATTTCTTTTTTTTTGAATTTTTTCTTCTGGCAAAGACAACTTTTCCGCGAAACTCATAATTTTTTTCTGAAAAAAAATGCAAAGCACTTAATTTCTCACAAAAATCGAAATTTCACTGGTTTCTAAAGAGTATATGAATTATCAAGCACATTGATCAAAATTCTCTCCCGTGTACACATTTTTTGTTTTACGTTGGAAACTAATTTTATGTCTGGTTTTATGAAAGATTCTAGTTTTTTTGAGATGCTCATGCCCTTATATAGCTCAGTGGTAGTGCTAGCTTTTGTCAACCTCAAGGTATCTGGTTCAATTCTCGGTGCCTGCCCTCTGCGTGTACCTTGGGTATTGCCAGTTGTGTCCTAACCCACTCTGGCATGTTTTCTCTGGCTCGGCGAGCATTTTTTGGATTTAAAATATCAGAGCTCAATCTTCCTTGATTATTTCTCAATTTCCGAATCCCTTACCCCCAAATTTTCTGGCGCCAGACCCCCCACGATGATTCTCCTCACATTATTTTATTTCATTGCGTTTTTTCCCATATTCTTCCCTCTTTTATACGTCTTTGGGTCGATTGATCCATATAAATTACCTCTTTCTGTTCCCATAAAACGCCAAAGCCCCGCCCCTTTTCTCCTCCTATTCCGCAACATTCAAATGCTAATTTCTTCGCCTTTTCTGTGACTGTTTTCTGAAGAGATGTTTGGACATTTTTTCCGTTGTGTTATTTGTTTCCCGGAATTTTTATTTTTATCATTTGTCATATTTTCCAGCCATCCTACCGTATTCTCGTTTCAGTTTTTCTCTCACTTTCTCTCTCGCGCGCCTAACTGAAACCGTTTTTTTTCTGTTTTCGTCGCATCTTCATCTTCTCATGTCCGCAACAACCCAAAAATCGCAACAAAATTGTTGTGTCGCAACCAACGATTTATCAGCAAACCTCCCCGTTCGAAATAAAAAACTGATATAAAAAGTGAACAGAGAGAGAAAGAGAGTGTAAAACCATCACGAACCCGAAAAAAATGGCTGGCGTCTGCGTCTCTTTGCCCCACAACACTATCTCGATTTTTCGTCGCGCCCGTTTCTCCTGAAAAAAAGGCCCGGTGGTATCCGAAGAAGAAGAAGTGGAAAGAATTGACAGACCATGAAACAAAAAAAGAGAAATGATAAAATATACCTTTTTCATTATCGTCTATCATGATATTGTTGCCATTTTTCCACACTTTTGTCTTGATAGAAATTTGTTCAGTACGATTATGGTACTTTGATATTAGTGCAAAACTATCTTTGATGAATCGTAAGAGCTCAAGAATCCATGTTGTTTAACGCACAAACCGGCTGTATTATCAATAGAGCACGCTTGCTCTTCCGAATTCAAATTGTAGTAGCGTAAATACGCTCCACTGAACAGTACTTTTAAATAAGGCCTTGCTTAAACGTTCAGTACATATTTCCTAGTACATGTACTATGCGGTACTAGTACTTGAGGCCTTAGAGTCGAAACCCTGCTAAAGCGTTAAAAATTTTCGCTACTTTTTTGTTCCGCTCTCAAACCCCCCAAATGTTCAGGTCATATTACTATGGTCTTTGCCTTTCCTTCTTTTTTTCTATCTTTACCAGATTACTGTAATAATTTTTATCAAATCTGAACTTCTTGTTCTTCTTCTTCTTCTTTCTCTCCCCATTCCCCATCAATCATCTTTCCAGCTCCACCCCCATAAACCTACTGTAGTAGTATCAAACCACAAAAGTTCGTCTTCCCGAAAATACCGCTCTGCGTCTCTAACCTCTCTTGATTACCGTATCATTCAAACCAATAAATTAAACTGTTTTTTGCAGGAAATGCCCCATTCTCTATCCCGACTCTGAGGAATTCACAGTTCGATTTTCGAGTGCCGTTCTCCACAAGAAATACACCGGTGATATTAGGAGGCATGATGGCTCCCAGTTCAGAGGCTAAAAGCTTCGACGACATCAAGAATATGAATATTGACGCAAAGCGTAATCCAATTGTTCCATTTAATGGAATTCAACAAGGTAAGGTTTCCGTGTAAAATAAAAAAATTCAAAATAAAACAACGACACTCCGCTTGTTCAAACAGCAAGCGGTGTGTCGTTGTTTTTTTTTTCGCATTTTTCCTGGAGGATTCTGTAGAGAATTCCAAGGGCTACACTGTATTTTTTTTTTGCAATTCGAGGGAGACGCAGACTTTAACGTGTGCAGACAAATCTCTCGCCGAAAAATGGAGAGAAATAGTGTGTGGCAGACACACAGCGTGTCGAGACCAGCGAGTGTCTGCGTCTCCTCGAAATTGCATTTTTCTATTGGGAAAAAACACAGTGGCTAGTCTGAAAAAAAAGAAAAAAAACATATGTGGCCGAACTTTTGCGATGGCCGAAAAATGTTGAGACTTCGGCCACACACATTTTTTACTTTTTTTTCAAGTTTTCCCCAAAAAAACGCGTGATATTTTGCAGGTGATGCAGCTACCAGTGCATTCCTTCGAAATGCATATCCACCTTCACATCATTTCACAAATGGTTCCGGTAAGTCTCGTTTTGGGAATTCAGTTTTTCACAACAAAAAAAGGTTTTCGCACGAGTGGGACGAAAAGTTGTTGATAAAAAAAGTATATTTTGTAACCCTCCCTCCCTATTTCTTCGACACAATCTTAAGAGACAAAAAGTGCATGGCATTCTCTCATTTAGTCGAAAAAAAAGATATTTTTTGCTGTTTGTGCGGGCCCCCAACCTTATCAATCTTCGACCACCCAGACAGACGTTTTTCATCTCCCCTTTTCTTCTTCTTAGTTTTCTTTCTATTTTTCATTTCTACTTAACATGATATTGAACGCTTGTTCAGCCAACTATTATTTTTCCTATTATCAACTTTTGTTATGTAAGTGTAGATATGTGGCTGAAAGAAGTCAATTAATCGGGGTTTTCATCATGTTCTTCTCAGAACATAAGTAAGTCCAATCGACTTTTAGTTAAAGCAAAGAAGCATGCATGCAAAGTTTGTTGGTGGGTCCCTCGTCGCTAGAAAAAAAGAGTAGTTCTTTTTTAGTTGTTCCTCCAGTTGTCTGTCAGACCACCCATGACGTTAATATGCCTTCTCTCACCCCCATACTATTTTTTGTCGTTTTTCTCTCGTTTTTTTCCATCTTCTTCTTCTTCTTCATCGTTCATTTTTTACTGCTATCTTTTCGTGTTGCGATTTCTCTCTCCGTGGCGCCATTATTTAGTGTTTTATGTGTGTGTTTCTTTTAGTGGCCACCCGCGAAGTTGGGAAATTGCTGTTTTTAAAGGCGCACGTGGACTCGATGCGAAGTACAGTTTTCTGTACTTCTCACGGAGAACACTTTCTAGTTGTATTTTGATTCGTGGCAGGACCCATTTGGAAAAACGCGCGAAACATTCGTCAAAACAGAATTCTCCACTGTTTTAAAGGCGCATAACTTCAAAAACAAGGGTCCTAAGGCGATATTTGTTTTGGATTTCTCTCGGAAAACACGATTTTTCTTAAAATTCCTCGAAATTGTCCCGTTTCATTCTACGTTTTAAAGGCGCACAGTTTCGATAGGCGTGGTCTTAACGCGAAGAACAATACTTATTGGTTTTGTATTTCTCACGTAGATCACTATTTTTGTAGTTTTTCACCGAATTCGTTCAAATTTTCCCGCCCAATCAGAAAAAATGATCAAAACTACGGTTTTAAAGCCGCATACTCTAAAAACAAGGGTCCTGAAGCGATATTTGTTTTGTATTTCTCTCGGAAAACGCCCATTTTCGTCCCACGAAGAATTCGTCTTCATCTACTTTCCCTCAAAAAGTATAGATTGCACGAAAAAAGTAGCAGAAGCAGCATCGAAAAAATGCAGCTACCGTATACCCGTTATACAAACATTGCAATTAGTTTACAACCCAATTATTATTCTTCCCTTTTTCGCCCCGTAAACTTGTGTGAGTGTGCCTAGCTGGCTAGTGCGAGAAAAATTGTGCCAATTATGAATTTTGCGCTGCTGTGTCGGCGCAGAAAAAAAACTTTTTTTCCATCTTCTTCTTCTTCTTCTTATTCTACATTTTTTCAGCCCGCGCCGGGGCTCATGAACATGCTCTCATTACGGGGACGGCGTCCCAGAGAACCAGAGCACTCTCTAATACTTTTTTGCTCTTTTTATACACTTTTTTCCAGCCAGCCAGCCTTCAGGGGCTCAGAAAAGGGCGTATGTATGTGTATATATATATATGAAAAAAGATATGTGTTAGGAAAAGAAGAAGACAGCTTTTTTTCAGCCTGTGGGTGGCCACCGCGAGTTTCTTTTTTCGATTCATTCATTCAGCGTTTTTTCTCCTTCTTCTTCTTGTTTCAGCTCATAAATTATTCGCGCCTTTTTGAATTTCTGATCGGCATATTCTCTCAATCTGCTTCTTAGTCATTTTTTGTCGCTGTGTCAAAATGTTATTCTTTTTCCTTTCCGCTATTTCTCTTGATTGTTACACAAAGTGCAACTGTTTGAATTTTTTTTGCCTTTTCCCCACCTACCGTATGATTAAGATGTTTGTTTGAAACAATAGTTTTCTCTCATGTCAGTTCAAAACTGATAAGTTATTTTTCTCTCATAAATAATGCTCTTATTATTTTTGGCCTTATCAGACAATTTTCTGACAAAAAAGGATAATCTGTTTAATCTCTTCGACCACCCGACTTTTCTAATCTTTTTTCTCATTCTCTTCTAATTTATGTCTTCTTCAATTTGTACTAACTCTAGGATGGACGACCCCGCCAAAAAACCGGGTAGTATTCTGAAAAATTTCAATCACGATGAGAACACTTCGGGATTTCGTCCATATCAAAGTCATCGCGCAAAAATCAAAAGAAAATCATCAGATATGGAATTGAAAATTGATTGTGATGCTGATTTTGGGGGAGGGCTCAATAACAACGGCGAACTTCCGCCAGATCTTGGAGGTTCGAATGGGAACAGCACACAGAACATTGGGGGGGGGGCTAGCCTGAGGGACTAGTTATTTCCTAGTCCCTGTATTTCTCAGAAAAACTTCTTTCTTTTTTCAGCTGCTCAACAACACCTTCAAAATCAAGTTTTTCAACAACAACAACAACAACAATTTGTGCCGAAACTCGAAGATGGCACAAACAGTTTTACACTTCTTGGCACAATTCCAATGACTCGTGAGTTGAGAGAGACGCAGAGAAATCTGAGAATGCCCTCAATATATGAATAGACTCATTAGACGTGGCAGGTGTAAAAACTTTCGCACATGATTACAAATATTTTTTCAAATAAAAAAAAAAAGAAAAAAAAAATTCCTTTCAGCGCCGCTCATTTCACCACACCCAATTTTGGCGCCCTCACCAGCAAGTTTGGTTCAAAACTCGCCGCATACACCATTCTCCGCATTTCCTTCACCAATCACCGCGCACTCAACACCATCTTCAGTGCCAATCGTGAATTTTGGAACTGCTATGACGCCAAATGGTGAAATCGCGCAAAGTATTGGACAATCAAATATCAGATTAACGGCTAATGTGAGAAAGAATTATTTTATTATAAGTAGATAATTGAATTTTGGAAAGGGGAGGCGAAAAAAGAAGTACCGTAGTCTCCCCGAAAAATATGATTTTGCTATAATCATAATCTAGACTTTTTTTCGAAAATCAAAAAACAAAATATGATTTTTTTTTTCAAATAGAGGGGTTTTATGAAATACCGTGGTCCAAACTGCAAAATTCAACTCCTAATATGAGTAATGCCGTGGTAAATTTGAAAAAAAAAAGTTTTTTTTCAAAAAAAAACCAACGCGCGTTGCGCGACACACGAGAAAAATTGTGTGCGCCTTTGATGGGGTGTACGGTAGGAGTATTCGTAAATTTTTTATTTTTTTTCTTTTTTTGTGGGTTTGAGAGCTTTTCCACGTCATAACTCATATTTGGAATCAAAAATCACCATGAATTTCATCGAAAAATTGTTTTTTTGCAGGGTAAGCGAGTTGGCCGACCGCCAGGAACATTCAAACGTCCACCATATGACATTTCTCAAAATTTCTACAAAATGAAGTAAGCGCATCAAAAACTTCTCCAAAAACACACAAAAATCAATGTTTTTTCAGTTCTTCTAAAAGCAATTCTTCAATTGATGATAAAGGCGAAGAGGAAATCGATGTTGAAACATTGATTGATGTGACTTGTCACTGGAATTCGTGTGGACAAAAGTTTTCAACAATGAAAGGATTGGTGGATCATGTCAATGAGAAACACGTTGTTTCGGCTTCACAAGTTCATCACGCGTGGAAATGTGAATGGGACGGTTGTGATAGAACTGAGACATTCCGCGCGGTTTATATGTTGATTACTCATGTTAGACGACATACTGGAGAAAAACCAAATATGTGTGATGTATGTTTTTAATTGGTTTTTTTTTCAAAAATAATTAGAATCTTATTTGCAGTTTCCTGGCTGCAACAAGAAATATAGCCGCTTGGAGAATCTCAAAACGCATCGTCGAACTCATACCGGTGAAAAACCGTATCTTTGCGAATTCAATGATTGTCGAAAAGCGTTCAGCAATGCTTCCGATCGTGCCAAGCACCAGAATAGAACACATTCGAATTTGGTGAGTCAGCAGACTTTTGGGGAAGAAGAGTAACATAGATAGTATGTAGTGACTAAGATGAGTAATCGACATTTTTTTCTTGGGGTACTGTGACATTTGAAAATGGAAAGAATAGAAAGTTTGGAGAGGAAGCAAGCAAATGACATTTTTATTAATTGGCAATTAAAAAATGTCTTGAGAAGAAATGGGGAATATTTGAAAAGGATCTAAAATCAGGAACCTAAGGCGTCCAAAAATCGTAGAGACAACGTGAGATTGAGAGAGTGCAGACATTGATTTTCCTGTCTGCGCTCTCTCAATTTCACGTTGTCTTTACTCCAAAGATTTTTTGTGTTTTTTATTTTACAAAATATTAATCTGCAAAGTTTTCAAGCGAAAAATCTATCGAAGATTTGAAAAAACAACAAATTTGAAATTGAAATTTGTCCAATGAAAAGTTTGTTGAATTTTTAACCAGAATATTGTATCTAAACAAAAATTCAATAATTTTCCAGAAGCCATACGGTTGTCCAATTGAAGATTGCACAAAATCATATACCGATCCATCTTCCCTTCGAAAACACATCAAAGCAGTTCACGGAGATGCGGAATATGAAAGAGCGAAGAAATTGAGACCACAAGTGAATGTGAAGAAGCAAAGAGAGAAGCTACAATCTCATCAGCAACATCAGCAACAACAACTTCAACAAAACCATCAACAACAGCAAAATGCGATGGTCACCAGCTATTTCCTACGAAACAAAATGCTGATGGATATTCAAAATAATGTTATGATGCAACATCAAGCGGTGGCGGCTGCGGCGGCTTTTGCGCAGCAGCAAGCTCATTTGACTCAACCATTGTCGCATCATCCAAAGATTTTCGCGCCAGTTCCGGTGAGAATTGTGCCGAAAATGATTGAAGATCAGGAAATGAACAGTGAAGATGATCAAGAACACAATAATAATAGTATTGAGGATGATGAAGAGGAGGATGAGGAGAAAATTGAAGACATCCCAACATCTTCATCGAATAATAGTAGCCAAGGTGGAAATGATCGAGATGGAGGTGGAAGATCGAGTGGAATATCGATGAGTTCGAATAATTCGTCGAATGTTGAGAGTATGATTGTTGAACAAGTTGCGGAGCAAACAGGAGGAGGACGAAGTATGTTTACTAAATATTTTGAAAGATCTCATATTGAGTTTCAGGCTTTACCGATTTCTCGATTGATCGAATTCTTTCAATGGCAGTACGTTCAACATGTCCAAAACAAATCATTGATTGTGAGTTTTTTTTCGTTCCCTGAGGATTTTTATTCAATTTTTTCAGTATTCGTTCATGCTGCGGCAGTCTGTGAAAATGATACACAATACGGACATTTGTGTTTTATTCTCAAGAAGTATTTGGCAACTCGGAATATTCCGACAGAACAAGTGCGCAAAGATCAATTCATTATTTCGCAATTTATGGTGCCGAGAATCGAAATTGACAGTGAGGAAGGGCCATTGATTCGCCCGCCAAGTCCCCCTCCACCACCGGTTCAAATCGCCCCGCGCCCTCCACAGCCGCCAGTTCCAATTGCACCTCGTCCACCACCAGCTCCGCCGGCACCACGCCGACAATCTCCACCGCGATCAACTCAACCAAGAATTCGTGTTGCTCAAATAATGCCACCGGTTTTGGTAGCACAACCAAATCAACGGTTGGAATTGATCACCGATGAAATCGAGGTGAATGTGGAGGAAGAAGAAGTAGCGGCAACCGATGGAACTTTGACTGCTGCAAGAGTTGCGAGACCAATTCAGAATGTTCGGAGAATTAAGAATGATTTGGCTCCACAACCGCAAAATGCACCACAACAGCAACAAAATATAAATCTTGAATCTCCAGACGTTCCGGAAGTAATGCTATCTGACGCAGCATTGGAATTTTATGAGGAGCCAATAAGTTATCTGGTGGATCGGCCGAATGTTGAAACTCAAGAGCAATTTTATAACGATCAAACTAGACACGCAGATGTTCATGCTGAAAATGGTTCGTCTAGTGGAGCACGAGAAGTTGTTCAAGCAAGAAGAGCGGTTGTTGCGAGTTATCAAGAGAATTTTGCAAGTATGCCACATGGAATGCAAAATTCTGGTTCTTCTTCTTCATCTTCTTCTTCAAATGACCCGCCAGAAAATCACAATTATAATAATCAAAATAATTCGCATCAAAATTGGGACTTTTCACAACGTCAACAGCAACCGGAAAAAGAATATACAACTGATTCTGAAGGTGAAGATGATGAGGAGAAGAAGAAATCGAAGAAGAAACGAAGAAAGCCAAAGACTGACGAGAAATCGGCTGAATCTTCGTCATCTTCAACAACTTTTGAGAATTCGTTCAATTTGGTTCGATATGTGAGTTCTGAGAATAAGGTGAGCATTTTTTTTTTGAAAATGCAAACTGGCCGGATACGTGCCAAAAATTCAAAAATTTCCAAAAAACAATTTTTTCAAAAATTCTTTCCCGCCCAAATCAAAATTTTGATTTGGGCGGGAATTCAAAATTTCCAAAAAAAATTTTTTTTTCAAAAATGTTTTCAAGTTTCGAACCGTTTTTCAATTTTTGGCAAGTTTCTGGCCAGTTTGCATTTGCCTGTGAAAAGCAGAAAGATGCCTTTCTAAAATCTTGAATTCAAATCCAAATTCTAAATTTTCAGATTCTCTCTGATGAAGTTGACAAAGTCACCGAACAAATGCGTAATATGGATAGTGATGGATAATAAATCCATTTGTTTTCCTTTTCCCCTTAAAATTTTTTTGACTTACTTTACCATGTTTTATTATTTTTCTATGTTTCAATTTTTTCATGTTTTTTCAAGAATCCCGGTAGATTAGAATCCCTTTACGAAGTACTGTGCTTTAATGTAAAATATATTGCTTATCGATTTCTTGCCAGCCCAAACTATCCCCAAAATATACTTTGTTCTTTTTTCTAGATTCGAAGCAGTTTCAGATCTCTTTGACAGACAAAACCCATTTTTTTCTCGATTCAAACACACAACATTTCACATACTCTAATCACATTTTTATCGCCCTATTGTATTGATTTCTTCTTTTTTGTTCTATCCTTTCTTTACTTTTCGCCCGGACTATAAGTCACAAAAACTGTTTTCGCCCCCCAATTTTCAATTTGAATTTTTTATGTTTTCCTAGGCAACAACGAGCCGTGCTCTCTAAAAAGTTGATATGTATTCTTTTTTCCCTTTCCCCCAATCTTTCTTCCTTTTTGTTTTCCTTTTTTCTTTTAGTAGCACCCATTATACATATCGATTCTGATAAACTATTTTAGATGCGAATTCAATCAAGTTATGACGTGGCAATGGGTTTTCCTAGTAAATCTCTAACATAAACTAACTTGACAATTCGGTGACCTGCGATGTTTCCGAAAAAATAATTATTCCAAAATGAAATTTAAAAAATTAAAAATGACATTTAAATCCCTTGGACACGTGTCCAAGGAGTTCACGTTGAAAAAAAATTTAAAAAGATTTTTTAAATTAAATATTTATTAGATAATTTATTTTTAAAAATCATAATATTCATTTAAAAAAGTAATACTTTTGAGAAAAAAAATTGAGATACATAAAATAAATCACAGTTAGTTTGTTGTGTCCTAAACTCTTCTAAAATCTCCCTTAAAAATCCTTGTCAACGTTTTCTTGAATTGTTGATTCGCCATCGCATAACAAAACGGATTCAACGGTGAATTCATATAACAAAGATAGTACGAAATTGTGTAGAGAGTGTTGAATGAGGACGATTTTTTGCACGAATCACAAAAACCATAAATCGTTGCCAAAACATAGAATGGTGTCCAGAGAATGATGAAAGAGCCGAGAATGAATGTGATTGTTCGAAGAGCTTTTCGAGCACGATTTTCTGAGCGGGATTTATATTCCTGAAATTTCAAAAATCATCATGATTCCCGTAAGATTCCCAAAAAAAAGTAACACAAAAGAAGTGGGGCGGGAACACAAAAAAAAATGCACAAACCGAAATGAAATCACCAAAAAACACAGATTTTCGGACGGAATCAACGGACAACTGAAAGATCAAAAAACGCGTCGCGTTGCCGCGACGCAACAAAAATTTTAGGCGAGACAAACCACTTCAAAAAGAAGTCAAAAGCTAGTATTTTTTTTTAATTTAAATTTGGGAACTTGGGAAATAAAATGAAATTTCTGAAAAAAAACATGCAGGCATGAGAAGTGGGTCGAAAAAATTGTCATGCCCGGATTGAGAAAAAAAAAATTTTTTTCGAGAAAAAATAAAATATTGCGCGGCTCTTCTACCAAGCCCTAACCTTTTTGCGTTGAAAAAAGTTGAACGCCGATAAAACCGTCTGAAATTGTAGTAAAATGGTGATTGTTTCGGCTGGCTGTTGTTGAGTGGTGGAAGAGGAAAGAAGTGTGGCTGATGACGAGCCGCCACCACCTTCTTCCGATGAATTCTCGGCACCGCCGCCAACTCTTACACACTCCCATCGGCTCACTTTTTTCGCTCCAACTTTTCCGCCACCGTTTCGATTGTCCGATTTTTTCGAGCGAACTGATCGACTTCGCATTGCTGTTAGGATTTGACGAACTTTCGAACCGGCTGACGTGCTTTTCACACTTTCCACTCGAGACACTTCTATCAATGGTACCTGCAAGTTTTGATGGTTGAAAACTAGATTCAAGATTGAAAATTCGAAATTCAAAATCGAATTTTGCAGAATCTCAAGTTAAAAAATTGCAGTCAGAACAATATTTTCAGATCTCACAAATTCCAGAATCAATTTTCCCCACCCCAATATATTTTTTTTTCTTAAAAACGCACATTAACCTCATTAACATTATGATCATGTTCCAAATATTCATCTTTCTGATCCGATTCCTTTGATGTCGACGGCTGAAACAGAACTCATTTTCAATTTTTTTTCCCCAACCTCCCCCCCCTGCTTAGGGGCCCTCTCAAAATTCACCTGCTGATCATCTTGCGCAACAATCGTAACATGATGTTGATTCCTATCACTCATACTATCATAAGTTGTAGAATTCGGTATCTTTATCGACATTGCTCTTCTCAAATCATCGTGTCCAACCATGGAGGAAACACTATCAGCATCGATGAAGGGAAGAGATACTTCGGGTCTAGAATTAAAGGTTTTGGAAAAAAAACATAGACCCAATTTTCTAAACTAAACCGACCTAAAATGTGGATGTGGCCTAATTTCAAAAATACTTTTCAATTCTTCTTCCTCGTGTGATGCATTTGATGGTTCTGGCGAACAACATGGAGCTGTTGATTCTCTTTCGATTACTGAAGATGGTTCTTGATGGCCAAATCCAAAATTGTTGTTGTTACTTAATCGATCGAAATCGTCGAAACTTGGATTGCTGGAAAATGCTGATTTCGGACATGTTGTTTATTTTCAAAAAAAAATTGATATTGTCCAAGAGCAGACGTGGGGAAATTGTCCTGCTGTCCGGTCCTTGTAACCTGGCCTAAACCTGTCCTGGCTCTTACATGGCTTGAACATGGCCCCATACAACCTGGCCGGGCCAGGACAGGTAGCTATGGGAACCTGTCCTGGCTTATGTCTTACCACCCAAAGCCAACATGAGGTCAGGACAGGTAGCCAGGTTAGGCACGGGAACCTGTCCTGGCCTCATGCTGTCCGGTGCTTGTAACCTGACCTGAACCAAAGCCATACAACCTGGCCGGGCCAGGACAGGTAGCCAGGTTAGGCAGCGGAACCTGTCCTGGCTTATGTCTTACCACCGAAAGCCAACATGAGGCCAGGACAGGTAGCCAGGTTAGGCACGGGAACCTGTCCTGGCTTATGTTATACCACCCAAAGCCAACATGAGGTCAGGTTCCCCACCCCTGTCCGAGAGTCACCCCGGTAAAAATAAAAAAAATCAATCTACAAACCTATAATGCTGCTGTAACTGCTGCTGATGTGCAATCTCTTTCGTATGATCAATATTATTATTATGCAAAGTCATATGATTCCTAAATTGTGGCGGTGTTCCAACCGATGTTACACTCGTCTGAATTGTTGTTGTAGGAGGTGCAGTTTTATTTGGTAGACATCTGCAAAAATCTTTGTTCTATGGCCCCTCATTTGTTTTTTATTTCTGAAAATGTTCGCCCTCAAAAAAATTGGTGCACTTCTGAATCTTCAAGTGCATTCGATTATTTTTGTTATTTGAAGAATAATGCTTACTCTCGACTATTTGATGTGTCATTCGGTGAATCGGAACTGCTGTTATTTGCGTCGCTTGTTCGAACACTCACTTCAGGTCGACGCATTTCAGTCAACAAAGCCAATCGCTTGGTTTTCTAGAAAAATGATATGTTTCAAAGATTTCTGATCATCCCACCTGATCACTTTTCAACGCCAAAGTCTTTGCAGCTCGATAAATTCCCCAATATAAATATAACATTACAAAAAGTGTTGTCCAATAATAAGAGATATACATTCCCATATTTAAATATGGATCTGTCATAAATTGCACAAAACATTCTTCTTCTTTCAGTAATCGTTTACCCGTAAATGCGTCATAACCCCAAATTGACAAGGAAAATAGGATGGCCGGTATCTGGAAAATTAAAATATATTTTTTATTTCGTCAGTCGCGTGCGGCTGTGCGTCGCGGTCGGGAAAGCCGCACGCGACTGAGGTTTCACGTTTTTATTTATTTTTAACGTCTGCGACTATTCACGTGACACACTCTCTTGCCGCTTTTTTGTCTGCGTCTCCATTAACTGTCTTACTCTCACCTATTTCATTTTTATTCAGAGTTAAAACGTTGTGAAGTATTACGTTGTGACGTTGTGAAGTGACCCGCGAAAAATAAATTTGAATTTGCTCAGACATCGAGAGAGCGCGCTGGCAAACAGCCAACAGGGTTTTTGTATACCGACCGCAACGCACACGCGTCGCGGGGCATAACGGGAAATTCAAATTTATTTTTTTCGCGGGGTGGTTCTGATTTCCCATACCAGAAAAAATCTTGAAATCAAAAACTCACCAGCCAAATGAAGATAATAATCAAAATAACCCGCGTCGGTGTTCGCCAATTCCTATACAATGCCGGTTTTTTGACCGAATAATACCTATCCACAGTAATCCCGAGTACTGTATAAATTGACGCTAAACACACAATATAATCTAACGAGAGCCACAAATCGCACAAATGATTTCCCCATTTCCATGTCATTTTATTCAGATAAAATGCCGTGTAGACGGGAATTCCTTCCAGGCCGATCAGCTGTAAATTTTTTACTTTTTTTCAATTTTGTTCCCCCCTCGTTTTCCTTTTTTTTCATTTTTTCTACCAATTATCTTTTCCCCTTTCTTGAAAATAGCCCAAGAAGGTGCCAAAAATCATAAGGAAGAGAAAGAAAATGGCCGAGTTGAGACTTTAAGCCAAGCCACAATTTTTTGGTGGCTCCTGCTTCTGGTGCGCGCGCGAAAAAAAGTGGAATGTTTCGAACGGCTAAAAATGGGAGATGATGAATTGGTTCAATGGGAATACGTTGAGGAATTGGTGTAGATTTGTTTTGGGAGGGAAGGAAAAAAAGAAATTTAGAGGTTTTTGATTTTTCACGAGTTTTGTTTGGAAAGAAATCAAATTATTCACGAGAGACTAATACATCTATTTTTTGGGGATTTTATTTAAAAAAAAAGCTCTTTAGGTATGACGTGGTAAAATTGAGTACTGTAAGGTTAGGCAAGATTCAAGATTTCATAGAATTTCTGGAACACATTTCAGATTCTGAAACCTGATTTTGAGATTCTGAATTTTGAAGTCGGACAGACTGAAAAATCTTAAACAAAAATATTTTCAAAAACTTTTCCAAATGTTTTTTGAGGCTAGACTCTAGTTGGATCTAGACTTCAGAGACTTAGAATTCAAAATTACCAGGAGTACTGTAGGCAGCAAATGTTTGTTGTGTGCATTTGTGCGTCGCGGTGTATGTGTGTGGTTCCCGCGCTTTTCAGACAGTTTGAATTTTTTTTTTCTGCGAGTTTTTGAATTTCGGTAAACACAGGAAATGAAAAAAATTACAGTATTCTTTGGAAAGTTAAAATAATTTTGAAAATTATCCGCAAATTCTAAATTTTACAAAATTATTTCCCTATTTTTTTTCTGAATGACCCCCCCCCCGCCCTCCCCCCATTCGAAGGGGGGCCTTCAATCAGTTTTGTTTTCATACTTAGATATTTTCAATTTTCCTCTCCTTTTTCCTTTCTCGTTTATCTATTGCCTTGCGCCTTTTCTCTTTCCTAAATAGGCTTCGTTTTCGTTTTTGTCTTCGTTCTTTCTTTTCTACGCGCATATTTCATTTGTTATGTCCCCGGCGAGTTTCTTCTACTCTCTTCTTACACACACCCGAAAAAAAAACAACAAGCAGGAAAATTCGCCCCTACTTTGCTCAAACTGATGCTCACAACTCAATTGAGGAAAGGCGCGCGCAGGCAAGAAAAAAAACATCAAACGGGTTCTTCAAAACTTCTTCTTCTTCTTCTTCTTCCTCTCAAGTGCCATGTCTGATATATTTATACATATTGAGAAAAGGAAGAGGAGAAAAACAACACAAACATATCTAGGCTATAGATACACTTTTTGTCTTCAATTAGGAGGTATGTAGGATCAATATTTGACAACTTTAAAAATCGAAATATCAATGAGGATTAATACTAGGAGCTTTGTAGGATTTCGAAAGTCAGGTCCGATTTTTTTTTGACAAAAATTCTGAGGTGAACTTCTGAACCTAAGCTTAAAATTTTCATTTTCAGAAAAAATTCTAAATCCCAACCCCGCTGTATTTTTTGTTTCGAAAAAAATCACTTTCCTCTCCACCAACATTTTCCCTCCGTGAGAAAAGAGAGATACGTCCAAGATGGTAACACTTTTGCCTGCCGTCAATGAGACCAGGGTTCGAATCCTATTGCCCGCAAACATTTTTTTTCCAAGTTTACTGAACTTTTGCCAACTTCCTATATAAGTGACGTGGAAAATTCACGGCGTCAAAGTGCCCCCCCCCCCCGAAATTCCTTCCTTCCTCTCCCCTCGGCTACGCGCGCGAAAAAAACATGTTTTTTTTCGCGACTTCCGCGGCAACAATAACAACAATAATAATGGACTAGTTTGTCAGTTTCTCCTCGCTTCTCGTCTTAAATTGAATTTCAGACAAATTTTCAGCAAGCAAAAAATATTTGGAGACAAGTAAGTAAATAAATAAATACGTCAACTTGAGGAGATTGACAAGTTTTTGCAAGTGTGTAGATCACAAAAAAAAATTGCGATGCGATGCGGTTGCGTCGCCTGCTATTTTTTTCAATCAACTCCAAATTCAAAACAATTACGTGTACTTCTGACGGACAAGGTCTCGACCGGAACACAAATTGGTTTTGGTTTTGGCGAAGGAAAAAAAAGGGAAAATTGAATTCTGGCGGGGGCCCTTGTGATTTGATTGAAGGGGAAGAAAACACACGTGGAAAAAAATGAAAAATGTGCGAGTGAAATGGAGAATATTTTTTGAATTTTTGTGGAGAAGTGAGGTTGTGCGATAGAGCGCGTTTTCTACATTATGTGGGGTTAATGGAAGCGGAAAGTTAGAAGGTGCGTGAAAAAAAGAAAAATGTGCGAGTGAGGATTTTTTGATCTATCTACAGATTTACAACGTGGGTGAAAAATTCTGAAACAAATTTTTTGGAACTTTTTTTGCCCCAAAATTTGAAGCTACAGTAATTCGGTCTCTGCAAAAATCTTAGAACTTTGAGGGTTAGCCAAATTTTTCAGGGTACTGTAGTTTTTTAATCTGATCCAAATTTTTGTATTTCAAAATTTCCCTGCAAAAATCTTTCACGTTTTCACGTTTCACGAAAAACAAAGTTTGCCTCGGAGCGGGATCGAACTCGTGACCTAGAAAATTAAAGACAAGCATGTTAACCACTCGAACATGCGCTTCTGTTTTTTTTACCGTGCACATATTGTTTCGGAATTTTTTGATTTCACTTCAACATTGACCAATCCTCTATTATTTTATCGCCCCTTGTATTTGTCTCAACAACAAAAAACAACAAAATAATACGATGACTACTACTACTACACAACGACTTGGTTGAGAATACATTTTAAATGAGCAGTTTTGTCATCTTATTTAGAACCGCCCCACCAAAAAACAACGATGAATTATGTGATTTCTGTGCGCGGGTTGTTTATTTTTTGTTTCAAAACCTATTTTTTTCTCATGAATAGAATCCATCAAAAGATCTCAGGGGATCAAATCGAAAGAGTTCACACATCTAACTGACCGAACAAAAGGGGCAAATAAATTGGATTAGAAGAAGTCTACGCAGGTTTTCGACATAGGCTAAATCAGATAGGTGAACTCGTGGTTGAGGTGACCTTTTTGCACCCCCCCCCTCATCAAGTTTTCTTGTTGCATACGCACATCATCAGAGGAAGAAGCCAAAAATAAAATCTTCCTTTGCCAAAATTAGGTTAGAGCGCCCCTCTCCTTCTGACATACACGATTATGGTCAAAAAAAAGACGGGGAAAAAAAAGAGTTTTGCGTTTCTCGTCAAGATGGCAAGACATCGTCGTCACCACTTTTCGTCGAGTCTCAAGGGGAATTCACGCAACACAGAGAAAAAACACGACAAGAATCAACACAATGCTTGCGCATCCCCGGACTTTTTTGGCTGAACCGAACGAGCTCATTTTTCATATTTTTTGGTTGGAAGAATAGTGCAGATTGAGGAAAAAACTTTCTGGTATTATGAAAGTGAAAAAAAAATTTTCAAAAAAAAAACGGAGCCTGGAAATTCAAATGTCATTCTTCCCAAGTACGGTGTTTCTGCCAGTCGCTGCGAGACCCATATGACTTTGTTTCTCTGCCCAATGGGGTGGTCTCGAAACAGTGTTAGTGACGCAGAGGAATACCGTACTTGGGCCTCTCTATTTTTGCCAATTTTTTTACTTTGATAATAGATCAAAACCTAGTACTGTGCAATTCGATACTTTGGGAAAAGGTTCTCGAAGTTTCTGGCAAACGCAGTGAATGACTGTGAGACCTTAAGGGTGACAAAATTCCAGAAAACATTCCGAAGTTATTAGGAACTTAGCCTAACTCAAATTAGATACGGAATGAAAAAAAGAACTTCAGAGACCTTCAGGAATCAAAATGTTTTTCGATATCAAATTGAAGCTTAGAAAACCTTTTACAATTTAGCTCAACTCCTGAAAACCCTGGAATCTCGAAAAATTCCAAAAAATTTGGATCATTTTTCTCAAATTCTCGAATTTCCTAATAAAAATTCCGAACCCGATCATTAATGTTTACATAAAAAATCCCAAGTTATTTTTCACTAAACCCTCTTCATCTCTCGCCTACTCTTCTTGTACCTTACAAACATCATACTATAAAATGTGCCAAGTTTATTTCACCCCCAGCTACGCGCCTCTAATTTCCAATAGCCTCTTCACAATTTTTCTCTCCATCATCAAAAAAAGTTCTCGAATTTCTTTCAAATTTTTTCACAACTTCTCGAGTTACCACCATAAATTGCGGCTGCCCCTGAACTCACCAAATCCGAGATGGCGAGCGAAAAAATGAAATAATTAGTGGGTTGTCGAATATTTTTGTCGAGATAGTAGGAGAGGAGGACGGCTAAATTGCCGACGACAGTCACTATTGATAGGATGAGCATGAAAAGGCCGAGAATCACTTCGGCCACCGCCATCTTCAAATTTTGATTTGAAAACTACACTGTTGTTTTTGCCGGGGAACTAACAACAACAACATTTTAATGATAGCATTCTGGAAAGAAAAAATCAATTTGGAACACGAGACAGAATTGAGCAAAGCAAAAAAAGTTATCTGGTAAATAAAAAGATCCAGGTGATTTATGTATATACTCATTCATGGGTTTTATGAGATTCCAATTCTTTTTCGGAATGATGTTATGACAGGTTTCCGGTTATTTGATCTCACAAGAAGAAGAAGCTTTTCGAAATAATTTCACGTTTGAAAGAGCAGCGCAAAGAATTTTAAACGAGAAAAATGAGGTGAGTTGAGGTAAATTCAATTTTTGCCCCCCTGGTTTCCGTTTAGCCAGAAAACGAAAAAAGTTGAACAAAAAAAAAGAATTGCACTAAACCTTTCTTTATTCAAAAAGAAGTCACAGATGTTTTTTTCTCTGAGAGCCAGGAAAAAAAATAATAGGTATTTTTATGGGGGGTTAGATTACTGTAGGGTCCTGAAACGAACTAGAAAAAATCAAAAGATTCGATGAGAAGATACTTGAGAAGGAGCAAAAAGGAGAAGCCGCGCGCGCGAAAAGCAACAATGGGCGTGGCTTTCTCAAAAAGTAGGCCACGCCCACAATTTTTCACAATAACCAATTTTCAGTTTTTCCAAAAAAAAGAAAAAAAAAGAAAAAATGTTTCATAATCGAGAGACGAGAAATTAGATGGGATGGAAAATTAAATTTGAAAAATTAATTGTTTTTTTTTTTTGCAAGAGTCATAGGAAAAAAGCAATTAGGTGGAGAAAAACGCGAATTTTTGAAGAAAGGTTTTTTTTTTAAAAAAAAATTCTTTATAAACTTTTTTTGGAACATTATTGTTTATTTTTGGGGGATTAATTTGAAGAGAAAAAAAGAAGGCAATTTGAAAATGTTTCGAGCAAAACTCAATTTTCAGCACTTTAATTGAGTTTTACTCCAAAATAGGAAACGTGTTCCGATTTCAATCAACTTGAAACCTTTTTCCCCAAACTTTGCTCTTTTTTCCATTTCGATAATTAATTTCTAATGAAAAATTCAAACGTGACCTTATAATAATAATGACGTGGAACATGCTTTTTTCATCAAAAAATGAGTCATTTTTTAATATTTCAAAAATGGCAACACTACCAGGAAAAACTGCTGCAATAACAGCAACGCATATCAAAAATAAGAAGAGAAAAAAATCGGTAGTGAGTCGGAAGAAGCCGAAACCATGGAAGATGAATATGGAACAAGAATTCAAAATATTATCGATTGGCGGGAAACCGGAAGCTGATTTTCAGATGAAGGATTTGAATGAGGTATGATTTTGGAGGATAAAATAAAAAAACAACGACGAAACACACAAATATTTGAAAGTGTGCCGGACATGCAATGTTTATCAATAGGGCGCACTTCCATTTCTACTTTTATTTTCTTGTTTTTGTTTTTTCTTGTTTTTTGTTTTTTTCTTGTTTTTCGATGAATTTGAATGAAACTTGTTGTAAAATTCATTTCCTAGTACAAGAACCATACTCTTAGTTTATTTTCGATACTTTTATGGTGCTCAAAAAGTAATTTTATGAAAAATTGTGTTTTCTTGAATTTTTCTTATCGTTTTTCGAAATAAAAAATAAAATTAGCGAAAACGCACATGTTCGCCCTATTGACAAACGTTTTTTTCTCTAACCGCCTCTCAAATATTTTGTCGTTGTCGTACTTTTTTAGAAAATGAAAATAAGGTCACGTTCACGTATTTTCTTGATTTCGAAATTTTTTTGGACCCTGAAGACTCCGAATTTTTCAAAAACAAAGAATATTTTCAGCCCGTCATATGTTTTCGTAAAGCTCAAATACATTGCCCCGGTCCTGAAGCAAGTAAGTTTTTATTTTTCAAGAATTTCCCAAGAACCTCCCCAATTCTCTTCCAGTATACGCGGCAAATCTGAATCTATTGGAATATGTTGGAGCGACACTCGATTGGATTCCGCCACTAAACACATCTGCATACGCTGAAATTCGGAATTTGGATTATCGAACAACAGGCCTTCAGACAAATATGTGCCTGAATCCATTGATGATTATGAGAGGATGGGGATTGTTGGCGAATGTTGCGACTGGAAAAACATTGATTGAATTATCGGATTATATTCATGATCGTGAGTGTTCTGTGGTTTTTTGTGAAGGTTTTTTCTTTTTTCTATGAAAAAAAAAGTGTTTCAGATTTCCAACAAGAAAAAGGGGAAATCAAGAATGAGGATTCTGTTGAAAAGGATAAAGAAAGTAAGTGTTTTCCTATGAAAAATTAAAATTTTCTCCAAAAAAAAAACAAAAACAATTTCCAGCCGCTGCACGAGAACATGAAGCAGCCGAAATCGATCTAATCAATCAACTTCTCATTCAATTCCACGTCGACATCGAAGAAGATGTTGATGGATGCATCCGATTGTTCACTGATATTCAAGAGCATTTATTGCCCGATGATCGAATTCTTCACAATGCTTCGGTTTATTATGGCGGCAAAAGTGTGCGAAGTGCAGTTCAACAATTGTGTTTTGCCACCGATCCAGACGGGTTCTATTCGTGTTATCGGATTAATGAGGAAGTTGCGAAATCGACGAATCGAGCTGTCAGATATGTTGTACCGGAAAAATCTGCGCCGAATTGGAGGTCAAGTATGGTTGTTGTGTCTGCATCAGATTGCACGTTTCACTGGAAGACGACTGGGCCTGTTGAAAGTGTTGATATTAGATTTGAAGGTGGAATGACGCCAGCATGGAAAGCGAAGTGTTCATATTGGGTTTCGCCGGATAAATCGATTTATAAATTGCAAGGAGAAGCTTCGGATTATTTTCTCTATTTAATAAGGTACCTTTTTTCATAAGTAACTTTGGCATCTAATGAAAATATTCTAGAAACGATGCGAATCCATTGACATCAAATCTAATGTCATTATGTTTATCATCGGATACTTGGATCAAAACCGACGGAACACTTGTTGTACCACATTGTGTTATTTCAACCCCGATTTCATTGTTTGAGGTGACAAAATCTGATAAAAGTAAGTATCTAGACAATTTTTCCACCAAAAATACCACTTTTTCAGCCATCAATCGTATTTATTGTAGTGAAAAATCGGAATTGTATCGATTGCACTCGAATCAATTTGAAAATAAGGGAAACTTTATCACACTTTGGGATCACTATCACAAATCGATATTCAAAATCATAACTGAAGAGGAGGATCGAAATCACGATAGAAAACAGGCGTTCGACCCGAATTATGCACATGTTTGTACAGATGATTTGCCAGAAGGTCTGACTCCAGCGATTCCGCGAAGGGAACGAGCGAACGAATCGTTTTTCACTTATTATGAAGATCATTTAGATAAAAATCCACGAATTATGGAAAATGTTGATGCAAATCTGCAATACTTGCGGGAAGATGGTAGAATGGTTATGTTTAACACGAGTTTTCATTTTATTATGACACGTCATTGTGTGAGTAATGAAATGATATTGTGTGCTGGAAGATTTGTGAGTTTTGAGCAATTTATTCTCTATTTTAGAGCATTTTTTCAGACTAACACTCCGCTTGTGAATCATGGCTTGAACGAGGCTGAGAAAAAATAAACTTGTTGCCCTTTTTGTCCTTAAAATGTTGTCTGAAAGAAAAAAAAATGAAAATTTCAAAATAAAAAATTGTCCGAGAGAAGTACACAGGCGCAAATGTGCAAACACTGCGACGAACAAATGCACAATTGGATTTTACTTTTTTTTTCGAGCAAACTTTTTTTCGCCTCTTTTTGTAAACTATCTTTCATTCCCCGTGTATTTTTTGATTTTTCCAGATCGAAAACAAGATTTTCAGAATTTCACCTTTTAATGCTTTACAAGCTTCGATTCAAACTCTATTTTACCCCATAATTTTGGTATTCGCAATTATCCTCTATCACAATATGGATTTCAGCGGATATTCTAAAGAGGTTAGTTTTGAATTTTGTATAGTTCTACAAAAACTGTGGTGTTTTTCATTTTTTACCTTGATAGAAAGAATAGTTAAACAAAGAACACCCGTCTTATCATTTTGTATTATCATCTTTGAAAAAATTGATTTTGCACCGAAAAGTTTCTGGTTTTAGTTTTAAATAAAATGCTTGTTGGTTTGGTCCAAACTGTGGTGTTTTATGTTTACGAGGTAGTATAAAAATCAATAATTCCTAAAAGTTATCCAAAATTAATTTATTCCAGACACTTCTGAGTGGCGCGATTTTTGGAGGTGCTGCAGCCGCTGCCATCGCATATTTCTATCTAACAAGTGATTCAAGATCATCAGATTCAGCGAATAAATTAGTTCCCGGATTGGCGAATCAAGGAAATACATGTTATATCAACTCACTTCTCCAAGCATTATCGAGTTGTCCATCTTTTGTCGCCTGGTTGCGAAATATTAAACTTGAAGAAGCTGGATATCAAGGTGGATTTATTGATGCTTTGAGAGAGGTTATTGAGGGATTGAATGAGCCAACTGGGGGAATTTTGAATGCTGGAAGTATTGTGAATGCATTATCTGCTCATGGATGGAATATTAAATTTGGTAAATTGTTTATATTTTCTTCAAAAAAAATCAATAACGTTCCGATTTTCAGGCGTGGAACATGATTTGTACGAACTGTTCAATGTATTTGTGACAACTTGGGAAGATGAGCTCAAAAATTGTCGTGACACTTTGATTCGAAAATCTATTGACGATTGTTTTTCGTCGGATGACGATAATTCGACATCGAGTCCAGCGATCACCAGAAAATTATTGGCTTTCAAAAATGTGGCGAAATCTGCACGAGCTGATGCGAAACTCAGAAGTCCGTGCTCTGGAATGACGGCCACAGAATTCAGATGTTGTAATACACAGTGTGGATATAAGGTACTCAATGTTTCTCCCTGAAATCCATATAATTTTTTCATTTCCAGACCGTTAAATATGAGTCATTCACTGTTTTAACCCTCTCAATACCAAATTCACAAATGGGAACATCAACAAATGCTGAAGCACTTCTTCGCAGATATTTTTGCTCGGAAATTATTCGCGATGCGATTTGTGACAAATGCAAAGCGACAAATCGAAAACAAATGGGATTTTTGAAAAAGCATGGAATTGTAAAGGTAGGATAAATGAATTTAGTTTAATGTTTAGCAAAAAAATTCCAGCTCCCACAAACTTTGATGATTCGAATTGAACGAGTTGGAATGCTGCCATCCGGAAGTTTGAAGCTCAGCGAACATGTTGCGTTTGGGGAATGTTTGTCTCTTCAAGAAGTTTGTTTTAGAAAACAATCAAAACATAAAAAGGTAGGAGTTTTCTCCATTTTTTGAGTTAATCTAGAATAAAATAAGTTTTAGTTAGCCTATGAGCAAAACATGAATAAATGGCAATTACCTGATGGAACATCTCGAGTTGTTGGAGGAGCCGAAGAAGTTCGATCAAATCAATCGCCAGTTCATCCACATCCAAATAATGGTTATGATTTAGCATCGTACGCTGTTATTGAGTAAGTTTTATCCATTTTCGTTTAAAAAAAAATTCTCAACTAGAACGTTTTTTCAGCGGTGGTTCATTTGTGGCTGAACGCAAAGAAGCGCAAAAATTCACCTATCAACTTCGAGCGGTTTCCGAGCATCGAGGAGGTCCGTATTCGGGACATTTTGTAACATATCGACGCGCTTCGGCGCCAAATCATCATACGTGGTATTGTACCAATGATTCACAGGTTTGTGCTGGGTTTTGAGAGAGTTTTCATGGAAGAAAGTTTAACTTTTACATTTTTTGTTACAATTTTTCAATAGGGGAAAAAATATTTTAGGAGATTTCCGAAATCCAAATCTTTTGAAAAAAAAGTAGTTTTTTTCGGAACTACTCCAAAATTTCTGATTTTGAGAGGTTTTGATTTTTACGAAGCTTTAAATACATTTCAAAAGTTGCTCTAGAGATTCGTGAATTCGAATCTGAAAATTTTAAAATTGAAATCCTGAGCCTTGTAATTTGAATCTTAGGCTTTGTTAGATTTCATGGAAACCGGAAATATTCAACCTATTTTCCTGCTCAAAGCGAAATTTCCTTTCTAAATGTTCGTCCTGAAATTCAAGCTTCTCCCAAAATCTATCAAATATAAAATATTATTTGCAGGTAACACGTGTCACATATTCTCAAGTCGCTTCTTGTCAAAGTTATATGCTTTTCTACGAACGAATTCGGCCACATCGATCATATGATCGCGCATAAAATGTATTTATATTTATTGATTGATTGAAAATGTTCCCCCAACATAGAATTCTAGTGCCTTTTTTGTCTTTCCTAAAAAAATCATTTTTTTTAATTTCTTGTTTTATTGAAAAATTGGTCTGGGAACCATTTTAATATTTATCGAGAGATTTTTTTTTGAATTTGAATTTGAATTTCAAATTCAATTTTCTAGCTCACAAAGGGATGGATGAAAAATTACCGGAACATGTTGATGTGATTGTTTTGGGAACCGGTTTACCGGAAGCGATTTTGGCATCAGCTTGCTCGAGAAGTGGACTTAGTGTACTTCATTTGGACAGGTATTTTTGTCTTGAGAAAATCATTGCTCAAGTTGGTTTTTCATTTTCAGAAACGAATATTATGGCGCTGAATGGTCTTCTTTCAATTTGACGAGTATTAAAGAGTTTCTGCAGGAAGATCAGAATCTACCAACAACTTCTCAAGATTTGCTCGAAAAATTGAAAACTTCTCCTGAAGAAAATATTGTGCTATTGGGAAATCGTGAAATAATTGGAGAGAAAAAAGCGGAATGGATTCGGGAAGAATTCGAGGAACAACTCAAAGATCGATATCGACGATTTTCGATTGATGTTTTGCCCAAAGTTTTGTTGTCTAGGGGAGCTATGGTGAGTACAGATCAAATCGAAAAAATAGATCAAATTTTTGAAACGTATTTTTTTGTTGATTTTTTTCTCAGCAGTGATATTGATATTGAACGAATGAACATAAATTAAAAAATGTTGGAAATTTCATAAATTTTTGAAACAGTGAATTTTTTTCTCAAAATTTTTCACTGTTTCAAAATTGGAAGAAATTCTCAAAGTTTTTGAATTTCTCTAATTTGCTTTACAAATTTTTTGAAACAGTGAACAATTTCTTTATTAGAAAAATGTTTTTTGCTCAAAAATTATTCACTGTTTTAATATTTCAAACAATTCTCAACATTTTTGAATTTCTCTAGTTTGATTCAAAAAATTTTTGAAACATGGAAAAATTTTTTATACAAAAATAAGTTTTTTTGCTCAAAAATTTTCCACTGTTTCAAAATTTCAAGAAATTCTCGATTCTGAATTTCTTCAATTCATCAACTGATAATATTAGGAACTCCCAATTCGAGGATTCATCAAAGTAATTCAAAAGTGTGGAAAATTTCATAAATTTTTGAAACAGTGAACAATTTTTTTGCTCAAAAATTTTCCACTGTTTCAAAATTTCAAGAAATTCTCAATATTTTTGAATTTCTTCAATTCGCAAAGAATGTTCGTGACAAAGTTCGTGAAATTCATAGCTCAGTTTTTTTTAACTTATATTATTAGTGCTTTTATGAAATTTCCAACATTTTTGAATTTATGTTCATTCGTTCAATATCAATATCACCGCTGAGAAAAAAATCAACAAAACAATTCTATTTTGTTCCAGGTTCAAACCCTTTGCGATTCCCAAGTCTCCCAATACGCCGAATTCAAACTCGTCGATCGACAATTGTGTCCGGTTCTCAATGAGGGAAAAATTGAGTTGAATCAAGTGCCTTGTAGTAAAGGGGAGATTTTCACAAGCCCGGTTTTAACGTAAGTTTTTTTTTACTTATGAATTTTTATTATCATTAAAAATATTTGTTCAGAATGATGGAGAAACGTGGATTGATGAAATTCATCACGTTTTGCACACAATGGAAATTGAAGCAAGGAGAGGAAACGAAAAATGAACAAGGAAAAGAGATTCTTGGAGAATATGCTGAAAAATCTTTCGATGAATTTTTGAAATCAATGGGAATTGATGAGACTCTGAGGAATTTTATAATTAATACGATTGGAATTCTGGAGACCAATCCGAATACTTTCGAGGTGAGGTTTTCCAGTGAAAATTTGATATGAAATTTACTTTTAAAAAATACCGGAATCCTATTTTTGACAATTTCAAAACAAAGTTTTCTGTGAAAAATTCACTCTAAAATTTTTATCCGAATAAAGTTAATGACCCCAAAAATTAGGGTTTTTAATTGAACGGAAAGATTTGAATTAAGATAAATTAGTTTTAGTTTTTAAAAACTATAGTTTAAAAGTCACGTAGAAAATTCAATTAAAAATGAAAAACCTTGTGAATAAATCATTTTTGAACTCACAGAAAATGCTCCTTGAGCCCCCCAAAAAGCCCAGATTTTGTTGCAGGGTATGAAAGCCTGCTGTGATTTCATGGATTCGGTCGGACACTTCGGACCATCACCATTCCTCTTCCCGCTTTATGGTTGCGGTGAATTGTCGCAATGTTTTTGTCGACTTGCGGCGGTTTTTGGAAGCTTGTATTGTCTTGGTAGACCTGTTCAAGCATTGGTTTATGATAAACAAAATAGGTTGGTTTTAGCTCCCTTACATCTGGATTATTGCTCTAAAAATAATTTATGAATGTACTTTTAATTCTAAAAATTCCCACGATTTTATTTTCACCTGCAATCCTGCTTTACAATTTATGTATAAAGCGTGGGAAATTTCCCACTAATTGCACTTTTTCCAGAGTTTGCGCTGTAATTGCTGATAATCAACGAATTAATTGTGATCGCATAATTATGTCAGCAAAATATGTTCCGGAAATCTATAAACCCGGAAAATCTGAAAATATTGAAAGAATTTGTTATATTACCGATAAAAGTATATTGAAAGGAGAGAAAGAACATGTAGGTTTTTTGAATTTTTGATTTCCCCCGAAAAATTTTTTGTTTTTTTTTGTAGATCTCACTTATAAATATTGCATCACTTCGAGCGAATTCGCAAATTTCGCGAATTATTGAGGCGGGTTTTGAAGTTTTTACTGCGCCTAAAGGATTTTGTGAGTTTTTTTTTGAATATGGAAATTTGAATTTGAAAAATTTCAGATCTTGTGCATGCCACTGGAAGTTCAGAAGATTCAACTTCGAATTTGGAAGATTTGCTCCTGAAAATTTTCGAGCAAAATGAAATTGAACCCATTTGGCGGCTGAAATTCGATATAAAATCGTTGAGTTTTGACGAAAAGAATATTGAGTTTCCCGAAAATTTGACGATTTCTCCGAATTGCGATGCTTTTATACATTATTCGAAGGTTATTGATCAGTGTCGAGAGATATTTTGCGGAATTTGGCCGGATCGAGATTTTCTACCAAGAAGTATTAAGAAAGAAGAGGAAGAAGCTGAAGAAGAAGCTGAAGATGAAACTGAAAATATTGAATAAATTATTTATTTATTATTTGATTTTATTTTTGTTTTCAAACATAGCCGTTTTTGTCGGAACTTCTTTTTCTCTAAAAATTATAGTATTTTTTTCAAAACCAGAATTTTCAGCTCTTTATGAACTTGAAACATGACTCGATTGCGATGGAAATGGCTGCGAATATGGCGCTGAAAATGCTGATTGGTGAGAAGAAGTTTTTGGCGAATTTGGAGAAGCGGGTGGAGCGGAGATTGATTGGCGAGGAGGATTTTGAGGAGGAGGTGAGGCAGAAGCTTCCGATGTACAATTAAGCTTGGCCGAGACCACCCACGAAGCCTAAACTTGAACCAAAAATAGATAGAGATGAAAAAAATAAAATTTCAAATTTTCCTGTACGCAAAAGTTCGTCGCAGTGTTTGCACACACCAATCCGCGGCGGCAATTTCAAATTTTGAATTTGAGTTTTCCAGCAAAAACCTTCCACATCCACCTCAGCTCTCAAATCAATGTCTCCCGAAACTGAAGAAATCATCGTAGCGATTCGAGAATTGATTGGAAATTTGAGAAATTTGACAAAGTCATTTGAAGGCAAGTCATTTTCCTCCCAGCAAAATCAATTTCAATTTTCAGATTTATCCGAGAATTTTGTGACGGATGAAGATTCGAAATTCTCGAATCACGATGCTGCAACTGTTTTTGAAGCCGGTCTGAAAGTTGAGCGAATTTGTATGATGGAAGGGGTGGAAATGGCGAAACAGTGGGTTTTTTTTTCGAAAAAAAAATTAATGGAAAACAAATTTTTTTATTTTTTTTCTAGAATTGGATCAGCTTCTAGAAGACTTACTCATGTTATAAAACAATTGGGCAGAAAATTTATAGGGTAGGTTTTGCACAAAAAACAAATGAAAAATTGAAATTTGGATTTCCAGGAACTCGAAAATCCACGTCTCAAATTGTTATTCAAGTTCGAATCGACTTTGTGATCTTTGTTATACTGTAGCTCAAGAAATCGATCGATTTGCTGATGAAAAATTGAATATTTCGAATTTTGAAGCGCGCAAGATTCAGGAGGTTTTTATTTTTTCTCAAATTTCTCATTTATTATTACGATTTTCTTTCAAATAACCCAACCATGAATTATTTAGTTTTTTTTTTTCTTTTTTCCATCCGAGAAAATCCAGATGTATTTCCTGTTTTCGGATTTCAAAAAAAATGAAAAACATAAATACAAATAAATATTTTCAGATTTCGAAAAATCTTCTCGAATCCATTGACGCGTTTAATTTGATTGTTGTCGAAAAATTGGGAGAAATGAGGAGGAAAAATGAGAAATGGGAAGAAGCGACTTCCAGTTCGAATTTGAAGGCTGAAAGTCCCCGCAAATTTGCCACGTATAGTCAGGAAGTGAAACAGAAAAGGGAGCAGATGAATGGGAGGAGACATCGACCCGGAAGTATTAACGCGAAAATTTTGCGACAGAATCAGAGGGGGTATTTGCTGGAGTCGGGATTGAGAAGGGTTGGTTGGTTTTGCACGGGATTCTGGATTTTGGAGAGCAATTTTCTAACGAGCAAGATCCTGTTTTCAGTTTTTGCTGAGAAATTCTCTGAAGAGCCCAAAAATGAGCCAAAAGTTGAGAATTTTTGAAAATTCGTGGATTTGAGAGCCCATAACTCATGTTAGAGATGATTTTATGGAAAATTGAGCACAGAGCGATGTTCAGCAAGGTCGATTTACCAAATGTGCAATTTTCTGAGCCACAAAATGTTTTTTTGAAAAATTGTGAATCGACCCTCCTGAACAACGTAATCAATTCAGTTTTTCATAAAAATCATCTCTAACATGAGTTATGAGCTCTCAAAACCACGAATTTTCGAAAATTCTTCATTTTTGGGGTCTTCAGAGAGTCGCGGAGCAAAAACTGAAAACAGGATCTTGCTCAGCGTGAAAAACGGTACAGAAACATTTTTGAAAATCTCCGAGAGATGATCCGAGAGAAAAATGAGCTAAAAATCAATAATTTTCGAAAATTTGTGGTTTTGATTGCTCATGTTAGAGATGGTTTTTTTTTTGGAAAACTGAATACAGGGCGATGTTCAGCAGGGTTGATTTACCAAATTCAAAATTTTTGGACAACATTTTTCAAATGTACAATTTTCTGAGCCACAAAATTCTTTATGCATTCAGTTTTTCATGGAATCATCTCTAACATGAATTACAGCCTCTCAAAACCACGAATTTTCAAAAATTCTCCATACTTGAAGAATTTTGTGGCTCAGAAAATTGCGCATTTGAAAATTTCTGGAAAACTTTGTCAAAACTTGGTAGATCGACTCTCCTGAACATCGCCCTGTATTCAATTTCTCATGAAATCATTTCTAACATGAGTTATGGACTCTCAAAACCACGAATTTTCAAAAATTCTCCATTTCATGGGGTCTCAAAGAGTTTTGGAGCAAAAATTGAAAACAGGATCTTGCTCAGCGTGAAAAACTGTACAGAAACATTTTTGAAAATCTCCGAGATCTCAAAACACATTTCTCGTAACTATTTTTATCAAAAAAAAAACTGACACGAGGAAAAAATAATTTCGCGTCTCACTGATGATCATTCGGCTGGAACCCCTTCGTCCAAAAAAAGATTCCAAAAAATTTTTAAATCAATTTGTTTCCAGGCTCGAGCTCGCATTTCCTGCTCCTCATCGACTACTAAAATCGCCACGGCCGCCGCCCCGAAAAAGGTATCCATCAACTTTTTGTGCAAATTTTTTGACCTTTAGTTTTTTTTTCCAGAAAGAATCTCCCGAACCTCCTTCAAAAAACGACGAGGTTTTCGAAACGGCCGCAATTTTGAGTCGAGAAATTATGGACGAATTGAGACAATTAAAGTTTTGAGAAAAAGGAAAGTGGAGTATTCCCAAGCCACGCCCCTTTTCTTTACTTGAAACACTCATTTATCAAAAATAATCTCGCTCAGGGCTTTTGCCATTTTTTTGCTACGTGTAACCCTTTCTCCTTCTTTCTTGACATAAATATTTCAAAGTATACTTACAGTAGTTTTATTTTTTTTTTGAAAAACCAAAAATGAAGGCGTGTCCACAGTAAGAAGCCCGGATGTTTTTTCTTATTTTTTCTGACCACGCCCACTTTTTTTATTAGTTTGTATTTTGGGATTTTCTGGGGGTGTTGGGGAAAAATGTTTGAAAATTGTGAAAAATTCATTTTTTTGAAGTTGCTAGCGCCTTAAAAATTCAGTTCAAGGATCAGCGCCGAAAGATGCTGGTTCTCAAGTAGCTGAGCCTATAGAGCTTAATCTTCTAGGCCTCGCGCCTAGAGATCCAGGTCGACAAGTAGCCAAGCCTAGACACCCTAGATCTCAAGTCACCGCTCTTAGAGACCCACTCTGGAAAGGTCTAGCACCTAGAGATCACAATTCTCAAGTAACCGCTGCGGGTAAGTTTAATTGTCAAGAGTCAGCGCCTACAGAGCTTAGTTCTGAAGTAGCCGCGCCTAGAAGTCCAGGTCGTCATGTAGCCACGCCTTGAGGGCCTAGTCTCAAGTAGCTGAGCCTAGACACCCTTGTTCTCAAGTCACCGCTCCTTTCTGAAGTTGAATTCTGGCCCCATTCTCGCACTTGTTTCAAATTCCAAAAAAAATGTTTGGAACTAACTTCAACCCGCAAAATTTTTAAACAAATATTTGTTTTCCATGAATAATTGACTGAAATTCAAGCTTTTGCTCTGAAAAAACCGGGTGATGTTATGTGGAAGCGTTTTTGTGAATTTTTGAGTTTTTATTGGATGCGCGCGCGAATTTTTCGCCTCCCCAATGGACATTACTACTTTTCTGGGTCTTCCAATTTTTCATGGATGTTTTATGAGTCGGAAAAAAATGTTTTGGAGGCGGAGATACTTTTTTCGAAAGTTTTAGAAATATATTCGTCATATATTTTCAAAAATCCCCACCTTTTTGCTCATTCATTCCATCAACAAAAATCTATAATTCATAAGAAGTTGCATCAACTTCCCAAAAAGATTTTTCTGATCAGGATTCTTTTTTTCGGAAGTATGTAAAAAAACGAACCAGGAAATCCTATTTCCTCTAAATTTTAATTGAAAATGGCGCGAAATGTTTCCCCCGAGACAACACTTTTCACACTTTAAATGTTCCGAAAGTTTTTTTCAAGCACTGATTTGTATTTTATATAGTAGTAGGCACTTTTTTTTTCAAACAAAAATAGAATAAAAATAAAAAAGTATATTTTCAACCCATTGTTTTTTGGCAAAAATAATAATGAATATTTAGTGAGAGGCGTCTTCTCTTTTTTTTTCTTCAGTTGGTTGAAAATCTGATTTTTTCTGAATTTTGAAATGACTTTTCCGAATCCGTTTTTCAAAATTGCCCTAAAGCAGTTTGGTGCCATCGAAAATGCATTGTTTCATATCTCAAACATTTGCACGAATATAAAAAAATGAGCGCGTGGCCAAGTGGTTAACACGCTCGTCTTGTAATCTTTTGGTCGTGGGTTCGATCCCGCTCCATGGCAAACTTTTTTTCTTTTTTTTTGCAAATGCATTTTTTCGCCCAAATCGGTTCATATTATTTTTTACATCTGAAAAATCAAATTCTTGAAATCCGGATACATTTCAACCCATTTCTGATTCTAAAAAGTTTCTAGCATAAAATCTCAAAGAGAAATCCTGAATCTCACGAATTTTCGAAAAAAAAACTTCATAACCCTGGATCACGTTGTAATATTGGTCCAAATTTTCCGCAGAGCTCATTTTCTTGTGCTCAGACTGTTGATGTCAGCTTAATCTCAAAAAAGTTCCTGAACATCCTGAAAAGTTTTCACATGTTTTTTGATGTTCTGTTTATGACAGGATGATTCAACATTCTTTTCTCCTGCTCTCTCATAAACCTACAGTACATATTTAATGTCAAACCTTTTTTCTCATGATTTATTCCACCACTAAAATACATTGGCTACACCGAAAAATTCGGGTGGTTGAAAGGCTACAAAGTTCAACGAGCAATCCACTTTGTCGAAATTCATTCGACCTTTTCCACAAAAATTGAATTTTGAAAAAATTCCAAGGACCGCCCATCTTTCCGACATTTCCAATTTATCTAATTGCCACCCAAGCTCTATTTAAACTCGCTTCTGAATTTTGGAATATTCACATTTAGCTTACGATTAGATTTCACTTTTTTTTGGTTCAATCTGATTCTGATCCCATTTTTTTTCCAGAAACTTGTCGTAAAAATGTTCCGATCATCATCAATCTTCATTCTCGTCGCTGCGATCTTCGCATTGATTTGCGTCGTTGCTCAAGCAAGATCTGTGCAATATGGTAAGTGAGAGTTGAAAAATAAAAGGTCGTGAGAACATCTAATAATTTATTAATTATAGACTTTGACGAATTGTCGCAACAATCCGGATTCCCATACGCACAATGGGCCGAACTTCCACACAAAAGAGTTCCGTCGGCCGGTGATATGATGGTTCGATTCGGAAAACGAAGCATTTAGTTCTCGTGTTGACCATAACTCATCTTAATCTCTTCTCTAATTCTCTAATTCTCTCTGTGTGTGTTTTATTTTCCAACCAAAAAATGTGTGTGACTGAACTATTCTTTTGCGACAATAAAATGATTATGTGAACTTTAAATATTTTTGGGATCAAAAAAAGGTTTGGGAGCAGAAATTTTAGGAAAATTCGCAATTTCCGGTTCACTTCAAAACGTGGATGTTTTCAGAAAAATCGGATACTTTCAGAAACTTTTTGAATCATTTTTTCATTGAAAATTTCATTTTTCTAGTTTTTCAGATGGAAATTCAAAGTTTTAGAATATATTACTGTAATTTTTCCGAAACATTTTGCAGTTCTCTATTTTTCGGCTGAAAATTCACACTTTGTTTCCAAAATCGAAATTTTTTTCCGAAAGCTTAATTTTTTTTATTTATAAAAATTTAATTTTTTTCAAATGAAAATTCTGAAACTTTTTTTTTTGAAAAATTTTGCAGTTTTTCATTTTTCGGCTGAAAATTCATACTTTTTTCTAAAATCGAAACTTTTTTCCGAAAACTCAATTTTTTTTCATTTATTAAAATTTAATTTGTTTTTGAATGAAAAATCTGGAACTTTTTTGAAAATGAAGTTTAGACAGCTGCAGGGCTTTCACAAAAATTCAAAATTTTCAAGTTTAGTCCAAATTAGTTTTGATCAAATCATATTAGAGTACTGTAGTCAGCAAATGTGTGTTGTGTGTAATTGTGCGTCGCGGTGTACCAGAAATGGTTCCCCGCGCATTTCAAACCGTTTGAATTTATTTATTTTTTTCTGCGTTTTTCTGAATTGAATTCTGCTGAAAACAGGAAATGAAAGCACCGTATGTCCAAAAAATTTCAAATTAGTCATCTGAACTTTTCGGTCACATTTCTTTTTTGTGCTCATTCTCCTTTTGTTTTAGTACATCCATAGCCTTCTCCATTTTTTCTTTTCTTTTTTTCACACACTTCGATTTTTGGCTCACAACAATTTTTTGGAGCAAAAAAAGCACAAAAAAGGCAGTTCATTAGGATCGCCCAAAGTTTTTTTTCCTTGTATTTCTCTCGGAGAAGAAGCCAAAAACACTCAACTTCAAAAAAGTACTTATGTTTTTGTTAGAAGAAGATGTAGTCAATGACTTTTTGATGACTTTCTTGTTTTTTTTTTGCGTTCGGGAAAATGTTATCGCCCCAAATTGATGAGTCATTCATTTTGTCAGGCGCCGTAAAAATTATCAGAGATTTTTTTTTCGAAAAAAATAAAAAAATAAAAGTAGAAATGTCTCAATTTCCTCATCAAAAATTCCATTTTCGTTGAACTTTTCGGACATTTTTTCCCGTTTTTTTTTCTTCTCAAAGCTTTATTCATTGGCCACCGCCATTTTTTCCCAGAACGATAAAATTGATAGGTTCTTCTCTTCAATTTTTATGACTTTTTGGTCAATTTTATTTTTGTGTTCACTTTCATTTTTTGTTTTCTTTGATTTCTTCGAGGTCATTTTTATAGAAATTTTTTTCAAATTGAAATATTTTTTCCATGTAAATTTTGAATTTTCAAGCTCAAATTTTAGCCAAAAATCCACGTGGAAAGGTTTAGGTTCTGAACATTTTTCTAGAATTCCGAAAGTTTAGCTTCACCTGCCACTTGGATTTCAAACTATTATTTCCACGTGTAATTTTCAAGTTCGAAATTATTTCAAGATTTTTGATTTCGAATAAAAATGAACCAAACACTCTATCAGAAAATGTTCTCAACAAAATTTTATATCCAAATTTTGAAACGTATTTTATCCGCGAGTTTTGAAGGGGGAATTTTTTGAAACATATTTTGATGTTCAAAAAATCAGGATTTCTGAAACTCATAGATTTTTTTCAAAATCAAAAAAATCCACGTGGCACTTTTGTCTGTCTAGAAAAAAGTGTCCAATTTATTGAGCTCGCCTAAGAAAAAAAAACAAAATTGAAATGAAATAAAATGAGAGCCAAGAGTCAAGAGCAAGAAAAAAGAGCCCAACACATTTTTTATGACATTCATTCTCTTTTTTCACGATTTTTTATGCTCTCATTTTTGACGCCTTGGCAAAAAGAATCCCGATTTTTTTATTTTCCACGGCAGTTTGATCCAGTTTTTCCCACCAACACCTATAATTAGCCGCAATTTTTTCATATACAAATTATATATATGTTTTTATTTGTTGTCTCGCAAAAAGTTGTTAGTTTCTGGATTCGATTCGAGAGAGAAAAGTAAACATTAAAATGAAAATGAAATACTTTTTATGTAGTTCTTTTTGCGAAAATTTATTGTTTTTTTCCGAAGTGCGAAGAATTATTTATGTCAATAATTTTCTTCCGGATTTTTTTCCATATAGTTTACTAGAAACACTTTTTTTGTTGCAACTAACACATGTTGACACAATTTTGACAAATTTTGTCTCATTATTTTTTCTCGTGTTCGCACAACTTCGTTTAGTTTTTTTTGTCCAGGTCACAGCAGCGGCGGCGGCTCACATAAAATAACTATTCTCTTTTTTTCTTCTTTTTGTGTTCGGGAGGGGATGAAAATGAAACAAAATTGCACAATTGTGATGTGCTATAGGCTAGGATAGGGTTTCGAAATTTTCCGGTCGATTTTTTGTGCCAAGAAGATTTTCTGAATTTGTATTTTTCCGGCTTCTAGGAGTTTCAGCCACGTGGATTCTCAGAATTTGAATTCACGAGTTTTCCAGAAATTTTCATCAAATAGAAAAATATGCCCAAAACATTTTTGAACAAAAATTTTTGTTGCGCAATTTTTTTTTCTGTGGAAAAATTGAGACTTTCTGAATCACCCCCGATTTTCCAAAGTCTCTATTTTCCAGAAAAAAATCCCTGGTTTCTCTCAAAATTTCAAAAAAGTTATCCTAAGTTATCCAAAAAATTTCAATTTATAAAAATCTGCTAATTATTCTGCTGAAAAAAATTATGTTTTTGACATTTCTGGATTCTAAATTTTTTTTCCTGTTTCAAAATTCCAAAATTTTTCAGTTCTTGTTCTTTTCCTTATCAAATTAATCGAAAATATCCAATATTTTTTCTGCAAAATTGATTTTTTCCAAACATTTTTCAATAAATTTATATCCCATAATTGTTTTTCACATGTTCGCAACAATTTTTCATTTTCCATTTTTTTCAGTTTCATACAACCTTCAAAAAAAATGGTATAATGGACGAAATTCGCGCATTTTTTGATAAATATGTACAGATTCCAAGGTATTTTCACAAACTTTCAAAAAAAAAAAAAAACAAAGAAAATTCAATTTTTCAGGAGCTTTTCCTTGGATGAAAATCATCACTATGTGATTTTCATCGCTTTATTTATTCTTGTTATTTTTGGTTTATTGATTTGTAATTGTTGTATATGTTATTGGATTCGACGACGAAAAAGGAGAGAGGTAAGTTATTCTTGAATTTTTTTTGAAATGAAAAATAATTGGAAAAATAAATAAAACGTGAACTCACGTGAATATTTGCGTGGCATTTTTCAAATCTCATTTCTAAAATTTTGACGAAAAAAAAGCATGAGCAAGGAAGTTTGCTCTATCTCACACATAATGTTTTTGTGTATTTCTTCTGGAGTTTGTAAAAAAATGCAACCCTGGCACACTTTTTCAACACCAGGAAAAGTGTGCCAGGGTTGCAAAAAGTATAGGTTTTTCAAAAACAGGAATTTTCCAGAATTTTAACTTTTAAAAAATCGCCCCTTAAAAATCCTCACCTCACAAGCTTTCCAGCTCATCGATTATCCATCAAACACCCTCCAATACATGCGTTTTCCACGAAACCAGCCTCGAAAACCCTACCGTACTCCCGAAAGTACTTGTTCATCAAGTAAACCAATTCTAGCCTCGGTCCCAGAAAATGTCTAAAAACGGGTCTCTTTTTTTTGTCTTTTATTTGTTGTAAAATAAAACTTAAAAGAATCAACAATGCGTGTGTGTTTCAAAAATTCCAGACAAAATTTTGCAGAAAAAAAAGAAAAAAGTTCTGTGTATATACAGATGATGTTGGGAATTGGGGGGAGCGCAAAAAAAACAAAAACAACACTACTCAGAAGTCTAATGTTTGAAGAATCCTGGTTTTCAAGTGAAATTGACGGGGGGGGGGCGCTCGATCGATTATAATTAATTTTTGTTTTTTAATATAAAAATATCAATATCGGTGGGGGATAGATAGATAGATAGATGAATAAATGAGGGAATAATTGGCAGGAAATCATAGATTAACAGGGAAAAAAGTGAATTATGGAATAATTTGACCGTGTTGAAGTTCATCAACATGAACAAGATGTGTTGTGTGATGATCATCTTCCAAATGTTCCATTCCAGGCATTTTTGACATGTCTGATTTATATTGACGCATTTCCTACAAATTTTCATTCAAATTTTTAAAAATACTTGGGAAAAACTGTGGAAAACTTGCTACAGATTTTCTCAAAATCAAATTTTTTTCTTCCCAAAACCCCACCTCTGCATATCGATCTTTATCCAACTGCGCCTTTCGTTCATACATATCTTTGGTCTCTGGTGAAATGGTTTTCCAAAGTCTTCCCAATTCCTGTGCAACTTGTCCGACTTTCCATTCTGGATGTCCTGCTTGAATATCCGGACGTTTGTCTTGTGAATAGAAGAAGAAGGCAGATCTGCAAAAACATTTTATTTTATTTATTTATTTTTTCTTTGAACGTGAACTTTGTGATGAAAAAACTATTTTAGTTGGGTTTTCTGTTATTTTCTATTCTTGGAATTGCACTATGTCATTTATGTCAGATTGCACGTTTTTCCTAAATAATGTGAGTTTGAAAAAATTATTTTTACTAAAATATGTTATTTTTAGATCATAATGATTTCAATTGCAATTTACACATGTCTAATTTGTCGGAAAAATGCGGCGTTTAAAAGTGATGAAAAGGTAATTATTGATTTTGTGCATGTGATTCTAAGACAAAAAAATACTTTTCAGGTGAATTTGGTGAAAAAATCTGCGTCTAAAAAGAAGCAAACACCAGTTGGAGGACCATCTCCACATTCAGCGTGAGTTTTGATATCTCAACAATATTTTTAAATTTTTTAAATCTAGATTACCCCCGCCAAATGTTCCAATTTCACCAAATTTTAAAGAAGATGATACATTACAGTGAGTTGGATTTTTTGTTGAACTTTTGATGAAATATACCAAATCAACCATGCTGATCACAATTCCGAAGTCAAAAATTGCCACAAATGCATGTGAGCACTTTTCTGGAGCTCTGGAGCAAAGTTAGAATTGAGTTTTGGTTTTCCCCCTGGGTGGAAAATCAACTTTTATAACTTGGATAAGGTTGTTCACCACATTCGAAAACCTATTCGCTTTTTAGTTTTTCACTGTACTTTTCAAAAAAGTCCTGAAAATACACACGTTTTTCAAAGTTTTTTGTGCAAAACTACAGTTTTCAGCTAGTTTTTCATAATTTTGAAAAACTAAAAAGCGGATAGGTTTTCGAATATGGTGAACAACCTTATCCAAGTTATAAAAGTTGATTTTCCATCCAGGGGGGAAACCAAAACTCAATTCTAACTTTGAAGCTCCAGAAAAGTGCTAACATGAATTTCTGGTAATTTTTGACTTCGGAATCGTGATCAGCATGGTCGATTTGGTATATTTCGATATGTTTCATCTTTGATTTTTCTAGGGAGGTGGAATCGTTGAAACCGGATAATACAAAGCTCAAAAAGGGTAGAAAATAAAGCAACTTACAATGCTCTTTTCGGTGCGTGTGGATCTTTCTTGGCTCGTTTCCTCTTTCTCATTGCATCCTCTCCGCCATACGCAGCAACCTATAAATAAGATCCCAAAAATTACTCAATCAATCTGACCACCTAACAAACTACCTCAGCTTGATATCGTTCTGCGTCTTTTTGTGCCAACTCGTAGAATCGTCGCTTCTCATCATCCACCATCGTCTTCCATTTTTCCGAACATTTTTTGGAGATTTCGGTGACTTGAACATTCTCGTTGGGATACTTCTTCTTGTGCTCTTCGTAGCACATTTTGACGAAAAAGCCGTATGGCGAGGTTTTGCCACGGACTGGTGGTTTTCCAGTGTCACGCGGCGCTTGATACATTGTCAGCGCAGCTTGTGGCTGGAAGTGGTTTGGCTGCAAAATAATTGGATTAATTTAAAGATCTTAGGGGTCCCGCGGGAACTTACGATTTGGTGGGACTGAAAAACAGTCGAGGCTGAGCTGCTCGGAAAAATGGTTGCGCTGAAAGCCGGTTGGTTCATCATTTTTAGACAACAATTTCAGCAATCAAATAGCACAAAGTGAGAAATAAGAGTGCGCAGACACTTTGTTATGTTGTTGTAAGTATGTATGGCGTTGTGTTTGTTGTGTAGAGGGAAAAGAAAAAGAACACAGCAGAAGGGAGTTAGAAAATAGTGTGCGCGATTGAAGAGACGGCTAGACGACTAGACAAACGAGGGAGAGAGTGTAATTTGATGAAGAGACGACGCTATGTGACCAGGCGCGTTTTGGGAGAGCGAGACTGTCTGCGTCTCGCTGTCTATGTGATTTCAAAAGAATCCCAATTGAAAGAGGGATGGAAATTGAGAGGGGAAAAGAATCAACAAACAATAATATTATGAATTTTTGTTGGTTGAAATGAAATATGATAGCTTACGTGGAAATTTAAGGTTTTTTTCTGAAACTCGAAAATGTTTTGATTTCGAAAGACAGATGGCATCAAAGATAAAAAATTTGATATGAAAATCTGAATTTTTTTTTAAAATTTCTTGAAAACCCCTCGTATTTCATATTAATATTCGAAAGTAATGCATACATAATAAATTGCAGACAATTATCTGAAATTGAAAAAAATCTCACACTTTTTCTGACAAAATCGTATAGCTACTTTTTTTTAATTTTTCTCACTCAGTATATAAGCCAAAGAGCCGCCCATATTTTCACATTATAATGCTCTAATTATTATACTTACTTCTAGGTGGTTTGAGACTTTCAGTTCTCGGAATATTTTGTGCGAGACTTCAGCAATTTTGAAAATTGAAATTCTCGCATACTATATTCCGAGTATTGATAAGAATCTAAATATCTTTATATTTTCTTTCTAAATCGAGATTATTGCCAGCCGGCTTAAATATAAAATTTCGTTTTGGATAAACTAGAGTCTAGTTATTCAATTTTTGAAAGATAAGTTAGTAAGAAGAATGATGGATTCAAGAGTTTTAGTTGAAAACATGAACTAACATATGAAAAACTAATTTTATATACAAATTCGCCTAAAAGGTTCGAAAAAAAAGAAAAGCAGGAAAAATATATGAAAAAAGGGAGAGTGAGTGTGGAAATAGTGGAGAGATAGGCGGAACGAGAGCATGTGGAAAAAAAGGAGGCGAGAGACGGCGAAATAACACATGCAGACGGGGAGACGACAGACATTTAGGGATTCGAATTCAACATTCGAAATTGGAGAGAGTCGCGAGAAAAGTGGAGGAGCAGGCGCGAGAGACAGGCGAGAGAAAAGGAGGGCGTATGATGGAAGCGAGAGGTTGCGACGAGCAGACAATCGATTAGGCAGTGCCGTGGGTCTTGGCGCGAAGAGACGGCTGGCAGCTAGCCAAATTGCTTTTACGAGGAATTATTTGTTTTTTTTTTGTTTTTCGAATTTTGCGTGACATTTTTTCGAGTTTTTCAGGGATGCCGTTGGATCCTAAGGCGAAAATTGATTTTCCATTACATTGGGCAGTCTTTGTCGATGACTTGAATGAGTTGAAAACCCTGGTTTTGGACAAAACAACCCTCGAAATAGATAAAATCGATCCACGCGGAAGGTAGACATTTTTCCGGTGATTCACAATAAAATCAATATTTCAGATCACCCCTTATGCTTGCTGTAACTCTTGGACGAGTTGAATGTGCAAAAATACTTCTGGAAAATGGAGCCGACGCGAATTCACACAATAAACGTAAAAATTTCAAGAATTCCTTGTTTATCCCAATAATTTCAGAAATGTGGTCCGTGTCAAATGAATCTGTCTCACTTGGAAATCCAGATTTGATCAGAGATGTTATTCAATATCGAGATTATCAAAAAGCAACACGCGGTTCTCGCGCGATGAAAGAAACTTTAGAAAAGCTCAAAAATGCTCCAGATTTTTTCTGCGAAATGAGCTGGGATTTCTCGAGCTGGGTTCCATTTCTAACCCAAGCATGTCCTTCGGATACTTACAAAATCTATAAACAAGGTTCAAGTGTTCGAATCGATACAACATTGGTGTCTTTTGAGGGAACAAATTGGGTTCGTGGAAATCAATCATTCATTTTCCGAATAAATGCAGAAGGTTTTGCCGAATTTGTTGTATTGGATCATGATGCAAAATCAGCAGCTGTACAATCATTGAGAGATGATGAGCCTTTCGAAGATTTCAAAGTTTCACCAGATTCGATTGCACTTCGAATGTCAACCCCGATTTCAACAACTTATATTGATGTTGATCAAATTGGATTCGAACGAACAAGTCGAGGATTTTTATCTTGGTTTAGTGGAAGTGAAACAACAGAAACTATTGATGATTATGACTGTCGAGTGAGTTTTTTTTTCAAAAATTTTCAATTTTGGTTATCAAAATACATACATTTCTAGGTTCTTGCCGCTTCAAATGTTCAACTGGTAACCAAAAAACGTCTAGAACATCTCAGCCAAGAAGATCGTGCAAGATTAGCACAAGAAGAGGCGAATTCCTCAAAAGCCCTGTCAAATATCATGAAAATGTTGCAAACTGAAAAAAGCGATGAGAGAACAAATAAGAATATCGCAGGCGAATTAACAGCTGTTGAATATCTCGATCCGACATTCATTTTTGATAGCGGATCAGATATCGGAAGACCTCGAGAAGTTACCAAAAAATCGAATTCGTTCAAAGCAACACTATGGATGGCTGATGGATTTCCGCTAAGTCTTCAAGAACAAATTGTACCGATAATTGAATTAATGGCTGTGAATAGTTCACATTTTGCTCGACTTCACAATTTCATTAGACTACAATTACCAGCCGGGTTTCCTGTGAAGATTGAAATTCCACTTTTCCATGTGCTAAGTGCTCGAATTGGTTTCAAAAATGTTAACGAACCTGGGAAATATGTGACACCTATTGGAAATTCTGATGAAATTATGATAGATCAAGAATGTTTCAATGTTCCCTCAACATATTTTATTGTTTCAACAGATGATTCAACTTTCAGTATAACTTGGGAAGATGTAAATGATCCAAGTAATGCCAGATTTCATCCTTCAAATCGATGTAAGCTTGAATTTTTTTTCCAATAAAAAATATCTGTTCAGACATGCCTTCTGATGAAATGCTTCTTCAAATGGCAATCGAGCAAAGCCTCCAAGAATCCGGAAATTCTTCCGAAAATGCTGCAATCAGTGATGAGCAACTCGCCAGAGCTCTTCAAATGCAATTCGATTCAGCTGCTCAACCACCAAGTTATCAACCACCGGCTGACACTGAATACCTTCGAGCTCTCCGCGCTTCTCAAGCTGAAGAAGAGCAACGTCGTCGAGATGAAGCTGCGTATGAAGATGAATTGATGAAAGTTTTGGAGCTTAGCAAACTTGATAAATAATCAAAATGTAAATATTTTACTTCTACTTTTACCTCTTCTTAGCACCCTGTGAATTTTTAATGTCTAGTCATTTCGGGTTGGTTTTTTGTTTGAAACAGTATAATTAATTAACGTCATGAATAATTTATTGCCTTCAACAAAAATGTTTTTCAGAGAAATGTTTGCTTCGCAAAACTTATGATATCTGAAATTGATGTTGTATTTGTGTTTGTTGTGAGAGATGTTGCAGAATCAGTAGAATTTCCTAAATTTCCCTTCACCTGATCGATGATTTTTGAAACCGCAGAATCTGTAGATGTTGCATTTGTCGTGAGATTTTCTGAAATTCGTAATTTTTTGGAGAAAAATAGGGTTCATTTGAAATTACTTGCAGAATCCCTAAATTTATCGATTATTTTTGAAACTGCAGAATTTTGAGAAGAAGTAGAATTCTCAATTCCTCCAAAATTCCCAATTATATCAGAAATTGTCATATTTCCATATTTTTCATATTGTTCTTCTGTGATATTCAGATTTTTGGTGCACGAATTTTTCGAATTCAAATCGGAAAACGAGCAAATTTCCAGATTTTTGCATAGGAAGTTATTGATTGTTTGGGATGTGTTGATGTTTTTCAGTGTTAACATTGAGATATTGAGGCAGTTTTTGATTTCAGAGATATCTGAATTTGGAACTTCAGTTTCATTATTAATGCTATCCTTGATATGATCCCTGAATTTCTTGATGGTTCCAGAACCTGTAGATGTTCTGTTTGTCGTGAGATTTTCTGAAAATCGTAAATTTTTTGAAAAAAAATAGGATCTCATTCAAAATTACTTGCAGAATCCCTAAATTTATCGATAATTTTTGAAACTGCAGATTTTTCTGACAAAACAGAAGTAGAATTCTCAATTCCTCCCAAAAAATCCTCGATTCCAGAATTTTCATTGATAGAATCCCTGAATTTCTTGATAATTCCAGAATCTGTAGAATTATCAAGTTCAGCTCGCATTTTTCTTGAAAACAGATCGGCGCCTTTAAAAACTTCCGAAATCGTCATATTCTTATATTCATCAAATATTTCTTCAGTGATATTCAATGCTCCAAAACAAGTATTTGAGCTGAATTCAGAATATGAGCAGATTTCCAGATTTTCGCAAAGGATTTCGGAAATTGTTTGTGATGTATTCAGATTTGACAATATCGATGAATTCAGGCAGGATTTTATGATTGATATTCCATTTTTGATATTCTTCTGGGGCCATGAATTCGGGCGGTTTTCTGGAAATAATTTATCATGACGTGGCAATTTGAAATTTTTATTCAAAATTTTTTCTCAACCTTTATCCTTGGTTATTTCAGTAGAGTTATCTTGGTCTAATGGTAAATCAAAAAATAAACTATTTTCCTCTGAAATATTTGTAAAAGTCGAATTTTCAGCATCGTCTTTTATAAATTCGACAAAAGTTGGAATTGTCAAATTTTCTTTTTCAAAATCTGAAATGTTTAACACAAAAATTGTCAGCTCAATTATTCCCCAACTCACTCCCCCCCTCAAATATTCCAGTCGAATTCTCAATTTCCGGTGAAATAGTTCTTCTTTCTCTCGACAACAAATCATCGATTCCAAAGTCCTCGAGAATATTCGAAATAGTTTGAGATCCATAATTGATATACTGTTCCTCTGTTATATTCAATTTTCCGAAGCAAGAATTTGATTGTAGGTCAGAATATGAGCAGATTTTCATGTAAGAGCATAGAAATTGGGAGATGGTTTGTGTTTCGTTCAGATTTTTTAACATTGAGATACTCAAGGATGATTTGATGCAAGGAATAATTGAGGAAATATTGAAATTAGAAGAATCTTGAAGTTTTTGTGAAATATTTGTGTTCTCCAATTTTCCGAGGAAGTTCTAAAAATCTCAATGAATTTAAATAATTTCCTATTTAGTAACCCACATTCAATTGATATTTTGTAGCTCCATCTGGAATATATTCTTTCAAACCTTCAATTCGATTTTTCAAAGAACTGGTAATATTTTGAATCGTCGTGGAATTCTGACCTTTCGAATTCAACGCCAGAAAATCTTGAGTTTCTTCAAGAATCGACATTGAATAATTGACAAAAACTTGACAACTCGGAATTCTTGGAAGACCATCCGAAATGCTTGTTGAAAATATCGATGGACCCGGAAAACAAGGCATCGCTTTTCGATAATCTTCGGGATTTGATGAGCTGCCGATTTTAGTGGTTGTATTTTGTTCCCATTCATGATATAATTGCACAATTTGGCTCTCCGATAGTGTTCCATTCCAGTTCACCAAAAACATTGGCTCAAGAATGTCGCCGAATAGAATTGTTCGATTTTCATTGAGGATTACAGTTTGGGTAGATGTTTTGAGTTGAAAAAGAAATAAAAAATGAAAAAATACGAAATGGAGAAACATTTCGTTGTGTTTTATTTATTTTTTGTATGAAGAAATGCCTGAACTTAAGGAGGAAAACGAAGTTGCTAGGCAAAATAAAATGGGAAGATGCCGAAAAATTTATGGAATTTGCTATGCAAGGGCAAAAATCAGGCTTGTGCCGGAAATTTTCGGAAAATCCGGAAAGGAAATTTGAAAATTTTTTTTGAAATTCTAATCTTTGCTCTAAATTGTTTAACTTGAGCAATAATTCAAATTTCCTAAAAATTTCAAATTTTCCAAAACTGAGCAATGCTCCAAAATCTCTGAAATTTGGAATTTTCTTAACCTGATCTATTCTAACCTGAGAAATGCTCTAAAATCTTTAAAATTCGGAATTTTCTTAATATGAGCAATGCTATATGATAATAAAATTTCGAATTTTCTTAAGGCTCCTAAATCCCTAAAATTCCGAATTTACTTAATCTGAGCAATGCTTCAAAATCTCAAAAATTTTGAATTTTTTAAGCTGAGCAATGCTATAAAATTCCGAATTTTCTTCACCTGAGCAATAATCCAAATTTCATAAAAATAGCAAATTTTCTTAACCTGACAGAGCAATGCTCCAAATCGAATTTTCCTGAAATTCGGTAATTTTCTATTTTCCCGACAAAATTCATTGCTGAAACAAATTTTTCACCGAAAATCATTCATTTAAAATCTACAAGTTCATTGAATCCTCATTCTTTCCTGGTTTCTCAACCGAAATCTCTTTTCCAGCCAAAACAATCTTCTTCGGCAAAACATCGACGGGTTTATTTTGATTCGCTTGAACCGCATCGCCACTAACAATTCTCATTTGAATCGTGAATTCAACTTGATTCTTTCCATCAGCAGTTGTTCCATAAATCACAACACTATTTCCAGCGGGTTTTGGTTGGATTTTAGTGGAGCGTTGTTGTAAATTTGATCTTGGCGGTGCAACAGCTCCTGCTCCAAACAATGATTTCGGTGGGACACGTCTCTGAGAATTATTGAGATTTGAAATATCATAAACAGTTGATTCATGAGGTCTAGCCACTTTTTCTTGAGCTTCCTGTGGTGGCGGTGGAGGAATAACCGTTTTCAAACTTCTGCCATTTCCCGGAAAATTATATGGCTTATTCACTTTTGGACCACGTTTTGAAGGTTGTTGATGATTCGGATATTGAATCGATTGTTGTGGAAGTGGCCCGGGTGCAAAAGTTTCAGTGACTTTTGCCGGCAAACTTGTGTTTGATGGAGATTGTCCAGGAATCAATGGATAACGATTCGATTGAATTTGTTGAGGAAGTGGGGGATTTGTGGCACCTCTCGATCTCTTCGAAAGATCGACTAATCCTCCAGTTGGTGGGTTGAAACTAGACATTCTGACACTTTCATCCACATTTGTTTTCGGTTTTCTTGAGATGCTTCTTGGCGCAGTTTTTCTGAAAAATTTTCGAGTTCAGTTTAGCTTGGAAAATCCAGGAGACAACGAAAATATATATAAAAACTGTGGAAGAGAAAACCAAATAGGAAATTGCTTGGTTGGTTTTCTAGGCCATTGGTACAACTCACATTCCAGCAACTTCTGGAAGCTCGTGAGATCCAATCGATTCCTCTCCGATATTCTTCTTCTTCATACTCTTTTTCGATTTTGAAAATGAAGAATTCGAAGTTGCCGCATCGCTACATTTCGAGATTCCAACCGGTCTCTGAAATTTTTTTTCCAAAATTTTTTATTGAAAATTTCAACCCACATTTGTAATACGCTTTGAAGATTCGTCGAAATTCTTGGCTTTCTCTGAAAAAAAATTATTTTTTACGAAAAAATTTGGAATTGAACTAACTTGTTTTTTTGGATGATCCACTCATTTTACTCGATTTGCGAATTTCTTTCGCCCGGCTTCTTTCCTGTTTCTTTCTCTCCAAAATCGATATAATTCTCGAACCTTTCGATTTTTTGCTCGAGCTCAAATTCTGAGTTTTTTCGGGTTGTGTTGATTTTTCAGCGATCGAATTTCCCTCTTCAGTTTCGCTAAGTTCAGAAGCTGTACTTGGAAATTCGGAAAATGTTGAGGCTTTGATGTTTGGCTGATTGTTTTGATCTTCGAAATCACTTTGTTGTGATTGTGATTGAGATTGTTTGCCGAATAGTTGGCCACGACGAAGATCTGAAAATTTGAGAAATGATGAGAGGAAACTTGGAAAATGGGGACACGTGGGAAACGTGAAAAACATTTTCTGGAAAAATTGTATTTTCGTTAACTCTTTTCGTCGAGGAGCCTCACAGTAACTCTACAGTAACCCAAGATTACTGTAAATAGATAGAATTTTCGCGCCAAATAGTCTACAGTAACCCAGGCTTTTTCAGAGCGCGAAAATTTAAAACTCAAAAATTTTCTTTAAACAACTTTAAAAATTGTTCGCGCGAGAAATTACCTACAGTAACCCAAGTTTTTCTGAGCGCGAAAATTTTAAATTCAAAATTGAATGTTCGCGTCAAAATTTGTCTACAGTAACCCATGGTGTTTTTTGAGCGCGGAAATTCCAAATTCAAAATTTTCTTTCAAAAATTTGAAAATAGAACTTCGCACCAAAAATAGTCTACAGTAACCCAGGCTTTTCTGTGCGCAAAAACTTGAAAATAGAATTTTCGCGCAAAAAACTGGATACAGTAATCCAGGTTCTTCGAGAGCAAAAATTTCAATTTCAAAAATTTTTTGAAATCAAGTTTAGAGCCAAGAACCATGGGATCTTCTTCCGAAACCACAGAAAAAATATTTTCAGCAATTCCTAGATCTTCCCCATGTGAGCAAAACAAAAAACATCCTAACCATTCAACAAAATCTGCGGCGAAGTCGCCGACTTCGCAGTCATCGCCTCAATTTTGCTATTCTGTTGCGAGGATCCAGCAGAAGTGTCCGACATTCCCGGAACTCTTTCGAAATCCGACGTATTCGCTCCGATTCCGGTTTTCGTTGATCTTGACATTGCAGTCGGAACACTGTGTGGATCAGCCGAATCAGTGGCTGTCAAAAGACTTGGCGATTGAGCGGTTGGAAATAGCGAAACTTGTCCTGATGACGATTTTGAGCTATTATCTTGACGCTGAAAATAATTTGAGGTTTTTTTTGAGCCCGGGAGATAGCCTAACTCACTGATTTTCTAGTCTTACTCATTGTTTCCGTTCTGTTAATATCAAGGGATTTCTAAATTGAGAAGTGACTGACGGCCGCATTTTTGATTTTTCGCGGGAAAAAAACTAGGCCACGTGGGGCCTAATAAAAATGATTTTTTTTTTGAAAAAATAAGAGAAATTTCATCATTTAGCACGAATAATTGTATGCCACAAAAAACGACCCAAAAATTAAAATGATAAATAAATACAAAAAAAAAATACAGAATAAGTACAGACTAGGCGCGAAAAAAAGCTTGGCAAGAGTGAGATCAAATTTTGAAAAAAAAATAAAAAGTAGTCATATTAGAGCACAGTTAGTAGAATAAGTATTCAAAAATAAATTATAAAATCATCATGTTAATTGAGAACTGGTGGAATTGCTCGAGATGGAAGACGTGGTGAAGCTGTGGCTGAAGAACTTCGTCGTGGAGAAGATGATGCGCCAAAGTCTTTGAAGAATCGGAAGAATTTCCGGACTCCTGAATCTTTTCGCTCATATTTCCAGGGATATAATTTTTCATCGGGTTCTCGTGGAAGTGGGCCGTAGACTGGCAGATCTTCGTCGTTTATACTGCGTGGAGAGGTTTCTTCATTTAAGTGAGCTCTGAAAAATTATATGATTTTTATAACATTCAAAATTTTCTAGAATTTTTCTGAAACTTCAAGAAAATCTCCAGAATTTTTCTCTGGATTTCAAAAATTTCTAGAATTTTTCTGAAACTTCAAGAAAATCTCCAGAATTTTTCTCTGGATTTCAAAAATTTCTAGAATTTTTCTGAAACTTCAAGAAAATCTCCAGAATTTTTTTCTGGATTTCAAAAATTTCTGGATTTTTGTAAAGCCTAGGAATTTCTAGAACTTGTTTTTGCAGCTCAAAAAATTCTTTTTTTTCTGAAATTCAGAAATTTCTAGATTGTTTTTTAAACTAAAAAATTAACTTGAATTATTTTCTGAAACTCGAAAATTTCCAGTTTTTTCTGAAACTTCAAGGAAATCTCCAGAATTTTTTTCTAAAGTTCAAAACTTTTTTTCAGAATTTTGTCTAGAAGGTCAACAATTTCTAGAAATATTTCTGAAATTCTAAAATTCCTTCAAGTGTTTCCTAAAGCTCTAAGAATTTTTAGAATTTTTCTGATGCTCAAAAACTTTCTCGATTTTTTTCTGAAACTCAACGATTTCTAGAAACTCAAAAACTTCAGCAAATTTTCTCGTGAAGCTCAAAAAATTCCAGGTTTTTTCCTGACACAGAAAGTTACTTGAATTATTTTTTGAAACTCAAAAATACCCAGAAAAAACTAACTCGGCAATTCCTTGTTCAACAACATGAACATCCTCATTTTCATCCAATCTCATAATTTCAATCTTCTTAGTTCCAGGCTTAAATTGCTCCAACTCCTCTTCCAACTCCATAACCCGCCCTTTCAATATATTTTTCTCTTTGAGAACTTCTCGTAACTCGCTCAACGTGAATCGTGGCTCATTATTATCCTGATTCGCCAATTGCAGATCTTTACAAGCTCTGTCAGTTTCTTTGACAAGTTTCCTCAATTCAATATTGGATTCTTCAGTTTTTTCGAGCCTTTTCACAATTTCCATTTTTTCCTCTACAATAACTCGTCCCTGTTTTTGAAGTGAAGCATTTTTTCGGAGTAATTCCTCATTTTGTCGAATCAACTTTTCAATCGAATTTTGGAGCTGGAATGATTTTCTTTGTGGAAAAAACTTATGGAATTCAGAAATTCCAATATTTTTCTGAAGCTCAAAAAAAATCCAGAATTTTGTCTAGAAACTCAAAAATTGCTAGAATAATTTTCTGAAGCTCAAAAATTGCTAAAATATTTTTCTAAAGCTTAAAATTTATTCCAAAAATTTTCTGAAACTCAAAAATCTCTAGAATATTTTTCTGAAGCTGAAAAAATTCCAGGATTTTGTCTAAAAGTTTAAAAAATTTCTAGAATTCGTTCTGAAGCTGAAAATTTCTTTTTAAAATTTTTTGAAGCCTAAAAATTTCCAGAATTTTGTCTAGAAGCTCAAAAAAATTCCAGAATTTTGTCTAGAAGTTAAAAAAAACTTCTAGAATTTTTTTCTGAAGCTGAAAATTTCTTTTTAAAATTTTCTGAAACTCAAAAATCTCTAGAATTCTTTTTGAAGCCTAAATTTTTTTAAAAAAATTTTCCGAAACTCAAAAATCTCTCTTTCTGAAGCTGAACATTTGTTTGAAAATTTTTCAGAAGTTCTAAAAATTTCAGGGATTCTTTCTGAAGCTCAAAATTTACAGAACTTTGTCAAGAAGCTCAAAAATCTCTAGAACTTTTTCTGAAGCTCAAAATTCCAAGGAGCTTCTGAAATTCCAGAATCTAAATGAAAAAACCTTACATTTTCAACCTGACATTGATAAGTTTCCACATCTCGTTGAAGTGTTTTAATCTCTTCCTTCTGTTGTGATGAAGTTTCTTTCAGCTCTAGGAGCATTTTCAAATCCGTGTCGCGCACTGGAAAAAAAAATTTTCATCCAAAAATTTCCATTTTCAAAATCAAAACTCACTGGAACATGTCATTGGTGTCTCTTCAGCTGGTAGCGATGAAACCGTCGTTGACAAATTACGATTTTCACTCATCAAATTTTTGACCATAATTTGTAAATCATCAATATCTTTTCGATAAGTTTTCTCAACTTGTTCCAACTCTTCTTCAAATTTCTGTTGTTGTTGATGTCTTTGATGTTTTTCATGTTCCAATCTTTCAACAGCTTTTGATAATCGCATAATCTCCTCATTTTCTCGATCATTTCCAGCAGCTAAGGCTTCAAGAGTTTCCAACGCGGAGATGACCTGAAATATTTTTTGATTTGTTTATTCAGTTTTTTTTGTTTTGTGATTTGTTTCGTGTGAAACAAAAGGAACTATTATTCATGTAGCGGAACTATACTAAACAAATAAATGTTCATTCCTATTCAGGTACAAGGAGAATAGGTATAATAATAAATAATGAAAATAATAATGGGAAAAACCCAAGTTGCTCGTAATATGATCATTGAAGTTTTAGGAGAGTACAAAGGAAATATGGTTGGAGCAGGATTTGTGCTCCTGGATTTTTGGAACTTTTTGATCTACGGGGAAAATTTTGGGGACTAGTAAATGTTATCAAAAATTTTAAAAATCGTATTGGAAATTCTGGAATCTAGGAAAATTTGAGAAACTAACTTTGAATTTGGATTGGAATTTGGAAATATCAGAATATTCGTAGCTTTACAGTTTTTGAAAATTTTTTTAATTTTCGCGCTCAGAAAAGCCAGGATTACTGTAGGTTACTTTTTGTGCGAATATTCAATTTTCAAATTTTTATATGAAATTTTTGAATTGTGAATTTTCGCACTCAGAAAAGCCTGGGTTACTGTAAGTAATTTTTGGTGCGAATATTCAACTTTCAAATTTTTAATGAAATGTTTGTGCTAATTTTTCCCTCAATTTTCTGTACAAAAATTCCCCAGGTCATACCAGATAACAAAAAAAATCAACAAAATTTTCCCGCGCTGATAACCCTATCAAAATTGTGCATGTAAGACCATTAAGAACCTCTTATCTTCCTTTTTCTTTCAAAAAAATTGAGTTCAAAGTACAGTATCCCCTACAGTAATCCATTAATCATTGGGTAAAAACAATGATTCATCCAATCAATCAATCAAATCCGGTTCAGCCCTTGTTTTTCTCTTGTTTTTGGAAAAAAATCAATAAATCTCTAACCTTTGGCATAATTCCACGAACACATTCATTTCCATAACTTTCGATAAGTTTCTCGAAATCATTTCCAATCGATGCGGCCAAATCATAGACATCGACGACCTGCAAACAAAAAAACATTAATAACTGGCCGCCCGAAAAAAATTGTACAATTTCTCTATTTTTTGACAAATTAGCATTCATAAATTTCTCATTTTTTCTTCCATTCTTTTTGAAAATATATCTAGGATTGGGTTTTTCTTGAGAAAAAGGACAAAAATGTGGGTGTGAGAAACAAAAAATTGAATTAAAGTTTTTTTTTCCAGAAAAGGTAGGTAACATGAGACCAGAAAAAATGACGAAGAATTTAAAATTTATGAGAGAAATGTCAGGTTTCGAGTTACGCTTACTTCAAAAGAACTACACCAAATTGAACTTGGCAGTTGTTAAGTTCTTGAACGCGGGTCCTAGACAATTAGGATTTCTAGGAGGGGCTACTTGAGCTCTAGAAAATTCCAAGTGTCAAAAATCTTCTGATAATTTTTTACAATTTGAAAAATTTCGAAATTTTATTTTTTTTTTCAAAAAAAAAACATGAATCACATGACCCGGTATCAATTTTTCTGAAAAATCTATTTTTCTCCCTTTCAAAAATTTTATTTCCTACTGATTTATATGTCTCGCATACCTTACAATCTTTGGTAAGTATCATAATGTAATAAAATCATTTAGCAAAATCGTGTCGCCAGCCAAAGAAACTGTCAGAAATGACTTGAACAAGCAAGATGAAATAAAAAAGACAGAAAGAATGCCTACAGGTAGAAAAAAGAGAGAAGAAATAGAGAAGAGGGAGAAAATGACGAAATAGTGAGAGACTTAGACATTCGATTGTTAACTGGATTCTCGTCCCAATGATATTTGATCATGCATCGTCCCGAACACTTTTTGAATGTTTATTTTTCGCGCCAATGCGCCAAGTGATCATACTAAATACACATTATGCTGACCTCTTTCAAAATTGAATCACATCATTTTTCCCACCTGATTTGAGGGTTGTGTGAAAATTTTCAGCTGACGTTTTTTTCTGGGGGAAAAAGAATCCAGAGATGAATTATTGATAAACGAAAAGTTGGTTCGAAATGTTATTTATCACGAGTTTTTGGTTTTTGAAGTCTAGAAGAACTTGTGGGGCTTCAGAAGGTGAACTTTGGTTTTTGATTTCAAAATTGGAATTTCATCAGAAATACAGTAATAATAAGGGAATTTGTGGAATTTAGGAAAAGTTGGGAAATATTTCAAATTATATATTTTCAAAAAAATGTGAAGATATGGTTTTGAAATCAAAATTTCATAGGAAAAAATACAGTAACTTTGAATTTTTGTGAAATTCCAAATATTTTTGATTTGGAAATATTGCAGTTGAAAATCTCTGGGCCTAATTTTTTTTTTCAAACACAATGTGTCAAATAGCCAAGCCTAGATAACCTAGATATCAAGGGACTGAGCCTAGACAACATATATGTCTAGGAGCCGCGTCTTGAGAAGTCCTCTGGCAAGGATCCGAGGCTTGTGAGCTACTGTGTCTAGGCGCCTTTCCAACTCACCGTAATTTGTTTACTGGGACTTTGCGGTGTCGCAGCTCGTTCAGTCGTCGTCGCCGCCATCACAAAACTCAAACCCGAATAGCAATCCTCTTTTTTCTTCTTCGGACGAGCCACAAATCGACGATTTTCTGTAGTTGAAGATGGATAATCAAAAAATGGCGGCATAAAAGTTGTCATTGAAAAATAATTAGTTAGTTGGATGAATAAAAATAGATATCAGAGATTTATCACGTGGATGATTACGTAAAGTCAATATTAGCTATAGCTGCGCGAGAAAAAGGTGACTTGACTTGTTTGGCAAAAAACGCGAAGGGAATGGAAAAAGAGGGGCGGAGCAACTCTAGTTGGCTAGAAATGAGCCGCGGCCCGAGAAAAAGCGCAATTTGAGAAGAAGGGGAGAAAAATTGAGTATTGTTCCTTTTTTAGACGGAAAAAAAACATGGCTAAAAGAAGAGGAACAAAAATGAAATGAGATGGGGTTTTTTACAAAAAATTTTGAGGAAAAAAAAGAAGGAAAAGATAGATAGATTAAAGGGATTAGGTAATGAGAAGAATACAAGGAGAAAACATATGTTTTGCTTGGAAAAGCGGAGAATTTTTGATAAAAATTCATTTTCTCAGGTGGGCGTGGCCTAAATGCAACTACCGCACACTTATTCTATTTGAAAAGTGTGCGGTAGTTGCATTTAGGCCACGCCCTCTTTACTCAGAATTCTGTTAACTGAAATCAATGAAATCAAGTGGTCTCTGGTCATCTTCAGATGCTTCTAATCCTAAATTCCTGAAGAGACAAGGATCAAATGATTAGAACGGGATTATTTTAAGCGTGTACTATGACGTGGAAATTTTCTAGAACCTGAAATTTCATTTCCCATTTCTATTTTTACCCAAAAAAAACATAATTATAAATACTTACTATATGAAAAAAAACAAGAATCGATCAATAAACTAACAACATGTTAGTATCTATTGCGTAATGATGTCACAAGATGTTTATACGCAATTTTCTAACAAAACAATTCTAGTTAACCTAACTATTTATTTAAAGTGCATCAAAAAAGAGTTCGATCGAATTAAACTAATGAACTTTATGAGTATTTTCTCAGGGGATTCGGTTTCCAGGAAAAAAAACTATGGAATCCAGTTTTTTCTAGTAAAGAAAGAAAACTCATAAAATCTATCTATTGGGAAAAAATAGTCAGAGGAAAGCATCTCGTTTAGTTAATTAAGTTAATTTGATTAGACACACTCATCATCTGCAAATAAATTGGGAAAAGAAAAAGAAAAAATATATAATTAAAGGGACAGAGATCTGCTGGGGACGACTTCACGTGTACCAAAAATTTTTGTTCACCAGTTTTTTGGTACACCCAAAGTTTCCTTAATTTTAGGTGTACCAATTTTATGAATGAAGAAATCCAAAAGCTTTTTATACTTTTTGTATCTGACCTAATTATTCTAGTCAGCTGAAAATCTGAGAATAAGAAAACATGTAGAACAAAACAAATAATATCAGATTTCGGGTTTTTCCGGAAAAAAATGACGAGATGATTACTGCTTTTTAGTTTGGTTTGGTTTTGTTTGGCTGAGTAAAAACACTTCTAACTTGGGCAAAAATAATTGTGTTAGGTCGGTGGCAAATAGGAAAAAAACAACAGGATGTGAATAATTCACTTGCTTCCCTGAATTCTAATTTATTGCGAATCAATCTGAAAATGTCAGTTTTCAAATTTATTGTTTTTGTTTTTGAGGGCAAATTTTATGTAAAACATAAATATTAACTCTAAAAAATTTATGAATCATGGAAAAACAAACAGAATTATTTTAGTACTGTACTAATACTTCCTACACCGTGACGCAAAAATGCACCGGAAATCGGCTGGCCAAAAATTAGTTGAGAAACCAAAAAATTCTTGAAAATAGTTGGCGCGAAAAATTCCCACGAGAATTAAAGAGAAGCGAGAGTCATGAATATTTGAAATGCCAAATTTTCGCGCCTTTTATATCCAAACTTAGATAGCAAGCTATGACGTGGATGTGTTCTTTACATAATTTGGCAAAATTTGAATAATTGAACTGTGAGAGACAACAAAAAACGACCTCTTTAAAAAAACACACTAATCAATGTTTTCGACCGACCTCAACACTAATCAAACAAGAACAGAAAAATAAATAGAAAAGTTCAGCATCGTCGAAAATTAGGAAATATTATGACTAATTTATGACAACTTCAGTTTCTAAGTAGGGATTCTTGAGCCTTTCACACTTGAGAAGATTTTCGAGAGCTCTGAGCTCATTATAATTTCGCTTATCCGAGATTAAACAAAAAAGAATAACTATTTTGAGAAGATGTAAATGAAACAGAGAAAAATCTACATAAATATTTATGTAAACGAAATAGGGATAGTGTTCAAGTATGCATGGATAGCTTATTCGTTTTCCGGTTGTTTGTTATACAGTTAGAAATTTCCCCAATCAATAAGGTTATTTTGATAGGCTCATAGAAAAATATCTAGTCGCAAAAGGTCTACTCTTTACTTCATGCTAGGAAAAAATAATATAATATTCGTACAAATCAAGGAATGAGAGAAGAAAAAGAAGAAACAAGCAAAAACACAAATGATGAGGCCTATTTGATGGAGAAAAATGAAGGAAACGAAAAGAAAGAGCTCTTGGAGCACATATGCTCTTTTTTTGAAGGAATAAAAAAGAATTTGGTGGAAATATAGTGGGAAATTATGGTGCGAAATCGTAGAAATCACATTTTTCAAAAATTTTATAAAGAAAAGTTTTTTGAAAGTTTTTCACTTCAAATCTAAAGAAAAACAGAAAGAAAACATCGAAAAAGAATAAAACTTGGGAAAAAGCATAATTCAGAGATTTCGAAAAAAAACATCGCATGAAAAATCAATGAGGCGAAAGCCCATATTTTTCCACTTAAAAAAACCAAAAACGGAAAAAAGAGAAATTTCGATAAACAACGATGCTCCGCTAAATTACGGATTTGCATGTTGTTTAGTGGCACGGAATTTATTTTATTTTTTCGCAGGAAACTGGTTTTTTTGGGGTTTTCGACGAGAAAAGCGAGTTTATTGAAGCTCAAACCGTTTTTAAAAATTAACACAGATATAGAATTCTCAATTTTCAGCCAAAAATGCTACGAAAACTTTGCTCAAACTCGGTAAAACTTGGGCGTTGTCGATGGATGAGCAATGCTGGCGGAGATGGAGAAAATGTGAGTTTTCAACTGTTTCAAACTTGAATCCAACATTTTTTCTACTTTTCAGAAAGGTCCGAAAGTGAAAGATGTTTTGGATGATGAATTATTGACTGCAATTGACAATGTCGCTAGTGATATTCATCCGAAGAATACAGAAAATAAGAAAAGTTTGAAGAACACTTTGATCAATCGACTTGTTGCAAATGAGAAATCGTCGTTTGATGCTGCTTCAGCTTCAGCTTCCAGTGAAATGCTCGACGATCAAGCTTTGATTGGACTTCTTTCTGATGTTGCCGGTGATGCAAAACAAGATCAAAGAAAAGTTCCACCAAAAGCAGCGCAACTTCGACAAGAACGAAGAGGTTTAGTATTGCTGAGAAAGGAGATTTTTTATCAAGCAATGCAATCTGGTTTTACTGCTGAAGAAGCTCGAATCAAATCCGAACAAATTGTTAATGAGGCTCAAGTTCAATTAGTCGAACAGAGGAAGGCACTTCTTTCTGGAATTCAAGAAAAAAGCGCGCATGAACAAGCTGAAGAATTGCATCGAAATGAAAAAGAGCAGAAACTTTTCGAAATGGCTATGGATGTTTTAGAGTTAGTTTTTTCTCAGAAAATTCTGGTTTCTTATGTAAAAAAAAACTTTTTTCCAGAAAAATCTACAAAGACGATTTGATCAATAGCGATGCAAGAAAAACCATTCAAGTCGACAAAAATGCTCCAAAACTTTTTGAGTCAAAAAACACTCTGGGAATTTGGAAAACCCAGGAAGGTTTGAAGGATTATTCGATCAATTTTTGGACACAATGGGACAAACGAGCCGCCTTGTAAGCTATTTTTTCCGATTTTTTTTTGAAAATCAATTTTTCAATTCTAGGCTTGCAAATGAATCATTTGGTCCAACAAATTCATTTGAAGAACAAATTGAGTGGACGAAAAAAGGAAAACAATGGGAATATCCAATCGATAATGAATTCCGATTGGGAGATGAGCAAAATATTTCATTTATCGATCATGTGTTTTTAGAGAGACATTTGCCATCTTTAGGAATTCCAAAAACTGGACCAATTGCTCATTTTATGCATTTAGTAAGTGTTCATCTTTTTTTTTAAATATCAAGTACATTTTCCCCATTTCCAGGTCTGCGTTGGTCTCTCAAAAAATCCCTACATGTCTGCATCGAAAAAACGAGAACATTTACAATGGTTTGCCAATTATTTCAACGAGGAAAAACAAAAATTGGTGCACAAACTTCACGAACAAGAACAAATTGCTGCTCAAAATGCGGCGTGATTTTTTTCGAGATTTATTATATTTAGAATGTAGGAATTATTGTTATTGTTTTTTTTCATGAATTTATTTTTCTTTTTTTCTGTAATTTTTTCAGATAAACAAAAACCCTGAAAACCCCGAATTCCACAAAAAATTTCGGAGAAAAAATTTATTTTCCGATATTTTCACATAAAAAAATTATTGGCCAGGTCACGTTTTTTATCAGATTATCCGATCTTCCGCTAAAATGAATAATCTGGTCAGTTTTAGTTTTTGCGAATCTCGCTGCTTTGAATATATTAAAGATGTCAACACCAGCTGAAAAATTATTGTCACCTTTGTAAGTTCTAGACATAGAATCCAGAGCCACACTGTATTTTCTTCTATTTTTAGATTATAGATTCTATAATTTCATTGTTATATTCAACAATTTTGTAAAATGAATTATTCCAGACCAAATCCAGACGATTCGATTGATTTTGAGGGGGCAAAACATGTTGAAAGAATTTTAGAGATCAATGCTAAACGAGAAATAAGAAAACGAGTATCATCAAGTGTCCGAATTGAAACGTACTTTCCTCATGTTTTTTGATGTCACAATTTTTGGGTCACGTTTCTTATCAGATTATCCGATCTTTCGCTAAAATGAATAATCTGGTCAGTTTGAGTTTTTTATAATCGCAACCTCGCTTCTATCAAAATATTAGAGATGCCAACAACTGAAAAATCATCGTCTCATTTGTAAGTTCTACACACAGAATCGAGAGCCACACTGCTTTTTTCTTTTATTTTTAGATTATAGATTCAATAATTTCATTGTTATATTCAACAATTTTGTAAAATGAATTATTCCAGACCAAATCCGGACGATTCGATTGATTTTGAGGGGGCAAAACATGTTGAAAGAATTTTGGAGATCAATGCTAAAAGAGAAGCAAGAAAACGGAAAATCGAAGATGTATATGGGGAATTGATGTCCAAGGAGCACAAAGAACATAAAAGAAAAATGAGAACGTTAATAAAAATTTATTTTTGGTACATTTCAAGATTTTTATATAAAATTAGTTTTCAAAAATATAATTTCGTCAAACTCGAAAATCATGCGATTCACAGGAAATGCTAGAAAATTTCAGAAAAATTGTACTTTTAGACCCTGCAAAAATTTCGACCTACAAGCTGAAAATGGTTATACAAAATAAATAAATAAATATTTTTTTGGCTCGGTCACGTGACCCAACGAAATCCAACAAAAATAAACCATTTCAAATTTTATTAATTCGATTGTTAAAAAAGGAGAAAAAAATATTTCGATTTCTATTTTTTGTGGGTTTCACAGAAAAAATACAAAAAAATACTGTAGGTGACCCCCGGTTACTGAAAATCGAACACCAAGATAATTTAGATTCAGACATACCTAGTTTGGTAATCTACAGTAACTAAGAAAAACTGGGAAGCTTGGAATTTCAATCACTACTTTCATTTACTGAAAATGATGTGAGAAGAAGAGTTTCTTCTGAAAAAAAGACTGTCCCTGTGGACTAACAACCCTAGTCTATGAATTTCAATAATTTCACTGTATTATTCAAAAATGTAAAATGAATTATTGCAGGCCTAGTGCAGTTCTTCCAAACGATTCGAAAATGATGAATCTATGAAAATGTAAGTTGTACACATTTTAGGTTATAGAAACTTGAGCAGAATATGAGAAATATAGAGGCACATTTTGGTGCATATTTTTGGCATAGAATAACCATTTTTCGTTTAAAATCGATGAGTTGAATGTAAAAATTATGTAGAGAAATGTTTTGAAAATTATTCTCTCAAGTTTCCACAACAAAAAACAATAGAAACCCCAAAATGTTGCATTACAAACATTTTTCTAGGTGGTCAGTATTCGTGCCACACAGCGAAGAAGAAAAAGTAGATCGAAGTTTGAATGGAATTGAATGTGGAAAATTGAAAGAAAAGGAATATATACAACTGGTTTTTGTGAGTTTTTTTTCTAGAAAAAAGATCGAAATAAAAAAGAAAATAGAAAAAGTGCTTTCTAAAACTGAGAAATTTTAAAAATTGCACGAGGACTAGTATGAAATCAACTTCCGTTTTTGTTTTTTCAAAGGTATTTTTGGAAAAGCTCATGGAGAATTTTTCTGTTTTTTTAATCAAAATTAAATAATTTTTTTGCTTCTATGTTTTTAAATTATAATTTGACAAATAATTCTCGAAATTTCTCGAAATTGAAAAAAATTCAACAAAACAAATTTGTTAAATTGATTTCGAAATTATTTCTCGGGGGAAATACGGTGCTGAAAAGGTGCCATTTTTCCCGAGTAATCCTCAATTAAATTGTTGAGTTCTGTTTCTAGAAAATTATCATGATCAGGTTTGTGCGTAAAATAGGTTTTCGGAAAATTTCAAAAAACTTAGCAGTTTTCTTGGTAACTCGGCGATTTTATTGAACACCAACAACTTTCTACGTTTTTTAAAGATAACAAATTGTTTTGTAACAAAATGAGCAAAAATCCTGAAATACGCATATCTTTTCCCTTTTTGCGAAATTGTTAGTCTCGGAACATTTTCGGAAGAATTATTTACCGAAAATATCCGTCGGAACAATTTTCCAACCAAGTTTGCGGAAACGTTCGTCTGGAAGATTTTTCGACTCGTATTTTCCGAAACTTTTCCAAAGTCAGAAAATTGAGAAACGTTTTTTTTTCATTTCCACATAAGCCTGATCAGTGAAAAAATCTGGGAAACGTGTTTCATTCGCCGAGACGGTATAGAATTGTTTGATGGAGCCAATCTCGAAAAATTTCACATCCTTCTCACATTCAGAAAAAATATTGATTATGAATATATTTTGTTACAGCGAAAAAAAACCGATTACGAAACTTTCACCGCACGTAACCCGGATTTGTTATGTTCTGAAGATTGTAAAATGGTGTTAATGAATGTTAACAAATTATGGGGAGAAGTCTCAATCAAAAAGAAACTCATCCAAAAATGGCCAGTTCTATCCGTGGACAAACGCGCTGGAGAGGAGAAATGTATTGTTGAATTTGAAAATCCAGAGTTTGTAACCATTGCTATGAAATATTTCAATAGTAGAAATGTCTACCTCTGTGGGTTAGTTTCTCTTTTTTTTTCATTATGTTATGTTAATTTAGAGACCATGCGTACCCCAACCGCGCTATTCCGTTTTTCGAGCAACCAAGACACGTTGAAACAACAGGCGATGATAATTTCGTGTAAGTTTTAATGTTTATCTACCTTTCAATAAAATCCTGGAAGGCGGTGTGCGAATTGGAGTGTGCTTTTTTTCACATTTTTTTGATGTCGCAATTTTCAACAAAAAAAAATTGACGTGAAAAAAACAAAACGCTTTTTTTTGAAAAAAAAAGACTGTCCATGTGGAGTAACACCCCTAGTCTATAAATTTCATTGTATCATTCAAAAATGTTGTAAAATGAATTATTACAGAGAGAAAATTATGGATGTTTCGGATCGTGCCTGCTGTGAACATTTAGAAAATCTTTTCAAATTGAAGGACAAATACGAAAGAAGAAAGCGCACATTGATAGAGGAAATTGAAGAAGAGTATCAAGAGGATATTAGTTTGGAGTTGAAAAAGTTTAAACATGAAGAACAGGTCCAGAACGACATAAAGGGTGAGTAAATTTTTGGTTGAGTTTACGGCTGCTTGAGTGGGGTTGAAACCAAAATGGAACATCACTTTTAGTTGAGAAAATGTGAAAAACACTGGGAATCATTAATCAGCCTTTTTCAAGATTTACAAACTTGTGAAAATATAATTACAGAATTCGAGAAAAAGATGGGCAATTGGAAGTGTCCGGGAATGCAGCAACCACCAGAGTATGCCAAATCCAAGTGGCCAAGTAAGTTTGATTTCTCCAAATTTAATTTAAAAGTCGATATTTTTAGAAGTCAAAAAGGAACTTTTGACCGCCTATAAAGTTTTCGAAGGAGAAGAAACACCATCAACACAATAGTTCATCCAGATTTCCAATCATACATGTTTTAAAAACATTGTTTTTGATCCGGAAAAGTATAGAATAGGGTCGTACCTTTCATTTTTTTTCCGAAAAATAGGTCCTTAACTTTTATGCTAAAAATTCTTAGTTGAAATGTTAAACACATTGAACAGTGAGTAAATTAGTGTGAGCTGTTGAAATGGGATTGGTGCGGGCCCAAAAATGTGAAAAATGAAATAATTTTTGAAACCCAAAGTCAAATTTTGGATCTCAAAACAATTAAGAAAATTCAAAAAGAACTGTGTTTTTTTTGGATAAGAAACAAACCGCATTTGAGCAGCTCTTTTCGAGTTGACTTAACTTCTATTTTTTACAGCCATAGAACCTCTTGTCGGAAAAGTGAAAGAAATTAGATGTAACAAAAGTGAAAAAATTGAGAGAAGATGGAAAGTTTGATTTCTCGAAATTTCAATTGAAATTTTTCTAATTTCAGAGTTGAAAGATGCGTTGTTGGAACTGGCGGAAACGGAAATACCAGAAAAAACTCCACCAACATCTTCTTGGTAATTATCGTAAGCTCATAAATCTTTTGTTTGCTTTTTGTGATTTTTTCGACTGGTGCTACAGGCGAGTTAAAACCTACGAAATAAAATATGAAAATCTGTAGTAAGTCTGTAGTTCTTCGCATCTACAGTAATCTGACATAATTAACTGCAGACATTTATGTTTGGATTACTGTAGATTTGTATCAAGAACTAAATACGGCACCCGTTGTTTTGTGTTATTCAGAATATATAACAGTACGTGTAGGCTTACTGTAAATATACAAAAAAGTATTTCGCATAGGTGATTCTTGGTAAATTTTGAATCGGACCGGAGGTAATTTTTTTTTTTGAGAAAAAACCCTGAATCGCACAAATTCCAATCAGAATTTATTCTATTCAAAACAATGAAAATCAGACTTGCCCTAATTCCCCTGGTTCGGTTCAAAATACGTACACGTGGAATACTAAATATGGTTCAAGTTCTGAAAAACTAGTAATATTTGTAATTCCGAAGAAGCACATCCACGTTTTAAAGTAGCTTCTCCTATGTGATACGCTTTTTGTTGTCCCCAAAAATATTTTATCCTATATTACTTTTTTTTTGTTTCCTGGATGTAACGGGTCGCAAAAATGTAATTTAGGATGAACTTCTTTTTTTTGAATGCAACAAAAAACATATCGTGGGAAATGCATTTCTGAGTAAATCTGCTGCCTCATGGAACACTGTAACTCTATGTAAAACTACAGTAATATATCTAAAAAATAACAGTAGCACAATCCCGTTACTGTATTCTTCAGAATAACGATCTACAGTACTTTTTTGTAAAAAAAAAGTACAGTACTCGACAAAAGTGATCAACAACTACAGTAACCTTTTTGTAGACACAAAGTCCACAGTACCCTGATTACTGCAGTTAGTGATTACTGTACCTTTATAGTAACCAGGAAAAACAAAACTACAAGTCATTGGCTTTTACGCAATGACTTATAGAAAAAATACAGTACTTTTCTACTTTTTAGCTTTTAAGCAAAAAGTAGGAATAAACAAACATTATAATACAATTAAATACAATTCAATGAGATTTTGGAAGCTTCGAAGATGATGAAGTTTTAAGAGAGGTTTTTTGTAAGAAGGGAAATTTCAGAATAAGGAGCTGGTGTGACGGGTGAAAGCTGTAAGAGCGGTCATAGGAACTTTGCTCTCCGTTGATATTTTTTGATGATCTCAACGCCAAAATATTTCTTTTGGCCTAAAAATGATTTTTCATGTTTACCGCATAAAAATCACACCATGTTGGTGAAAAACACCAATATTTGCCTTTGGCGTCAATTTCCGCACTCTCGCACTGGTTTTAAACGCTTCCTCGTCATTTTTTACATACCCTACATAATTTTCAGAAAAATAAACGGGACCCCTTTTTGGCAATTCCACCCCAAAGTTGGTCACCCAAGGTGTGCACCACAGCATTTTTCTCAAAATCACCCAAATTTTTGATTTTTTTGTTTAAAAATGTTATTTTATGGTTCAAAGTTACTTTTATGTAAAAATTAGGAAGTTTTCGGGGCGAAAACGTGTTATTTCACGCAGTTTACGTGAAAAGTCACGTGAATTTTTTTTTCGAAAATTAAGTTTAAAAACGTGTTTTCTGGGGTTTTTGACTATGCTGATCAACGTGGTATCATATATTTTTCTTGAAAATTCTAAATTCAATGAGTTTGACAACACTCTGGAAGTTTCACTTTTTAGAGTTCATTTTTATGACATATCTGAAAATAGCTAAATATGAAATTTTCAAGAAAAATATATGATACCACGTTGATCAGCATAGTCAAAAACCCCAGAAAACACGTTTTTAAACTTAATTTTCGAAAAAAAAACTCACGTGACTTTTCACGTAAACTGCGTGAAATAACACGTTTTCGCCCCGAAAACTTCCTAATTTTTACATAAAAGTAACTTTGAACCATAAAATAACATTTTTAAACAAAAAAATCAAAAATTTGGGTGATTTTGAGAAAAAATGCTGTGGTGCACACCTTGAGTGACCAACTTTGGGGTGGAATTATAGTTGGACAACGACTCGACTTGAGTCGACTCGAGTCGACTTGGAGTCGAGTCGTTTGGAAAATACCTTTCGCCTCGAATAACGACTCGAGTCGTTTAGTCGAAAAGGTGAGTCGATTAGAAAATGACTCGAGTCGAGTCGAATGGTTTTTTCGACTCGACTCGACTCCGATGGTCAATTTACTCATGGTGAGTAGGGGTTTTGTAATATGGTTAAGGTGTTGGCTTAGATGGTGAATATTGGATGGTGATTGGATGGTGATTGGTGGACATGGTGATAGTGCACCAATAATGGTAAATTGGTGTGATTGGTGCAGTTGGCGCAATTTTAACCATTTGTGGAATTGGCGAATGGTGGATGGTCGAATTGGCGAATGGTGCAATTCACCAATTGGTGTAGTTGGTGCAATTTCACCAATTGGTGTAGTTGGTGCAATTTCACCAATTGGTGTAGTTGGTGCAATTTCACCAATTGGTGTAGTTGGTGCAATTTCACCAATTGGTGTAGTTGGTGCAATTTCACCAATTGGTGCAATTGGTGCACCAATGACCAAATATACCAATCACACCAATTGGCGAATTCCACCATCACCATTCGCCAATTCCACCATCCACCAATTCAACAAATTCCACCAATGGTTAAAATTGCGCCAACTGCACCAATCACACCAATTTACCATTATTGGCGCAATTGGTGTGATTGGTGCACTATCACCATGTCCACCAATCACCATCCAATCACCATCCAATATTCACCATCTAAGCCAACACCTTAACCATATTACAAAACCCCTACTCACCATGAGTAAATTGACCATCGGAGTCGAGTCGAGTCGAAAAAACCATTCGACTCGACTCGAGTCATTTTCTAATCGACTCACCTTTTCGACTAAACGACTCGAGTCGTTAGTCGAGTCGAAAACAGCTGTCTTATCGACTCCGAGTCGACTTGAGTCGACTTGAGTCGTTGTCCAACTATAGGTGGAATTGCCAAAAAGGGGTCCCGTTTATTTTTCTGAAAATTATGTAGGGTATGTAAAAAATGACGAGGAAGCGTTTAAAACCAGTGCGAGAGTGCGGAAATTGACGCCAAAGGCAAATATTGGTGTTTTTCACCAACATGGTGTGATTGCACCATTAGAAATGGTGCAATTTTTATGCGGTAAACATGAAAAATCATTTTTAGGCCAAAAGAAATATTTTGGCGTTGAGATCATCAAAAAATATCAACGGAGAGCAAAGTTCCTATGAACGCTCTTACATCTTTGAAAGATGACATCTTTCACCCGTCACACCACAATGGTGAAGCGGTTTTGAGCAATAATATTGTGCGCAAATTGATGCCCACCCATGGGGCTATCATTACACAAGTTTTCAGAAAAACTTTTTTTTTTGCTTGCGCAGGCTGTTTTCCGGTATTACAAAAAACGTCTCTTAAATTGCTGAATATCCTTGGTTAATTGACAGGAATCGTTCTGAAAAATCCATGTTTTTCAACAAAAATCGGGCATAGCTTCCGCATCTCCGCTGAAATTCCAATTTGGAACTGATAAAAATCAACCATTTTTCAAGATTTTCAATTAATAAAATCAAGAAAAATAATTATTTATCAGCTTCAAATTACAATTCCAGAAATTCATGCCAATTTTCATAAAAATACAAAACTTCCGGAATTCCGCATCCCAGCTGAAATTCCAATTTGAAACTGATAAAATCAACTATTTTTCAAGATTTTCACGAAGAAAATCAGGAAAAACAGAATTTTTATGAGTTTCAAATTGGAATTCCAGAAATTCTCATGTTCATTTTCAATTCTCGGAAAATCAATAAAATGCCTACCGAAATGTTCGTTGATTGAAATTTCCAGAATCTTCGAAATTTGGTAGATATTATTAGATTTATTTCGAATGATTATCTTCGTGGTAAATTGCTATGAGAAGATTTGTTGGAAAAATGTCGCTCGAGAAACGTGATCCACTTCGAATTGTTGATTTTCCTCTGAAAAATAATCGTTACAACGTTTTTTTTTAATTCAAAGTTTTTCATTAAAAATTCAAAAATTGGGCATAGCTTCCGCATCTCCGCTGAAATTCCAATTTGGAACTGATAAAATCAACCATTTTTCAAGATTTTCAATTAAAAAAATCAAGAAAAATAATTATTTATCAGTTTCAAATTACAATTCCAGAAATTCATGCCAATTTTCATAAAAATACAAAACTTACCAACATCGAGATCAATTCTTGCTCATCCACTTTGAATTGTTGCTCGATCTTTTCGAATTGTTGATATTGATCTGAAAAAAAGGTTCAATTAATTTATTATTCCAAAAAAATTGATTTTGTATTTGTAAAAAATTGAAAGTTATTTTCATTCGGGCGGGAATTTTTATTAGCTACCCGCCCGAATGAAAATCACGAACTTTGGCTCCAAAAAAATAGATTTGTTATCTAAATTTAATGGATAAAAATGATGAATCGTAGTTTCGTATTTAGTCACTGCGAATTCCCGATTTTTAAACCTAGCTCAATTGTATGGATAAAAATTATGAATCTTACGATACCTTTTTTTTAAAAATTAACTTACATGCTGTCCGTCTTTGTTTTTAGGTGTGCAAGTTTTGGATTGCAGAAAACTTGATTTGGTTGACAAATTGTCCAATTGAGACAACCGAATTGTTGCTGACCAAAAGCGCATCGATATCCTCTTCCTTGTGGCGAAGCTTGTCCACAGCGATATTATATTTGTTAGAGTTTGAGAGTCGCAACATTGCGAGATGTTAGCGTTTTCGACACATTCAAGGTACATAATTCGATGCACAGAATGTGTAAAATAGAAGCACGAGCACCAGATCGACAACTTGAGCTGCTGGAATTTGATGGAACTGGGGTCGCAACAGTTACCTGAAAAAACATATTTAGGATATTCCATGTTTTTTTCTGAATTACCGCAAAATTTCCAACAATTTATGTTCCGGTAGTTGGTTGTTTTTTTTTTTGATTGGTACGTCTGGTGTCAGAATAAACTTCAGAAACAAATGCACGGGCGGTGGAAGGGAACAGCGAAAACCGAATCGATTGATGCTGAAAATAAAAATAAAACATATGTTGCTAGCATATCTGCGTCTGTCTCGAGACAAACACGTCTCATTTTTGCCAGCCTAAATAAAAAAAAGAAAACTCACGACAAATATTCAGTTGTGACTTCTGAAATTGGTTGAACTGTTGAAGTAGCAACTGAAGATGATGATGGAGCTGGTAAATACATAAATATCAATTGGGTCCTTCTCCTCAGCGACAACTTTTTCAAAACGCAGTTTCTATATTCCAAATTTGAGCAATCAAAGTGTTTTCCAGCTGGTACAGATGGATTTGTTGTTGGTTCTTCATAAATTTCATCAGCGTATGTTCCTGTTGTGGTTGGAATTTCAACTTGTGGTCTGACATGATTCCAAACATTGGTTCAGCGATGTCAACTAAGTTTGATGGGCACAACATTTGAAGAATGCAACATTGCTGCAACCGTTGTCGTATTTTCCGTCTTCTTTCGATCTATAAAATAACAATAATTGAATTGAACTTTTGTAAATTCACAATGAAAATAACGAACCAAATTCTTCTGCTTCCACTTCATTTTTTGTTGGTGGCTGCATTTTCCGTTGGCTCTCCACTAGTCTGACATTCAGGCGACATGCATTCTCATAGAGAACAAAACTTTTTTGGCAGACAGCTGCTTGTTGAACGCAAAAGGTGTACTGAAATTGTGTTGTACTATTTATAATTACAAAAAAAACCACCGAAATGTACCTCTTGATTAGATACAGGCACTTCCACCTATCGATCCATTGGTGGGCATTGTGAAGAGATGAAAAGTCGAAATGGCAGAGACTTTTAAAGATCCAACTTGTAGGTTTGAATCGAGCAATTTTTCCGGCAACTTGATTGATTGAGGAGAAATTTTCTGGAAAAAAAAGCATTGACAAAGGTCCATATGGAATTTCCTCAGAAATCGCCCCAGTTCCCAATAAAATTCGTTCAAAACCAGGTCCCATTTTCCCATTCCGCCCAAATCGGTGGCTAAAGAGCAGTTCTAGCATAAGAACCCCAGGTCTTGCTCATCTTTGCTTTCCAATCAAATCCAGGCGATAAATCGCGGTCACAATTTTGCGAAAAAACTGTGACCCTACCGAGGTTACTGGTAGTGGCAATGACTAGTGGGCTCGAAATTTATCGAGCGCTGTACTAACTCCGAGCAAAGACTTCTAGAACTGCTCGGAATGGATTTTTGGGAGTGTTTTGGGTGAATTCGAAAGGGAACCGGGGCTAAATCCCAAAAAAACGTATCTTTTATCAAATTCCGGTGTCGACTTGCCGAAAAACAGCCATTTTGAGCGATGGAAAAACGAAAAAATGGAAAAAAATCGACTTTTTGGTTGGCACGTGGAAAAAATAAAAATTCGCGGGCAAGTTTTGAATTTTTTGTGTTTTGTGTGTCAAGACGCAGTTGCTGTTTGCAATGTTCCTTTGAATTCTACCGTATCACACAAACTTTTTTTTCTTTTTTTTCGAGTTTGACGAGGAATAATGGAATTTCTTGATAGAATGAATTTTGTTGTTTAATTCACTGATACAAAAAAAATAATTGGAGGTTCTTATTCCAGGAAAATAAATTTTTATAGGAATTCTTACAAAGAGTCTTTGGGCTGACACAAAATCATTTCAGACAAGTTGAAATTTTAGAGTTTCTCTAAAAAATTGAACGAAAAAAATAAGTGACCACGTCACGTTTCTTATCAGATTATCCGATCTTTCGCTAAAATGAATAATCTTGTCAGTTTTAGTTTTTGTTAAATTGCGAATCTCGCTGCTTTGAATATGTCAAAACCAACTGAAAAATCATCACCGTTGTAAGTTCCAATTTCTAAACACAGAATCTCGAGCCACACTGTATTTCTACTGTTTTTAGATTATAGATTCAATGATTTTATTATTCCAGACCAAATCCAGACGATTCGATTGATTTTGAGACAAAACATGTTGAAAGAATTTTGGAGATCAACGCTAAAAGAGAAATAAGAAAACGGAAAATGGAAGTGGAGATCGATGATGAGTTTGATAAATTGTTGGCTGAGGAACATCAAAAACATCAAAGAAACTTGAAAATATTAGATTGTTTAGAAAGTGAGTCAAATAGGTTAAGATCACGGCAGTTGGGAAAATATTAAAACTATGGAAATCATTTTTGAAACCCAAAGTCAAATTTTAAAAGAAGAAAATTCGAACTTTCTCATTTTTTGTAAACTTCTGTAGTGCTTCTTTAGATATGAAAAATACACCCTTTTCGAGTTGACATAACTTGTATTTATTTTGCGGAACATTTCACCTCGTTTTCAGAAGAAATAGTGATTATACGTACGTAAAAACGTGATTATTAATATATTTTATTACAGCGCACGTTGGATGACTACAAACTAAGGACTATGAGTAAGTTTCATCAAGTGTCCGAATTGAAACGTACTTTCCTCATGTTTTTTGATTTCACAATTTTGGAAAAAATTGACGTGAGAAAAAAAGGGTTTCTTTTGAAAAAAGACTGTCCCTGTGGACTAGTCTATAAATTTCAATAATTTCACTGTAATATTCAAAAATGTAAAATGAATTATTGCAGCCCGATTTCAGTTCTTCCCAATGATTCAAACCAACACAACTTCATTGCCGCTGTGACCAAATTGATAAACGAATCCGAAGCCAGAAAAAGAATGAATAATGCCGAAATTGACGAAAAACTTGCCGAATCAATTGAGTTGGAAAAGAAGAAATATAAGAAGAGTTTGAAAATGGACAAGGATTTCGAACGTAGGTCAATTTTTTGATGCTCAAGTTGGATTTGACCCAAAATGAAGCACCTCCTTTACAGAAATCGAGACGATAATGGGAGAATGGGAGAAAGATTCGGTTGGAGAAAATGTTGGCGCCAAGTGGCCTAGTAAGTTTAGTTTCTCCAAATTTTAATGAAAAGTCGTTTTTTTTAGAAATGATCTCTGAAATTTTGGCTGTTGTGAAGGAACACGCAAAAGAAGAGACCACAAGTTCTGGTCAATAGGTCGAGGTCTTCAACTCACGAATTATGTCATAACCAAACAAGCGATTTCTTTTTAAAATATCATTTTCTGTCAGCCTTCTTTTTAATATGTATTTTTATTCTTTTCTCATAAAAATTTCCAAATCTACTTCAGATGTGATTGAGAAAATTACTCGGTAGAATTTCTGGGAGAATGATCAGTATTACTGACCCTGACTATTTATCATATGAGGAAAGGCTAGATATGTTTAGGTTGGAGAAGTTGAGTGACAGGAGGAAGAAATGTGATCTAAAATTCCTTGAGGACATCCTTTCTGGTAAATCCAAAATTAATCTAAAATCCTTATTTCAAATCCAGAAATCTACAACCCGATTCCGTATTAATTTTTCTTACAAAATTGCAAAAAAGAAAATTCGTGGTAACTTTTTCACAGTGCGAGTGATTCCTGAATTTTTGAAAAACATCAAATCCTACTCGGATGATTTCCTGGATGTAATTATTAGAAATGCTTGTGATTGATCTGACATTGGTGTACACATTACAAATCATACTAAAACTTACGGTTATGTCTATGAGTTTCATAATTATGTTTAATACATAAAAAACCATAAAAACTATTAATTTCGTGCGATCTCCACTGATTCTGGTCTCCTCACCTCCGATTAGTCATTTTAATTTAGCTTGTGTCATCCCCCCCCCCAAAAATAATTCAATTCGATTTTGTTCTATTTTTTTTTGTTCGATTTCATTCTATTTTGTCTTTTTATTTTACTTATTAATGTTTTGGTTCCATAAAATTAGATTTCATAAAAATTGTTTATTTAGAGCATAAAATGGATGAAAATCCGCATGAAAATTCGGACAAGAAAATCACGAAAGGATATGCACTGAAAACAAAATTATACAGGAAGGGTAGTCGAACGGCCAGAGCCCCAAAACCTTCATTTATTCGATCAAATGGCAAAAAAGCAAAGTTTCGAATTGGGGCGTCCAAAAATCAAAAAATGAAAATTTCACACCTGTCCAATTTCTGTTCAAACTAAAAATTTTTTATTCAAAGTTGTATTATAATGATCAGAATTCAGTTAGCTACAAGTAGATCATATTTTTATCAAAATTGGACAGGCAAAAACACAAATTGGACAGGTGTGAAAATTTCATTTTTTGATTTTTGGACGCCCCAAATGGAAAGTCGATTGTCGAGATCAGAAGGTTCGATTATTCCGATTTAAAAAACTAAAATTAATTTGATATGTTAAGAATTTTTAGTAATATTAGAAATTATAATTAAAATTGGGAGAAATGCTGAATTTTCTAAAATAGTTCGAAAAATTGAATAGTTTTTAAAATAGTTTGTGAAATTTCTAAAATTAACATTGAAGCGGTTGTCTGGGTTCTGCGTGAGAAACTGACAATGACTGTTCAAGAAAAATCTTACGTTAGTTCTGATATCCAAAGCCATCTCAAAATCGAAGTACCTGCAAAAATTCTTCAATTAAAACTACGGATTTTAGATAATTTGGAACAATACAAAAATTAAACTGACCAAAAAACTCGCAAAATTGAACTAATTGATCAGCATTGACCAGGGAGAGTGTGAGCAGATCTGAAAAACAGCATTTATCCTGCTAAATGTTCATAATTTAGTTAAAATTTTAGAAAAATTCGTGATTTTTTCAATGAGTATTTTTCTGGAAAAGTTTGAATATTGAGATGAATATTTTTGAAAATCTATAAAAACTTACTTTAGTATCGGAAAATGTGAGTAGATGGTTGGAAGCGGATGATATCGATGAAAATAATCTTGGTACAAATCCGGAAAATACAAATGTTGCTAATGAACTCAATAAATCATCCGAATATTGATAATCCTGGCAATTTCACAAAAAATCCAATTATAGATATGGAAGGAATTGAAGAAGCTGGTCCATCGCCAAGTGCATGCCTAGCTCGTTTTCTAATCGTAAAATCTACGAAAATCGCAACCTTTGATAAAAAAATCACTAATTTTTAGCTACTTTATGTAAATTTTTAAGAAAAATCGGAGTCTGGACGAATAATTAACGAAAATTGCCTACTACATGCCAAGCTTGTTTTCTGATCGAAAAATCAACAGAAATCGCAACCTTTGATAAAAAAGTCACTAATTTTTAGCTACTTTATGTAATTTTCAAGAAAAATCGGAGTCTGGGCGAATAATTAACGAAAATTGCCTACTGCATGCCTAGCTCGTTTTTTGATCGTAAAATCTACGAAAACCGCAACCTTTGATAAAAAATCACTAATTTTTAGCTACTTTATGTAATTTTCAAGAAAAATCGGAGTCTGGGCGAATAATTAACGAAAATTGCCTACTGCATGCCTAGCTCGTTTTTTGATCGTAAAATCTACGAAAATCGCAACCTTTGATAAAAAATCACTAATTTTTAGCTACTTTATGTAATTTTCAAGAAAAATCGGAGTCTGGGCGAATAATTAACGGTAGAAACTGAAAGGGTTTTTCTGAAAGGGGGTTGACCCCCTTAAAAGGGGGTCAGAGCAAGAAGTCTGAAAGGGGGTCAAGTATAGTAAAAAGGGTTTTACTGAAAGGGGGTTAATCTGAAAGGGGTTCGACCGATATCACAAAAAGGGTTTTTCTGAAAGGGGGTTGACCACTCAAAAAGGGGGTCACATTTTTTTTTTCAAAAAAGGGGGTCAACTTTTTTTTCAAAAAAGGGGGTCAACTTTTTTTCAAAAAAGGGTTTTTCTGAAAAAGGGGTCAACTTTTTTTCAAAAAGGGTTTTTCTGAAAGGGGGTCAACTTTTTTTTCAAAAAGGGGTCAACTTTTTTCAAAAAAGGGGTCAACTTTTTTTTCAAAAAAGGGGGTCAACTTTTTTTTCAAAAAAAGGGGGTCAACTTTTTTTTCAAAAAGGGTTTTTCTGAAAGGGGGTCAACTTTTTTTTCAAAAAGGGGTCAACTTTTTTTTCAAAAAAGGGGTCAATTTTTTTTTCAAAAAAGGGGGTCAACTTTTTTTTCAAAAAAGGGGGTCAACTTTTTTTTCAAAAAGGGTTTTTCTGAAAGGGGGTCAACTTTTTTTTCAAAAAGGGTTTTTCTGAAAGGGGGTCAACTTTTTTTTCAAAAAGGGTCAACTTTTTTTTCAAAAAAGGGGGTCAACTTTTTTTCAAAAAGGGTTTTTCTGAAAGGGGGTCAACTTTTTTTTCAATCAACTTTTTTTTCAAAAAAGGGGGTCAACTTTTTTTTCAAAAAGGGTTTTTCTGAAAGGGGGTCAACTTTTTTTCAAAAAGGGGGTCAACTTTTTTTCAAAAAAGGGGGTCAACTTTTTTTTCAAAAAAGGGGGTCAACTTTTTTTTTTCAAAAAAGGGTTTTTCTGAAAGGGGGTCAACTTTTTTTTTCAAAAAAGGGGGTCAACTTTTTTTTCAAAAAAGGGGGTCAATTTTTTTTTCAAAAAGGGTTTTTCTGAAAGGGGGTCAACTTTTTTTCAAAAAGGGTTTTTCTGAAAGGGGGTCAACTTTTTTTTCAAAAAGGGGGTCAACTTTTTTTCAAAAAAGGGGGGTCAACTTTTTTTCAAAAAAGGGGTCAACTTTTTTTTCAAAAAGGGTTTTTCTGAAAGGGGGTCAACTTTTTTTTCAAAAAAGGGGTCAACTTTTTTCAAAAAAGGGGGTCAACTTTTTTTTCAAAAAAGGGGGTCAACTTTTTTTTCAAAAAGGGTTTTTCTGAAAGGGGGTCAACTTTTTTTTTCAAAAAAGGGGGTCAACTTTTTTTTCAAAAAAGGGGGTCAACTTTTTTTTCAAAAAAGGGGGTCAACTTTTTTCAAAAAAGGGGGTCAACTTTTTTTCAAAAAGGGTTTTTCTGAAAGGGGGTCAACTTTTTTTCAAAAAAGGGGTCAACTTTTTTTCAAAAAAGGGGGTCAATTTTTTTTTCAAAAAAGGGGTCAACTTTTTTTTCAAAAAAGGGGGTCAACTTTTTTTTCAAAAAGGGTTTTTCTGAAAGGGGGTCAACTTTTTTTCAAAAAGGGTTTTTCTGAAAGGGGGTCAACTTTTTTTTTTTCAAAAAAGGGGGTCAACTTTTTTTCAAAAAAGGGGGTCAACTTTTTTTTCAAAAAGGGTTTTTCTGAAAGGGGGTCAACTTTTTTTCAAAAAAGGGGGTCAACTTTTTTTTCAAAAAGGGTTTTTCTGAAAGGGGGTCAACTTTTTTTCAAAAAAGGGGTCAACTTTTTTTCAAAAAAGGGGGTCAACTTTTTTTTCAAAAAAGGGGGTCAACTTTTTTTTCAAAAAGGGTTTTTCTGAAAGGGGGTCAACTTTTTTTTTCAAAAAAGGGGGTCAACTTTTTTTCAAAAAAGGGGTCAATTTTTTTTTCAAAAAGGGTTTTTCTGAAAGGGGGTCAACTTTTTTTTCAAAAAAGGGGTCAAATTTTTTTTCAAAAAGGGTTTTTCTGAAAGGGGGTCAACTTTTTTTCAAAAAGGGGTCAACTTTTTTCAAAAAGGGGTTTTTCTGAAAGGGGGTCAATATTTTCGAAAAAAAGGGGTAATTTTTGGAGGAAAAAAAGAGGGTTTAATGTAAATATTCTGTTATTCAAGGCTTAGGCTTAGTGAACGCCCAGACAACTTAGACACTCAGGACCCGCTTTTCGTCCCAAAAATTTGACCCCCTTTTTGAAAAAAAATGTTTTGAATAAAAAATTTGACCCCCTTTTTTGAAAAAAAATTTGACCCCCTTTTTTTCCTCCAAATATGACCCCCTTTTTGAAAAAAATGTTAACCCCCTTTTTGAAAAAAATTTGACCCCTTTTTTGAAAAAAAGTTGACCCCTTTCAGAAAAACCCTTTTTGAAAAAATTTGACCCCCTTTTTTGAAAAAAAAATGTGACCCCCTTTCAGAAAAACCCTTTTTTTCAAAAAAAAATTTGACCCCCTTTTTTGAAAAAAAATTTGACCCCCTTTTTTTCCTCCAAATATGACCCCCTTTTTGAAAAAAATGTTAACCCCCTTTTTTGAAAAAAAATTTGACCCCCTTTTTTGAAAAAAAAAAGTTGACCCCCTTTCAGAAAAACCCTTTTTGAAAAAAAATTTGACCCCCTTTTTTGAAAAAAAGTTGACCCCCTTTCAGAAAAACCCTTTTTGAAAAAAAATTTGACCCCCTTTTTTGAAAAAAAAAGTTGACCCCCTTTCAGAAAAACCCTTTTTTTCAAAAAAAAATTTGACCCCCTTTTTTGAAAAAAAAATGTGACCCCCTTTTTGAGTGGTCAACCCCCTTTCAGAAAAACCCTTTTTGTGATATGGGTCAAACCCCTTTCAGATTAACCCCCTTTCAGAAAAACCCTTTTTGTGATATCGGTCGAACCCCTTTCAGATTAACCCCCTTTCAGTAAAACCCTTTTTACTATACTTGACCCCCTTTCAGACTTCTTGCTCTGACCCCCTTTTAAGGGGGTCAACCCCCTTTCAGAAAAACCCTTTCAGTTTTTGCCATAATTAACGAAAATTGCCTACTGCATGCCTAGCTCGTTTTTTGATCGTAAAAT